GGGGGCGTTTACAATGATGAGATCTTTTTTGGCCGTGGGGTTTTAACTAACACATATGATTGGGGGGGATAGTGCAATCTCAGCAGATGCAACCCTCTGCATGCAAAGAACCGGCACAGATTGGGGTGTGTATTCCTCTTTGCCGAAAGCGATTGAGGTGTTGAAGACGACTTACACTGCTAACCCGACCCCTCCTTCCTCTTCGTCCACTGCCCACCCAACCCCATCCCCTACTTCCCCTCGGAGACTTACGCTTCACGTCTACTTCTCCGCCTTCGATGTCATGATCGGTAAAGGAGGCCAGCAATACTTTGAAGAATGTTGGAAGCAAGGGAATACCAATGCGAAGATTGAGTACAAGGCAACGACGGTACCGGATAGTGATCATGACAGTGTGATCCTGCCGGAGAAAGGGTGGATTGGGGAGGTTTTTGGGGAGGTTAAGAAGGTGTGTGGATGACTTACAAGAAGTCAGGGTATGATTAAATGAATTATGAACTTTTGCATATACTTTTCGAATTCTGGAGGCGTTGATTAATCTTGTAACAAATCCACATTAACACCTCTCAGCGCCTCAACAACCCACGCTGGATATTTCGTCTTGTCTCCCTTGTACAAAGTCGCAAAGTAATTGCGTAGGAACGCAGGATATTGATCCGCAATAATGGCTTCTCGGATACGACGCATAAGGTCGAGGAGATAGTGCACATTGTGTATGCTGAGCAAATGTGCGCCAGCAGTTTCTTTGGCGGCAACGTGGTGGATGTAGGCGCGTGTGAGACCTAGACCTCCTGCAGAGGTGGGACGGCAGATTGTGCATTTGCAATCTGGGTCTACGGCGGAGAAGTCGTCGGCGTAGGAGGCGTGGCGGAGGTTTAGGACGCCGGTGGAGGTGATGGCATTGCCGAAGCGCTATGGAAGATGGGTGATCAGTCTGGGTTGGAGGATAATGGGAAATTGGTAGAACTCACTGCTGTTCTAGTTGGCCAAACACAGTCAAACATGTCTGCTCCCAAAGCAACAGAAACAACCAGATCTTCAGGGTATCCAACACCCATGACATAGCGTGGCTTGTTGGGTGGCAGCATATCCGTACACGTACTGACAACCTTACAATACTCCTCTTTAGCCTCACCACCAGAAAGGCCTCCAATAGCAATACCAGGAGTATCTCTAGCAACCATCTCTTTACAGCATTCCTTTCTCAATTCCAAATCCAACCCTCCTTGGATAATACAGAACAAGTTCTGAGATTCCGGCTTTTTGTGGGCGGCGATGCAGCGGTCGAGCCATCGGATACTGCGATACATGGCTTCTTTGATGCGGGCGTGGTCAGGTGAGGTGGTGGCTATGACATCGTCGAGTTGCATCATGATGTCTGAGCCTATGCTGTTCTGGAGCGAGATGGAGTGTTCGGGGGTTAAGAGCATGGGAGAGCGGTCGTGAGGGCTGAGGAAGCGGACGCCCTCTTCGGTGACCGTGGCGAGTTCGAGTAGCGAGACCATTTGGAAGCTGTATGTGTGAGTAAGAGGCTACAAGTCTTGTTGAAGTTGAGGAATGAGTACCCTCCGCTATCTGTCAAGATGTTGTGTGGCCATGATTGCAGCTTGTGAGCACCACCGACAGCATCTAGGGTGGCTTGACCAGGTTTGAGGCCACTGTATAGACAGTTAGGCAGGAGAAAAGAAGGATATACAAGGCAAGGGCAATCACAGATGATAAGTGTTGTTCAGACACAAACGACAGCTAGTCTCTTCTAGTTGATGAGGAGTCAAGCCCTTGAGAGAAGCCTGCGTTGCAACAGGCATGAAAATGGGCAAAGGCACAGGACCATGAGGCAATTGGAGAGTAGCAGCACGTGCCTTGGTGACCTTGATGGCGATTCAGTATTTACTCTAGTACCTACCACGAGTGGTGCGACATACCGAGCACCGGGCGACTGGCTGGTACGTCAAGGCCGAGTGCATCTTGCCAACTACGGCTGCTGCAATATTCTTGATGGACGCGATGGTGATTGTCTGCCGCAAGTTGCAGGCCCGGCACTTGCTAGTTTGAGAAAGTGACAGGAAGAAAAGTCCAAGGGTCGCACTTTCCCTGACAAAAAGAGAAAGTCCAAGGGTCGCACCTTCCCCAGGCTGATCGGACTTGACGGGGGTTTCACATGCGATTCCCGAAGCTTCGCTGGCTCGCCGTCGCCGCCGCGCCTTCCCAAGCCGGACCAAGTCGCAGTCGTAACGTAAGCAGGTGCTTGGTGCTTGCCTCAGCAGCTGCCTTGACTTCAGAAGAGGCGACTGCTGTATTTAATCCGCCATGTCGTCTTCATCTATTCCGGATCCGTCATCAGAGCAATCCTACACCAAAATGGCCACTGCCGATGTCGAAGCTATTGGCGCTCACTGCCAGATGACCTTCTGTCATCAACTCGACTTTCTTCCTTTCAAGTGCGAGAGTTGCAAAGGGTGAGTCCCCTCCCTTCCATTTCACGAGGCTCTGCCACTGACACGCATCAGCAAATTCTGCCTGGACCACCGCTCCGAAACAGCACATTCGTGTCCTAATGCTGGTGCTTGGGCAAGAGCACGCGCAGCTCAACAACGATCCTCCTACACTCCCTCGCCCAAGCCCTCGGTCCTTACACACGAATCGCAATGCTCCGAGCCCTCATGCAAGACTCTCATCAACACTGCTCTGGTTCCCGGCGTCGAATGCGATTCCTGCAACCGCAGCTACTGTCTAAAACACCGTCTACGAGAATCTCACGACTGCGCAAAGCTCACTCCCATAGGAGCTCGTGCGAACAAAGAGAAAGGTCTGAATGCTCTTGCCAAGTTGCGAGCTTGGGGTCAGGCCAAACAAAAGACCATGACGGCAACCGCAACTTCTACATCCAACCCCAAACCTCCAACCTCATCAGCCAAACCACTCACTGCTGCTCAGCGAGTTCGTGCCACCGCCGACCTCAAGAAGAATGCAAAGGGTGATGCCAAGGTACCCTTGGAGAAACGCATCTACATCAACGTCGAGGCCTCAGCAGACACAACAAAGGCCAAGCATCCAACCGGCCAATTCTTCTACTCGTCCGAGTGGAGCATTGGTAGGGTTCTCGATCTGGCTGCCACGTCACTACAAGTCGAGAATCTCAACAACCGTGTAGACGGCGAAGCAGAAAAGTTACGCGTCTTTCACGTTGAAGGTGGACGACTGCTCGATTTTGGCGAGAAACTCGGTGCTGCCGTCAAGACGGGTAATACTCTGGTTTTGCTCAGAGGCGTCGGTCCACCCGTCCCGGATCTTATCGTTCTTGATCCGTAGATGCTCTTGTGCCTGGTGTTTCAACTGCGTCATCATGTTTCTTTCTCTGTTATGATACCCCATCTGCAGCAAGCAATCTCGAATTATATTTTAGACAAGCATACCTTTTTCTATGTTTCTCCTCTTTTCACTTTCAAGCCCTATATCACGAGCTGAAGGATCTTTACGACGACCCGTCTGATCGCTGATTCATGGTAGAGCTCATTTACTCAAGGGGGCTGAGGTGTATCCGTTCCTGTTGACATCGATTTCTCGCAATCTTAGTATGCGGTTTGACCGTTGACCATCATCCGTCGTCATTCTCCCTCTGAACTTGAATAACCCTACGATACTCGTATCAGGCACCGCAATTCTTATTTTGCGACTGCGGATTCGAAGCAACTAATTACAATCCTCCGTGGAACCATACGACCATGACACGAGACAGATCAATAAATATCCCACCAAAGACGGCTGGATTCCCCAAAACAGAAGAACCTGTGGGGCACGATGTCCGTGCACTTCGTATAAGAGTCCTTCGACCGCTGCGACAAGCCTCCCACTCCTTGTCAACGGTCGCATGAGCTGCTGTAATAACATGAAAGCTGTAGTTAATTTAGATGCCATGCGCGCCTCTTGAGTTAGGTTTTCTTTCGTTCGTCTTTCCTTCAACACCCACGTTCCTTACCTGGCTACATGTTGTAGCGTCCATTCATTTTTGAACATCACGCTCTCTACTCCAGCTCCGCCACCATCATACCAAGAAACAGATCCCATCAATCCTTCCGAGACACCGTTGAAGCTGTTCTATTCCTGCCGATCTTTACTTCCACGCACAAAACATACAAACTCAACGATACAAAGACGACAAAGTTGTTTCTTTCTCTGGATTTCTGCTCACTTGGACGACTCACCACATAGAGGATAATTACGCCCATCATGCGTACGACGAGCCTCATATCACTGGGCTTGTCAATTGCCTCGCTTGCACTGCCTAGTCAAGCGATTGAACTCGATCTCAGCAATGAAGGTGTGCTATTCACAAGGCACTTCAACGGCAACAAGGTATACTGACACATCCAAAGCATCCATCAAATCCGCCGCCTCGACCGTCACCTACGGCATGATGAAATACTACCACGGCAACGAGACCGGCCAAACCATTGGTCTCCTCCCCTGGCCCTACTACTGGTGGCACGCCGGCGCCATGTTCGGTTCCCTCGTCGATTACTGGTACTACACAGGCGACACCTCGTACAACGAAGCCACCACCAACGCCATGATCTTCCAAGCCGGCCCCACCGCAGACTACATGCCCGAAAACCAGACAAAGTCAGAAGGAAACGACGATCAAGCATTCTGGGGTATGGCAGCTATGTCGGCCGCCGAAGTAAACTTTCCAAACCCTGCGAAGGGAAAGCCTGGATGGTTGGCTCTTGCTCAAGCGACGTTTAATTCTCAAGCGCTGAGATGGGATACAAAGACTTGTGGTGGTGGTCTGCGATGGCAGATTTTCACCTTTAACAACGGATACAATTACAAAAACTCCATTTCTAATGGAGGTCTGTTTAACTTGGGAGCAAGACTGGCCATGTATACCGGCAACACAACCTACTCGGACTGGGCGGTCAAGGTGTGGGATTGGATCGAAGGGTCAGGGCTCATGACGGACGATTACTACGTTTACGATGGCTCAGACACGACGACAAACTGCACGGACCCGAGTAAGATCCAATGGACGTACAATGCGGGTATTTTCTTGCTTGGTGCGGCCACCATGTGGAACATCACCGGCGAACAGCTTTGGAGGGACAGAACGATGGGACTCTGGAATGCGACACATGTGTTTTTCAGAGACGACAAGGTCATGTATGAGGTTGCCTGCGAACCAGGCGGTAACTGCAATGTGGATCAGCACTTGTAAGTCTCCCTTTCCTTGCCCTCGCCATTCTCCAGACTGTGCACTGACGCAAACACACAGCTTCAAAGCCTACCTCGCCCGCTGGATGGCCGCCTCCACAAAAGTGGCCCCCTTCCTCTCCGACCTCGTTGCACCCTACCTCGCCGCCTCCGCCATGGCAGCAGCAGCCTCCTGCTCCGGCGGCACCGACGGCGTCACCTGCGGCACAAAATGGTTCTCCAACACCTCCGACCTCACCGTAACCTGGGACAACACATGGGGCGTAGGACAACAACTCTGCGCCTTGGAAGCCATTCAAAGCAACCTTATTACCAAGGTGCAAGGACCGTTGACGAATAAGACTGGAGGAACGAGTCAGGGTGATGATAGTGCGGGAAGTGGGGGCGATAGCGATCCGACAAAGATGAAGAAGATTACAGATGCGGATAAAGCTGGTGCTGTTATTCTTACGATTTTGGTATTGGCAGGGTGGGTGGGGGCCATGTTTTGGTTGATTATTTGATAAAGTTTATATGTCTATTGCTTGTATGAATCTTTCTTTTCTTGATGTATCTCTTCACTGCGATGATATCCATTCTTCTGGCTGTTTGTGATGCAGAAGTTCATCATTGGGAGGCTGCTGTATTTCCGTTGAGAGCAACATATCCCGCCGTCTCTCTGGACAACTCCTATCCCTGAACAGTATCCTGCATTTCTACAGCTCTGTCATCGACGATACATCATTCAATTGAAGCTACCTAACCAAACGTCAAAGTAGACGTGCCCCAAGCCCAGGTAGGTATACAATCTCACAACCAGTAACTTTAACATTCTGACATACTTCAAGACTCAATCACGAACCGCGTCTATAAGTCGGGAGATGAGCAATTGTAATCCTGGTGCTCCAACCTGAGGTCTTATTCTGCTTCTCTTCTGTTTGGTTGCATCTACCGAAGTGCTTGCCATTGGGCTTCTGGTCATGGTTTGTGCTCGTCGGGCGATTTGGGAATTTGTGGTTGGGCATGACCATGCGACTCCGTGTGCTCGCCCAAACTCCTCCTCGATTGACTGGCTAGCAAACTGACCTCTCACGTGTGCCTTGTTCGGATGCTTCCTTCTCTTGACACTACCATTTGAAAAAAAAAAAATGCTGGCAATGCTTTCTTCATTTCTTATCTACATAGCTCATCCGATCCCTCTCGGCTTAATGAACTTCTCTTTCTTTCCCCTGCCCTTTCCCTCTCTCTCCAAACTCACTTGACCAAAAGCCATCGTACAATCCAAGTGCCACCAAGAACAAAGATAACCATGGCATAAAGCGCGATCGTCAGTGCCTTCAGAGTCTCACGAACAAGCCGTGCCTGTTTTTCTAGTCGCTTTGACGGCGTTGCCGATATCTGTTCTTCTCGCTGCGATGGTGATGTCGTGGTATCCCTGGTGGTGCTATCCTTCGAATCCCCCAGATCATCCAAGTCCGGAAATAGCATGTCTTTGAACTCTTTTTGTAACAACTTGGAACCATGATTGTGATTCTGCGAAGGGGTGGAAACGCAAGGATCTAGAGGGTTGGATGTCAGTGAAGATTTTGATGATCGGATCGGGAGAGTTGAGGATGCATGAGGGGACGAAGTGCGACCGCTGGAATGGAGCAGATTCGTAGTAGCTTTAATCTTCGGAGCCTTGATCATCTCCAGATGAGAGAAGTTTGTACCGAGATCGAGGGGAACTGTGTCATGTGGCGAGCAAGGGCTAGGGCTACGCAACTCCGACTGGGCTTGATGTATGCTGTGAATTTTCGGGCACGCATCAGTAGATATATCGTACAGATAAGAGCTAACGTATTCGGAGCCCCTCATAAGATAAATGGACAAGCCTTACCTTGTGCGGACCAGGTCCTGTTCCGCCAGTGCATTCTCAACACTGCACCTCTTCTCCAACCTTTCACTCACATATCTCGACTCCCACGAGTCTCCAAAATCACCATCCTCGAGGACCGACTTTGGAGCCCCTCCGTCTGGATTCTTGAACTCCATGTGTTCCACTCTAATTCCATTGGGCAAACCACATTCGAACCTCCTTTTGTAGAAGATCTCCATTGGAGTGGGTTGGAAGCAAGTATAAGGTCGCGTAGACTTTTTTTGCGCCAGTGGTGAAAGTCTGAGAACAAGATCCGAAGGTTGTGGGAGCTTGAGGGGGAGGCAAGGGCACTACAAGGGCGCATCGCTTGATAAGATAAGGCTGTGACTAGAGGCCAGGAGGTGTGTTGACGATAAGGAAGTAGGAAACTAGGGAATTCTGTCGAGAAGGAGGTGGATGAGGCTTGCTTGTGATTGGACTCGACGCTACTGTCTTTCTTGTCATAAGCTTTGATGAGCGCTTCCCAGCGTGCATTGACGTTGTCATGATAGGTTCGACCCGGTAGAGTGGCAGATTCGCAATGCACTGGCACATCTGCGTCTTTGTCTTTCTTCTTCAGCTCCTTCACGATTTGTTCTAGGTTGATCAAGCGTAGGTCCAGCATCCAAGGGTAGAACTGTTGATGGAAGGCCAGACATTTATCCTTGAGTTTGCGGCCTACACTAGCTTTTCTCGGATCAACTGTGCCTGCAGCAGGCCAGGGCGGATTTGGCTCTTCTGCCACCGCAGCATCGATGATGATGGTATAGTCAATGGCAAGACGAAGGAGTATTGTCTTTGTGTAATTGCAGACTTTAAGATCGTTGAAGCAGTCCATTTCGGGGTAGGCTTTTGAGAGCATGCGCGTGCTGAATAGGAAGTACTCCATCACTTCTGTGGATGTGTCAGTCTGCGAGCGGAGATATTTTTTATTTGAACACGCTTTCGGCAGGGATTACATGTGACGGAATGTGTGGTTTAGTAAGGTTACTTACCTGCGGGTATACCAAGCATCCTTGCCGGTTCGAAGATGACCCTCATAAGCTCCTGTTTCGTCGCCACAATATCGTATCTTGAGTCGAATTGTGCGCCAAGCAGTAAACAGTATTGCCTGCACAGGTCAAGATAATACTTCTGATCAACGATGTCATCGTTGTTGGTACAACCAAGCTCGGAAGAAAGACCATATTCGGAGACGAGACGCTGAGTGAGGAATCTCTGTAGCCGTCGGACGGGATTTTCGTCTTGCTTTGGACCTGTGCCGGTTCGAGGATCGGAGTAAGGCGGTGGAGCATCGTCAAGGTCACGCTTGGTGCGATCGGTCGACCCATCGCGTGCCCTTCTGCGCCGTCGTAGGAAGAATGTCATGATATCTATAAGATTGAAAAAAAGGGGATGAAAGTGATAGAGATAGAAGAACGAAGGACAGATGATTGATAAAGTAAGGTAGATGAGGTGAGGTCGTTCGAGCTTGACATGTGACGACAATTACACGTGGAACATGATTTATAAAATCAATCGTTCTTGGAAACTTCGTTCTCTCCTCATGGCCTTATGCAAATTATTGCAGCTGTAAACATGCAGAAACGCTTTCAAGAATGGTCTTGATCCAGAGAGAGGGTGCAAAATGCAAGATCTCAATGGAAAAGAGTCCTGCGATCATAATATTGTGCATTTCGATGGTTCAAAAAGGGAAGCATCGAGATGAAGAAATCGCGATAGATCAGACAGTACCCTGGAGGTTGGCGGGACAGTCAAATGTTGAATTGCTTCAAAGTTAAGGCACGATGGAGTAGCAACTGCTGCAGCAATGCACGAAAGTGATCAGAATTGAATCAAGCTTGCAACATCCTTCCTCGATTTAGCCATCTTCAGCGCATTCGAGATATTCAAGAAAAGTATCTCTGCATTCCTAGAGCTAAGTGTTGCTTTATTGTGCAGGCTTGAAAGCCAAGAATCGAATTGTGTCGTTTGTGTACCCTCGTGCCCACCACGGGAGGCCTTTCACAATTGAAGTATACTTTATCTTTTCTTGGAGTATCTTCGGATAAAACCACATCGTGCTTGACTGTAGTTCACATACAAGTATAGGAAATCAGGCTGCGCTAGCGAAGATTCAGGGCAGCCATCGGATATCCAGGCAGGATCAGGTGACATGTGGCTGATTTTCAGGCAGACTTGAGAGGCAAGTATATGAACTCAATCTAAATCCTTTCGTACATTCGACAATTTCTTTGTTTCTACGCACAAGACATTACAACATGAGTATATTCTCAAGATTCTTTCGACGGGGAAGGTCAAGCAAGACGGCTTCTGCAACAAGTAATAAAGCTGACTTTGACGATCCACCACCACCGTATTTGGAGAAGACATCGAAGCACAAGTTACCAGATTCAGAGGAGAATTTGGTCTATCGTTTGCAATGCTTTATCACCCGGTTGCTTCGTGTCAGGTACGACATCCAAGGTGAAATTTGGGACATCGACAAGGACACCACATGTTACGACCACTATTTTGACTTATGTAAGAAGTACTGTATGCTCTTAGGCATGCAACTCAGCACAAGACAAGAGGTTTTGGCCACAAAGCAAGAACTACTCAGAGTGATTTTTGAGCCAGCAAGAGTGCTCGGTATACCTGCAGGTAAGCGGATCGAGCTAACCACATTGTCGATCGTTTTATACATAATGATTAACAAAACAATAGATGTCATGGAATGGTTCTTGTTCTTTGCACGCAAGATGCCAAACAAGTTACCGCCCAAACATGAATTCGAGGTTGCAAGGATAGCACCTTATCCACTGGGCATGCTGCTTTGTCTGGTTGTTGATTACACTCTCATGATCGATGCAGCTGTGGAACCTCATTTTCCTGGTCTGGCTCCTAGGCTCAAAGATAGATGTCTAGTTCTGCATCAACTTTACTTTCCTTGGATGTTGGATCTACGCTTGATCAAACCAGATCAGATGGCTGGGACGCTGCAAAACTACAGACACCTTGGTTGCCCTGTCGAGTCTAGACACAAAGGCCCAAACAAGATTCGCAAACACCACTCTTCGTCCTCAAGTACGGTTCGAGGCAAGGACGCTTGCAGCCCAGACCCGTGTTCCCGATTTTTAGATCTCCACATCTCATGCTACCTATTCTCATCCAATTTCCCTAGTTTCTTACTTCCCTATCGCTTACACACCTCATGGCCAACTGTCAGTTTTCTGCTATGCCAAGGTCGACGTCCATGTGTTGCCCTCGCTTCCCCCTCGACATGCCAATCTCTCTACGTATCTCACACCGACCTAACCCTCTGGACGCAAGCCATGCGCAAAGACCCCAAGACCAAGTTTCAACCACAGTGCAAGAAAACAGCAATAGAAACGTTTAGTTGTGGATTGCCTAATAGCATCAGAATCGGCAATTTGAAGTTTGACAATCCTGAGGGTGGGGTTCCGAAGTCAGTGGTGGGGGAGGAAGGGGAGGGGTGGGAAGAAGAGTATGTGCGTGAGCACTTGGGTGTGGGTTGGCATGGCGAGACGAACAGGCGGGGGTTGTTGGTACAATCGATTGAGCAGCAGCAGCATGAGGAATATTCAGACTGCGTGGAACATTTGTAGTGGTGTTGAAGCAAGATTCAGCACAGCACGAAGCACAATAACCAGGTCCTTTCACCTGCTGTTCTCCTCGACTCATCCCAAATCACCTCGTCTCCAACTCTCTGGGTCTTGAAGTGCAGCAGCATATCATTCAGTCCTTCAGACAAGAGCAACACACCCAATGCCTGAGTGCCTTTTCGCGCACATTGCTCCAAGAAAAAAAAAAAAAGCCAGGGACACTCGTTCTCCATCGAGACTGCCATGTTCTCGTGACGATTGTGCATCTCATCAGTCTGGCAGAATAGATGGCTATCAATTTGGAGAAGGATGCTTGGGTCGTGGGGTATAGGGACAGAGTAGAGCACAATCATCAGGTCAACCAAGCCTCTACTCCTTTTGGGTCATCCCAGACATAAAAGTTGAGAGGACTTGATATTGATGTACAGCAGCATGTATAACAGAAACTAAAACGATGGGGATGAGTAGTACAAGCGAACGACTACATAAAAGAAAACAAGAACAATGAGTCAAAAATCGATTATGTACAAAAACAAAAAAAGAAACGCCCTAATGCCCGCAATGTTTACAAAGTCACAACACACTTCACCTCTTCTCATCACCTTCTACCTTGTTCACTTTACGAATCCCAACCAACCCACTCCCTCCCAACAACCCTCCAAACCCTAACTTCTCCACTTCTCAAATCTCCAAGTCTAAAACTCTCCATCCTAGTCTTTGCCTTCTCTCTTCCCTGCTCCCAAGCACGAACCTTCTTCTTGGTACCGTCCCAATCAACAACAACACCAACATGCGAAGAAACATCCATGGCATACGATTTATGCATTGCGCCGTGTTTGCCTTGGAGTTTGGCATTGCGCAGTGTAATGATATCGCCAGCGCGGATTTCGTCGAATTGTTGCACTGAGGCGTTGGCGAGGTTGGCGTATACGAGGGCGCCGTAGGCTCTAGTGCCTACAGGACGTAAAGCGTCGGTGAAGGGTTTGAGGAGATCGAGGACAAGGGCGTTGGGGGAGCCGTCACCGACAACTTGATCCTTTTTGGCAGCTGCGGCTTCAGACATGCGTGCGCCGTACTTCTGCCATGCGGTCTCGAGTTGGTCTTGACGGAGACGTGGTGGAGGTGGTTCGTGTCTCTGTTCGAAAGACACTTCTTGAGGGTTTTGGCCGTCGTAGCGAGCTGTGATGACGGTCTGGCTGTAGTCGATGAATAGAACATACACGTCTTTTGTGATTGCCGTTCTGCCACCACGTCTTTGCGTTACGTTCTCCTCAACCTCGAACAGAATATCACTTCGGTTCTGGAAGACTGGTGGAGGAGTGTTGGGGTTTGCCCACCAGAGAGATGATTCTGCGAGATCGACATCTGTAGCAATGTGGCCATCTTGAGGAGGTCTGCCAACATCCATGCTACGACGCATGTTCATGGACGGACGACTGACATCGAGTGATTGACGAGACTGGTGAGTTCCTGTTCGAGCAATCTGTGGTGGTTGAGAAGGAGGCAAAGGTGCAGCACGGTCTTGATCAACCGGTGGTGGTGGAGGTGGACGATCCATGGATTGACGAGGAGGTGGTGCGTCGTACAAATCATCCGAGCTATCATCCACATACTCCTGTTGGACAGGAACTGGAGCCGGCGCGGTGGGTGGAGGTGGTGGCACGGCACGGATAGGAAGAGCACGAGGAGGTTCTTGGTAATCGTCCTCTTCGTCCTCGTATTGTTCGGGTTGAACAGGTGCATGGACTGGAACAGGTGGAGGAGCCATACGAGGAGCATCAATCGAGGCTCTGGTTGGTGGAGGCTGAGTTGGTGGTGGGGGAGGAACAGCACGAGGGGCAGGAGCAGGAGCAGGCACATCTGCCTCTTCGATGCTTGAATCTCTGGCGTGTGACTTCAAAGCATCCTTGTGGGCGACACTAGATGCAATGTCGGTGTCATAGTCGCCTTCGTATTCACTTTCACCTTCATCAGGTTCGCCCAAAGGAGCGCTCGGGATGATCGGAGGAAGTTGAGGAGCACCAGTTGGTGGAGGTGGAGGAGGAGCGCGGGCTTGAGGGGGAGTTGACAAAGTGCCAGGGATAGGAGGAATGCGACTCTGTCTCTTTTCAGAAGCAGGAGTGGCAGGTGAAGTAGGCGACATGGCATCCAAGCTGCCAAAGGTCGAAGCACGCTTTGTCGATCCCATAGATGGAGAGCGGGTGGCCTCTGGTCTGGGAACGGGTGGTGGAGCACCTCGAGACATGTCTGTTGACTGTCTTGTGGGAGCCAGAGATCGCTCGTCATCTGATTCTTCACCTTCCGTAGGGTCCATTTGTGTGTCTACCGGTGGTGGTGGAGGAGGCACGGGACGGCCTGCAACAATGTCAGAATATACAAGGCAATGAGAACATGGAGCACTCACTCTCAGGAACTGGTGGAGCAGGCACGGGACGAGCACCAGGAACCGGTGGTGGGGGAGCGCGTTCGCTAGTTGGAGATGCTAGAGGACGGTCTGCCAAACAATCAGCTTCTCGTTTCGAATCACAATTGTTGAGGTTCACTCACCTTGCGGAATTGGAGGAACGCGGTGTACAGGCTCAATGTGTGGTGGTGGCTGAGGCTTGACGTCCTCAACATCTGGCACGTCCAAAGGTTCCCTCTCGCTAGTGACTGAAGTGTCATGCTCGGGCTCCTTCTCAACAGCAAGCTGTCTATCTTCAACCTCAGGACTACGCGCTGTCTGCATGCCAGGGATAGGAATGACGGGCACACGGGGTGCTTGAGCAGGAGCAGGGGCAGATGCAGCTGCTTCGTCGTGCTCGGGCTTGGGCTCCTTGGTCTTCTTGGGCTTGGGAGGAGCAGGTGCCATCATACCAGGCATACCAGGAGGACCTCCGAACATGCCTGCCATACCCATACCACCACTCATCTTGGCCATACGCTCTCTCAACTCCATACGGCGGCGTGTCTCTGCATCCATCTCGTCCTCTTCACTCTCGTCATCCTCGGTTGTGTCTTGTTGTTCGCCGACGTCTGCTTCTTCGACTGGAGCTGCGGGTGCTCGTTGAGATTGCATGGATTTTCTGGCAGGTTGTGTCGAGTCGCTGTCAACGTCGTTCTCTTCTGTGATATCTCCAGCTCCAGACATGTCGGCGTCGTTGGAATCGCTCAACATCTCGTTGCCAGCAGTAGGTAATGCTGGTTCACGGGACACTCCACGAGCAGAAGCGCCACGAGTACGTTCGCGATCACGAGGTTGGTCCAGTGATTGGCGAACATGACGCTCTGGCTGTTCTACATCATCCTCCTCTTCAGCCGCTGGCACATGTGCTTGGGGAACCGGAGGAGGAGGAGCAGCAGCAGACTCTGCCGAGTCATCCGTGTTCTTCTTGACGGGCTTCTTGGGCTTTGGCTTGTCGCTAACATCGGCTCTTCGCGCTGCTTGCTCCATTTGCTGCTTCTGCAACATTGCGATTCTCTCCTTCAAACTCTGAGGCTTGGGTTGATCCTCATCCTCCTCTCCAGTGGGAGATTGAGGATGGTCTGAGGGCAATAGACCAGCCTTTGCGGCATTCTCATCTGCTTGAGCTTGCTCTTTCTGGATATCTGGATCTTCCTCTCTTCTGTAGATTTTTTGTACAGGCTCGGCCTTTGGTGGAGGAATGTATGCGTTCTTGCTAGGTGGAGGTGCGACGAAAGGCTTCTTGACAAAGGTAGGAGCGGCGGGCTTGAAGGGAGCAACAGGAGCAGCTCCCGCATTGTTAAATGCGGCGATGCGGTCTCTGAATGAACTGGGCTTGCTGCTCACTGGCGGAGGCTCTTTCTTGGGAGGATCGGCCTTGACAGGCTCCGATTTGACGGGTTCTGAGGGAGCTGGCTTGGGTGCAGGTGGAGGAGACTTGATTGTTTCGCGAGCAACCGCCGGCTCTATTGGAGGAGGTGGTGATCTGACGGTTTCCTGAGCTGGCGGAGGAGGAGCAGTTTGTCTCACGGCGGGAGGAGAGAGGTCGCGAGGAGGAAGCGGAGCTGGAGCAGCCTCGGGCTCAACCACCGACTTTGATTGAGCAGGAACAGGCGGTGGCTCGGCAAAGCTATCGTCGTCATCATCCTTATCGGCTTCCTCTGGGAAAGCACCAGGAGCAGGTTCTGGGACAGGAGGTTGTGGCGGTGGAGAGCGGATCTCTGATTGAGGGCGTCTGGCGGGTCGTGAAGGGACCTCTGGCTCGTAGCGCTCGACAAAGTTCTTGGGGAACAGACCCTTGTGCTTGTTGCCCGAGGCATCGGTGTATTCGCCCTCGTACCAGTCGGCGTCTTCGAGAGCTACGACGGTGATGATCTGGCCTTCAGGGAAGGGGAGGTCGTCTTCGTGGGGGCTGGCATACTCGTAGACGGCCTTGACCTTGAATGGCGGGGCTGACATGGCGGTGGAGCTGCCTGTCGCCGGGTGTTGTGTAGGAGAATTGGCGGATGTGTACTTAGAGAGACAGGGGACGTCTTGTGTAGCTGTCGACAGTGACAGTGACGGGCTGCGTCTTGGGGGTCCAGTCCAGCCTCTGGTCGGACGGACTGGCCGGCGTCTGTTGTTTCCGCGCCTTCGTCATGTTTCTTGGCGTGAACCAACGACTGACGAGACCCTCGACGTCTCAGAACCATCTCAAGCCACAGCAGAATGGACGCCACAACTAGCCACACTTCTTGTGACTCCCGACATAATTTGATATCGCCGCCAACATCCATACCACTCTCTAAACCACTTCATCACACAAAAACATCAGAAACCTCATCAAGAATCGCCAAAATGTCAACGCCACAACCCCAACCACAGGCACAACCAAAATCCATATTGAAAAAGTCCTCATCACCACTGGACTCTTCCCTCTCCAACCTCAAAATAAAACCAAAATCAGACGCCGAACGCCGCCGTCTAGAAACCGCAATCCAACACGCCCACCTAATCCAAGAACAAAAATCCATTCTCGCTCAAAACCTCAACTACATCGAAGAACTCTCCGACTACCCTGCTGACACCACTGCTTCTGCTTCCGAGATCTCTGCTTTCTTGGACTATATGGTGTCATTTCAGCCATCAGATTACGACGCGCTGATAGAAGAAAGACACGTAAATGGACGCTGTGGGTATACTTTGTGTGCCAACGCGCCCAGAAAAGCTGCTGTAAAAGCTCCATGGCAGAAAAGCAAAGGGGTGGAAAATTGGTGTTCGGAGGATTGTGCGAGAAAGGCACTTTATGTGAAAGCACAGCTCTCGGAGACTCCGGCTTGGGAGCGAAGGGCTGGGGAGAGGAATCCATTGGTACTCTATGGCGGATCCAAACCCTCTACCACATCAACTCCCGCAGGAACGAGGACGCAGACAGAGACGCAAACTGGGACGCAGATGCAATTGCCCCTACGGACAAAGGCACAATCTGCCACCGATGAACGGGATTTAGCCTATGAGCGCGGCGAAATCGACAAAGTGGCTGATGCAAAGATGGACAAAGTGCTAAAAGCACAAGTGCAAGAGAACAGCGTCATATCTTCCGTTATGCCGCCCACGCAAACGAAGTTCGCAGATGCAGATGTGCATGACTTGATAGAAGGATATCAACCAAAGGGTGTGCAGCAAGGCAATCGTATCGCCATAAAATCTGAAGATGCAGATAGCGACGACGAGGGAGAGGAGTGAGAAATCCCAGATACCCGATTATTGCTTCCAGGCAGCTTACTGGAGATGAGAGAACACAGAGTTCCAAGAACGAATCTCTAGACCGATCAAACCATCCGAAATACATATAGAGCGTTGTACCTCGACCCATCACAATTTTCTCAAGTCCCAGTCGTTGATCATACCACCCTGGCCATGATTCCACCACATTGTATTCTCAACGAACAGAACTTGAACAACCAGATCGGTCATTTTACCAATTTCTCTAGATATATCTCAGATGCTTTGTATGATTGTATGATGTATTGCCGCTCGCTATAGCCTGCTCTCGACCAAAATACTGGAATATAAGTTTTGGACAAGGTAGCACAACAAAGCTGGTCACCACACAATAAACATTACAACAATCAGTTGCAGGATAGAGCAGCAGACGGCAAACTTTTGCTTTGGAGGTACTCAAGATGACAGCGATAGAAAAGAGGTCATTACGGTTCAAAAGTAAATGCAATGCGACAAGAAAAACAAAAAGTGGTATCAAGGAACGCAAAGAGTGCAAAACAAAAAGAACAATCATCAAAGCCCACGCTCCACCCTCTTTCTCCCGGCCGCCCACCCCCTCCACCATCTCCTCGTCCCACTCAATCCTCATCAACAACCACCTTCTTAGTCATACTCTCAACAACCTTGGTATAAAACTTGACTGCATGATTCCTCGGGAAGCAAATCTCTTCGGTGAGATAGTCAGGCAGTATGTCCATCAAATCCGAATCTCTGTTGGCATCCAAAAGAGGTTCGTATGCAAACTCTGTATCTTCGTAACTCAATCCTGATGGCGTTTTTGGGTTGGTGATGGCCTCATCGGTGGCGATGGTTAAGTGGAAGTGTAAAGCTGGGAGATGCTGTTAGTAGTTTTGATGAGGGGAGAAGGGAGGATGAAAACTTACTGCCATTGCGTCCAGTTTGAATGCAGCTGTATTCGTCTTCGCCGTCTTTGCGTTTTACGCTTGTGATGATGAGACCTGTCAAGTCGCGGTACAGCTCCTCCTTCAATGCATTTTCCTTGACACTTTCCGCACTTGCGCCATGAGACTTTCCGTGCTCAATCTTCTTGACCGCAGAGCCAGGTACTTTGTCCGTTGCTGCATTGGACTTTCTCGCGGCTTCAAGTTTTGCGGTCAATGCCTTGCACTCGTTTTGCGATTCTGTGAGGCTTGCCGTGGTGGCTTTGTGCTCTTCTTTCAGTTTTTCGTTTTCTGTTGTCAGGGCTGCGACTTGGGATTGGAGTTTTGCGGATTCGGTGATGGTTGCTGAGGATGATTTGCGGATTTCGGCGAGTTCTTTCTTCAAAGATGCGATCAGGTCGTTTGCGTCTGCGAGTGGTTAGTCTAAGCTTTTGAGATGTGAAAAACGAGTCTCACCTTTTGCTTTCTGGTCTGTTGCCTTCTTCAAGCGCTCAAAGTTTGCCTCTGCGGCCTTTGGACCCAGCTCAATCAACGAGTCGTACTTCATTCGCATCTCCTCGTACTTCTTGGTCATGTCTGCCAATCTACGGTTTGCTTCTGACTCTGCGACTCTTCGTTCCGTGTCGCTGGCGCTGCGTCCTCGCGAATATGTACCTGGTTGTCTGGATGTTGAACGCGCGCGTGAATAGACAGCACCGGGAGCAGCTTGTCGTTGTATTGAAGCTGAGCGCTGCCGTGAGTGTGTCTTTGGTGGTGGAGGTGCGGTCAAGGGCTCTCTGTCAATGTCCATAAGATCGGCTGGAGGTTCCTCTTGGACTATGGACTGTTCGATCTCCAAAGGTTCGGGCTGTGTCTCTGGGATGATTGGCGCAGGCTCAGGAGAAGGAGCGCGCTTGGTCTTTGTCTTTGGCTTTGCGACTGGCTTGTCCTGGTCAAGTGGGGCTTCTGTCGTTTTGGCCTTGGTAGATTTTGTCGCCTTCTTCAGCGGTGCGGGCGCAGTCTCAGGCTCTGGTTCGGGAACAGCTTCGGGCTCAGCGACAGGTGCAGCATTCTTTGCGACGACATCCTTCTTCAAGACTCGTTTCCTCTGCTTGGGCTTGGGCGCAGGCTCCATGACGGGTTCAGGCTCATCGGCGTCGCTAACATCCGATGGATCAATGGGTTCCTTCGCAGCTTTCAGTTTGGTGGTTGTCTTCTTGGTCGCAGCTGTGGTGGCCTTCTTGACGGGTTTCTTGACGACAGTGCGGTTGATTTTGGGAGGAGCAGGTCGCGAGTTTTCCTGGTCGGATGCGCCAATCTCGTCTTCGGAGCCAGAAGCAGGCGGCTTGGTAGCGACAGATTTGGAAGGCATGATGGGCGATGCGACCACTTTTTGTCGTGGAATGCAAGGAAGGCACGATTGTTTTGTTTACGGCAAGCACGAGCACGCGCGCCCCGCAAGTCACCAAGCAGCGACTTTCTCGAAGCTCAATTCACTGTACCGAGTCTACCAAACAGGACTTTCCCATCTACCACTTCTTTCTTGATCGCATACAACTTTGAATAAGAAAAAAAAATTAGATATAGTTCTTCTAGACATCCAAAAAATCTGATCTCATCATATCTCTCAAGGAAAGGGTGCTGATGAACTCGAGAGTATTCAAATCACATGATCTGCAATCTTGGCATTTGCGGCGAGGACGGATTTCTGGGCTGGACAAGAAGTCGAAGTGGACGAATTGTTCGCCGACGATTGTCGCAGTCATGTCAAAGGCCATCAACTCGCCTACGGGCAGGCTACTGCGCAACTCGCGTCTCTTCTCTCTACCGCCACCTCTTCCTGCCGCTCCCATTCCCAACTCGACCGCTGGGCAGATCCTGCGCACCTCCGACACGGCCACACAGCCCTACCCTACCTACCAGGCCATCTCGTCTCCTGCCTCGTCACGATCTCGTGGAGACTGGGGCTTGAAGCGCCCTCTTCCCGACAGAGCCATTCCCAAGAACACTCCCCACCTCCGTATCAAGGCTATCGACACTCTCGAGCACATCACCGACTTCGAATCCGCCGCCGATCACACCCAGTCGCTAGCAAAATGGCAGGACATGAACATCCCTCTCTCCCTGCCACCCAACGCTCGCACTGGCATTGTCTCCACATCCTACAAGTCACGTCCCAGCGCTTTTACAAACGACTATGACAACACTACTCTGCAACCTCACGGATCCGAAGAAACCACCTTTACCGCCGAGCGTGCTCTTCGCGAGAGAAACCGCCAATCGACTACCTTGGCACGATGGAAGACCCAGGGCCCTCACCTTACCAGCTTGACCGAGGAGGAGTTTGACCGTTACCTCATGAACCTTGTCCGCCAGCACAAGTCCGAGTTCCGCAAGTTCCTCGAGGCTGTCAAGTTGGACAAGAAGCGCAAGCACCAAGAAGCTCTGATGCGCGATCACGCAGACCCCAACACGTTCGAAATCGAACTGCAACTCAGGAGTCGCATGGAAAAGGGCGAGCTCGACGAGTGGATCAAGGAGCTGCGCGACAACCACCACGATTTGAGCTCTGAGCTGTCAACCTTGGTCCGCGAATTCTTTGACTTGCCCGCCTTCCCCTCTGCTTCTGCCAGACAGAACAACACCAACGCGCTCGCTAATGAGATTGCCGTCAGGACAAGGAATGACGCTGGACCACCGTCAACCCACCCCTCAGCTGGTCTCTCGTACTTGCTCACCAGCGCCATCGTCAACAACCATCCCAAGTACGGCCCTCAAAGTGATCGCGAACCTGTCGAGGCTCGTGTTCTACGGACAAAGGAGGGCAACCGCAGCAGAGACACCAAGGCTGATGTTGGCCTCGGTGGTTTCGTTACATCGATCCAGCCTGGATCAATCCCTGGCCAGAGCCGTTTCAAGGATACTGGTAGAGGACAGAGGGAAACTCCTGGACCTCTGCACCGCCTTGACCTGTCTCTTACAGGTGGCAACAAGGTTTGGCTGCAACCAAGATCTGCCTATGTCGACGAGGCAGGTCGTATCAGACTGGATGTTGGCGAGGCCAGCTCGCAGCAAGTGGACATCAAGTTGGGCAAGGAGATTAAAGAGGAACAGACACCTTACTCAAGTATTCCTGGCAACCAGATGCAGCGTCTCGACAGTGGACACTTCAGACCGGCAAGATATGGCACTGCCTTGCCAGATGAGAGACTGCGCCAACAGCGTCCCCAGCCTTTTGAGCGCAACAACACCGACTACAAGTCTGGCTTGGAGCAGATTGAGGCATTGGCCAAGGGTACCAAGCAGCAATGATGAGTCGAGCGGGATGAAAAGACTGTATAGATATGTACAAATATTCAAGATTTCTCCAATGCATTTCAATAAGAATCCAAAAATGGTTAACGTGAACATGGATACTGAATAAAGCTGCCCGAATAGAGTGAGGTCAAAGTCAGACGAAGTCGACACGGACCGTGCACGACGCCAGCGCCAAGCAATTAACCGAAGCAGACAGCACGACTTTCCAACCCTCGCAAATCCGCCAACTTCTCTCTTCTTTTTGAAGTTGCGCCGCGAATATTTTCAGTCCATCTCCTCTTCCGCCAAACCACACATACCGCCAAAATGGGTCGCGTTCGTACCAAGACTGTCAAGAAGTCCGCCAAGGTCATCATTGAGCGTTACTACCCCAAGTTGACTCTCGACTTCGAGACCAACAAGCGCATCTGCGATGAGATTGCTATCATTGCCTCCAAGCGCCTGCGCAACAAGGTAAGAATAACACTCCTCACAACTCTAGATCACATTCTAGAGTCTTTTCATGAAGAGCGCAAGAAACTGATGTTTTTCACAGATCGCTGGTTACACCACTCACTTGATGAAGCGTATCCAGCGTGGTCCCGTCCGCGGTATCTCGTTCAAGCTCCAGGAAGAGGAGCGCGAGCGCAAGGACCAGTACGTCCCCGAGGTCTCTGCTCTCGACTTCACCCAGAACTCCGAGTCTGGCATGCTCGACGTCGACCAGGACACCAAGGACCTCCTCAAGTCCCTCGGCGTAAGTTTTTGACCGCTTCTCCTCGAAAATCCCACCAACTAACATCTCCCTCCTCAGTTCGACGCCATCAACGTCAACGTCGTCCCCGTCGCCCAGCAGCAGGTTGCCGAGCGTCCTCGCCGCTTCGGCGACCGCCTCCCCCGCAACTAAGCGTTTGTTCGCTTGCGGCACCACCGGAAAAGTTCTTGACAAAATCGGCGGGAGTTCTACATGGCGCATTAGTCTTGCTAGGTTCGGGTTTTTCTTCCAATGACAAAATCTACCTCCCCCTCTGCACAACCAGGTGTCGCTGATTCTTTCGCAAGAAAGATGATGCTTGACTGCCATTCATTCACATTCTTCTCATATTGCTTTGGCCATGAGGACACGGCAGAAGAGTCTACGGGTAGTGCTGAGACTTGCTTCTGTTGGTGCTTCTCGTGGCTGGCTGAGATGAGGACTTGCAAGAGAAAAACCCTTCTTGCTTGTCTATAATCTCGGCCGCTTGTGACTTTGTCTCATGTGTAAATGTTTCCTCGTGACCATCTGTACTCATTGACACGCTGTGCCTCGGCTATTCGACTGCATTGCATGTCTGCTCAAGCACTCTCGCTGGTTCGCGACTGCCATATCTAAAAGATTTTCATCAGCCACTGTATTTGTGATGGTGCCAGGCTATCTGTAGTCCATCGCTGAGAAACCAAATATGCTCGGTCTCCTCTATGGGCTTGGCTCGATAAACGATAGCTTGTTGGCTCGCTATCCACCTGCCCACGGCATATGTTCCTTGAGGAAGGCAACATTGCTTATTCGACGAGCTAAGTCCGACAGTCATAGCATTACGAACTGGTAATGAGGATCCCTACATCTGCCTACTCCCACGCGGCTGAGCCCCTCACTATTGAGCGCTTGACATAGAGTAACAATGACTCTGGCCGTACAAAACTGCCATCTGTTATTCTTCCCGAGGGAGATAAGATGGCAAGTAGTTTTGTCTTTTACACTCTCGAAACAATATCTTGCCTTGTTCTATAGAAGAAGCATTTATGCAGAGCAATATGTTATACCTTTTGCTCAAGAACGGCCCACTTCCCCATCATCTTCCTCGTCCCTTCTGTCTTGTTTTCAATCAAGACGGCATTATTTCCCATGTTTGAGACACTGAATTCTTCTTTTCTGATGGACATTTTGTATCCATGCCTGTCGCTCAATAACTCCTGAGCTTATCTTGGACCACCAGTTTGATGCTTTGATTTTGATTCCATGGTGATTTTGTTGCATGAGATTGATTGGGTAAAGTGCATAGATTAAGATCTTTTCTTCTGTGTTGTTCAGAGATGGGGTGGGTGTTGGGTCTAAACAGTTATCCACTCCTGCACCTCCTCATCCCACACATCATACCAAATCCCCTTTTCCAATCTCTGTGGTTTGACTTCTTTGACACTTTCATCGTTGTGGACCTTCTCTAGATACTCTTTTTCCTGTTCCTCCGTCGCAAAAACGACAAAATATCCTCTTTTGCCATTGTGCTGTAGAGGCAAATCTCTGACGATGGTTTGTAAGTGATGGGCTTTTTGTGCGGCGGTGGAAAAAGAGATGATCCATGCCAGAGAGATTTTTCTTTGGAGAAGGGATTAGTAGGTTGTATGTGCAAGGGAAAAAAAAAAAAGGAAAGCTAGGAAATGGTAGGGGATAGGAAAGAGGATCAAACTTACTCTGCCCCATCATCCGTAACTTGCACTCCAGGATCCAAGTATTGCAGTGTAGACCACATCCTCTCTTCTTTGTACTCTTCCAATTCCTCTCCTTCCAACTCCTTCCCTCCTTCTGCGGAAAAAAATCCTCGTGGTTTGGGGACTACGAAACCGACGGACGGGTCTTTGCGTATGCTGGCGAGGATCGAGTGGTGGAGAGGAGAAGTGGATGGATTGTAGGGTGCAGGTAAAGCATATCCATTGATTTCGGGGATGACTTGTTCGATTTGATCGCGCAGCATGATGGGCAAGGAAGCGAGATGGCTGTGGACAGAAACACCATCGCGTAAGCCGATGATGTATTGCTTACCCACCCATTGCGGGTGTTGTCCAGGTTCAGGTTTTTGATCTTCTTTTTCTGCTGCTTCTGTTGCCATTTGGTTCTCCTTCTGAGCAGGGGCGCACACCGCCTCTCTATCCCCACCATCATCAATGTCCCAGACATTAGGATTTGTAGCAATATGTGGCAATGCATGGTCGGGTGAAGCAGCCGTATACCCATTTTCTATTGGTTTTGCTGCGAAGCTAGAGGTTTGTACAGAAGGCACAGTAGAAGAGAGATAATCGAGACGCTGGGAGTATGTATAGCCGTCATGAAAACGAGTGCTGTATTGCTCGGGAGATGTGAGGATTGGACTGGAGAATGTAGATTAGTAGTGTAAGAGAACGGCATGGAAAGGCAACAAAGACATAGAGTATGATTTGTGGCAGAAAGAGTATAGTATGTGGCAGGATGTAAGGTACTCAGAAAAAAAAAAGTGAAAATGAACAAGCGTACTTGACAGGACATTGATCATTTCTCATCTCGCCATTTGTCAAGAGAGAAAAACTCAAGATAAAGACAAGGAAGGATAAGAGACCTGTGAACATGATGTGTGGTGCAGAACTGAGCTCGCAGAAAAGGAGATGAGTGATGAAAACTTGATGTGCGAGCTAGATGTGTTTGTGGGCACAGTACCTGGTTGGATCTTTTGGTACGTGACAAGTAGCAAGATGCAATCATGACTCTTTGAGATGTTGACACGTCTGTAGATCTGCTTTGGAGATATGTGTTGTCTTAGTCTCTTCTCAGCCCAATGACCTGGACCTGGAGAAGGACAAAATCAATTGCGAGTGCACATAGACTGAGGAAGCAGTAGATAAAGATGGCGCACATCAAGTTGTGCGGACAGTGGATATGTTTGAGTTGATTGTCTTCAAGCAACAGAAGTTGAATCTGCAGCTAAAGGAGGAAGACTAAAGGAAGACAGAGAAGATCTGACAGTTCTTCGCCAATTTTGTGCTCCGCGGACCCAGTTGATGACTACCAAGAAAGTGTTCGCGATCAAGGAAGAAGTGAGTAAGTTCTCAAAAGGATTGATCGCTCCACCAGCAGTGACGAGCCACGCTGTGGAGCAAGAGCTTGGCATTACTCATTGGCATTGTTGTGCATCGTCGATAGCTGTTCGTAGTTGGGACGAAGCTGTTCGCAGTGTACCGCTAACTTACTGGTCTTCATTGTCCGTAACAGCCATTCTGACTTTTTTTGTTCTTCCAACCACTTTATTGCTGCCTCGTACATACATATAGTCGAGAACTCCGCCGGATTCGAGGGAACCTTGGCGCATCCATCTACGGTAGCAGGTCTGGCTTATTGAAAAGTGTATGCCTGCATCAAAGTGGCTTTTTGACCTCTTGCTTCGAAGACATCGATCAGAGCGCGAGAGATAGTAGGTTTGGAGGTTGCGGCGGATAAGAGGACGGTAAGAGCTTTGGTGTCTTGATCCTTGGGCTCGTGATATGGAGGAGGATGGCAGCATGACTGAGCTTGAGTCAGCAGCGTGGCATATGATGCATCTCCAACGATTATGCAACTCCCAACTGTTCAAGTAGGCAAAGCATCAATATCAATATCTCTCAATCGCCAAAGCGCAATATTCGGAACCTGGGCAAAGATCTCCTTGGAGCACTGTGGAAAGGCATATTACCTTGGAGCACTGTGGAAAGGCATATTACGTCTTGATTGTGGGTGTGCGAGCTCGTCCTCACCAACTCTGAATACAGCTTTCCGAACCACACTGTGGATGCTAATTGCTCCGACAATGAGATCGCCTCGATGAGTAGTGCTGTCTTCTAATGTTTTGTGTGCGCGGTTGTAGGATCAAAAGAGCGTCGACTTTTTTACTCATACGTGACTTCTGATGGTCTTTCGCGGAGGACTTTCTAATGACAATAACCCATTCTTGCTTCAGCTGCTGTGTCCATGGTTCAAATGATGACCGGTCTCACAGTAGTCGCCTGCGATGTCACCTCATTCAATGATGCTTGAGAAGGTTCTGGTCGTCGCATCAATTGTTATACTGCTTGCTTTTTTCTGCCGATCAATCTCGGGACCACTTGGAGTACCGTACAGGCACACATATCCAAGGTGTGGGGTGGCATGTCCTCCGAACCGAGCCCCGAAGTCTCGGTTCGGTCGAGTCTGCTGCAGAGTCCAACGTCGACTTCTTGAACCTTTTGACGGAGCACGTTCAATTCGTATCAAGAGACGCTCACCGGCTCTCTTTGACATGTCTCCAGCGTCGGAAAAAGGACTTGTATACTTTGACAATGCGAAGATTTCGCATACTTGTCTGTTGAAATTTTGCACTGGCCGTACTAGCTGATAGAAAGATAGAGCGGCTGGTTTTTCACTATGGCTCGTCAAAGGACAATTGAGAAATGCCCATCAAGTACTCAATATTCATTCATTCGACTGTTCCAGCATCCAAGGTGAACACGAAGCGCGAAAAATGGCAACTCCATTCGTCCAGTTGACTTGAATGTTGTTCGTAACTCGAATTTGTAACACCGAAATCGTGGCCGTGGCTCACAGACCCTAATTATGGAGCGAACTGTGACTGGTTGGCTTGTGGTTAAGCTCTCCTTGTTGGTGGCCTTGAGCTCGTCAGACACTCCAGAGAAGGTGTGTCCTAATGTAGAAGGTTTCAATGCCTTCAGAAGTGCTGGATCTTGTGAGACTGTGGTCTGAAGGTCCTTTGGCTGTTCAATGTTCTCATCTTGGATCTGAGAAGGATGGCTGGCAACCGCGCTGCAAGATCGCTTGCTGTGCATGTCAAAGCCTCATGATGTCGGAATCAATGTCTAAACGCCACGGACTGTCCTCCACCGGGAGGACGAAGAATTTGATATGCATGAAGGGTGGCTCGGGTTGTTGATATAGCGAGCGAGAAGTGGGGTAACTGTGGTGACGCCGATTGGTCACAGAAGATTCGCCGACATTCATCCGTTGACTTCTTTCCTCTAGACTTCCATTTGTGTCCATCTCGGTCCAGCCACACTCGCTGGTTTCGGCGCAACGTTGCTCTGCTTGCAGTCGCTAATATTGACCCATGTTCAAACTCACTCTTTGGTGACCTGAATGGACGGTCCGGCTTGTGGCTGGTGCATCAGACCGAGCATGGCTGGCATCGAACTTGATGGGGCCCCGTGGGGAGTACGTATCCTCCACCTATTTCTTTCACACCATCTTGTAGGCTGCCCACTATCCCGTGGAGGAAGCGTGCATGTGTAGTCCGCTCAGGCTATAACATCCTGGTATTGGCCTGGTTCCCCGCATTATCAACTTGACTCTATTCCTCGAATCATCTTCTTTCTCAGAGATTTTCCTCGCTGTTATAGCACCCAAGTTCATCATGGCATCTGAATCAGAACATGAAAAGGCCAACATGGTAGCGGACCACATAGAGATGCCGGAGAAAGGTTTCGCAGACAGCCTACAGCCCTCGAATGGTGATCTCCAGCTTATCAACACCACTGGTGAGATCAGAAGAATCCCCATTCCCTCTAGCGATCCAAATGATCCACTCAGCTTTTCTAAATGGAGAAAGTTGGGCATCTTGATCTGCTGCTGCTGGTTCTCCATTTTCTCTCTTGTCCTTGTTGGCAGTCTGGGTCCGATCCTCGGCGTATTCATCGGTCTCTATGCTCCTTCTGGACATTCCGTGCAACAGGTCGTCAATCTTACTACATACCCAAGCTTGGTAATGGCATTTGGTATGTGATAGCTCCGATATTCAGACAGAGTATCTATTCACACTTTTCCCAGGCAGTTTTCTTATCCTTCCTCTGTCCATGATGTTTGGTCGACGACCTATCTTCTTGGCATGTTCTGTCCTCCTGATAGGATCCACATTTGGCGCTGGTGCCAGCAACTCATACAATACCCACATGGCTTGCCGTATCCTCCAGGGTATTGCAGCTGGAGCGACCGAATCTGTATTGCCTTTGATCATAACAGACATAACTTTTGTGGATGAACGTGGTCTATACTTTGGCATCTACTGGGGCACTCAAAATCTCATCAATACCGTCTTTGGAATTAGCTCTTCCTACCTGGTTGCCGCCACATCTTGGAGGTATTTCTACTGGGTCCTTGGCATCTTTGCTGCTGCTGGTATAATCGCTGCATTGTTCCTCTTGAGTGAGACAAGATATACTAGATCTCCGGCTTCAATGAATGGTCAGGTCCTTTTCACTGACGAATGGGGTGTTACTCATTTCCTCACCGATGCCGAAGCTCGCCAACGCTTTGGAGTTGTGCAGCAATCAGACAGCCAAGAGCATCCACAGAAAACCTATCTCGAACACCTCAACCCTATCAGCGGTATCGCACCTAATGCCCTGAAGCTCGGTCTTGGTGCAGAGTTGAAGATGCTCCAAGCTCTGAGTTCTCCTGGTGTCATCTATGCTATTTTAGTATCCTCGATTGTCCTCGGGACCAGTATCGCCATGTCGCTTGTTTATGCTTCCATTTTGACGGCCGAGTTTCATTGGTCCGAGAAGTCAGTCGGGCTAGTCAACGTTGGTGTCTTCCCTGCATCTATTGCAGCCATGTTCTACGCCGGATACATTGGCGATAAGATGAATCTCTGGTTCGCCAAACGCCGCAACGGCGTCCACATCCCCGAGGACACCCTTATACAACTTATCCTACCTTTCATTGTCGGCGCGGTTGGAATCATAATTTTTGCTGTCACAGCGAATGATCCAGAAAACCACTCCTCTTGGGGCATAATAATGGGCTGGACCCTCTACGAATTTGCGTTCATCGTCGTATTGGTCACAACCACGCACTTTGGCTCTGAAGCCTTCCCGAAGAACCCCGGACCGGCTTTAGTTGTTGTCATCGGAAGCAAGAACATCATTTCCTTTGGCGCGTCTTTTGGTATCGTGCCCATGGTTCATGCTTACAATTACTTGACTGCGTTCATGATTCTCTTCGGCATCTACTTTGGCATCTTCTTACTTGGCATTCCTGTCTACTTCTTCAATCCCAAGTGGAGAGCCTACATGGCTAAGGACAAATGAACGAGACGATGGCTGTATATTTTATTATCAAGATCAACCAGTATTCAACAGATCTTTGAAACATTCCAGAAAATAGTCACGTTCAAGTGCCTCTTGAAGTTGTACTCTTACAGTAGACATTGTGTCAAGATTGTTCCACGCATCGATGCGCACTGGAGCCGGAAGAGATTTAAGCCTACTTGTTGTGCGGCAAAATAGCCTTGCAATCGCTCATACTTCCATTACGCGCAAAATTCCAGGTATCAATCAGGTTTCATTGGGTTTCAATTCAACATTGATGCGACGAAGCTGTGAGATTTGGATCAAATGAAGTTTCACATGTCAACTGCAGACATGTCGCCCCCGCGCATATGCACACTCGGTAATTAGAGCAGATCCGCTCTGGGGCCCCAAGTCCCCATGCGCGGCTCGTCAGTCTGCTGGTGGGGAAAGGTTGGTTACTGGTCAGCTCCAGCCGAAGAGGCATGCGTGACCCGATAAAACATTTGCCTCCGACGCCTCGTGTGGCATAGCCCTTTTGCCAAATTCGTGACTGTGCTGCAAGTTAGGCACCAACTCGTGGGTAATAAGTCTGCTGGTGTGAAGCGTCGGCGCCAGTGTTCTCCCTTTCATCGCTCGCTACAGTCCTTGACCCCTCGACAACGACACCCTGGCAGTCACGGTCGTTCCAAACTGCGACAGAATCGGTCTGACGGTGTCTGAACGCGTCGCTGTGATGCATGCGCTTACTGCCGTGTTCGAATCGCCGCAATCTGGGTCCTCGAAAGGGCTGGCCATGAAATGTCGACCTCGTCGAGCAAGCGTCTCGAATTCTATCAGAAGCTGAACTCCACAGATTGGAAGCTTTTTCCGACATGCCATCGGAAAGAACATCCTTCTAATTGCGGTTGCCCAAAGCCCTGCATAAGGATCAATGCACTGGAAAAGTGGATGCGCAAGAAAGAGCCAGGGTCGGACAAATCCAACGGTGTTTTATTGTTCGAGGAGATAGGACCGATCAAGAGACATCCATACCGGTCACCTACTACCGTACTTGGAAGCTGTACTATTGTGTTCAGCTGGTTGCTAGGGGCTGGTCACGGTCAACTCATTCACGTCTTTTACGATGCCGGAGTGGATGATGTCAAGCTCAGAAACCCTTTTTATTCCCTCAGCAAAAATGTGGCTCTCAAAAACGGTGTCACTGGACTCATCACCCACGCCGAATACCATCCCGATAAATTTGACAACCTGATAAGAACTCTCGAAAGATTGAGATGGGAGTTTTGCCCTTTCACTCTGGTGCCGCATATGGACAACGAAGCCTTCGGTAACAAACTCTACATGCCATTTTGTCGACTATGGGACGTCCCTGAATCAGGCGGCACAGCCGATGTGTATCTTGCCCATATACAAGAGGAATTTGTGTCGGATGAACCTGAGTTTAAGCAGCACCTGGGTCCGTGGGTCGTTGACACAGAGTATGGAAAAGTGAGTGGGTCAGCCTTTCACAAGATACAGCGTAGACAACTGATCACATACAGTGTTATAAGCTGGCTGTCAAGAGCATCAGCGGGTATCACCTGGATACATACATGCAAGAAAGACAGGCTTTTGTGGGCATCCGTGACAGACCAGGAATGCTAAAATGTCTTGGCTTCTACAGCTTTACCAAAAACGAGCACAACGTCGATGAATATCATTACAACTTTCTCCTCGAATACGCCGAGAAAGACCTTCACCAGTTCTTCAAGCAAGATCCTCCTCGGCTTGCGGAACATATTCACTCTCAATGGGAAGATTTTTGTCACATCGCAGCAGCCATCGAAACTCTTCACGATTTCGAGGACGATGGGATACAGTGGTCAGGGTACGTCCACATTCTGGTACATTCTGAAAGCTCCTGACTCTGAGAACATAGGTGGCATGGCGACATCAAGCCCAGAAATTTATTGCTGGTAGGCGGAGAATGGAAACTCGCTGATTACGGCTTCGCTGTCTTTCATCCGAAATCTGACGGAAGAATTAAAGCAAGCCTGAACGAGCGCACAGAGACATTCGGTAAGTGACAAGCCTTCGCATTGATCTAGGGACTAACGTGGCGCAGGTGCGCCTGAGACGGTAAATGTTGACGAGGATGTTCTTCAGACCGTCGACACATGGTCATTCGGCTGTGTGTTGTCTGTTGCGGCAACATGGATGGTCAAAGGCAACGAAGGCGTTCTTCAGTACCAGGAGTACAGATCCCAGATCGCCAAGAAAGTCAGGCATGGATCTCACCCTCCTGATGCTTTTCATGACGGGGTCGACGTTCTACCGCACATCAAAGTCTGGCACACTCATCTAAGTCAACTCACACGTAGATCCGACCATGTCACAAACAAGATCCTGAGCCTAGTGGATGATCGGCTTTTGCAAACGGAGCGACTTACTTCAAAGCAGTTGCGTCTTGAATTGGACGAAATTATGAACCAAACCAGAGATCTTTCCACAAGCACACCACCAAGCGCATCCTCGCTAGACAAAGAGCTTTTGAACTTTCTCGAAACTCATTCTAGAAAGCCTCATAAGAGCCCAACCCTCCGAGGAAACGGTTTTCCGGCCACGAGGGGTCTTCCACCGGCCAACGCCACTTCATGCAATGCCAGCCCATCCTATCAACCAGTGGTTCAGCAACCAGAGAGCCCCACTGTCCACGGGCAGTCGCAATTACAAAGTCTCAAATCTCCAAATGAGGAGAGCATCCCACCACAGGTGCCAAACATAACAGAAACAATATTGCCTGCACTTGGTATGGATGTCCCAGTGTTGCCGTCTGTCGACCCGAGCTTCAATCACCTCCAACCGACCAGATCTACAGAAACGGATGGCAACATAACTACAGCGTCGGTACTATCAGGACCGACAATAAGCAATCTGATGGACCGAAGACGAAATCATTCCCTTGCATCATCTCATGAGCAACAATCGCTGGATCGTCGCCAAAGTGACAATGACGGTCGTCCAAGCGATGCTGACCATCCCACTTCCATTTCTACACTCAGTCCCCTAGCTCCGGTGAATAGCAGCAAAGAAGCAGCTACGATTGACCATGTATGGGCGGCGGTCGAAGAACTTCACGGCGGTGCTTTTGCTCTCAGTGGACATCTGAGTTGCGGCGAAACATGGATTGCTAGAATAACCAATGAGAGACACGAGACGCCCATTATGCTGGCTGCGAGTTGCGGTAACCTGAAAGCAGTGAGAGTGCTGGTCAAGCATTCAGACTTGTCATCCAGAGACCATGAGAATAAGTCTTTGCTCCACCACCTAATCATAGGATCACACGGCAACGGAGAAACAACAGAGTTTTTGAAAACCCTAGAGCAAATCCTGGCCCATTGGTCATATCCCGGAAACAGCTGGATCAACTGGCCAGACATTGATAAACATACGTGTCTGTACTTCTGCATACAATTCGACATGCCGAAAGCGGCGGAGCGACTGTTGGCACAGTGTCCTGAAGCAGTCAATGGTGATAGCGCGGATAGTGCACCACTGGTAGAAGCTATGAAATGTGGGAGGGAGTCTGTAGCAAAAGCTCTTTTGTCTAAGGGTGCTTCGCTAGAGCACCGAGAGAGACTTAGGGAGTACAAAAACAAGACACCTGGTGCTTGGCGAATCATCGAAAGAAAGCTGCGCGAGTCACAAATACAGACACCGTCGCGGCGAGTTTTTGGAGTCTTCAACAAGAGGAACGAAATTCGATGATGTAGAGAAATGCTCTAGCAAAGAACATGACTTGAATGTATAGATCAAATGGATATATGTCTGACCAATATTAACTCAGGAAGATTGATCAGCCCGAGCCTCGATCCAATTATCAATCGAAAATTGATGAGTTGAATAACATCGAAACGAGTGCTTTGGTGAAACACTTCTCGATACTACTTGAACCAAGCTCAAAGTCATAAACGAGTCAAGACGCTACCTGACCTATCTCGTTCCGTACAGCTACGGCTTTAGTCTTGCCCATTATGATCATTTTCCTCAGAAGATGAATACAAATCACAAAAGTCATACTGGAAAGTCTGACAACTCATGACTGACCTGTTGAAGAGACTCCCGTTGATGTTGTTCGCGCTCTTGTATGGAGTCCAAGCGATCTCGCTGCCAGATCTCGAAGCTGCACCCTCGTTCAAACCTCGAAATCATACCCCATGTAGTCGATAGTTGATAATGCACATAATCGATCGTAGATGGATCAAACACAACCTGTACTCCCTATTAATCTGAATGCCTACATAAAGAGCATAGTGCCGAAAGATACTTACGTTCATGTCCTCGAGCTCTACAGCTCTCTCTGGATATCGCATCAAGAGCCATACCAAGATTGCGGCAACAAAGTCGAGTGCAGCAAACGATCCAAGCAGCACCAGATGTCGACCCTCATCGTTGAGATTTTCCTGATATTGTGGTACTGCCATGGCCAGCGCACCTGCAAAGCTGAGATTGATAGCGACCGCCAGAGACATTCCAACCTCACGATACTTTTGTGGAAAAATCTCCGAAGAATACATGAACGGTACAACCTAGAGCTAGAAGTCAGACTGGGTTCTTGACAGGGCACTTACATCCATCCAAACTCACCCCTGCTCCTGGGCTGTACAAAGCCGTGTAAATAATAATGAACGCAACCGCTGCATGGGTGTTTTTATTGTCTAGGAAGTGCCCAGTCAGGATGAGAAAAGGTAGCATCGACAAGAGGGACGTCAAAAGAAGAGCGCGGCGCCCGATTCTATCTATCAAGAAGTATGCAAAAGGTGAGAACACTGCATTGCTCGCAGCGAACCTAGATGGTAGAACTTGGTCAGAAAGATGTCTCTGAGCTTGACTTACTCGACTTACCCAAACGCCATCCACAGAGTTCTCGTCGGGTTTGATACTATGCTTGAGTTGTTCAGTACGGTTGTCGCCAGAAAAGCAAATACGTTGATTCCTGAGAACTGTCTTGGGCTTGTCAGCGTAACAACCAGTGGGCAGAGTGTGTAACATCATACTGTGCAATCATTACTATGCCAGACGCAACAACTGCGTGTCGGTTTCGGCCATCTTTAAACAATCCGAGGATGTTCGCAAAGAATTCGAACAATCTAGAACCAAGCTCCAAAACGTTCGAGGTAGACTCTGTGAAGACCTCCTCATCTTCATCGAGGCTTCTTGAAAGAGTGGTGGTCGTGAGATCCTTCTTCGACAACTGCAAATGTTCAACACGCGATTGGACGTATACCAAGAACAAATCCCCTAGTGGGGAAGTCAGTAATGGGTCAATCATGTTTGCCTCTCATTAACGTACGAGCTGCTTGCAAAGGGGTCGCTCTAAGCTCCACGAATGCTAAGAAAGCCTCTCGATACTGCCCCTTCCGCGCCAGCCAGCGCGGTGATCTAGACAAATTAGTGAACGGTCATGTACATGGGATAGATTCAGACATACTCAGGCATCACATAACAGAGACATAGCAGCGGAACAGCTGGGATGAATGCAATGCCAATCTGCCATCGCCAATGTCCATTGAAGATGCAGTTGGCCGAAGCACCCAGAAAGATGCCAAATGCTACGAATGTCTGCCACGAGACTAAGAGCCTGCCTCGTAACTTTGGAGGTGCAACTTCGCTTTCGATGACCGGTACGCTGATTTGATTAGCGAAGGTGCCTACAATTCTCCTGACCATTGTGCATAGAGCTTACACTGAAGCCTTGGCGCCCATACCAACACCTTGTATGAGGCGACACGCGAGTAGCTGATACCTGAGATTTATGCATTCAGCTGAAGGCTCTGTTTTATCGACATTTGGATCAATCGATACTCACCATGTTCTACAGTAGGCAGATCCAATAGGAGCGGAGAACGAACAGAGCGCCGCAAAGAATAGTGCAGTGCGCCTTCTTTTGTTCAGCAAGTGTATATGCAGCAGATCGAAGAATGACTCACCTTCCATAGACATAAGTGATTGGATCGGAGACCCATGCTCCAAGCACACTTGCTGCAAAATACGGCATGGCGTTCACGATTCTGCTTACTGTCAGCGTGGCTATTCTCAAGCACTAGCAATAACCCGCACCCGAAGTAACGTAAGTGTTGGCCTTCCAAGGGCTCGTTCTTAGTCTGGATACCCAGATGCGAAGGCCATTCGAGATTTGCTCCAACGATACTCTCCTGACTCCAACCTCTTTTGCATCTCGAATTAGTCAAGAACAATACACTGTCGAAGTAGGGAGCTCCACTTACTGTACGATGGCTCCTATAGCGCACGTGAACAGCAAAACTCTCATAGTTTTAGTAAGAGATCGTAGTTCACCATCTTCCTCCGATTTCAACTCTTTTGTCTCTGTTTTCGTTAAGTTGTCTAGGCCACGTTGTTGTCTTGTAGCCAGTCGCGCTCCTTGTTGCAGAGTCTCAACACTGACAACATCCTCCAGTCCCTTTTTTCTGCGAAAGTCTTTCACGTGTTGAAGAAGTGTTGCATCGTCCATTGCCGAGAGGGGATCAATGATGCTGTTCGATTGGTCGTCAGCTCTTATACACTCCACGCTGAAGATTGGCAAAACTTGCAAGCCATATTGTGCGTTGCGCCTTATTTGCTTGTCAGTCTTGGAGGGGCTCTACCAGAGCATCAGTACATAGGTAGTATTTCGAGAAATGGGCACACATGGCAGCTACCTGGTCACGGGAATTCATTCTGGACTGCAACAGTCTATGGAGTTGTGGCAGTGGATGTCGATTCTAGCGTGTCACGAAGGCTCAATGAACATCTGTAGCCGTGTCTGATAATCATGGGCGCGATAAGATATATTTAGGTAGGCCTGCGGGACATCCTATAGCCTGCCCTCAGTATGCACAGCCTTGCAAGTTCGGCCCCGAAACACCTTTGATGAAATGTCAGCCTGCATTGCATGTGCACATATGGCGCATGCAACGAGACGCACGCTCCCAAATTATCCTAGCGAGTGCAGAACACCAGGTCCGAAGAAGCTGATATGATCATCGCCCTTGATGTCTATATCCTTGATGATGATGGTAGTTGCGGTTACTGGACATAATTCAGCGGCGGGACAAGACTTTCGGCCGATTGCTTCCGCCTAGGGAAACTTCGAACTTGATTTTGACCTCGTTCCTTTCCTGTAATTATGCCAAAGACTTGAGCCCATGGTACCATGCGCACGATATCAGCGTGTCGCATCACCAACGACAAATTCAAATGTAGCCAGGCAGTGTAGGTGCTGTACCAGCCTCTGCCTTGGCGGGCGGTTCATGCAGCCCCAAAGACTGGCGCGTGATTGATGCATACCAATGACCATGAGCAGCTATGCTGATCTCTACCGATTGTGTGCAAAGGTCTTAACAACTCCGCATTTGCTTCAGATCTATGCGTCCGTGATTGCAGCATTGCAGCACATCGTACGATCCAGATCGATATAATGGAAGTTCCGAATGGTCCATTGAACAGCATGCATCTGCATATGCGTTGATTGCAGCGAATCTTCGGGTTACCGGGTGTAAGCCAAGCGAGATGCAAGTCAAGTGCGCGTTCGAAAACGCAAAGATACCCCTCGTGGAGGCCCAACACCGCGAACTCGGCAACCAAGCTCTTGCCCGCTTCTGATATAACATGGCTCGAAACTTCAAGCTTCTTCGTGACTTCTCGACTCTAAGACTCTTCTCGCGACCGACGTCCTCTGTCAGCCCAGTACTCGACGCGCCATGGCGTTGAGAAGAACTTCGTGGGTACACCCGACTGCGGCCAACCCAGCCGTACAAGAAACATTCTCGTCATATCACCTTGAATGGGACACACTCCAGAATTTCCTGGAACAAATCTATGTCGGTTGGACGGAGTGGAACGAGCGACGAGTAAGCCACTCTGCTAAACACAAGGAGTTTCGTTTGTTGACATGTACTCTGCTAACGTTAGATCGGAGACCAATGGCAGTTTGAGGTGCCGCGTCGGCTCACTGAAGTATTCAGCCCATTTTTGGTTGCGTCAAGTTGGTATTCTGACATGAATAGACCAATAGGCGCGAGCTCATACGCCTCCGGAACCAAGAGTGATAGTCAGCCTCTTCATAGCCGCCAAACAAATCACAAGCCCCGCTCCGAGAGGCGAAGCCGAGCGGAGCATGTGAAAGGAGGCCACTTGTTGGGAGGATCAGCCTAGTGCGCCTTTTTCATGCATACTTCATTATGTATCTTGGCAGTGCCCGGTCGAAGTAAGGACTCGCAGTCGAGGCTTAGCGATAGACTTGTATGTATCTACCATGACAGAGCCCCATATCATGTCAACACAGCCTGACCGCTTTGATCAGGCTTCATTGCCTCAACTGCGTCTTCCTGTTACTTTGTATGTCTCTCCACAGATATATACACGTTGATCAACAGACCCTAGTGTTTTCATACAATCTAGCACACGATTTCCAAAACGATGCAGCAATCTTGTCAAGATCCGATCATGCAATCATATCAAGACCATACACAGTATCCACGCAATCTGGTCCCAGGATTGACCAAAGCGTATCGCTGGGAGCTTGAACAATACGGTAACAAGTTTGCGGGGTTGCGCTCCAGTCTGTGTCTAGAAAGCGAAGAAAAGGTCGACCTGCCGTTTCGAGACATATACTCAACTCTGGAACGTGGCAATGGTAAGTTCGATACTGTGCCGTTAACCTGACACGATCGACTCAAAATTGTCAGAATTACTGGCGTACGATATCAAAACGCCACTGGAGCTACAGAAACATTTAGAAAATAGTTTCGATCCTCGAGACTCTACATCTGAGAGGCAGTCCGGCCAACATCCAAAATGCCGCTTCATGTATGCTCACCATTCTTCTGTCGAGACAGCAGCCTGATGATTCATCTGCAGATATGTACATGCCGCGCACTCTCGCGCTCGACTGCGATTGACTCACGAGATGCTTACCCGCGTCTTGACGTTTCACCAAGTAATGCCAGGATACCTTGACTTCCTTCACGCTTTCGGTGCTCAAGATACTTCTCGGGCTCAATTCTTTGCAGGTTTCTACCAACAAACCATGCTCCAGAGTGATGCTCGGCTTCCGAGGATGATTGGTCACAGTTGGCGTCAGTATCAACTGTGTTACAACCTCAGAGGAGTAACATGCATCGAGCGGCTCAACGGAAAGGCGACCGAATGGTCTGTCCGGCAAGCCGCAGTCCATCATCAATTCGATGTTGTCAATGGCACCGCGGTGTGGGTTCTTACCAAGGGTGGGCAGGATCTACTTGAGAAGCTTGATCAGTTTACCACAAGTTTGGCAGCACCAAATTTCGACACCCCGCAAGCTTGCTTCGGGACAAGTCTAGAAGTACATCGTATGTTGTGTCACTGGGCAGCAGATGGTTGGCGACAATATATCGATTGGCTGGAAGATGGTCTTAAGTCAAATGTAAGCACGGTGAAACACTGAAACATTGCCCAGGCCTAACAGAAACATGCGCAGACCTCCTTGGCTATCTACGGCTCGCAGGAGTCGAAGCATTCTCGTGAAACATACGTGCCTAGAGATTTACAGAAGATTCAATTATGGAAAGAAATGACAAGCCAGGCGGCAATGCTCTTGACATCGAACTCCAATGTCATGGATGCTCTTCGAGCATACTATGTCAGGCTTTTGGACAACGAAGACTTTCCGCTGAGGACAGAATGTCGGAAGAGCATCCAGAACTTTGCCGTATATATCGAAAGCAACACTGTCTGGGCGAAGATGCAAGTATGCCGATTGAACCTCCTAGCTGAGGTCATTGATGGCAGGAAAGATTTGGTACGTCTTACTATACGTGGAACAACGAAGGTTCACATATCTAATTATCCCAGGTTGCTCAACATTTCCAGAATCAGGTTGCAGAGAGGACCGAACAACTGAACCACAACCTCGAAAAAGAGGCAATTGTCATGCGCATAATCACCATTGTTACTCTTGTCTACCTACCTGCAACATTCGTTTCGGTAAGTCAAGAGTCTGGAGTACTACAAAGCCCGATTCTGACATCCGGGTGTAGACTTTCTTTAGCACCGATGTCGTCCATTACCAGGCTTCGGGTGACTCCGGATCAGAGACGAGCTACTCGCACCTTGCCATGATGCGATGGCTGCAGGTCACGCTTCCTTTGACTTTTGCGACCATACTCGGTGCTTGGATGGCGTTCAAGACCGCGACGATCTCTCGCAAAAGTACGGAGATGAAGAACAATCTGATCAATCGCAAGAATCAAGTGACGAGTTCATCTAAGGACCTGGAGAAAGGGAAGACGTGATTATCAATTCAAGCAACGTTTTGGATGCCTAGGTATAGTCTGTATGAAACCATTCATTCATCTAGCCCAAACAGACGATTAATGTGAGCAGAGTTCTGCTGCGATCTGGCAGAAAAACATAATTTCTTCGACAGATCGATTCGGTCGTGCTGATTGCGCGACCATTTACATTCCAGCGGATGAAATGAGGCTTCAGGGACAATAGCCAGATCGTCTTTTGGGCGAATCCAAGTACCTGTATCTCACTGCGAAACTTGGACTATCGTTCCACGCCTCTTTGCAATGGTTCAGTATTCTCGACCAGGAGCTGAGGTTGGGGGGATTGGAAGTTGAGTCCTTCGTCGGCTAATTTGGACAGCCAAGAAGAAGGATCTCGCCCCGACGGCCAACTCAATTCCAAACTTTACTCGATGATAAGTGTCAAAGAAACTTTTCCTTCGCAATTCCGTACCGAGATCAGCATCTCATTCCTTCCAGTATGCGAAGCTGACAGACTGATGCGCGAAGTCTCAAGGACGCTATCAGGTGTGGTTATGACAGTCGTCTACCCCGTATCGCTATCCAGCCTTACCACCACACCCCGTCAAAAGCCGGCATCGGATCGATCTTATCGTTTGAACATCATTTGCTGCTTTTGTGCTCTTATCACCACAATGTTGCAGTTGAGAAACCTTTCTGCAGCCAGCATGTGTAACTTCTCGGAACGAATTGGAAGCAAGATAACAGCGTCGCATGGGTATGGAGCTCAAAAGGAGCATCTGCTGCCCTACCAGGGTGTCTCTTTTCCATCTCAATTTGATACAATTCTGTCTTGCCAATCATGGAGTCTAAAGATCACGGCGTACCGGAGGAGAGAAAGTCCTTCGACAGCATCAACAAGGACAATGTCTCCATTACACAGACGGGTTTCATCACCTCTCTTGACGCCAAGAAGGAAAGAGCAGTAGTATGGAAGCTAGACTTGCATCTACTGCCTCTTCTTGCCATCATGTATCTGTTCAACTCTCTAGACAAGTCAAACATGGGCAACGCCAAAACTGCTGGTCTCTCCAAGGATCTCCATCTTCATGGTAACCAATACAATCTCATCTTGTCGATCTTCTACGTGCCTTACGTGCTTACTGCACCCTTCCTTGCTGCATTGGGAAAGAAGTATGGTCCTAGCAGAGTCTTGCCATGCATGATGTTCGGCTTTGGCACTTGCACACTTCTTGTTGTTGCCGTGCACAACTTTGCTGGCTTGATGGCTATCCGCTGGTTCTTGGGCATGTGCGAGAGTGCTTTCTTCCCTCTCGTCATCTACTACCAGACCATGTGAGTCACTTTTCTTCCTGGAGAAGTCAAGCAATGATACTAACATTATGACAGGTTCTACCGCAGAGGCGAACTGGCCCGCAGACTCGCTATCTTCTATGCCGCACAGTCAATCGCCGGCGCCTTCTCTGGTCTGATCGCCTTTGGTGTTTTCCATGTCCATGGCGGTGCTCTCGCAAACTGGCGTTATCTCTTTGTCATTGAGGGATCCGCCACCATGATTGTTTCGGTCATCGCTTTCTGGTTCCTGCCTCGCTCCGCTGCCGAAGCCCGCTTCTTGACACCCGAGGAGAAGGAGATCGCCATCCACCGTATTCAAGTCGATAGTTCGTCTGTCGTCAACGAGGAATTCAAGTTGGGCAGAGCTCTCACCATCTTCAAGCAACCCACCACTTGGGCTTTCTTGCTCATTGAGATTTGCTTGGGTGTACCTTTGCAGGGTGTCCAGCTCTTCCTGCCTCAAATTGTGCAGCGAGTGGTAAGTTAGCCTTGGTCTTCTACATCCATGTAACATGGCACTAACAATGTACCTCAGGTAAAAGGAACTATCAAGACCAACTTGTACACTGTCGCACCCAACATCACTGGCGCAGTCATGCTGCTCATCCTTGGTTTCTGTTCCGATCTGACTCGCTGGAGATTCCCCTTCATCGCTCTTGGTTTCTTCTTCACCTTCTGCGGTTTCATCATCTTCTCGGCTATTGACGTCAAGCACTCAGTGAACACGGCGTACTTTGCTACCTTCATGATGACCTGGGGAACATCAGCGCCTTCAGTCTTGCTCGATGTCTGGTACTGCAACAACATTGCCGACGAGAACAAGAGAGCAGTGTTGACCTCCATTGCCGTGCCAATGGCCAACATTATGGGTGTTTTGGCTTCGAACATCTTCTTGCCAAAGCAAGCACCTAAGTACATGACTGCCCTCGTTACCATTGCCACGTTTGGTGGCACTGGTCTTGTGTTGACTCTGCTGCTTGGTGTGTGGATGATTTACGACAACCGTCGTCGCGATAGGGCTCAGGGTGTCAATCTCAGAGCTGCTGATGTGCCTACTGAGAAGTTGGGTGACGGACCTGCTGCGGATGAGTTCAGATGGTTCTACTAAATTGTGGTCAATGATAATTATGATGGGAAGGAAAACCAGGCAAAAAACAGCTACGACGTGGTTTAATGATTTAGGTAAATTTGGATATTGAATTCGCTTCCTTAGGATTGCTTTTACTCAGTAGATCCAAGCAGAATATCGTACTTCAACTCCAGTCCAGCTTTCTCATCTCCTTGTCGGGGCTCAAACTTGACTACCAAAGAATCCTTGACCGCAAAGACTGAATCGTTGTCCAGATACTTGGAATCTGCATCAAAGATCTGTGTTGTAATTGGTTTGTAACCTTGTCTGATGACCTGCAATTCGTCCATATTAGCATCCAAGAAAAGCTAACATAGCAGCAGGGCAAGTACTTACGATCAAATGAATATGTGCCGGTCTGAAGGGGTGTCTATCCAGCTTCTTCAACAGTTCACCGGCAGGACCATCATCAGGGACCGGGTAAGGCGTAGGTCGAATGCAATAAAAGCCATAACTTCCATCCTTGCCGGTTCTGAACTTTCCACGCAGGTTGTGTTCTTGCTGTGCAGGATCCTGTTGCTCATACAATCCATTGGTGGAAGCTTGCCAGACATCAATTTCCGCTCCTTCTACTGGTTTCTTGGTAACAGCATCGTAAACCACACCATGCATATACGCAACCTCTGCATCCTTGGGCGTATCAAAAGAGATAGTATCGCCCTTGTTTCTCAACGGCGCATCATGTCTGAAAAATGGACCCAGAATCGCACTTTGGGTAACTGCATCTTTAGCGTCTGCAGCAGCTTTGAATGTGATCTCATCGACCAGACTTTCCAGACCAATGACGTCGCAGAGAAGTTGACCTTCATTGCGGCGGTCGGTGGACATTTGACCAGCGCGGTTGATCATGTCTACGCCTGCCATCCATTCGTCTACTGTGAGATCGACTTCGCGTGCAAAGTCGTGGACGTGCTTGATTAGAGAAGTCATGACTTTGCGGAGGCGAGGGTCGGTGTTAGGACCGATGGAGGAAATGACATGGCTTGTGAAGTTTGGATCGTAGCGACCGGCGCCATTCAGGGTGTCTTCTGGCTCCAGTGCTTTGTTGGTGGTTGCTGACATGATTGAGAATGCGAGTTTCTTGCTGTGTTTCGGGCGAGGTGCGGGGCTTTGAGCTGGTAGATGTTGGTTATGCCTACAAAGTCGAGCTTCTGGTCAATAGTCTGAGTGTTTTGATGTTATGTCAAGTTCTTCAAGAACACATGAGGGGCTCGCGTGATTCTTATATTGAGCTCCGAATCGGGCCACTTCCGCCGTCTTTGGCGGGGCAGGTAAGCAACGATGTTCTCATCGGATAACGTGGTTTGGCTCTCGGAAACGTCTCGTTCCGATATATCTGTCCACACCACATCCGAACCAGGCCTAGTCTGTTGTGGGGTGACTCCCAGGCATGGTTTTGGTCTCTTGGTAGGACACAAGTCACCAATTAGAGATATGTAAAAGTCACGCCTTGTGCATGCAGATGGACGCCCGACGGTTGTCGCGATGCTATTTAGTAATTCTTCCTCTACGATTGGTTGAGCTCCGATCTGCAGGGTCTCCAGACCCTAGATAGCAGGGTGCTATCTCCAACAAGCTGTTCAACGACAAAATGGATCATAGCAGAGCAACACACGAGAAAATGGAGTGGATAAACTTGGAAAAAAGTTTTATACAGAATCTCATTTCGCATGTAAGAGTCTTGTGGGAGTCAGATCAGCAGATAGTCAGATATAGATTATAGTCGATGTTGAGCAGGCTGAATTCCGAACGGCAACGCAGCACACAAGGAAATCAATCATTGTTTCCAGGCTGACAACTACTCTCTTCTGGAGTCTGTTGACCACGCATACTGTTGAGAGAAACATCTCAGAGACGCTTGTCATGGGAATTCCAGATGTGCACATAGCCTAACACATGAAATTGATGTTTGTCGTCGGGTATCGACATGATTTCCATATGTCTTGGCAGTCGGAAGTCGGTTAAGGACTGCGCATATGACGCTCGAGCTTTCCACTTTGTTCGAGTCAACGACAAGCGGGGGTGAGACACTCATGTGTTTGCACCTTCCGAAGCATTTCACTACACCAAACTTCCATCTTGTTTTTGTTTGGCGAAAGACCGGAGCTCTTGGAGGGCAGAGCAGACACAATGCCTCGGCCGATAGTCGCACCTGACAAAAGGCGTCGCATCGCCCAAGCGTGCGACAATTGCAAGCGCAGGAAGGAAAGATGCGATGGCAACCGACCGTGCAGCATCTGCATCCGACGACGAAGGGAATCCGAATGTCAATTTTCCGAAACCCCTGCCAGATTGCTGAGGGGTCCCCGGAGAGGATCTGCCAACAACACAAGTCCCACAAGTGTCAGTCAGACGTCTCCTTCGATCAACGCGTCGAGGCCTCGCGCTGTGAGTGGCGGTCCGACAAACATCGCCAGTCTGGGTGCTCCTTCCGATCCTTCTCCACCCAGCATCACCTTGTCTGCAAATCTGAGCGATACAAGTCAGGCAGAGATGGCTATCGACCGTATCTTGAACGCCAGTGTCGACCAGCGAGGCGCGAGGGCAACCGTAGAATCTCAATCTCGACCCGAGTCTGTGGCACCTGTACCTAGGTCCGCGAGGTTACTGCGTGACATGCATGGCAAATTCATGTACGTCGGCGACTCTGCTAGTCTGTCGTTTGTACAGAGTGTCAGGCGTATGGTCGTATCTGCCATTGGTGAGTGTGACTTCACCAATGACCCTTCACGCCATCAAATCATCGAACCCACGCCTCAAACAACTATGCAAATGCCAGACATGTCGCCCTTGCAATTGGATCTGGAGGATTGTAAGCGGTTATCTCGGCATTATCTTCTTGCGACTAGTGGACTCATCGAGATTTTTGATGTGCCTACCTATTTCCGCTACCTGGACCAATGGGTAATCGACAAGGCTCGTGATAATGATCTCAAGTCTGCTATCTTCTATATGGTACTCGCCATTGGCGCGCAAGTGTCGTCACCAGATGGTGATCAAACACTTGCCGAGACATACTTCAATCGTGGCCGATATATGGCTGTCATGACCCTTACTGACGCACCAAGCCTCCTGACCATACAAGCCCACCTTTGTATCACAATGTATATGCTAGGCGCATGTCGAAGAAATGCAGCTTTCATGCAGTTTGGCATTGCTGTCAGAGCTGCATTTGCTCTAGGCATGCACAAGAGCAGCACCCACACGCTGTTCGACGAAACAGAAGCAGGGGCAAGACGTAGAATTTGGAAGAGCGTTCGCGTACTGGACATCTTCCTCAGTGCGTCGCTTGGCAGACCGCCAGCCACATCAGATTTGTCAGCGAATCGAGACAAGGATGTTACTGAGGAAGTAGCACAAGCGACATCCACAGACCCCTTTTCAACCAAGGTCCTTGCTCTCTGCGACATCTTCGAGCGCATAGTCATCGATGTCTACATGAAGAAGGCAGTTTCTACTCACCTTGCCGACTCAATATCAGGCCAGTACAGAGACTGGACCAGTGATCTGCCAGACTCATTACAGCTGGCAAGTCTCGACTCGAGCGAGGACAATCCGGAGTCATTGACCAAGGCTCTGGCTGCCAGTCACATCATCAGCTCATATCACTGGTCTATCATTCTACTTACTCGACCTTTTCTGAGGTTCCAAATTCTCAAAGACATGACCAGAGGCAGCCAGAATCTCGAGGATACTCACGACCAAGTTCAGCAATCATCAATCAAGACATATGCAGACGCGTGTGTGGACTCGTCTCTGAGAATTCTCAACATCGCATCGACGCTCATGCAATACTCTTCGCTTCCACACAGACTACCCTTTATCATTAATTCTGTCTGCAATGCCTCTCTAGTCCTCGGAGCTGCCACCTTTGCGGACCAGGATAAGTTCCTCCCTCTCGAAGATGGCTTGAAACAAGGCATCAGTATCCTCAATCACTTTGCGCAATGGGATCCTCATGCTGCTCGTTATGCGCAAATCATCACTTACCTGCAAGACGCTACAAAAACTTATATTCGTCAACGAAGCGAGAAGTCTTTGGAATCACGCCGCAGCAACGTCACTAGACTTTTCGGAACGATCGGTCAACAAGTTGGTGGCGCGGAAGGCACCATTCAAGATCAAAATATTGAACTCGTACCAACTGCCAACAATGCCGACATTATTGACCCTGCGCAATCAATCAACATCGATCCATCATTATACACACGGTCAGCACTAATGACTGATCTATACCCATTGATGAATGCTCAAGGAGAGTTGCCTGGCTTGATAGAAGGCGGCTTCTATGCACAACCGCAACCCTTGCCTGGAGTCATGGCTGATGGCTCTGGCTACCAAGATGATGCTTACTACTTCATGGATCAGGACTTGTCCATGTTTGGGTTTTGCTGAGCTCGAGCTGAGCTGGGGTTCGAGGAATGAAGTTACGCAGCGACTGTTTGTATTTTGAAATGGCTTAAAAGCACTGTATCTCGTCCCTGTCGGTCCACAAAGAGGTTGTCTTTTGGTCACACGCTTGCTGTGACTTCCTTCATCTACGCTGCTCTGCCGGTGTCTGGCCAATGATATCTTCAGGCGATTGCTCTCGTGTATGTTTGCAATCGTATGCGCGCAGACCGAAAGAGTACATCTCTGCAGTGGAACAAGCAAATCTGCGCCACATCTCATTAGTAATAGTCAGTTCCCGAGTTAACAAGCGCATTAATCGGTAATGTACGCTAGGTATCTGATTGCAGAAACGGAAAGAGCATAGAGAGTCTCGGAAAAAAAAACCCAAAAGAGTCTGATACATCAATGTCTTGATCTTGAATCCTTCCGACGAGGCTTAAATACCAAGCGATTATTCGGTTCTGCCCGTGGGGATAATGTCCGTCACCAATGAATTTTTTTCTTTGAGGAATTTACTGGAGCAGAGGATCTGGAAACTGCAGCATCTTATTCTTGGCTAGACCGTGCTTTCTTTTGAACAGAGCGACTGAGCCTGTGATGTATGATGAAGTGACCGAGCAGTAGAAGAAGGTAGAAAAGAGTAGAGAAATTGACTTGTCATCTGTATGCCTCTTAGGTGCAGGCAGTTGTACTTTGGAGCTTAAGTGGATCTTGCGCGAGCTAAATTGTTAAGAACAATCTTCGGAAGAAGAATGTTGAAGCGAAGACTGTTAAGATTGTGAAAGAGTAAAAGAAAGTAAAGATTGCAAAGAGTAAAGATAGCAGAAGAGCAAAAGTTTATAAGAGAGCCACGAACGCAGCTCTCTGTCCGACTTAACCACCAACGACTTGTACAACGCACAAACCACACAGCTCTATATAGCTACACCTGTGTGACTGATGTATACTGAGCCACAGACTGTCTCTCGTCCTTCCCGCTCAATCGACTCCATGTCCGTCGTAAGACCTTAACAACTATGCTGGACGTTATGAACATATACAAGAATGGAAATATGGCGTACGGCACATATCCATATGGGTGCGTGGAATCGACAGCCACCAAGGGTCCGGTCATAAGCAGCAGTAAGGTCCATCTCAGCCGACCCTTTTTGTTTCTGTAGGCATTCGCCGTGCGCGCAATGCCTATGATAGCGATGACAGAATAGCCAGCCGCAAGGTACACCCATGTCGCATACCAGTTGTCCCAATCCTCGACGTCCCAGCCACATGCGCCGATATAGAATGCCACGAACAAGGCGACGAAATAGCAGGCACTGAACATTACAAAGAGAGCGCGCCAGTGTCGACGATTGACATCATATTGCTGCGCCGCTAATCTGAGCCAAGGACCTGCGATCAGAGGAAGCAGGATGACTCCTACCGTCAATGGCAGGGATATTTCAAGGTATTGTGACATAGTCCAGAAGTGTTGAGACGGACCCGATGAGTCTGCGCTGGGGCTGGCGGTGGGTGTTGGGGATATGGTATGACTTGTAGTGGTGGTCTTGGATGTGTGTTTTGACTTTGAGGGTGGGAACAGCGGCTGCTTGACATTCATACCAAAAATCGACTTCCAATTCTTGTCAGCATTTCGTGGGCTCAACAAGAGTCTGTTGAACTTACCGCGATAAAAGACAGTGGTATGAAGAAAGCGGCGGCAATGGTGAGAATCAGGGCTCTTTCGTCCTGAGAGAGGCTGATCTGTTCGTTGATTTGCTCTCTTGCGGTTGCTAGGGTCGTCTTCAATGCCTCAAACTTCATGATCAGAAAATCGAAGTCTTCGTGGAAGCTCGAGAAGGCCTTGATTGCCATGGCCTCGTCTAGCCCGCCTTTCTTCTTGCAGCAGAAGTCAACCATCTCCATAGTCGTTTGAGCTTCGTCGACGACAGTCTTGCCGTGCTTCAAGTCCGATATTGCGAGGCGGCGGCAATCGTCCAGATGAATGAGATATTGTATCTTACTCCTGGTAGGCATGCGTCGGCCTCTATAAGTCTATACCACAAGTCAGTGTGTGTTTTTGCAGCAATAGGTCAGGCAAGCAACACCATCTCCCTTGCCTTGGAAGTCATGTCATCAACAAGGTTAGAAGAGTCCTCAACCACCCATTTGAGGAGTATAGCAAGGATTCGAAGCTTCTCGTGAGTTGCGTTCCAAGTATGTTGTGTTTGAGTGCTTCTAACGAACGCGGTCTCAGTCCTCAGGAATCGTGACATGAGACAGGGCGGGTCAGCGATTACGAGAAGTCGATGTGCAGACGATGCGCCGATTAGGCTTAGGGGCGGTATGACGACTGTTGCTGAGTTGTATTTGGCAGTCGATGTTGCTGAGTTGTATCTGGCACTCGGTGTCCGTTCCAGATGGGGTTGCCACACGTATACATATAGATCGTTTCTATAATCCAAGAGCTCCTTTTGCCAATGTAGACTGTATGTCTTCTCGGTATCGTTAGAAAGAATGCCGATGCTTTTGGGTGACTCCTTTGATGGTAGTTGATCGCTGGTTAGCTGTGGAGGCACAGGGGACTTGGTGCTGTTCAAGTCCCAAGCTGACTCTATACATTGAATAATAACCCTGGCAGGTGCTAGATATAGATCTCTTTGACAGAGCAGGAACGTTTCTATGGCACCGTGCCAGAAGGAGAGCTGGTGCTGGGTTTTTCCGAAGTCCAAGATTAGGAAGCTGAGCATTTGAGTCAGTGAGATAGTAAGAGGAATAGAGGCATACCATACCAGATCTGTAGAGAATCACCCGCGGGCGACGAACGCAGCTTTTCCTCGAGGTGATATTTCAGATACTTCTCAGTCGAGATATCGTCTGGTGTATCGAGCGAGTCCCAACCACCCTGCTCATGATTCGATTTTGACGCGAAATCACCTGGCTTGAGCGTCATGAGTTTGACTCGTGTCCCAATCAAGGTCTCACCAGGCCTGTGTTTGAAGTATCCATACTGTCTGTGCAGGACCGTGGTTTTGAAGCCGTGGGCCTCATAGAGATGTTCCATGACTAGACAGCACTTGTGCGAGCCAGGTGGTGAGGACGAAGTGATGTGCGAGTTGGGACATCGAAAGAATTTGTAGGCAGATAGTATTACCTACAAGATATCTAGAAGTAGCGAGTTAGTGGGTGTGGAAAAGTACGGGCCGTCAGCAAGGCTGACAGTTCACGTCGACTTCCCAAGATGTATGTACATCAATTGTGATGAAGCAACAATACATTACCTTTTTCTAGCCCAAAGGCCGCAAAACTGGCTGCTTTCCGTGGGAGACTTCACATCAATCGGTACATGAAGCACCAATTAGAGCATACCTTTAGCCGCTGGCCTCTATTCTGGGCTTGATCCGAGCCGTGGCCCCTGCTTGAGTCTCATACTTGCATATTTTTGAGTGGTGGATGGTCTCCAGATAACGAGGCTGATAGTGGTTCGGCAATGGAGAGCAAATTGTATTGACGTGGATGATGGTTGGTGTTGACTCATGTACTTCTTTGCTTGTCGTGAGCCTTGCTCCTTCCCAACAATCAAGAACAATTCGATCATGTGGAAGCAGCTGCGTCTCGTCATTGGGTGAGGTCCGTGGCCATCACTCCACGACGGGATCGAGTGTGTTGTGCACTACAAAAAGGCACAAAGGTTTTCTCAACCAGAAGTGACACTTACGAGGGCATATGAAGTGTCACCTCTCAGTACACCCTATTCTGTCTTTGAATATGGTCGTACACTTTTACAGCTGAATTTTTTAAACACTTCAGTAAACGAAAAGGGGAGAAAGTCGCACATCGCCATGACGTTCTCGAGCATTGGCCAGTGCAACTTGAGGTTTCAGGCTCGAATGGCGATAATGAGGATTAAAACCTGATGGACATAGATTTTGGCTGTCGTGGCTTATTTGAAGATGAACCGTACCTCCAAGGTAGAAGTAGTATACGCATAAGTATTAATGATGTTTTTGCAGATCGCTCATGACTATTTCATCTCTGTTCAAGCAACGTTGCCCAGAGCAATGTTCTCAACATGTTGCGCACCTTGATAGTTCTTCCTCTCGTGCTCCATGATAGCATCAACCTTCTTTGCACTTGCACTCTGCTCGTCAAACTTGTAGCCAAGCCACTCCTTGGCCAATCTCCTTGCAACCTCGACACCGACCACTCTCTCGCCCATACACAGAACTTGAGCGTTGTTACTCAATATCGCTCTCTCAACGGAGAAGCTGTCGTGGGCGGTAACGGCACGAATGCCCGGGACCTTGTTTGCTGAAATAGCGACACCAAGACCAGTTCCGCAGATCAGGAGTGCGCGGTCGGCTTTGCCTTCTGCTACGAGCTTTGCGGCATCAACAGCAGGGTGCGGGTAGGCAGTCTTGTCATCGCTGCTGTTGACACCGACGTCGATGACCTTGTTGACGCGAGAGTCTTTCTCGAAGTCTTCCTTGATCTTGTTCTTGTAGCCGCAGCCGGCGTCGTCGCAACCAATGGCGATGGTGAGGGGTTTGTTGGACATTGTTTCTTCTTCGTTGAGTCGGAGGGAGCGAAAGATCACAGCTGGCTAGTATCGTAGCCGACGGTAGCTGGACAGTGAGATGGCTCGATATCGAGTGTGATGGAGTCGCCTTGCTTGGTCTTTTGTTCGACACCGTTTGTCTCGACGGTGTAGGGGTTTGTGGTAATGGTGGTTGTGTGTGAGGTTTCGTGAGGGGTGTCGTGAGTGACGGTCTTAGTCTCGCCGGTCTTGGTATCGTGTACTTGCTCGTGAAGATGTTCAGCGTCGGTGGTAAAGGACGACGAGATTTGGATGCGCTTTTTTGAGGGAGTCGAGGACGGCATTTTGATTGCGCAGGAGGGCGGCCGGTATTTGAATGGCAGTAAGCACGTTTCTGGTGCTATTGGACGACGGCGGTGGGCCGAGAGGTCGCTGCAGCTGAGGGGTCGTCTTTGGTGGTGTGTCGGCGACAACTGCGAGATGGAAGGAAGGCGGGGCTAAATTCCACGGATTGCCCTTTTGGGCCATCTCCGTCATCGCTCCTTCCTCTCTCCAGTCCCCACTGATTTTACCCATGGGGCAACTGCCTTGTCTGAAATCCCGAGAGACGGCTGTTGGGATGGCCTCTGTTGAACTTCAACTGCAGGGGACATGCTCGATACTTTGGGACCCGGACTGCTCCTCATAAGATCAACAGTTCTTCTGCCTGCCCGTTCTCACCCTTCGGTCGCCTTTGGGGACGACATTCTTGTCGCATCCTCAGCGGTGCTCAGCCTTGAGGGCTATCCCTGGATCGACGTTTCCATCCCCACAAAGGGCACGAGACCACATCGCACTTTCTAGCAATTTGCTATTGATCGAGATCATCATGCCGTATGCCAATGCTCTTTTCTTTTGGGCTCGTAGGTCTCCTTCAGTAATTTCTCTCTTCTCCATCCGATACCTCATTTCAATACACCTGCTTCAGCGTGAGACTTTCAGCCTCGCCACTAATTACCCACTCACAATCGTTCCTGCACCTGCGGACCTGCATGACAAGGCACGCTAGCCAGTAGCACATCACTCCACGTCCCCAGACAAACACTCAACACCTCACTTGCGGCTACTTGCCTTCAATTTCTGCGCTTTGTGCGCTGTGCGACAACACTTCTTTTCTCTTTCACTCAAAACGGACTGCAGGCAGTTGATCGCGTTTGATCTGAGCTTTCTTTTACTCTCACTGATTCTTCGTTCCCCTTCACTCTTCATGATACGTTAAGAAGACTGCTCGCGCGTCAATCTTCTTCCCTCATCCCACCTCACAAACAAGTCAATTCTACCTCTCTCTCAATCCAATCGACTTTCCATAAAGGGACTCACTTCAAGCGCTCCTTCCCCATCGGCTAGACCATCAGCCACAATCAAACATCTATTACCACCAAAAATGTTCCGTCTTAAGAGCCTGGACGCCACTACTTCAGCCATCATCAACCCTCCACCCAAGCCACGCCCTCAGCCAGGCATGCCGCTCGTCGATTCCAGCCTCGCCGAATTCATTGCCGGTCAACCTCAAGGCTTCACTCATGTAGCCGTCGCTGCAGCCGTCTTTCATGAGGATCGTCTCCTGCTGGTCCAGCGTGCCGAGACGGACAGCTATCCTGGCCACTGGGAACTGCCTGGCGGATCTGCTGATCCTGCCGACAGGTCCATCAGCGAATCAGTTGGCCGCGAGTTGTTCGAAGAAACCGGTCTTCGCATGAAGCGCATCCTCTCCGAGATCCTCCCACCCACAACCTTCTCTACCGGCTGGGGCAAGCGTCAAAAGACATGGCTCAAGGTCAGCTTCGTGGTCGAAGTCACGGCAGAGTCCAAGGAGCGGGTCCAGCATGAGTTTGAGACGCAAGGAAGCCAGGAACTCACGCGCAAGGATAGTGTCATTGCGGTTGATCCACCTGCCATCAAACTTCACGACAAGGAACACCAGAAGTATGTTTGGATCTCAGCTGAGGAGGTCATCAAGAACAGAGTGGCAATGCCCGGCGAGCCCGTCATGGAGTTCATCTCAGCAGACAGTGTGTCGACCATTCTGGAGGCGTTCCGCTTGAACAAGCACATTCAGAAGGCCGAGAATGGTGAAGCACTGCAGGTGACTGAAACGGAGAATGGAAAGCTCTGAGTATTTGATGATGCAGTACCAGGAGCTAGAGCGGGTTGCTGATAAAAGAAAACGGAGTTACGAGGTTTGGCAGAATCTGGTTTTTAATGCATGCAGAGAAGGACGGAGATAAGATAGGGCTTGCGGACTGGGCAGGGTTTGCTTCAGGGTTTGGCATTTTCGGACGATGACAGCAATGAGGCTAGTGTACGATAGGCGTCAATCAAGACTTGAAACAGAATTGGCAACACAAGCAGAAGAACATCTTTTAGAATATGCGCATGTCGCGAAGCCTGCCCCATGAAACGTGTATAGAGTTTGCACACATGGTGTGGCGATGAAGATGACCCAATTTGGCAATGCTGCATGTCTTCCAATAGAGACAAACACATGTTTGCGGCAAGGTACAGAAAACACCCGATCCATGACGAGTTGGCTGCTGCGACAGGCAGGAAATATTCGAAATAGAGTACCGAGTAAGGATTCAAGGTTGAAGAATCGAACTAAAACCGGGATGACCCGCCAAGATGGCTGGATCGCAGGGGAAAGGCGGAGGAGAGTTGCTGACGATGGGCAGCAAAGTGAACCTCGGCACAAGGCTGAGAGGGTTTCAACAGAGCAAGCAGCGAAGAACAGCATATGCAGCGTGTCGCGACAAGAAATACCTCGAACCGCATACTTGTTACACGGCCGTAAACAAAACAAGTCGCAGACGTCCATCAGCGAACTCGGAGGAAAGGACGCGGGCTGTTGGGGTTTCTCGTTTCTTTTGGTCTTTCCTACTTTCGTGCTTTCCTTTCACATGCGCATCGGACTCGCTCCAAGCTCGCCCTGACCATCGTTTTCTTCACGAACCACTTTCGCGAAAGCCTTCCAAACTCGGCACGTCACCCGTGTGGACATGCAAAGCGCTACAAGACTGCTATAACGATATTTCCATGGCCGACCGCCTCTCCGCCGCCGCCATGTCTGCTCCACCACCGCCTCCGCAGCAACCATCAGGCCAGCAGTCGCAACCCACACAACATGCCACACCACAGCATGCTCAGCATCAAGCATCGCCGCCCTCTACGAGCCAACAAGGAGCTTCGGCTCCAAGCTTCAGGAGGTATGCGCTACGAGAAACTGGTACACCCCTTTGGTCCGAAACTGACGCGACTATGGCAGACAACGCGCTTCGAGAGCTTGCGAGGTAAGACTAAGCCCATGCTTTGCTGAGACAATACTGACTGTCGACAATAGACTTGCCACGCGCGAAAGGTCCGCTCCAACGACACATCCCATATCCACCCGTGAACCTCCTTCTGACGCGTTTCTTAGGTGCGCTGCGATGCCGCTAGTCTCGGTGTGCCTTGCACCAACTGTGTCGCCTTCAATATCGAGTGCAAGATCCCCTCTCCCAAACGAAAGAAGACATCCTCCAAGCAGAAAGAATCCAACAGGTGCGCTGTCCGCCTGCCGACTGAAGACGCGTCTAACTTTGTTGGCAGTGACCGCGAAGACAGCAGCAGCATAGTCCAGCCTTCGCCTGCCACTAACGACATTGCTGCACGATCCGATGCCGTCAGTCAGGCCCCGATGCCTATGCCTCAGCTACCTCCTCGGAACGGTGTCGACTACTCCACCGCTACTGGCATGCCGCCCACCACACTCTCGGAGAAATACCAAGAACAACAGCAGATCCATGATGCCACCTGGAGTCAGTACATGAAGCCCAAGTTCGCTCGCGCTCCTATCAAAGAGGCTGGACGTGTCGCATACTTGGGCGAGTCATCCAATCTCTCTATACTTGTCCAAGACAAACACGGCGATCCGGATACCGTGCACTATCCTCTACCTGAGAATGTGCGTGGTCCCCGGGCACGCATGAACGAACTTGACGAGCTCGAACTGCGCATTCTGCACGAGCGAGGAGCGTTCTTGCTTCCCCCACGCCAATTGTGCGACGAGCTGGTCGATGCTTTCTTTACCTGGATTGCCCCGGTCGTACCTGTGATTGATCGCAACAAGTTTATGCGTCGCTATAGAGACCCCAAAAATCCTCCATCGCTACTCCTGCTGCAGGCCATTCTTCTGGCTGGGTCACGCGTGTGCACGAATCCACAACTCATGGATGCCAATGGTTCTACGACGCCAGCTGCCATGACCTTCTACAAACGAGCCAAGGCCTTATTTGATGCCAGCTACGAAGATGATCGCATTACCATTGTACAAGCTGTCATTCTGATGGGCTGGTATTGGGAGGGCCCAGAGGGTAAGATGCGAGACAGATTCCACATCACCAGTGAATCTGACATTGCTTCAGATGTGACCAAAAACGTGTTCTATTGGAGCAGAGTTGCTGTCGTGATTGCTCAAGGTTCTGGAATGCACAGAAGGTGAGGTCGTGAGCTTGAATACATTTCTCCAAGTATTGACTCGAGTGCAGTGTCGAAAAGTCCCAGCTGAGCCAACAGGACAAGCGTCTCTGGAAGCGCATCTGGTGGACGCTATTCACGCGAGATCGCTCAGTGGCCGTCGCTCTCGGTCGCCCTTGCGGAATCAATATTGAAGACTCGGATGTCGAGATGATATCCGAAGACGACTTTATTGAGGATGAAACAGATGCAACGCCTGAATATCCTCTGAACCCGGTACACATCCAGTTCTTTCTGAATTACGTCAAACTATGCGAGATCATGGGCCTAGTTCTTTCACAGAATTACTCGGTCGCTTCGCAAAGACGCGGCCGTAATAATGCGATTGACCTGACTCATTGTGATATGGCTCTGGCTGATTGGCTTCAAAACTGCCCCAAGGAAGTATATTGGGAGAAGAGTCGACACCATTTCTGGTCTGCTCTTCTTCACTCCAATTACTAGTACGTCGCTCGACCCTTGTGTTTCTGTCCACATGCTGACATGAGTAGCACCACACTTTGTCTTCTGCATCGCGCTCACATGCCTCCGGCTGGTTCATCAGATGTGAATCGGTTAAATGGGTTTCCGGAAGACATGGCCTATCCATCCAAGAACATTGCTTTTCAGGCAGCCGGCATGATCACTTCCATAATCGAGGCCCTGACTGACCACAATGAGCTTCGATTCACGCCTGCCTTCATGTAAGAAATCCGGTCGGAACCTCGAACTCTGTACTGACTCCAATTCCAGTGTCTATTCTCTCTTCTCTGCCCTCATCATGCATGTCTACCAAATGCGGTCGTCCAACCTTTCCATTGTCCATATCACCCGGCAGCGCTTGACAACTTGCATGGACGCACTCAAAGACGTGTCTCGAGTTTGGCTCGTAGCCAAGATGGTATACACTCTCTTCGACTCTATCCTCGGCAATAAGGTGCTGGAAGAGCGTTTGCAAAAGGCTGCCGGCAAACGTCATGCAAAGTCCAAGAATCCGCAGTCCACCAAGAATCCGTTATCACGCAGCAACAGCGATTTACAGAAGCGCAAGTTCGATGAAATGGAGTTTGGCTACACTGGCGGTCCACCAGCTGCCCAGATGTCCTATGAACGCTCAAGACCGCAATCTCCTGTCAATCCTCCTCGAGACCCTCAGTCAATATCAGGACTTCCAGGCCCTAATGCAAGCCCTTCACTGCGTCAAGACGCCTTCATGGGCACGTCCCGAGCCAACACGCGCCCTACCACGCCGTTCAATACCTACTCTTATCCTGGAACACCTCCAGACCTCTTCCTTCACACTCGTACATCTCCGAATATCTCTCAAGACTTATGGCAAAACTATCAACCAGATCAGCTGTTCCCACCAGACACTACTGGCATCTTCCCGAACGAGAGTCCTGTACAGCAACCAGCATTGGTAGATCCAGCTTTACCAGGGCCAACAGGAGCACCTCCACAACAAGCCTACGCGAACACAGCTCAACAGCCGCCTCATTATCAGCAACCAACTACAGCAGTAGGACTTGGAAATGATATGATGGACGCTGGTTCAACACAACAGCAGCAGCAGTACCCTAGCCACCAACATCTACAAAACGCATACGGACAAATGCCAGGTAACGGTGATCATAGTCGAACAAGCATGGATGATACATGGAGTACCAACAGTGGATCTACTGGAGGTGGTCCCATCGTGCCAACCACGTTGAACGTCGGCGACTGGTTCGAATTCTTTGGCATTCCCAACGGAGACATATCGGCATTGCATGCGCAACAATATTAATCGCTCAAGCGCTCATCGTGTTTTATCTCGTTCTTCAGCGCCTACCTTCTATGTGTATTGTTCACTTTCCACTGTTGTGGATGCTATCAGTGGGAGGCGTAGCGGCGGTCGTCACAGTATTGTCCAGATGGCTTGTGAAGAAAACGATGTATGCGTTTCGTGTCACGATGCCAGACTATTGTGTTTTGCGATTGCAGCGTGTGGAGTGGCTTGTGGAATCGAGTCCTAGTATGAATATCAACAAAACAAAGATACCCGGTAGCATTATGAGATCTTTTCTCTCGATGTCAATACCCCTGTTGCCTGCTTCCGAGTGCTTTCTGTTCTTCTTTGATCGAAGAGCTTGGCGATTGATACGTTGCCTCTCCATATGCTAAAGTCATTCACGGTGCAGCTACTTGAATGCACAATACTTATGCGAAGAGGACGGCTTCCTTCTATGGAGAGACCTCTCCACATTTCCTTGTTTCTAGCCACTCATGTCCAATGAGATGATGATACCAAACGAACCAACGAGATTGTTTTTTCGCGGAAAATTCGTTTGCTTTTGCGTTTTCATCACACTTTCACTCTCGTCCGCTTCTTTCTTTTGATCAAATACTTCCGCAGATCGTTGCGACAAGTCTTTATCGCATCGATATCACGTCTGCGCCCAAGAAGAAGCTGAGGAAAATTGATCATTGTTCAGCCGGCTACTCCAAGTAGAGCTGGTGTGGATTTTAAAACACTTTCTTTCTTCCCTTGCCTCCCTTCGCACCCTTCGCGCCCTTCTGTCCTGTGATTGACGTCTTCTTCTGTCCCGCATGCGACGGAGACTTTACATTGAGCATGCCGCCAAGCTCTTCCCTCTCTCCCGGAGCAGCAAGATGATATGCAATCGTATAGCTCAGTCGATCCTGTTTCTTCACACTCATACCTTGAAGACAGTATTTGGGAAGCTGAGTGATCTGCCCAGGGATTCTTAAGAAACGATAGAAATTCTTGTCAAGGCGATCGCAAACTTGACGCAGCATAGGGACAGCATTGGCGAGCTCTTGAAGACACGCGTGAGCGGAAGCATTGCTAACATCGGCAAATCTGCATCAATTGTCAGTCGACTACCTGGAAAGGGTGGATCAAGCATAGTACTCGCACTTACTTCCATGTTGCGCAAGCCAGAAGAGGTACAACTCCCCAACCGAAGATGGCAATCATGATAGCAATGCTTCTTACGTATACCCGCAACTTTCTAAGCTTTGCAAGGTCTGCTTATCTTTCTTAATTAGTCGTCTTTTCTAGGTGCATGGACTTGAAAACCTCCTACATGGCAACGTTCGACCGAGTCTGATCTGTTGTCTCTTTGTTCGCATTGGTTTCTCGTTTTGCCCACTCTTTACCTAGCTCGGTGGAAGGATCTTGAGTTTGTTGTTCAAGACGAACGAAGTCGTCGGCCATGTTTTTATACTCCAGAAGAAGTTCGGCGGTCTGAAGGGCAGCGGCTTTCGAGAGCGAAAGCACTCGCTTGTATCTCATCTCCAGTGTATAGACTGAGGATTTGGAGTTGCTGGCGGAGGTTATGGCATCGAGCTTCAGTGTGTCAAAATCGCGGTATACTGCTTCCACCATCTTCAACACGCAATCTACACCCTGGGGCGAGCTCCACATGAACATGAGAACTTTCGTAATGTTTTCCAGCCAAACGAAAGGCTTGTTGGTGACCTTGTTGAGAGGTTGTTTCTCGACGATGGCAGCCCAAACTGCTTGCCATTCCAAGCCGTCCTTGGTAGGACTCAGATTCATATATCTACGAGACTTTTTGCTAGATCGGCGTGTTGTTGGAGATGAGCGATATTCTGGAGCGAGACCATCTTCCTCTGCGTACTGCGGCATTCTCAACCGGAGTACTTTCGGCTGAGTGTTGATGTGCGGTTGGTTGAATGGGCTGAGTCTTCTTTCTTTTCGCCGACTCAGATGCTTGGTCGGTGGTCGCCTTGCGTTTGTTTGATGTTTTTGGGGTTGCTTTCCGGCCAGCTTCGAGAAAGGTGGTGTGAACCTCGCGACTCAGAGCACCCTCTTTCTTCTTGTTGTTGTTGGCCACATTGCCAGCAATGCGGGCGACTCCGTTAATGAGCCTTGCGACTCGGCTCGACTGGCCTGCCGCATTGGATGGCTGGGCGACGTAGGCCGCCAACGAAGCCCAGATCTGTAGAGTGTTAGAGTTCCGGCAGAGATGACAAGTAATAATATCCATATTGCCTCATCTGGTATGTCTTCTTGGGCTGGGTCGAGGCCTGCTAGGAGAGTGGTAAGTTCTGGTGCGGCGTAGTCATTGATGCAGCAGGCAGTACAGCATCAAGACAGGTAGAAACAGGTATGTCGTCGTGCATCTGAAGACTGAAGTCGCTTGCTACAGTCCCGAGAGATGGCTTGCAATCGAGCACGAGATGACTTGTAACCTCCTGGAATGTGGTTAGCATGTCATGCAAACTCGCCTCTCACCAAAACTCCACCAGCAACTCCAGTAGTAAAACGCTTGCGGCGGCTGGTGTTTGGAGTAGCGCTATCATCAGCAATATCAACGCTCTAGTTCTACCAACCAAGCTCATGGTCTGTCTGAGTTTCGTCATACTTGACAGGAGGATCATTCAGCATCGTTGATGCCCGATTCGGAGAAGTCGTAAAAAGACATCTTTAGACGACAGTCTGACAATACTGGTAGTCCAAGAGCAGAATAGTAGTGCAGTTAAAGAAGTCACAGCAGGCGATCTATATTGAGAGAGGAAATGATGCAAAGAAACCTCGATTCATCTGAGTGCTTCGACTCCTTAACCTCTCACCTCTTTACTGTGCTTCACGAGCATTTCCGAACTCCTTGAGGAGCTCCATAGAAGTCATTTCCCGCATTCCGTTTGGAGGAACAACCTCACCATCGATCACTAACGAGTAGTCGTTTTTCGTGTTGAACACACGCTTGTACTGTTCAACCGACTCCATATCCTCCTCTCCATACAGAGTGCAAATCAAACCCCTGCCCTCTCGACCAACTCGATTGCATACCTTACGATAGACGTCCAAGTCTTTTGCAGGGTGGATGTTGATGGCGGTATTAACATTGGGGATATGAACAGCTCTAGCGAACTTGTAAGTCGTAATCAGCATGCAAAAGTCGTCTTTGCGAAGTTGTTCGAGTGTGATGCGGCGTTCGGCCTCAGTCTGATGATGGTGGTGGGCGAGACGAATGTATTTGTCGATGTCGCTGCAGCCATTGGTCTTGAGATAGTCGTCGAACAAACGATAGATCTTTTCTACGCCATCAGGGGTTTCACCACACATCAGAACCTTGCCCTTGAGATAATTATTGGGCAAGCCGTGCTCGGCAAATCAATGCGGAAGCCGATCAAACTCGGTGGCAGAAAGGCGATGCCATACCTCCTCGAAGGTAGTCGAGTCCTTTGGAATTCTCCCCATCCTCACAACAGCAGGAATGGGAGAGCTCTGCCCGATAAGGGTTAAGACGGGAATCACTAGATCCAGGGTCATACAGGAGCTCGTGATAATCACCTGACACTCCGGAAGGTTTTCGTGCAAAAATTGGAGAAACGAGTTGAAAGTGACATCCTGTAGGCAGGTGTCCAAGTCATCGATGGCCAAGTAAACAAGTTGAGACAGGTTCAGATAGCCATGCTCGACAAGACCGAGCAACCTGTCGAAAGTGCCGATTACTGCGGTAGGCCACTTGCGCAGCGCAGTAAAGTCGGCTTCGGCGAGCTCATCGCCAACTATTGCGGCGTATGAGTTGCCATGGCATTTGAGTAGCTGTTCAAGGAAAACACCAGCATCTCTGGCATTTTCAGGAAACGGAACCACTATTAGGACCAAGGGTTTGGCTACTGCAGATGAATGCCTTGTATTGTACGAGTTCTCGCTAGGAGGCGCAGCGGGTGGAAGCTCGGCGCTAGAAGGAGATTCTTTGAAAGTCGGAGGTTGAGAATCACCAGCTGAGCATCTCATGACGGCAACAAAGCTAGCAAGACATATGAGTGTGGTCTTACCAGCCGCGAAGCGAGATATGATGACTCTGTGGTGGTCTGCCCGGCGGTTCTCTATGAACTGAACAGACTCAAGAACGTGCTTCTGAGAAGGAAGCAATTTCTCGATGCCAGCGCGTCTCAAGGCAGTGACGGAAAGTTCTGGAAGACCATAAACAGGCTCAAAACCGTGTAGTCCTTCAGGTGATGATTCGGTGCGAGTGAGCAGCGAGCTGAAGATCTTGTTAGTGCTGACATCGCCAGGGAGTGACTGACGACTTACCTTTCATTTGACGAGGCAGGAGCTACACGATTGCGTTGGCGGTCACGAGGCACCTCGCACCTGCTGGCAGGCGCAAGATGATCTTCGGGCTGGCGGGGATGGTTAGCATGCGTCAATACTGCTTTCCATAAGGGTGCTCACTTCAGTCATGTTTGATCAAGTCTAAGATGATGGCGAGTGGGCACGGTAATGTAAGATGGATGCTAGGATCAGAGATTCATGGGAAATGGCGATGGAAGAATGATGGTGGAGGTGGAGGTGAAGACGAGGTAGAAGCGAGAGAGTGTGGTGAGGGAAGGAACAAAAGAAGCGGAGGTGTTGGTGTGGTGGTGAATGAAAACAAAGGTGAAGCAAACAACAACAAGAAATGAATTTTCCGGAACCTTCACTCTCTCTCACGGTCAATCATAGACTGTAGAACATGAGCTGTACTAATGCACGATATTTTGAGCCACTCGGTTCTGTTCAGAGAGATAGCTCATGTCTCACTGGACATGACTGTTCCCAGGACAGGATTGTGTATCTCTATAACTCAGGTATATCTCTGTCCTGGTCGGATCGCGCCGACGGGGTAGCACGTGTATACCAAGAAGCCATGGATTGATCTCCGAAAGGAATGGCGAGGGCGATACTTAGGTGATTTGATGCAGAAATCCATCAAATTGAGCAGGCCTACGCATCGGTGAAGCCCTGCTCTGGCTCTCTAATGCTTTTGGCTCTGTTATATTGGTCCTTGCCTGTGGCACCATATCAGGCATCATTGTTCTGCTCTGAATTCACTCGCCTTTGCTTCACCATTTGCTTTACCATTTTTTCCTGCAAGAAAGCACTTCACGAGATCTCAAGATGGACAAAACTGCTAGTATGCCTACAGAGCCTGCAACATATCCTGGCTTAACCCAGGCCAGGATGAGATGTCTTCAGCAGTGAGTTTCTTCCTGCACCACAGCCGAGTCTTGTTAATTTACCGCCAGTTTTGGGCATACGTCAATGTTTTCCTGGACCGTCCAAAGGACGTCAAGGAGCAGTCTCACCGATATTCAATCCCTCATCGCGACCCTGGGCAGAATAGCCGACAGCAAGGCAACAAAGCACAAGTCGAAGGAAGGAGCTCTGACCCGCGAGATCTCCAAAGGTCTGCTCGATGTTTCAGAGATGCCACTGTTCCGCAAGCGTGAGAAGAGAAAGAATACACAAACAACACCCAAGCAGGCCAAAAAGGCCAAAACCTCACACGACGACAGTCCGGATCAAGTTATGCACTGAATGAAGCATGGTTGGGCAAACACTGCGCAGGGCCGTTTTCGTGTGTATCCCGGTCTACAAAAGCACGACTTGACACTTTGCGCAATGCCCGAGCGACCAGACGGAACTTGGCTGCTGTCAGGCCCTGAACAAGTGGTTTATCTCAAGCAAGGCGTGAGCACTTGCTGAGCTGACGGTATAGCTACCGCAATAAGAATGCATGGCCTGGGTAGACTCGCCTATGACGCTTCAGATGCATCAGAATCACCAGCTGCAACATCCTTGACGCTCGCCTACTCCGTGCAGACTGCAAGTTCAAGAAAGAGTATCACGCTCGCTACCCGTCACCAATTCTCGACCAGGTCTCTGCTCAGTCAGTCCATACCGAAGAAGGTTCTATGGAGAACCCATGCGAATTTTGGCAGTTTGCTACCAGAGGATCACCAAGCGTGTCCTTCAACACCATCAAGAAGAAGACATGCACTTCTTGTCACGATTCGACCTACTATCAAACACCACAAGACATTGATGTCAATTCTATCGAGCTGTATGGCCAAGCAAGCTCAAAAAACACCTTCCCGCATGTGCTCAACTCCTGGTTCAAGGACCAAGCCATCAGAAAACACAAGGACAACTTTTCAACTTGTTCCTCATGCAACAATGAACTTCCTTTCGAACAGAAAACGGTCATGCTCGATCGTCCACCTCACTTCCTTTGCGTGGGCATGAACACCGGCGAGAAAGACAGCCTGCCGGACCTCAAAGATCCGAACACTGTCCTAGACGGCGTCGAGCTCAAGTTTGAGCATATCTCGGGTGAAGAGCGCTCGGTCAAGTACAAGACCATCGCTCTGGTCTACTCCAGCGGTCTCAATCATTTCGTGTCCGCAGTCAAGGTCAAGTACAAGAAGACAGCTTCATCAAAGACAGCCGTGGAAGGCTGGCTCGAATGTGACGGCCAGAAGGGCTCTTGCAGAGAGGTTGACGGGCGCACTCTCAAGCCGAAGATCAAGTCGGGTGCAGTAGCAAGAGTACTGTTGAAGAGGGTCTACAATGAGAGCGAAAACGGTATGTTTTTGAAGTAGACAAAGCAAAGACGATGGTATCACGAATAGTTGTAAACACAAATGGATTGAGGAACATGAATTCATTCTGCCGGTGCTTATCTAGTACGTTTTGTGAATTTCAACCCTGCTGGTCAAAGGGGCTGGCGGGGCTGTTGATGGTGTTCTGGTGGCGCATGATGCTGCCCGAGAGACTGCGCAGGCCGGCGATGTTGGATCTGGCCGGAGTGCTGGGGCCAGCGGCGACCTGCTGCTGTTTCTTGAGGGTCTCAATGGCCTTCTTCATCTCGCCCGAGTCTTGCTTCAGACCCAGAATGGCCCGGCCCATCTGTTGCTGACGGGTGAAGGCATGCTCAAGGTGAGCTTGGGCCTGCTGGCTGTCGCAGTGGCGGAGATACGGTGCGGCGGGGGTGGCAGGCTCTGAAGGAAAGCGGTCAGAATCACTTTGAGAGCGTGGGCGCGATACGAGAGATCGATGTCACCCAAGATCGGTTACCCGAAGAAGTCCGACAGCCATTACCTGAGGGTGCTCACATCGCTGACTTGCAACAGTTCTGGGCCACTGGTTTGGCTTTCGCCTTAGGCCCAGAGGATGTCGAGCAGATATCCAAGCGTTGCCAGTACATCATCGCACACGTCGCCGGAATCATGACCAACGTGGCATCAATGCACAAGTCGAAAAGGAGAGCAAGCGTGTAGAGGACAACAGGTCAACTACAACGAAGTCATTGCGACTTGCTCAGCGATTGGCAGGAGCGCGCTTTATGATTGACGGGCGTCACGATGGTTGGTCCTTGAGACACACATAGGAGACGACTGACCGGAGCTTATGACTGTACTGGCCTCTTCAATGCGGCTCTCGCAGGTCCAAGAAGGGCAAAATCTCCACCAGAAATGATGACACTCTCTGATGATGACCCCCTGCTGTTTCTGACCGAGCTGGAAAAAAAAAGCGACGGCAACGAAAAGGAAGACACCAACAAAAGAGACGTGTAGCATCTGGTTGGTAATACATGACGTACCTAATCGAGGCTGTCCTCGAGAACAGCGGCATCTTCGAACTCCGAGCAAAGGAGCTCGAAGAGCGAGGCTCTGCCTTGTTTCTTGTTGTACTTTTCATACTTGAGATGACGAGGCACCTTGAGGCCCTGGGTGTTATCAAAGCATGACCAGAAGTTGGCCTCGGCGACTTTGCAGACTTTGACAAGTGAAGGGTTGGTGGCGGCAAGGTAGCGGAGGACGGCAGGAACGCGGAAGTCCCATGCCTTCAGAGCGCTGGAGTAAGTGTAAGTTAATGTTCTTGGAAAGTTTCATGGATAGTCTTACCTTTTCTTCCACTTGCTTTGAACAAGCAGAGCAAGCGCTCCATTACCCAATGCAAGCTTAAACCAGTAGACGACCTCGGCGATGTGCAACTTTTGCTCAACCTGAGGACGTGCCCGGGCAGCCTCGGTGCCGTAGGTGTCAGAGATGGTTGTAGAGATGATGAATTGGCGGTATGAGCTAGTAGTGTCTTCTTTGCCATAGAGGCCGGGGTTCTGAGAGTATGCGGTGGCGTAGAGAGGGTGTAAAAGCTCGCTACGATCGCGGAGAAGTGCGATGTGATGCCCAGCAGGTACCCACTCCCCAGCAGATTGCGGCATCTGCCCAGAGGGGAGGTTGGTAGCCCAACAAGGATACGTCGAGTAGTGTGGGTTACTGACGGTCCACTTCTATTGTGACCGTGCATCTGATCAGCAACCTTACCATCTGGTCCTGGCAGCCGGAGCAGCTGCATTGTTCATTCTCGCACTGACCATTGTTGGCGATGCGATGGGGCACAACAGCCAGTCATTACTACCAGGATGCTGTCTCGCCACAATACACGAGAACAGCGAGCATGTTGAAGACGATCAGAATGGCAAAGACGAAGGTCACAATGACTTTTGGGATGTCCTAGTGTTGCTGCGGGCGATAAGGTATTTTGATGAGTGGCAGAAGTCTGTGGAAATGTTCTACATGTCTTGTGAAAAATTTGATGCATACATAAGTGTGCAACCTAGCTGCTGCTGCTGCTGCTGCTGCTGCTGTTGCTTCTTCATGCTCGCCGTCACAAGTATGGCATGAAAATGTGCTTGCTTGCAGATGTCTAGTAGACAACAGTCTTGAAAGCTGGGAAGGTATAAGTCCAGCTGTCGATGGAAGCCTTGTCGTGTACGCAGTCAAAAGTGCTGTTTCCATGCCACAGAGGACGGCTTGGCCACTGGCAAAGCATCTGAGTCTCGCCCTCGTAATCGCCCGATGAAACAGTAGCATTCAGACGCGAAGGCTTGTTGCCATTTTCGACCCAATCGATCATGATATTCATGTTGTTCTCAGGGTAAGGACCAGGCTGAAGGCTGTTGGTTCCGCAGTGGGCAGCACCAGGAATGAGGTAGAACTGATACCAGTCCTGAAGCTCTTTCTGAGCATCTTCGTGCGAAAGATGGCCATACATGACAGAGCGGACTGACTGCCAGTAGTGGACTGAAGAAGCAGCAGGCACACTGGGATCAGATTCGCCGTGGTAATGAATGAGCTTGCCACCAGTCTCCTTGAAGGTGGTCAGGTCAGGATAAGTGGTCTGCAGACTGTCCAAATAGCGGACCATGCCGACGGTCATCCAGTCAACGAGAGTATCGTAGGTAACACCATCAAGGTCGGAGAGGTTGTCAATGTTCAGGAGCTGAACAAACTTGGTCACGTACTCGCCGCCGGTCGAAGGGATGTTGAGCTCCCAAGAACTGGTATTCGTGTTGTAGGTCGGGTCAGCGTCAGAAAGCTCAGAACCGATCTGCCAAGAGAGGTATGCACGCTCTCCTTTCGAGCTGTGGAGACCATCATAGACAGCTTGAGCGACAGCAACATCTTGAGCAGTAATGGTGCCGTTCTGTGCAGGAGTGGTGCTGGTTTGACTACCCTCAGCCTGACGCTTGCTGAACCCGAAGCCAAGGGATGAGCTAGTCTCCGCAGCACAGTAATAGGACTCTCCGATGAGTGAAGTCAGGTTGAAATGTAGCTTGCACAGATCGGTACGGGAGATGACGCCATCGGTTCGACCATCGAGGGGATCGCAAGCAGCAATGGTCGCATTCACGATCTTGGCCAGCGCACAGGGAGGAGGGTAGTAGTCCATAGTATGCTCGACAGTGGCCGGGTAGACGTGATTGACTTGTTGCTGAGCGAAGCGGAAGGCAGGTGCACCAGTAATAGCTCCATCGTATTCATCTCCAAAGCGTTGGACCTGGCTCATGCCCTCGCGACCACCATCAGAGCAGCCCTCGTAGTAGGTGTAGATCTTGGTGTTGTTCATGCCGTAAAATCCTTCGGTAATATACTTACCGACCTTGGTCATCTCGCCCAGAGCCTGGTAGGAGAACATATATGTTGCGTCCCAGTTGATGGATCCATCGCCAGCGAGTGCGACCTCGTCGTAGCTGTAGTCAAAAGCGTCATATCCAGCAGAAGTGGCACCACCGACAGCGCCGTACTCGAGACCTCCAGTTGCGGTGCTCGAAAGGGAGAAACCACCTGGCAATTGTCAGCCGATGACGCGGATAAGGTAAAGTCATCAGACTTACCTCCACCAGCGACGTAAAAGCGCTTCTTGAAGTCAGAAGGCTGAGGGAAAGCGTACTTGACAACGACCTCATCGTTCTTGCCGGTATGAGTATAGGTGATGGTAACGTTGCAGTAGCTGTAGGTGATGCCAGAACTTGCTCCGCCCATGCCTGCCATACCAGTGGAAGCATTGTAGACAGCACTTGCGGTAACAGCGGACGGGATCAGATTGATGCCGAGGAGAGTACCGTTGGCAGGCAGAGCGGCCTGAATATTCGAGATGGTGCAGACATCGGCGAGGGATGAAGCATTTGCAGCGGCCGTGAGACCTGCAGCTACGACTGCGCGAGCGAGGTGACTCATGGCTGGTTGGAATTCAAATAGCGAAAGGGTACCGGAAAGCGGAGGAGGATATTGTAAGTAGGTCGAGGTGGATTGTTCTGCAGATATCTTCGTGATTGCAAGCTGCTTTATACTCGAGCACTCTCAAAAAGGTATTCATCAGACCATAGGCCGTGCAACGGTGGAGACGGCGTAGCGATGGCCACGTAAGATGGCTCGCAAGCAATGCATTGATTCCAAAAACCATGTATGCAAGAGCTCTAACAAGAATCGACAGTTCGGGCTAGTGACATGAGTAGAATTTCTCCACGCATACCATGTCGTCGCATGAAGTGGTGGCTGATGGCCGCCAGGCCGGTTGTGGCTCGCATACATGTTCAAGATGCCGCCTGTCATTGACTCGTACTGCGAAGGTCGCGGTTCTGTCTATTTTGGCCATCCCAAGGACGTTCGGTCTAGTTTGTCTCAAGAATGAAGTGTAACGCGGCGCGTCAACCTACCTCGCCGAGAATCGATTCTGTATAAGAGGATCATCATTAATTGTGGTGGGGAGTGGGGATTTTGTTATCATTCGATTCTGGGTGGAAGAGCGACTCAATAAAAGGTAGGACCGATGATTTGCACGTAAATCACCAAGTATGCATGTTTTCCAGAAGTTGAGATGTTGAAACCGCGTTTGATGTTTCTCGTGTCGCGGAGGAAGCTTCGGCCGAGCGGCAGCGTCATCTCAGCCTCAAGACCACTTCCTGACCGTACAGTGTTTTCCAATCATGCTTTTTGTTGAAAGCAATCTGTGTCTGAAACTTGATGAGTATATCTTGGAGGAATGTTGTTACCATGACGGTCGTATACTATCTTGCATAATTGCCCATCTTGGAATATTTGAATTTCAAACGAGCTGCCGTGACGTTTCCGTGTGTGTTGCAGATAGATTTCAGATGTTCACAAAAATGTCGGCAACTTGTCTACAAAACATCTGACGACGAAAACCAAGGAAGTAAAAGCAAGCTATATAACAAGTCACTCGTTTCGCATAGGCATGATACAGTTACAGTAGAGGGACAAGCCGTGAAGAACTCCCAAAGATATGGTCAGGGTGATATCCACGACAGGAAAATCTTTGTGACATGAGGTGCTCGCGGTTGTCTGCGCTTTGCGTTGTGTTGCGTCTTCCCTTTCACTAGGTCGGACAGCAGCGCAACAGCGAGCACTTTTCAAAGCATGAATGAAGCAAGTGCGCAAGGATACCAAGCGAGATAGAGGCGTAGAGTGATCATGATTGACCGACTTGCGACAATGGGCTCAGCAAGACAGTCGTGACAGTCCAAGCGACCGAGCAGCATTACAAGAGACACTCGAGAGCACGCAAGAAAGTAGACGAGAGGTCACGGAGAGTAGCGAAGGTACAGCAGAGCACATATAAAGCAAATGGAAAGTCAAAAAGAGATGGTGTGCAATCAACAATGAGTTTTGAATTGCTGCTGCAGACTAATAATCTAAGCCGTAAACCCAGATCCCTCGAAGCAACTGCCTCGCCATCATGTTTCATGCAAGGTCGTGACAGCAGAAAGGTGGTATCGTTAGTGAAATGCTCAACTCATGTGACCTTGAGAAGAACACCGAAGCAAAGAAGAGACAAGCTTTTGAAAGACAAAAGTGTCAAATCGTTTACTTCTTGCCAGCCTTGACGGCGGCCTTGGTGACCTTACCGGCACCACCCTTGTCGGACTTGGCGACGGACTTGATGACACCGACGGCGACGGTCTGTCTCATGTCACTGTGAAGAAAGTCAGTAAAGAATAATTGTGTCAAGGAGGATAAAGGATAACATACCGGACGGCGAAACGACCGAGAGGAGGGTAGTCAGTGAAGGCCTCAACACACATGGGCTTGGAGGGAACCATCTTGACGATGGCGGCGTCACCAGACTTGATGAACTTGGGGGCGGCCTCAACGGACTTGCCGGTACGGCGGTCAATCTTCTCAACAAGCTCGGAGAACTTGCAGGCGATGTGGGCAGTGTGGCAGTCGAGGACGGGTGCGTAACCGGCACCGACCTGACCGGGGTGGTTCAGGACGATGACCTGGGCGTTGAAGGAGTCGCAACCCTTGGGGGGGTCGTTCTTGGAGTCACCGGCAACGTTACCACGACGGATCTCCTTGACGGAGACGTTCTTGACGTTGAAGCCGACGTTGTCACCGGGAAGACCCTCGGCGAGCTGCTCGTGGTGCATCTCGACGGACTTGACCTCAGTGGTGACACCAGCGGGGGCGAAGGTGACGACCATACCACCCTTGATGGTGCCGGTCTCGACACGGCCGACGGGCACCGTGCCAATACCACCGATCTTGTAGACATCCTGGAGGGGAAGACGGAGGGGCTTGTCGGTGGGACGGGTAGGAGGGTCGATGGCGTCAATGGCCTCGAGGAGAGTCTTACCGGTGGCCTTGGCCTTGGTCTCCTTCTCCCAACCCTTGTACCAGGGGCAGTTGGTGGAAACCTCGATCATGTTGTCACCGTTGAAACCGGAGATGGGGACGAAGGGAACGTGCTTGGGGTTGTAGCCGACCTTCTTGATGAAACCGGAGGTCTCCTTGATGATCTCCTGGTAACGGGCCTCAGACCACTTGGTGGTGTCCATCTTGTTGATGGCAACGATGAGCTGCTTGACACCGAGGGTGTAGGCGAGAAGGGCGTGCTCACGGGTCTGGCCATCCTTGGAGATACCAGCCTCGAACTCACCAGTACCGGCGGCAATGATGAGAATGGCGCAGTCAGCCTGGGAGGTACCAGTGATCATGTTCTTGATGAAATCACGGTGACCGGGGGCGTCGATGACGGTGACCATGTACTTGGGGGTCTCGAACTTCCACAGAGCGATATCGATAGTGATACCACGCTCACGCTCGGACTTCAGCTTGTCGAGGACCCAGGCGTACTTGAAGGAACCCTTGCCGAGTTCGGCGGCTTCCTATGAGGTTGTCAGACATTGTTGCTATTGATGGTGGATGATATGAGTGGCGAGAGGTGTTGTGAAAATTTTGCGAGTTGGGCGTCGAGAGCGGTTGAGTCAAAGCGCGAAGCTGAGCTCAACCCCACCAAGCGCCCAACACCAGGGTGAAAATGTGGGAAAACGCAGCGATCTTGTCGAAAAAGAAGGCGCAGAAATGTGAATAAGGTGAAGGAAGAGGATGGCTTACCTTCTCGAACTTCTCGATGGTACGCTTGTCGATACCACCGCACTTGTAGATCAAGTGACCGGTGGTGGTCGACTTACCGGAGTCGACGTGGCCGATAACGACGACGTTAATGTGGGACTTTTCCTTACTGCAGGCGATGGTTAGATGCTTGCACGTAGCAGAAAAGAGGATGGCAGAGCGCCATGGAAGAAGACATACCCCATGTTGACGGTTGTGTATGGAAGATGGAGTGAAGTACGGTTGAACTTTCTGAAGAGAGGTTAGAAAAAGAGGAAGGAAGAAAAAGAAGAGCAGATCCAAGAAATAGCAAAGTGGAGCCCGCTCAAGAGGTCAAAGCTTACCAGATACGATTGCTTGACGAACCGTGGTATGAAGACGGTGATGAGAAGAAGGGCGCGGGAGGGGTGGCCTTTTTGAGTGTGTGTGAGCCAGCGCACTGACTAAGCGAGCCAAAGGGTCTAGCTTCAGTTGCCCCGCCAAGCTAGTTTTTTTCTCTCACTTTTTTTGCTGCTTCGTTGGGAGCCCACCAACTGAGAGCGGAGCCAGCTGGAAAAAATGATGTAACGGATGATGAGCCAACTGTCGTTTTTTTTTGCTTGCTATGCACTGCGGTGGCGGAGGCAAACTGCTTGAATCGAGAATCTATGTGTGTATCTTTCACTTGCGGTGTCTCGACCTGGACACAGCTATCGCATTCCACGTGACAATATGCTCAATGAACTGCTCTCAGGGCTCTCTATTCGTGCCGATATGCCTATTATTCCCTCTGTATAGCCGCTCACTGCGTATGCTTGGTGTAGTTACTATCGATAACGTTTGGGCACCACTGAGGAACAGCCGCCGCTGTGCGCTGCCCCTCCAATTTTTTTCCGGCACACCGCTCGTCGTCCTGTCACATCTTACCGTTGCTTGCAGCTCACCATTTGCCGCAGTGGATAGTCGCGCGTCTAGCCTGGCCTGTTGCTAATTTGTATCTGAACCCTCCTTTTACTATTCCTTTGCTATCCACTTTTGCTACCCCGCCGCCACCAATGTCTTCCGCAGAAGCTCTCCCCGCCTACAAGCGCGACCTCATCTCGCTCACCCTCTCGTCCAACATCTTGACCTTTGGCTCCTTCACCCTCAAGTCCGGCCGTATCTCGCCTTACTTCTTCAACTGTGGTCTGTTCTCCAAGGGCAAGCTCATCCGCGGCATCAGCGAGGCCTACGCTCGTACTATCGCCGAGTATTGCTCCGCCCACCCAGAGTTCAAGTTTGACGTCCTCTTCGGCCCTGCCTACAAGGGTATTCCTCTTTGCGCCACCACTGCCGAGAAGCTTGCTGGCATTGACGAGGCAAAGTATGGCGACCTCGGCTTCGTTTACAACCGCAAGGAGGTCAAGGACCATGGCGAGGGTGGTCTGATGGTTGGCGAGAGCCTCAAGGGCAAGAAGGTTGTTGTCATTGACGATGTCATGACTGCCGGCACTGCCATCAGAGAGGCCATCAGCATTATCAAGAGCCAGGGTGGTGAGCTCGTTGGCATTATCGTTGCCCTCGACAGACAGGAGAAGACTCCCAGTCAGAGCGAGAAGGAGGGCAAGCCTGATGACGGCTCCGACAGACCCAGCACCATCGGCCAGGTTCGCCAGGAGACTGGTGTTCCCGTTCTTGCTGTCTTGACCCTCGACGATGTCATTGAAGGTGTCAAGGGCCAGGCTACCGAGGAACAGCTCAAGGGCATGGAGGACTACAAGACGAAGTATGGCGCAAGCAGCTAGATGAATGAGATGAAGCATATGAGATTGAGGACGGCATATTAAAATAGATACCCATGACAACCCAGATGGAAAAGCATTGTACTTCCGTCATACTTCCAAAGACCGCCGTACTTGATCAGGCTCCTGCTGCCAGCATCATTCCTTCGTAAACTCATTGTGACCGAAAGATTGCTTTTCGAAACAGCTCCTCGTTCGGAGGAGGTAATCAATGCCCAACAACCCCTTCGAGTTCATGCTCTAATGAAACAGGCTGCCAATGAATACTCGCTAGGAGACGTTACTGGCCACACCAAAAGAAAGAAACATCTGCCTTCCGACCTGCGGCAGGCTTACTTGGGTAGCTCTGTTACTTGTTATTATTCTGATCCTGATGGGTTACGTGACTTTGCGTTTGGACTCTGTGTCCTGGTGTTTGATGAGTAAGATGGGAAAGTGGATGGCGTATGATATGAGAAGGGCGTGATGGGCGAGGGCTGTGATCGCAATGTAGTAGGGCTGGTGAGCAGCTGCGACTGCTGTGTCACTGCTGATGTCTCCTGGTCGCTATCGTCTCGAGTCTCGCCAGTAGTTGTCAGTAGAGGAGGTAGATTGTGAGTCGAGCGTGTGGATGGCTGGCCGTGCTCGATGGATTCAGTCATGTACTCATCAAACCCTGAGTCTTGGTGTACCGGTGGCCCAAACAAAACACGTTGCTGTCGTGGAGGGTGTGGAATGCCTTCATCGTTCTCTGGAGCCCGTCTCCATGGTCGTTGATGTTGGTTGTTCGCTGTTTCGGCCGGATTGAAGTCCAATTGGAATGGCGGAGCATCAGGTACTGAAGGTCTTTGTGGTATGATGTTTGTGGAATGGTCTTGTGAGCCCTCAGCGTATCCAAAGCCTGGCATATCCTCATCGCAAAGATACTCGCATGCTGGCAACCCTTGGCTCAAAGACAGACTGGTCGTGCTACTAGCTGCCGACCTTTGACGATGGCCAGATGGACTTCTGCCTCGGTTTGGTATGACATAACTCCCGGTGCTTTCAATCCTGTACTCGGTAGATGTCGCTGCGTTAATGAATTGATACGGGTCTGTGGTAGGGAATGAAGGAGCAAAGCCAGCTGCTTTCCGCTGGCCTCGTTTGAACTCTTCAACTGCATTCCAGTCAACGGCAGACGTTGGATCGTTGAAGTCTTCATGAGAATGTTGACTTGTGAAGCCGTGATCAGAGGGTTTTTGGGCCATGCGTCTGCTTTCATACTCCCGTGGAAAGAGCGGGAACATCGATAGCAGCTCTTTTGCACTCGGCCGATCTCTAGGCTGATTGCTCAAGCATGCATCAATGATGTCTTCGAACCAGTTCGGCACATCCTGTGCTGTTATGCGAGGCATTCCTCCGGAGCTAGTTCTTGTGACATGCTCAGGCTCATCGTCTTGCTCCGCCAAAGCCCAAAGAACCATTCCCAGCTGAAATATGTCACTCTTCACATTGATAAACATGCTAACCTTCTGCCCCCTTCGAACAAGACGAAGAAGCTCTGGAGGTTCCCAACCGATCGGACAGCCACGACGATTAATGTCAATAATCTTGGCGTCGTCTTCAGAGTTGATGACGATGTTGGACAATGTAAAGTCGCCTTGGACAAACCCAGCTTCGTGGATCTCAGAAAGACCTTGAGCGATTTGATAAGCCCATTTTTGTCGGCGATGCCACGGCAACGAACTGCTCAACTTGTCATCATAGATGACATCGACCAGAGCACCAAGTGATGCAAAAGATATCAGTAACCCTTTGATAACCCTTTCCTCATCATCGACCACCAAACCATGAAATTCAATCACGCCGTTCGAACCGCGAAGTTCATTGAGCACCTCAATCTCATATAAGAACTCATCAATTGTATCTGGGCCTGGAATCTCTTTCTTAATTAAGACCTGATTGCCGACTCTGACCTTGTAGACGAAACCGGAGATGTGTGATTGGAAATCGAGCTCGCTCTCACGATACATACGACAGCCTTCTTGTGCAAAGTCCACTGATGGATATGTGATGACCTCGTTAATGTCTTCGGTAACATGGACATGCAGCTGTCCGTCTTCTGTCTCGAGCTTCAGATTTGTAACTGTGTCGTAGAACTCGATATCGGGTAAAGACTCTCTGATAGCTTCATATATACGTTGATTCTTGTCTCGTTGGAACTTGAGAGATTTGAGATCTGATTCGAGAGATGATGGAGGGGCGTCTCTGTAGTCACAAGACACAGTCACCCTGCACCAGCGGTTTGGTTGTTGGGCGTAGGTAACAAAGAACTTCTCACGATCAGATTTATCTCGAAAGTGCATACTCAAGTTGAGGATCCACGTCGATTCGAGCTCTGCTTGCAGCTCATGGTCGTCCAGAAAGGTAGCTTCGCCAGCCGCCTCTAACAAAGGCGGATTGTTCTGGGGAGGAGGATTGAATAGGTGGTCATGCTGGCCGTCCCCAAACGGGAGAGGCCTAGTATCAAAGTAACCCTCTGCATGAGTGTCGGCAAATGGCAAACGCATATGTCCTGGGGTACTGATATCTGGGGCTGAGCGAGATGATGATGGAGAATGACAGTGTCCGGGACTCATTGCTCGAGGTCGCCGTTCGGCGCTCACCGCTCTTCTTTCTGTAGCACTGGGTTCGATTGCTAAAAGTTTTTCTCTTTTTTCGGAATTCTGCCTTTTGGTGGTGAATTGTCGTGACAGTTCGGGAACAACTTTTTTAGACTTGGACAAGGTACGGCCGAGCAAGCTATTTCCCCGCGACCTTGATGGTGCCAGCATTGCATCCTGTTGTACTGAGCCATCGTTTCCTGATTCTTGTGTTGGCGCAAGGTGGTGGTCATTCAAGGCTTGCTTTTGAGGGTCCTGCTGGTGTGACGAATCATCAGGCAAAGCAGGATCGACTTCGTCCCTCTTCAACCAGCCGCCAATCCTGTGCAAAGTTCGAAGGACAGAGGAAGAGCGTTTTCTTGAGGGGTCATGTCTGGGTAGGTCGCGTCGAGAATTGGACATGTCTTGGTGAAGCCCATGGCTATTACTACTGGCGAGTGGGAAAAGCTGTGGCATAACGATGGAGCTGACCATTCACAGTTCGCGGCACCCTCGCTCATGTATCCGTCATCCAAACAACGAGACCAAGGCAGGCTAGACTTGTACGAGGAACTATTCTCGAACCCAGGTCGTACAATTGTGCGGGACCATGGTCTAATCTAGTTCCAGGCAATGCGGGGGACAGCGACCGGGTGCTGTTGGGAAGGGGAGGCAGTGCATCCTCACACAAGTTACACAGGGATCAGGAGGCTGAAATACATCCAGCGTGCCATGGCCTTAAAGGGCGCATGTTGCATGGGAGGCGCAGAAGCTTCACCGGAAAGCGACGCGGTGTGTGGGTGGAGACAGATGATCGCCCCAGCCGGATGGAATGGAAGCCAACATTCTGAATCGCGAGGCTGGTCAATCATGTTGCTTGTTCATAATTCTGCCATCATCCAGCCAGCCACCTCGACCGACATTGTTCTCGATTACTTGTAAAGTGCACGCAACCGCTGTCAGATATGATATAATGCTTGTCACCAACACGAGTCGACCTTTGACGTCTGTTGGTCAGTGCCGCAAGCCTTGAAGCGCCTTGAGGCACCTCAGTTCATGGTATTGCATCTTTGCACCTCTTCCTGCAGACATGCGCGCATCGATGCCATTCCACCATCTCGGTTATAAGCACCCCTTGTGCGCGCCTCGCTACTGATTGGTTTCTTGAGTTTTGTCCCTATTCTACCTGCAACAAGGTGGGGTCGCGCCAATCTGACCTCGAAGGATAATCTTGGAACCACTGCGAAACGAGTCTGATCCTCTGAAGGATATAACATTGCAGTCTACTTTCAGAGGCATGAACTATTGACGACTCTAGATATGCCACGACAGCCGTTTTGTGCTACGCTGAGCTGGCTCTCCGGGGAACAAACGCGTGCAGCCATAGCGCTGCTTCCATCGTCAGGGACAAAAATTAGCTCTGCAGTCTTCCTTTTGACACATGCAGCTTGATTGTGCCCCACCTTAACTTCGAGAAGTTTTTACCGCCATCGTTGCTGCACTGTTCTTCGCTTCTGATAAAGCAGCTGCAACATTCAACCAACCCGAACCATGCTTGCGTAGCTGCACTACTGAGAGAGCCACCAACCCCAACTATCATCATCGAAATCTATAACAGGCATTATTGATTGATGAACTGGATAACCCATTGCGAATAGCTTGTTTGTGTTCTGTTAGCTCAAACCTACGTTGGCCGACATATCACACGACTCTATCATCTATCGACTACAAACATGTGACTATCTCAGTCACCAACTTGCAAATCGGAATCTGGAGATGAGAAGCGGGGACTCTGGGCCTAGTATGTCGTTAACCTCACGCTTGACTGACTTGGCTGGAGAGAGGAAGTAGTCGTTCAATGCAAGCTGTCCCTTGGAGCTCTTGCAGGGTACTCCTGTTTGCTCCAAGAAGTCGTAGAAAGAAGCGCCAACAAGATCATTGAAGGTGGTGATATTTGTATAGGCAAAGTTAAGTACAACCCTCACTTCGAAGTGCGATACTGCAGACTTCGGGAGTAGGCCAGATTTGTATGCTCTCTTTTTCTGTTTATGTTTCACGAATTTCTCAATATTGTACCACACGATATCAGTTTCCGTACTCATACAAGGACCTTTCTGCTGGCTGCTCTATCATCGAGTCTCACTTCACCGTTCTTGCCATCTCTGACTCCTCGACGACAAACGCAGTCTTCCACCAACCTCTGGTCAAAAGTGTCACACGCGTGACGGCTAGACAGCTGTGTCAACACCTTCCGTGAAGAGTCCGATCGTTCTTTCTCGAACATAATCACAAAGCATCGGAGCTGGCCATTGAAATTACATTTCACTGCAGCTACAAGTCGGGCTATTTTGACTACCCATAGTCTCACACTCCGATCAGCCTTAATCACTAACTCAACCGTTACTTCCTTCCAACTCACCCTCTCCTGCATTTAGTCCTCCAGCTCCTTCCACTTCTTTCATACTTCTGCCTCTCCTACGCTTCACAGCTTCCACCTTGTCACATCATCTTCCACTATCCCATATATATCTTCGTCTACTTCTCACACCTTGCTCATCTAATTTTCTTCGACCTATTCTACAACTCTACTCCTTCCTTCACCAATCACCCATAATTCCACAACCGCATAACCATGAACTCAGGCATGCAGTCACCAGCCATGGCAGATCATGTTCTCAGCAGCACTTGGAATCCATACAACCCAAGATTCATGGATCAGCCACTCGCAACCTCCATGCACGCAGTAGTGCCTCACAACTACATACCTCACAACCCACAGCCCGCCCACACAGACCCCGCCATAGTCCGTCAACTTCAAGACCGCATCAACATCCTAGAGCAGCAATGCTTCCAGGATGGTCTAAATGCTCACTTCCGCAACTTGCAAACCTCGCAATTACTCCAGAACCTTGAGTATCGATTTCAGCATATGCAGAAATTGTTGTCGTACGATAATTCTTCGCTCCGCCATCAGATCCTGGACCTTGAAGCGAGAGAGGAGGTAAGAGATAATGAAGACTGCACTCGTCGCATTCAGTTGGAGCCAAGAAGTCAAGAGCAGAAGCTTGCATCGGCAATGAAGAATGTCAATCTGATGCGTATTTATGCTGGTGTTTCTCTCTCTGGCAATGCGACGTTTGAGGAAGTATCCCTCAGAGCAGCAGAGCAAATGGAGGCTTTGGCCAAGACTCTCCGTAGCAGGGTCAATCGTGGGGGTGCGGCGTATCTGCTCGAAGCAGAGGATGCAGAGGCATGGGCTGCAAAATTAAGGGAGGATGCAAAGCCTTCCCAGCAGCGCGAAGTCAACGACAAGTTGTCGGAAAATGCTGAGATCCCTGTGGAGGATAAGCCTGAGGCAGTCAGTCACCCAGAGGTCCAATTCTCAGATGTCAGTTGGGACGCTTTGTTAGCTCACAAACCAGACGAACCTGTGGAGTGGAATCTCTCACCTCGTAGTAAGGTCGTTACGCCTTCGAGAGGAAGTCATACTCCAGATGCAACGATCATTGCTCCGGTCGCTCGGAATGTCAGCATTGACCAGGACGTGACTTACACACATGAGCGACCGACATCAACAAAGTCATGGTCGACAAACAGCCACGCCTCTCGTCGCTCTGGACCTTTGCATGCTCTTTCCTCAGAAGTCCCTACCAAGATTGAAGAATCCTCTGAAAGAAATGTCAGCGCAGCCAAAATCGAAGCAGTCCCGATCAAGATCGAAAAACCCTCAGAGAAGAGTGCCAGCCCAGTTCAGGTCAAAGCAGTTCCAGAACTGCAAATCAGAAAAGTGGCTCCGCACAAGAAGTACGCTGCTCAGCAAGCCAAAGCATCAGAAAGTTTGATATCATTCAAGGACGACGCATCTGCAAAGGAGAGATTGATTCCGAGTATTACTCCCGAATTTGCTGAGGTTGAAGACCTATTACTTGCAGACCTAATTGCAAAGGCACAAGTACCATCATTTACACTCGGAAACGCTCCTATGAAGGGGGACTTGGCTCCAAGCATCACTCACGAGAATGCTGAGGTTGAGACTGAAGTTGACAAGGCACAGGTGCCGCTCAGAAAACTACCACCCCATCGCAGATTTGGTCCTACACAAAAAGCTGAAGCTCCCAAATTTTCTGGAGTTGAGCCCAACATCACAGCTAAGGAAGAGATGCCATCCTCCTCCATGAGAACAAACAAGTCCATGACAGTCGAAGCTCCCGGACTTCATGAAGTTGAGCATGTCGACAAGACTGGAGAGAAGACGCCGCTACCTTCTGTGAAGACGAAAAAAAAGTCGAAGTCGAGAAAGAGGGCAAAGAAGATGGAAGAACTTAAGGCAGCTGAGGCAGCTTTAACAATCAGAGATCGTGATGAACCTAAAGGGGAAGTGTCATTAGAGAAGCAGAATGAACACAAGGAGGGCATGCAATCAGAGAAGCAAGAAGAGACTATTTCTTTGCCAGAAACCAAGACCCAAACATGGCAACCCACCTATCTCAGAGACCTACCCTCTATACCTGCAGATGAACCCTCTACCATCCCTTCGCTTCAAGAAATGCACCGCTTCGACCGCTCCTTCATCCTCAGCCACCTCGGCGGCACCCGCTGGCTCCCTTCCTTCTACAGCGTCCCCGAAGACGAACTCTCCCTCCTCCCCGGTCGTGGATTCTACCTCCTCGACGACCAAACCGAGCCCTTAGCGCCCTCATCTCCAGGCCTCCACGGCAGCCTTGTGACTCCAATCCTGCGTCTACCAGAAGATAACAATCCTAACACTCCAAAGCCAGAGTCTATGCACAATGCCCCTTTGTTCCTCAAGTCGGGGCAAAAATACATTTACTTTGGGATGTATACCTACCTCCGCGCCGATCGTCTAGACATCGACAGATGTTCCTCTTTACTCCCTTCCTCGCTAAAAGCATTCTGGGCAAACCAACTCACCTCTCCAAACCGTCCAAAATGGGTTACAGAGCTGTTGCAACAACACCTCTGTCCCCCTCCTACTTATTCCGGTCCTTTGCCTTCTCATGTCTCCGATGATACTGCGTCTTCAGCTTTAACGCAACACCTTCAAATCCACGAATCTTGGCATCGCGACACGCACCTCAAGACTTCCTTCCTCAAGACTGAACACATCCTCGCTGCGTTCGAGGCTCCGGATACAGGTGGCGAGATGCCTGGGATAAGATTCTGGTGTTTGGGGTTGAGGTGTGAAGGGTGGGATAAGGGATTCTACGAAATGATGGTTAGGGAAGAAGGAAATTGGGAGAAGGAAGGAAGAAGGGATGGAGAAAAGGAGAGAGAAAGACAAAAGGAGATGTTGAGGTTGTTGGGAAGGAAGGGAAGACCGATCAAGTGGTAAGCACGCGAAGACAAAGGTAGGAAACAAAGTCGTCGACATCGCGGAGCTGAAGAGAGAAGCAGCTCGCGTGCTGTCAACACGACCAACGTTCGGGAGAAAAGGAGTCTCGACAGTTCTTGAAGACAACGGAGGAGCTATGGAATTCCCCCAAGACTTTCTTGCGCAAGGGGCGTGGAAAGAAGAAGACTTTCTCGTCAAGGAAAGTCTCGAGCATACTTGACCTTGTGTTTTGCATTTTTCTTTTGAACAGGCTCATTCACAGGGAGAGCCATTCACCGAACATCTCATTATCGAATTCACATATTGCAAAGGAAGGAGAAATAACAAGAGATCAATGTTAATCAATTCTTCATAGGCTCCAAGCATCCCATAATTACAAATTCAAACCCTCAAGCAGCGTGAGCCCAATCTCCCAGAGATATCGTCTGAACATAAAAAGAGGAAAAAGAAATAAGAACATAAACGCCCATAAAATCATCTACAACCGAGAAATGCTTTGAAACTGCCGTGACAGAGAAGAGGTGTATCGTGTGTACTCTTCATTCCTTCTTGAAAAGTTCTGCCCTTGAAAACAACAAACTCCGTAATATGTAACTTGCTTCCCATCCAGGCTCTTACATTCTTCTAGGACCAAAGTAAAGCAGACCACCAATACCAGTGAAGGTCAAACCCATCCACCACCAGCGGTCAGGGTTCATGACCTGGCTCTGAACACCAGTCTTGAAATTTGTAGGAACCTCTCTGGGAATGTCGCGCTTGGCCTTTGAGGTAGAGGTGGGTGAGGCAGCGCCGAGAGTGGGGTTGAGAGTTTGAGTGGGCAACATCTGGGGAGGAGAGAAGACGAGGTACAAGGGCTGCATGATTTTGCCGTCAAACTCGGTGAGGTCCAGGCGCGGGATGTTGTGGTAGGGGTCGGTGTAGATGCGGTATGCCTTTTATTCTTGTTAGTTTTGATACTTGAGAATCGCCGAAGAAGGATGTTTGACATACCTTCATGTGCTCAGTGGTGTTGTAGCGCGTGTAAACCGAGTGGCTGTTCTGGCAGGGCTGGGATAGCAATTGTCGGCCATCGACGGCGATGGGGGTCATATCCATGGAACCGTCGGAGTTGATCACGTAGCTGCCGTGTTGCCATTGCATGATGGCGCCAGGGCATGAGGGGTCGGTAGGGTTGGAAATTGCGCGGTAGTAGGCTTCCTCGTAAAAACCATCGGACGTAAAGGAGTATGAGATGCCCGTTCGCGCGGGCTCGATCAGGGTGTCGCTGACGGGGTCAAAGAAGCCCTTCAGTAATGGTTAGCGAGCATTCAACAAAGCGTAATGAGGAGACATAACGTACAGGACCAGTCAAGGTCTTGTTGGACTTTGTTGACCATGTGCCGACTATTTTGGCGTCGGTGACCTGGGCTGAAGCGACGCTGCCAAAGGCGAGGGTCGCCGTCAGGGCGTATGCTGAGGGGAGTCTCATGTCTGTCTGTGGCGCTCTGCGTTTGTGGTGTCTTCGTCGTTGGTAGACGGATATCAAGGCGAGCAGGGTATGGATCGGTCGTGTGTTTTTCTCGAAGGCAAACAGAATAACTGGGTGGAAAACAAGGTTGAGCGAATGGTTATTGCGACTCTGAGGACGACGACGCGCTTGGCGGGCCCAAAACACGGAGAAGGAGAAGCCCAGCGAGCCCCTGCCCGAAATAGCTCCTCAGCCTCCTCTCCACACTGAAACACTTTGCTTCGGTCAACACTATGCTGAATGCCCTTGCAAGAGCAACGATTGCTATTCGCACTGTCAATACATCCAAAATTGCTACAAGGACCTTTTCATCTCAAATGTCGTCAGCCACTCTAGACCTGGGTGCCGAATCTCAACTGTCGGACAAAAAGGCTGTGAGAAAGAAACTGCACGGCCTCCTATCTTCGCTACCGTCAGATCACGTCCAACGTCAATGTCCGTTCTTCATGTAGTTGCGCCATGTCTCCCATAGTTAAACTGACATCCTGTAAGCCGTCAATGCCACAAATTTGCTCTTGTCACTGCCAGAATATAAAAATGCTCGTTCTATCAGCATCTTCATGTCGATGCCTTCTGGCGAGATCAACACTAGAGATCTTACCAAACATGCTTTGAGCTCAGGAAAGCACGTCTTTGTGCCGTACATCTACAAACCCAAGGAACCTCGTCAAGGTAATTTGCCCGCTTCCATCATGGACATGCTGCAGCTGGCCGATGAAGAAGACTATGCTTCGCTTCTGCCTGACAAATGGGGCATTCCATCAATCCCCAAAGAAACTGTCCCAGATCGTGCAAACTCGTTCGGAGGGAAAGGTATTAGTAATGGAGACTCACCAGCTCCAGATGCAGCAGGTCTAGATGTGATTCTCATGCCCTGCATGGCTTTCGACCAAGACCTGAATCGATTGGGTCATGGCAAAGGCTACTACGACAACTTCCTCACACGGTATTGTTCGGCACAAACAGCAGATGGACAGAACAGAAAGAAACCGTTTTTGGGTATGTACCGACGCCTTTTTAGCATTTTTCGAATAATGTCCCCTCTCTCTAACCTCTTGGTATCCTAGTGGGATTTGCGCTTGCTGAGCAAATGCTTCCTTCTCAATATCGTCTGCCGATTGATCCATGGGACTGGAAGGTAGATGCGGTGGTGCTCGGAGATGGCGGGTCAGAGGCCAGATTGGTGAGGGCTTGAGATGATGGCGAGGCGCTCATGGTAGATGGCGGATACGCAGAGCAAGTCATAGCTGCTCTAGGCATTTGCGAAGATAAGAAATTCATCAAACTCATAGACTCTGGATGAGAGCAACGTTGTCGCCCTTGAGGAGGATTTGGCCTGAGAGTACAGGTTAGCGCACGAGTCGAGACATGTCGCATGGCAGATGTAGACATACCGAGGCTTCTTCTCGACTCTTCAGGATCGGACTTTGTGGGTTGCTTGACCTCAATGGCATCGTCGACGACCAGGTTCATGAACTCATCGAAGCCCTGTATATTTGATCAGCATGCGCGCAGATGAAATGAGGTGGCAGCATGACGGACTCTGATGGTACCCTCGATACGGATGCCCAGCTGTTCGAACAGCCATATCGAGACCTTTGCGCGGGTCTGAAGAAGCTTGAAAATGTAGTTGATTGGCGGCAGCAGCACCTTTCCACCACCTCCGCGTCCGCGTCTCTCCATCTTGTCTAGTGGTTTGGTTGTGCGTGTAGGATCGATATGGCAAGTCGCAGTCGGCTGTGTTGATGCCTAGAATGAGACAGGGTATGGGCGAGTGGTTTTGAAGAACAGATTGTGGTGATGAAGTGGATGCGACACGGTCTCGTCGCAACAGCAAGAGCAGCCAGAGCAAGCGCAGCAGGAGCGACCAAGACCGCAGTCTCCAGGTGAAAGCAGCAGGCGCACGGACAAAATGTGTTTCTGCGTCAGTGTCAATTGCGGCCAAAGAAACATGGAGACCAGCCCGATTCAAATCAACAAACTCGCTCCTTTTGTCTATTCATTGCCCACTGCTTTATTTGTTTTTAGGGCCTATTAATTCGAGCAAGCAGCCACGCCTTCTTCATCCATCTCCCTCTCCCAGCTCATCGTCGCTGCTCCTGTGCAGGTCGCTCCGTACAGGACATCCCACCACCATGGCCGCCAACGGCACCCAGGCCTTTGCGCCAGTCCTGGCTGCTCTTCAGACTATGCAGTCCAACGTCGATCGTTCACAGAAGGGCCAGGCACACGAGTTTCTCGAACAATTCCAGAAATCTGTATGCAAAATCACACACCACATGGCCCCCTCCATCCCCCACTAACCATACCAGAACGAAGCATGGAACACAACCTTTCTGATCCTGAACTCGCCTGAAGCCTCTACCGAATCAAAGCTCTTCGCCGCAACGACTCTCAAGGGCAAGATCATCTTCGACTTCCACCAGCTGCCTCGCGAATCTCTGCCCGAACTGCGCAACACTTTGCTGTCGCTACTCGCCCAATTTAGCCAGGGCCCCAAGCCTATTCGCACACAACTATGTGTCTGCCTCGCCAATCTCGCTATCCAAATGCTCGAATGGAAGGACGTACTACAGCTCGTCGTTTCCACCCTCGGCAACGACCCCAATGGCATTGCTTGCGTCCTCGAGTTCTTGCACGTCCTGCCCGAGGAGGTTACAGAAGGAAGAAAGATCAACCTTACCGAAGATGAGCTGAGGGATAGAACAATCGAACTGTTGGAAGAGAACGGAAACCAAGTCCTCACGCTGCTCAACCAATACGCTCAGTCGTCAGACGCTGCCTCAAAGAACCCTCAACTCATGGAGTGTATCACATCATGGATCAGAGAAGTCCCGTTGAACGACATTGTCAACTCACCTCTCCTGAACGTTGTCATGAATGCATTGGAAGCCGACGTATCCTTCGAGTCCAGTGTCGAAACTCTTTGCGCCATCTTCAGAGAAACAAGAGACGTTGACGAATGCATGGCCATCATCAAGACCGTCTACCCTAGAATCATGGCCATCCGACCAAAGATTGCACAAGCTGCCGAGGCAGAAGACTTTGAAATGCTCAAGGGTCTTACGCGCATTTTCGCAGAGGCTGGTGAAGCCTGGGTCGTTCTCATCGCTCGTCTGCCTGAAGAGTTCCGTGGTCTGGTTGAGGCTGTACTTGAATGCGCTGCTAGAGATACCGAGAAGGAAGCCATCAGTAGCACTTTCATCTTCTGGTACGAACTTAAGCAGTACATCACTCTGGAACGCTACATGCAGGCTCGCATGCAGTTCGTCGACATCTACCTCAACTTGGTCGATATCATGATAGGACACCTCGAATTCCCCAAGCCTGAAAGCGGCAACGACAACGACCTCTTCGATGGTGATCGCGAACAGGAGGACAGATTCCGTGAGTTCCGTCATCAGATGGGCGACGTATTGAAGGACTGTTGTGAGGTTATTGGCGTCACTGAATGTCTTCAAAAGTCATATGTCAAGATTGAAGAATGGGTCAACACGTATGGTGCCCAAGCGAGCGCAGGAAATGTCCCCGAGTGGCAGAAGCTCGAGGCTCCTCTGTTCAGTATGCGCGCCATGGGTCGTATGGTTCCTCCGGACGAGAACATCATGCTGCCCAGATTGATCCCTCTGATCGTCCAGATTCCGGATCAAGAAAAGGTCCGCTTCCAGGCTGTCATGGCACTTGGAAGATACACCGAGTGGACCGCTCAACATCCTGACACTCTTGAAGCTCAACTCAACTTTATTATGGCTGCGTTTGATCATCCTTCTAAAGAGGTCGTCACCGCTGCTGCTCTCTCCTTCAGATTCTTTTGCAACGACTGCGCTGAGCTCCTCAAGGGCTTCGCCAACCAACTCCAGACCTTCTACGAAACCGTCATCAACAGATTACCGCCAACAAGTCAGGAGGAGATCACAGAAGGTATGGCATCGGTGCTCTCAAAACAGCCCATCGATCAGATCTATGCCTCTTTCAAGATGTGCTGCGACCCTGTCGTCAAGCGTCTGATGGACATGGCTCAGTCTGCCACTGGTGAAAAGGAAAAGCTGGCTCTTGCAGACCACCTCAACCTTATTACTATCTTTGTTCAATGGATTCAACCAGAGATTAGACCTGGTGAGCCACACCCTGCCGTGCAATACTGCCAGGAGATTTTCCCTGTTCTGGCCGCCATTGCCGACAACTTCTCCAACTTCTCTCCCGTTCTTGAGCGCGTCTGTAGATGCTGGCGTCACATTGTGCTCGCATACCGCACACACACCGCACCCCTGCTTCCCGATCTAGCCGAGAAGTTGGCATCTGGCTTCGCTGCATCAAGGCAAGGTTGCTTCCTCTGGGCTACTGATTCGATCGTTCGTGAGTTCACCGACGAATCAGAAGGTGTCACTCCTGAGACGACACAAGCAATTTTCAACTTTTATGTGCAACAAGCCACTACCTTTTTGCGCGCGCTCAACGACCTGCCTCCTGAACAACTACCCGACGTCATCGAGGACTTTTTCCGTCTCTGTGTAGACGTACAAGCCTATCATTCACGCCAATTCATTGCAAATGAGCTGACACCTACTCTTCTGTCCGCCGCTTCCACCTCGCTCACTCTCCTCAAGGACGAGCCAATTCTGGCGACTCTTCACTTCTTGCGTGACTTCCTCGCTTACGGCGGCGAGAACGCACCTATCTCAACTTTCAGCGAGGATCCTAATCGCCGCCTGAACCCACCAGAGATCCAAAACGCTGTCAAAACACTCACATCCCAGCAAGGCGAAGTGTTGGTACAACGCCTCATGACTGGCATGATGTACACTTTCCCGGCCGATTGCTTCCCAGATGCTTCTGGAGTATTGCTCGCAATGTTCCAATTGATGCCAGAGGCAACCGCGACTTGGACGGCAAACACAGTCTCCATGCTTCCTGCTGGATCCATCAGCCCGCAAGAACAAGAGCGACTGTTGCGCAACATCGAGCAACGCATTCAATCAGGAGATATACGCAAGATCCGCACACTTCTGCAAGATTTCACAAACTCGTACAGGAGAAGGAACGTTGCACCCAGAGAAGGCCTCGGTAGATTGGAAGCTGCGAGATTCCGCTTTGCCGGGTAGATGTGGCTGTTCCATCGCTCCTGCCTGCTTTTCCTTTCGACGTCAATAGATTCTTGGACAGCGTCTACAAAAATGTTGTTGCTGATTGAACAAAGGAAGAATGGGGTTCTCCAAAAAAAGCATTTAGTGCATTGCTAGCCTTTTTTTCGCTCTTTTTTTGGTAGAAATAAAAGATTACTTCCAAAGATTCTGCTGTCTATCCATTCTCACTCAAGACTTGGTCCATCATGCTTCTGTCTCTGTTCCTGCCATATGTCAGATTCCAGTCTTGTTGTTGGTGATCGGTTTCTCGCAAAGACCTTTCCTGATCACTAATAAGTAAAGCCCACCACGCCCTTCCCTCACCCACCCCTTATATACCCCCACCACCCCCTCCCTCCCACCTCCCAACCATCGCTTTACCGACAAGCGGTGGTTGTAGCCCAGCGGTCTCACGCCAACTTCTCTTAGAGGTAGTTGGGCGCCCCCCGCTGGAAAGGTCCTCGGTTCGATTCTCAGAGTCGGACCAATCTTGAAATGAAACCAGGTTTATCTGGTGGCTTTCACCCCGCTCGCTGATAGGCTCTAGACGACTGAGCCTAGAGCGGGGATTTGTTTTGCTGATTTGTGGGAGAGGGAGAGGGAGAGGATGTGGGTTTATGGCGGGTGGTTTTGCTGGGCGGACGTGGATAGGTCTGAAGACCCGTGGCTGGGGGATTCTGGATGGGTTTGTCTGGTGTGGGACTTGGTTGATGGCCGTGATGCCTCGATCTTGCGGTGGAGTCGCTGTTCTCTCCTTCTGGTCTGCTTGCTGTGAAATCAACGGCTGCGATCCAGGATGAGTATCGATGATCGAGTCGGAGGTCTGGAGATGGTAACATCGTGTCGTGTACGATGCTCTGACTGGTCCTGTGTTACCGAGCCATTCGGTTCTTTCGAGACTACCAGAGATGCGTGAACCGCTAGGTAGTCGTAGTGTTGTTGTCGCTGCTTTGTGCCGTACATCGCAGTGTCATCCTCTCATCTCGCCCAATCCCTACACTCAATCCTCTCCCTCCCCTTCTCCACATCCACACTCGCATCCCTAACACTCAAATAATCCATCTCCATCGCAGTCCCACTCGTTTCCATATCAAGATATGTCGGCGTCGGATCCGGCAATGCTTGATACAACTTGATCTCTTTCCCACCACCGTTGTCCAGCTTTGGCATTTCTATCCTTTGAGGAGTGTTGTCTTTCCTTGCACTTGATCTGCTTCTACTCCCACTACTCAGTGCAATTTTCGCTTTTTGGGCGATGCGAGCGGCGAGAGGTCGCATTACCGACATGGACGCTACGATTATACCGATTGCAGACTCGATGAGTGAGGTATATGCGATAATATCGTTTTGGCGCGAGTAGTAGTTTGTATCCAGTCGCAAGCCAGGGATATATGGGATCCTGACCACGGAAACTATACTTCCCGCTGAAGCAAGTAAGATGATAAAGTACACAGACGCCTTTGATCGCGTGTCAAGACTGAGGCCAGAGACTATGTAAATGGCGAGGATGGCGAAGATCCAATCTACAGCTGCGTTGAGGGCGGCGCAGAAATAGTTCAATGGGCCTTGGATGCTCCAGGAGAGGCAGTGTAGGTTATCGAGGTTTATGGTTGCGATGTTGCCGCATTGGCCGATGGAGATGCCGAGCAAGATAAGGTTGAAGACGACGGAGATTGTGACGCTGACGATGATGATCCAGCGGTGTAAAGGACGGTTAGGGATGCGGAGGAAGAAGAAGGCCATGGAGAGTTTGAAGAAACATTGGTTGAGGAGATAGAATGTTATGCCTAGGATACTGAGCTGTTATATCTCGTCAGTCTGATACTGTGAGATGCAGAGAGTGAAGAGGCTTTGGTTTACCTCTGCGAGTTTGACGATAGGTTCAAGACCTTGGGTCCATTCTGTAACTCCAATGGCTATGAAGATTCCACAAGCAGCGAGAAAGCAGATCTGAAATGATGTGTTAGTAGACTTTGCCGATGCAGCAAGAGTTGCCCTTCTCACATGAGCAAGTATCAAGAAAACATCATCACGACCGAAACTTCGAACAAGACAGCATCGAACCCATAACCGTATCGAGAGTGCGATGCTCGCGAGTATCGCAAGTGGAATTGGCATCACAATAATCGCCATCGGATGTAAATTATACTCTGCAACATCTGGCGAAACCATTGTTGCTTTCTTATTCTGTTCACGTTGATTCGAGCATGGGAAGAGACGAGCGACACGACAGAAACAAAAGCAAAGATCAAACAAGGAGAAACGGAGAGATGGAGGGCACACCCATCAAGATAAGAAGTGCAAGTATCAAACTTTCCCTACCTGTCAGAAACCTTGCTTCTATTACATGCCGTTTGCATTTTGGGGGTTTGTGAGTCTGCTAAACGGGTCACGCTGTGCAAAAAGACTATAACACAGCCCTCGAAAGCTGGTATACTATGGCGATCGCTAGGTTCGAGGCGTCGGCATGATGATCTAAAAGCCACAAGGACCGTTGTCGACGAAAAAGACGTTGACCTGAAATTTCGCAATCGCGTGTCTCAAACCTGGGGTTTGTCTTTGGGATGCACAAGCGAACCGCTTTCGATAAGAGAAACAGTTGGACATGGGACTCGAATTTGTCAGTGTCGTTACTGCTTGGCGATGGAGAAGAAAGAAACAAATGATATGTGCAAGGCTTTATCTTGCTCGAGGCTGAATGAGTCTGGACATAGGTAGAGTGACTGTCTACCAACTGCCTTCTGTCATGCAACCATCTTTCCCAAAAAGACAAGGAACGTTGCTCCCAGAACCCACATCGTTTCACCCTCGCGCTTCCGAAGACCTTTGCATCCGAAAGCATTTTGCATCACATCATATCTCGTCTAACTATACTCGCTGTCTCTCGTACCGTAGAGAGGCCGTCAAAGCCAAGCACACGTTAACAACGATGCTATAACAGCCTGGTCTCTACTTGCCGCCAGGAGGAGTGTAGCTGGAGTAGCCAGAGCCCGAGTTGTAGTAGGTCGAGCCATTGGGATTGCTGTAAGCCCGAGTTGTAGTAGGTCGAGCCATTGGGATTGCTATAATAGTACGAGCCATCGCTGTTTCCTTCACATTGCCATCGCTCCTCGAAAACTTGTAGGTTGAACTTACGTGTTGGAGTAGTGGTAGGAGTTGCCATTGGCAGCACTGGATCCGTAGTCGCGCGAGCAGTAGTGGTTGCCCTGGTCGTTGGTGCCACTTGACATGATCTGATACGCAGAGCCGCTGCCGCTGGAAGCCGAGTTGGAGCCAGAGCTCGAGGTGGAGGAGTTGTTGAAAGGCATCTTAGGTTTAGGCTTGAAGGTGAATGGTAATGGTTATGCTGGAGTGTTGGGGTTTGAGGTTGAGATGAGAAGAAGGAAATCAAGATGGGCTCTAAGCTTGAGATATAGCTACAGCTCTGGCGAGGGGTCTTTTGAGCCTCAAGCTTGCAGATAATGAAGGAGCAAACGATAGCGCCATAGATCCGGGTTCGGGCAATCACACCGCAAAAGAGCTTGGATGCTCAGGCGAGATTGGAGGTCGCGGAGCACGATTAGATGTCAGTGTTTGACAGTACATACCGTTGATATATGAGCATTATGTTCTCGCGACAAGAAGATAGTACCAGGTACAGGACCATACGAAGGTATGTAGTGCTGAGTTTGTGGTTCAGAGCTCATGGTAGAGAGATGGTTGAAGAAAAGCATGTGGCAGTGACGTCTCGCGTCGCGGGTCGAATCTCCAAAGAACACCCTCCACAGCAACAAATCACACAACACACAAGAGATCAATGAGCTCTGATAGCCAGGCAGAGATGCCACCCTCAACGTTGGCCAAGGCCATTCAATTCGGCCCATTCACTGTAACCTCGCAAGTCAGTCAATTCCAGACACAGCGACCCCTCCACACCGACCAAGACTTAACCCAAACGCAGGTCTTCTACAAAACACCTCTATCCTTCTGTCTCGTAAACCTTAAACCCTTATTGCCTGGCCACATCCTCGTCTGTCCTCTCCGTCGCGTCCAACACATCGATCAGCTCAGCGCCAATGAAGTCACAGATCTGTTCAGCACAGTACAATTGGCGTCGCGGACGCTGAAGCGCGTTTACAATGCCTCGGCATGCAACATAGCGATACAAGATGGCGAGGCTGCGGGACAGAGCGTGCCCCATGTGCATGCTCATCTCATACCAAGAGTAGATGGCGACATGGATGCGCACGGCGGAGGTGACAAGATTTATGAGCAATTAGAAGGTGATGAAGGAGACGTGGGCAGGCATCAGAGAGAACAAGAGGGTGTGAGAAAGGGCAAGTTCCCCAAAGTCGAGGATGACAAGAGACAGCCTAGAAGCATGGAGGAGATGGAGAAAGAGGCCCACTGGCTAGCAGAAGAGATTCAGAAGGACGCTCAGAAGTTCTCGAATGAGTCTTCGTTATAGCGTTCTATGTCTGACGGCTTATTGCACCGTGTTACAGAAGATATAGAGCTCTTGGAGAGCAGGTCATAGACGGGTGTGTTTGAAAAGCCCCATCAAGGTAGAATTGCCGCTGTACAGATATCGATCGTCTCTTCCAAAGGGTCGCGATATAATTCATTCTCGTTCCAGAATTAAACAGAGTAAAACAGAAAAACGCCATCCATGCTTCATATCCCGTGCCAAAGCGCCAAGATTGTTTTGTTTCGAGAAAGGTAAAGGGTATGGGTATAGAGTAGAAAGGGCGCTTAGTTTGCGAGAACGGTCTTGACGAGGTCTGGGAAGTAGGTGTCAATTCATGCGATACACTTGAGAGGGACATCTTGAAGTCTGCTTACCAACGTAGTTGATCTCGCCGCTGCTGGTGTCAACAGCCTTGAGCAGCTCGTCAACCTCATCGTCGCTCATCTTCTCGCCCAAGTTGGTCAGGACTGCGCATATGTTAGTGTCTTGTTCTTGGCAATCGTCGTCTTCAGGGGCAGCCGTACTGTATCTGAGCTGACCGACACCAATGAAGCCAGTCATGTCCTTGTCGAAGACTTGGAAACCGCGGCAGTACTCCTCGGGCTCTCCAGGGTCGCGGAAACCACCGGCGCGGTTGAGGACTTTTGAGAATGAGTCGAAGTCGACTGGTTGAGCATGTCAGTCGCTGTGTTTCATGGTCGATTGTTCTTCTGCCGAGACTCACAGTCTCCGCCAATGCTCTTCTCAAGGTCGCTGATCTCAGCGAGGGTGGGGTTCTGGCCGCATGCGCGAAGGAGGTCGCCCAGGGACTCGAGTTGAACACGGCCGTTACCGCGCTTGTCGAAGAGAGCGAAAGCCTCCTTGTAGTTTGTTGTGTTGGCCTGATCCATTGTCTTAGTCTTGATCTGTATGCGACGTTGCGCTGTAGTAGAGGTGCTGTGTTGCGGGAAAGAGAAGTGGTGGAGAAGAGTGGAATGGCCGTTGTTGTGGTGTGTTGTTCTTGGGACGGGGAGTTATCGACCGACACAAAACAGGGCGATTGGCGACTTTTGGTTGGCTGCATCTTGACTTTCGGGTCTCCATGCAGGGTCTGCCCGCAGTAAACAGATCAACTCACCATCTTTTGGTTGTGTGTGTTCTTGTCTTTGTCTAGTTCCTTCTAAACAAATGAAGTCTGGGCTTTTGGCGACTGAGGAGGTATCCGTGAGGCTGTCTGCGTCTGTAAGAACCCCTCAGCAGTATAAAGGAGTCGTTTGATGTGTTTGTGTCGAATCTGCGCTGCGGCCATTCGGCGGCCCAGCACGCTTTCAGGCCCGTTGCCATGCGGAACTCATCAACACACTCCCCGATTAGGCAACTGTGCCTGCCTTTTACCTATCACTTTCTACTTCTTCTTGCAGTGCTTGTACAGACAATATAACTTGCTTGGAGCAGCTTATCTGTGAAGATTGATCTCGATTGGCTGTTACATGTCGGTTATGTGTGTCATGGTTTATTGGACAGGTGTGTCTTTACGTAAATCTGCTCGCGGTTGAGAGAAAAGCATCACCAGTTGAACATTCTCGCTTTTCTTACACGCAGCTATCAAGGAATAGTCATGATCCATCACAGAGCTCTGAGTATATCTCTCTGTGGGACAAAGTGGCCTAGAAGGATGTATCGGTCCCGACATGTTGCAAACTATCCGATGACCAGGGTCGTATATTTAACAATCTGACTTGATCGCGGAGAGAACCAGAGTCTCATACCTCGGCACAGCCTTAACTCCATAAGTCCGCATGTGATCATTCAGTCATCACCTCAAGTCTGTATCTTCCTCCATCGATATCTCCATAGAACGATAACGATGACAACTCAAGACATGAACGCAGCTGTAAAGAACTTCCTCGCCAGTCCTCGCTTTGCCGTTGCAGGCGCAAGCAGCGACCCCTCCAAGTTCGGCCACAGAGGTAGATATGCTTCGATGCACCTTCACAACCTCCATTAACACTTTACAGTCTTTGCATGGTACCTCCAGCGCTCGCTACCAGTCACACCACTCAATCCATCACGACCAAGTGTCTCTGTCGCCTCCAAGGACTACGATACCGTGTCTTCGCCTTCAGCTCTGCAGCAGCCAAAAGAGACGGGCTTGAGCGTCATCACACCTCCCGCCGTTACCAAGAAATTACTGCAAGAGGCCAAGGAGGCTGGTGTGAGAGCTGTGTGGCTTCAGCCTGGCAGCTTCAACGACGACATCCTCGAGTATGCGAAGAAGGAATTTCCAGGTGCAGCGGTAGGTGGTGATGGAGGTAGAGGTGGAGAAGGTTGGTGTGTCCTCGTTGATGGAGACAGTGGCCTCAGAGCCGCTGGAAGGGAGCAAGGTCGCTTGTAAAGAAAAGGAAGCAGTGTGCTGCATCTAATTGTTCATTTCACGTTACGCATGATCATTACCAGCGCCTATCTGGTTCCCTGAACTTCATATGGCCTCTGCCTTTGAACTTGACGGTGCTCTCTTCGCCCGCTCCTGCCCCAGCACTACCGTATGAATCTCCACCCAGACGTCCTTCTTCTTGCCTTGGTGGGCGGTATGAGTTCCTTCCACCTCTTCTTCCACCGTCTCTGTCGTAATTCCTACCACCATTGCCAGGTCTGTACCGATCGTTATTCCTGTGTCGTCTGCGATCACTATCGTTCGATTGACTTGGTGCATCATGATCGTAGTACTGATTTGGCAAGCTTCTTCTTCGCCGGCGTGAGTCTATCGGACTTCGACTTGACTCGCGACTGGCCTTCTTTCTCTCATATCCTCGCGACGGACTGGGACTACGTTTCCGCTTGTACCTGCTGTCTGGGCTCTGTGAATCGGACTCGATGGCACGCTCTTTTGCAGACGACTCTACATCTTCGTCATCCGATCTTGCGCGTACTCTACCGCGCAGAGTTTCGTCGATTATGTGGTCGCTTTGTCTTCGTACTGGCTGGCTCCTCTTGGGTCGTGGGGAGGGAGAGCGCGAGAGTGATGCAGAGCTTCCGCGTCTATTTCTTCGCCCTCTGTCTTTGCTCGTTGGTTCGGGTGATGCGACGGGAGCCTTCTTCCTGCGCTCAAGTTCTCCACAACGAGCGATCAGAACCGGCTCGAGGGGTTTGTCGTCCTTGTCGACCTGGACCTTTGCCATGCGAGCAAGAGTGTCTTCACCTCCCACCAAGCGTCCGAATATGGTGTGTTTGTTGTTCAGGTGCGGGCACTCGTCGAGAGTTATGAAGAATTGACTGCTGTTGGTAGCCCTTCCTCGATTGGCCATGCACACCAGACCGGCAGCATCCATGTCGCGCCAACCTAGATTCTCATCTTCAAAGTCGCCGCCGTAGATGCTGTCGCCGCCTGTACCGTCGCCGCGGGTTATGTCTCCGCCTTGTACCATGAATTCGTCAATGATGCGGTGGAAGGGACTGAGGGCATAGCTGAGATTCTTGTGCGAACCTGCACACAGCGCGCGAAAGCTGTCGGCGGAGTCAGTGCAAGTGTATACAAAGGGAAGCTCAATATTTCGTACTTCTCACATGTCTTTGGAGTCCGATCAGTAAAGAGCTCGATGGTTAGACGACCTGCAGGTTCATTTCCAATGGTGATTTCGAGGAAGACGCGCGGACGATTGGGCGCAGCCATAATGTTGATCTGGAAGAGCTGACAGACAGCGGCAGTCTACTGCAGCAGTGCAGCTGGGAATGGTCACAGCATCGAGTCAGCCCTACGAGCTCTGCAATCAAGATCTTCTCGAATCTCGAAGCTCTTCCCCGCAGTCGACTGCCAAGTCTTTTGTATACCTACAGACTACAGTACTCGAAGTGCCGTCCTGTTCTATAAAGTAGAAACTAGAGGCTGAGGCATCACCTCGGACGGGCTTGCCTCGCGTGCCGTTGCTCCATTGCATGATCTCACCTGGCCGTCGGCCTGTGGTGTCATCGCAGCTCGAGAATTGGTTGAAGTCTCAAGAGTCATGGCCAAGTCGCTACTACTGCCGCATTCGTTCAGCGCATGCATGATTTCAATTGACGATACTACCGATCGAGCTCCTTGCTAGGGCACGCTCAACCAACCCACCCTGGCCTTGCATGCGCTTCCGCTTCCACTCGATACTCAGACGACTTCCAGGCCACATTATTGTTTGATTTCCACCTCAAGTGCCGTCCCGCGGGCAGCTGAAACTTTATCGATATACGGCACAACGTCGACGGAGTCGCACAAGGCGAGTCAGAACTTCCTCACTCGCTTGCACATGCGGCTTTGTCCTGTCGACATGTCTTTTGACTCTTGTCACAATTTCTTTCACCCGCTCAACCCTTCTGCCATGACATTTAGCAGAAGCACACGTGGGCGCCGTAAGCCTTGACCACGGACTGTACCCTGGCCCCACAATGCTTTGGCCTCAATCTCTAATCACATCGATCTCAAATCCATCTGATCTATGATCAGTCGAGATTCACCGCCTATGTATAGAGTTTACCGAGTCACAAACAAGATCTACTCTATGTCGAATCAATCCGTTCTCTGATAGTGCGGCGAGTACGTGCGTGTTCGATGGAATATCCAACTGCCTGGAGCCTTTTTCCCCGTTCCGCCGGCAACAGTTATGCACAACGGTTTGAGGTCTGATCCTCTCGGCTCCAACCTGCACCTGCCTTTCTGGAATCGCCTTCTCAAACCCAAATCGTCCAGCCGGGTACGGATCTGAAATGCCGTTTCTCGCTTGCTACTGAGTTTGCCGCCATGCTACCTTTCCGACCCTGTTCCACACAATGCGAAATAACTACTTGCATTGCCCAATCACGACTGCAAGGCCACCAGCTTCCAGATACTCGGAAGCTGAAATCTGCTTTAGCCGATACCCATACCTTGTCACTCCACGAGTGTGGCTGAAGCCTATATCATTACATGGTTGGACTAGACTATCGAGGCATTGCGCGAATCTTTTCATCATTGAATTGTTCCTAGGGGCATTAGGTCACTTCTTTGGTGGTATTGGGAATGCTGCCCTGTTGAACGAGTCATTCTAATGCTGTTTGTGTACGTTCCTTCTAGAAGAAGAGAGCTGACAGATCTCGACTCTGCAAACGGGCAATACCTAGCCGTTTCAAGTCTAAAGTAGGCTTGACCGTCGCCCTATTGACTCAGGGCTATCTTTAGTGTTCAACTCTACGACTGGTAGGCTGAGACCATTTTGCATCATACTTTCGCACTTTAACTATGGCTGAATCCCTCTCATTGCTGCTGGCTGTATCCTTTTGACACAATTCCATCCTCCCTCTTGTTACCTTCTTGTCTTTTCTTCCCTAGGGAAGTCTTGGATTCTCTTTGATCCATCGATTTCAATACAGCTCTTATTGGATGCCCATCTTCGAGCCCTCTTCAGGGTAGACGTAGACCACCATGGCTCTCGATTCCATTTTGCAAGAGATCTGGGCTCTCTACGCCATTTCGATGTTCATCCTCTTCACTCGTTATGCAGTCCGTCTACGAACTGTCGGATTAAGAGGTCTTTACTGGGACGACTTGTTCTGTTTCTTTGTCATGATCTTCAACACAATCGATGCTGTCACCGTACATATCGTCCACCACACTGGTGAGAGCTCAGTGGTCACCGAGGAATGGCTTCGAACTGCCACTCAAGCGGACATTGATCGCATAACCTATGGATCCAAGCTGGAGTACACAGCCTGGTGCAGTTACCCAGCTCTCATCTGGTCCATGAAATTCACTATGCTGTTTTTCTACAAGCGTTTGACGCTGGGCTCTTTCCACAACAAGATGATCAAGTACCTCTTCTGGTTCACTGGTATCAGCTACGTTGTTGTCTGGTTTGTACTCATCTTTGGTTGTTTCCCGTAAGTACTTGAGTCTGTGGGTCAATGCATTCTGTCTAACACTATCTTAGCACTCAGAAGAACTGGCAGGTGACACCCGTGCCTCCATGGAAGTGTTCTTTCAGACCACAAAACTTCCTCGCTGTCGCCATTCCCAACATCTTGACCGACGCGGCCATTCTTATGGTTCCGATCCCAATGCTCTGGCAATTGAAGATGCCTCTTAAGAAGAAGATCGTCATTGCAATTGTCCTTTCGTCAGGATTGTTCGTCATCGCTGCTGCTATTATTCGTGTTGTATTGTCGCTTGATGCAGCACCATCTGCCGCCAACATCAACGGATGGGTATGTGGTTGATGTCTTGTCTCGTATAAGAAACATGCTAATGACGTCTCAGGGTGTTCGCGAAACTTTCATCGGTATCTTCACTATCAACGTACCCATCCTTCGTCCTCTCTTCGGCAAAGCATTCTGGCTCCCAGGCCCATACGATCCCAACGCTACTGGAAGAGGCTCGGGATATGGTAGATCTGGCCACAACCTACATTCAGCCCACAACAGGTCATACAAGGGCACAAAGCTTCCTAGTGAAGTCGACAAATCAGGTACTATCAATGAGTACGAACTCGAGGACAGAACCCCAACCTCGGACGACTTCGACATTGAGAGCAACGCCTCGACAGAAAAGATGGTCTACACAAGAAGCAACCGTAGCCAGGCCCACCCTTATGATGTCGATGATGGCGTCCGCGTGGAGACCTCATACGCTATTCGCACGACTCGTCGCGATGAGGAAACAGGATCGATCGCGCACGGCACTTGGAACAGCATCGGCGTTCCGAAATGAGCTGGAACATGATATCTTCGATTCTTCTACGGCCAAAAAGTTGCTTTTAATATTTGCTTTGTTTTATGGACGGACCTCACCCAGTAACACATGATATCCGAGGTCACGAATAGTACGAATTTCATTGCTCTCACTTTGATTGTTCTTGTGTCCAGTGTGGTCTCAATGTTCAGCTCTCAATACGTGGTTATGGTTCTTGACGAACGGACGAGATGGCTCTATGTGACAAAGACCCCCTCGACGAGACTGACCTCTGGTGATGCCACTCAGTCCCCAATAGACATGACTTCGACGTCTCTGAAAGGGTCATCATGTTCTTCGAATAAGAGTACGAGAGAACCATTCATTGCTCGATGGCAACACGCTAAGAATCTTGTTGAGAACAGTTCTGTTCTCAACACCTTGATGACCCATATCGACGTCATTAACTTCCAATTCAGCAACATCTGCAACGCGTTTTCTGGACAGCACCTTCTCCGAAGTTCGTTGAACACAATCAAAATGACGTTACGCGTAGCCTCACGATCCGGTGGACTCCTTGCTCGCCCTACTCTAACACCCTCTCTTTCTGCAAGGGTATCTCGCACCTCCAAAGCAACCTACATAACCTCAACTTACCACTTTACCTCACCCATCAACAGCATTTCAAACACTCAACAGAGGCCGTTTTTGAAACCCAAACACACAATCTTCACACAAACAATCAGGACCATGTCGCAAAAGTCAATGACTTCGAAGATCGCCATTTTGGGATCTGGAGAGGTCGGTTCCACAATCGCCTACTCGCTGATCCTGAACCCTGTTGCTGGAGAGATCCTGCTTGTCGATCCTAAGGAGGATGTTCGTGATGCTCAGGTACAGGACCTTTCTGATGCTACTTTCCATGGCGATACGAGTACTCAGGTACGCGCTGGCACACACAAGGAAGCTGGACAATGTGATATCGTCGTCATTACTGCTGGTGCAGCACAGAAGAAGGGTAAGTTTCGAAAGAAATACCATTGTCGATGCTTACGAATTCGTGTACTGATTCTGTAACAGGAGAGAGCCGTACCGACCTTGTTGGCCGCAACCTCAAGATTCTGGGCTCAGCAATTGAGGACATGAAGCCCTTCCGCGAGGACACTATCATTCTCCTGGTCACCAACCCTGTAGATATCTTGACCTACTACGCTCAAAAGTTCTCGGGTCTTCCAAAGAACCAAGTTCTTGGTAGCGGTACCTTCCTCGACAGTGCTCGCCTTCGTGGTATCCTTGCTCAGAAGTGTGGTGTGGCCGCTAGCTCTATTGACGCTTATGTGCTGGGTGAGCACGGTGAATCGCAGATGGTTAGTTGTGACTGTGTATCTTTCATAATCCTGACTAACCCGACACTAGGTTGCATGGTCTCATGCATCGATAGGCGGCGTACCTCTTGAACGCGCCCTTCCAGATGCTGGCATCGACAAGAATGCCATCGCAGAAGACACCAAGAAGAAAGCCGCTGCAATCATGGAGTCCAAGGGTGCCACAGCCTACGGTATTGGTGGCGTAGCTGCTTCCATTTGCAAGTCAATCTTCTTTGACCAATGCAACATCAGACCCATCAGTCACTACCAAGATGACTTGAATGTCTGCCTTTCGATGCCGGTGGTTATCGGCAGAAAGGGTATTGTCAGACAGATCCCGATTGAGCTCAATGACAGTGAGAGGAAGGAGTTCGAGCAGAGCGGCAAGAGTTTGAGGAAGATCATTGACGATGTGGAGAAGGAGCAGTCCAAGGAGTAGACATGGAGCCTGAAGAAGGTGCGATGAACGTAATGAACACATCTCAAACAATATCTACTAGAGAAGAAGCCGCGATCAGGCCCCAAACTTTCCACTACCAAAACCAGATTCCTCAAAGCGGTAGTCACACTTTGAAGTGGATGCGCCACAGTGAAGCCGAAACACCAAGTGGACCTCCCACAGAGGCAACAAGCATCATCTTCTAACGACACAAAACCGCTAAGAATCGACGAACAATACAACCACAACCACCTTGCATCGCTCCAAGCCATGTACGAAGGACGCCCTCATGGACATGTCTGGCTCAGGCAAATGTCCCCTTAGCAGAGCTGGAGCAACCGACACCACCCCACCAGCCGAACCTAGGTCCATGATCCTGGCAAGTCACTCGTGCTCCCCAAACCCCTGCTTGACTCGGTAAATATTTCCGATTGTGAGGTTCTGCGGAGAGAGGGAGCAGGACTCAAGGGTCGTTGACCTACTGCCTCTCCTGACTATGGATTGATTCTAGAGACCAAGACCGCAAGCCCAGAAATGGTGACGATTGTTCCAATCGAAGAGGATGCATACTCTCTTCCGCCTGTGCGTCTAGAGACGCTGGATTGAACTTGACAGAAATGCTACCAAAGCCGCATTATGTAGCGTGCTTGTCGGGTGGATTTGTGTGACCCGTTGAAGTGAACATATTATAGCGGCTCCTGACTTCCCGAGAGGCAAAGTTGTTGATCTAAATGTGAGTGTGCTTATTATAAGCCTACAGGCTCATGTATCTGTGCACTCATATACATCGTCATATATGGGTTTTTGGAAAGAGTGAGTTTCTGTTACATTGCCAGCTATAGTCAAGCCTTTCTATTCTTAGCATTTGCGATGTTGATTTTCCCTTTATCTTGTACTTTGACAGAACTTGATAAGCGATGATGAAGCGATCGTCATTCCTGTAGTACAGAGAAGAAGAATAGGAAAAAGTCAGGATAGAATCGCGAATATCGAGAATCAATTTGATATCGAAGACGTCGAAGGATGGATCACTACCGCACGCATCGAGAGCCGGACTATCATTCGGCAACGGTTAGTGCAAGACGAAAAGCAAGTAGATACTTTTCTACATTGCTTGACTTTCGAGATGCGGCAAGTCAATGTATGGAACAACCCACCCAGGACAGGCAGAAGTCTCCTATTTCTACATCAAAAGATATCACCGAAACATACTAGACAACATGATAGCGCTCCGACCTACAAGTTTCGTTTGTTCAGGCGTAAGAATAGATCCGCACAAGAACATACATCCTACGATTGGGGTGATGTCAGGACAGCCGAGTATTCCCAACCGAGGAGGTGGGCTCGTGAACTGGTTGCCATCAAGGGGCTAGGTACACCACTGATGGAGCATAGTCGTTATTGCTAACATCTATCTCGAAAGGAGAAACTCGTCAGGTCCACAGTTCTGTGATCATGGACGTATGTTCTCTGGTTTTCAAAACCAGAAAAGGAACATAGTGAACAGATTCATAATTATAAGAGCGTATGGAGGGAAGTGGAGGAGCTACATCTGGTTCACACATTTTGTGGTGTACTTTATTAGCCATGATCGACAAATATTGTAAATAGCGAACGGGAAGCAGGAATACAGTTGCCTCCAAAATGTCTCTTTTAGCTTTTTTGCAGTTGTGTAATGACCAGTATCTATACCACAAGATACCTGCCTTGCTAGTGGATAGAACTTGATGCCATTGCTCAAAAGACAGCACGAAGACATGTCCTATCGACCTTAGGTGGAGCCGGATAGAAGAGATAGCGTGAGAATATAGCCGTCAGACGTGTTTATCTCCTGGCTGTGCACAAGATTCAAGCAGACTGCTGGCTACTGATAGTCTATGTTGTAGATCGCAAGATTGATGCACAAGGCTCGCTGTTGAGTTGAAACTTCTTATGGCCTACCGAAGGTGAACCGAATGAGTCTGGTTTTATAGCAGCTGAGAAACGTCAACAGTCATGATGTGTTGGCTTTGCTATCTGACTTGCGTGATTATCCTTGTCTTCGTTGCAACTGCAGCATTCGGCAAGGCACGAGCATAACAAGTAGATGACGCAGTAGGGTGTTGAGCTCCATGTGAATGAGCGATATCGAATGGAGCTCATTGGTTGCGTTTTTGTTCCCTGAGGCACGTAGCTTTGTTATCTCGAGCCCCATGCAATACTCGAATGATTGAGAAAGCGTTGAACAACCCAAGCAAGTACGAAAATTTGCATGTGAAAATCGAATGGGGGCCAGATAGTAAGAGCAACCAGGAACAAGGTGTGAGCGATTTGTTCGTCCGGATGTATCGCTTCAGTTCAGAGAAGGCATTATGAGACGCAACAATCTGATGACATTCAAGGATATCCAATACCAGATAAATGACGTGAGGTCCACTGAGGAACCCCAGTATGTTCACTCTTGATTCATGTATGGGGAAGCGCTGATAAACCGTCATGCATATGGTTCAGAGGTGTACCAGCGATCAATGTGCGTGGGCTGTCTGAACGATAAGGGTGGTGCAGCTGGGAGCTTTGCTTCTTGTTGAAAGGATCAAGAGCCAATACGAAGTCCATGTATTCAACGTGAGTACGCCTTTGAGTGGTCGGTTGAGCAGGATGCATAATCGCTCACTGAAGAATTATGTTGAACTCTTGGGTTGCATGACACAAAGTCTGGGGATAGGACATGGATAACAGCAGGTGCCAGGTGGAAGGCAGCTCGATAGCAACGGCCGTGATTGGCTCGCAACCACTCCCTCTTTGGGAAGACAGCTTAGTTTCATGTATGCCGGGAGTAACCGCGAGGACCCTCAATCTGGAAAGAGCCGGATTGAGACCATACAGGGCTGAGTCGCGCATCGACTTGATGATGGAAGAGCATTGATAATAATGAGGTATATCTCTGCATAAGACGCGCAATGAGGAGGCAGGTCGAGACAAACGTCAGATCGCGCGCGTGCCTGGAGCCATCAACGGCCATCTGCTGGGAAAGGAAGCATGAGGTGACACGCCTTTTTGGTCAACTGACGCTAGCCTCCGCACGAGATGATGCTTGGCAGGTCAGCACCAGTGGAATTCAACCAGATCTCAGACAACACTGGCAATCTAAAACTGAGGCTCGACGCGGAGACAAGGAGATTGACTCGAAAATGAGAAGGGGACAACAATTGCATTCGTGGTCGGCTGCATTGACAAGGACGTAAAGAAGCAAAGAAAGATGATCAGAGATGAACAGCGTCTGGAGGCTTCTACTCGAGTTGATTTTACGTGTTTCCAACGATGAACCTCGGGATTAGCGCGCGGGCTTCGGGAACAGCTTTCTAGAATTGAGAGGAGATCGGCAAGCAGGCCGGATGTTTCGCGTGCCATCCATAAAGGCAAAAGTCCTGGTGGCGAAAAATTGGCCAGCTGGCGGTGGAATGTGAGTAGTGTCTCAGGGTCCTTTGTGAAGGATTGAACGAATTGTTGTTGTCGCTGCTGCGTGAACGAGCAGACGGTCGGAACAGCGGAGTGATCAGACAGTTGTACATTCAAATATATGCAGGTACAGAGAGCAGCAGGGGTGTTGTACCACGACTGTGCATCCCATTAGAGTGGCAAGGTGATGCAATGTAGCGTATGAATTGGTTGGGGGCAGCCCAACAGTCGCGCGAAAGACGGTGAATTCTGGCCATCGGGAGTGCTAGGTTCCCCCACAGTATTCGCCTCGTCTATCAGGCCATGCCACATTTGTCCGAAGCTCGCGTCGGTTCAAAAACTTGAGTTCGCCAGCGCTGCTCTCTTTCTCTCTTCTCAGTGCTCTCCACCCACACCAATCCTACCCCTCGACACTCGTTTGTTCGAAGGAGACTCTCGCATCCGCTGCACTTGTTCTCAAGGACTGTGCAACATGCCTTCGCACCAACCCGCATCCGGCATGATGGCCGTCGACCCTGACTTTGTCAAGCAGGGCTCCCCCATGGCCTCCAAGGACGAGCCCAACCGCAGCAAGTCTTACGACCCCAAGAAGTGAGTCCGCCATCAATTGGCTGTTTTCATCGACAAGACACTAACCAATATCCAGGCCTCACATCACTGAGACTCCTATGACCAGAGCAAACTGGTACAAGCACGTCAACTGGCTCAACGTCTTCCTGATTGTTGGCATCCCCTTCATCGGTTGCGTCCAGGCTTTCTGGACTCCTCTTCACCTCAAGACCGCCATCTGGGCAGTTGCCTACTACTTCGCCACTGGTCTCGGTATCACTGCCGGCTACCACCGTCTGTGGGCACACACCTCATACCAGGCTACTCTTCCTCTCAAGATCTTCCTCGCCGCTGTTGGTGGTGGTGCTGTTGAGGGCTCCATCAGATGGTGGGCCCGCGACCACCGCGCTCACCACCGCTACACCGACACCGACAAGGACCCCTACTCCGTCCGCAAGGGTCTTCTCTACTCTCACTTCGGCTGGATGCTCATGAAGCAGAACCCCAAGAGAATTGGCCGTACCGACATCTCTGACCTCAACGACGACCCTGTCGTTGTTTGGCAGCACAAGAACTACCTCAAGGTTGTTTTCTTCATGGGTCTCATCTTCCCCACTCTCGTTGCCGGTCTCGGCTGGGGTGACTACCTCGGTGGTTTCATCTACGCCGGTATTCTTCGTATCTTCTTTGTCCAGCAGGCCACCTTCTGTGTCAACTCCCTTGCCCACTGGCTCGGTGACCAGCCTTTCGATGACCGCAACTCTCCTCGTGACCACGTCATCACCGCTGTCGTCACCCTTGGTGAGGGCTACCACAACTTCCACCACGAGTTCCCCTCCGACTACCGCAACGCCATCGAGTGGCACCAGTACGACCCCACCAAGTGGTCCATCTGGACCTGGAAGCAGCTCGGCCTTGCCTACGACCTCAAGCAGTTCCGTTCCAACGAGATTGAGAAGGGTCGTGTTCAGCAGCTCCAGAAGAAGATTGACCGCAAGCGTGCTGAGCTTGACTGGGGAACTCCCCTCGAGTCTCTGCCCGTCATGGAGTGGGATGACTATGTTGAGCAGTGCAAGAACGGTCGTCAATTAGTGAGTGTCGCAGGCATCGTCCACGATATTACCGACTTCTTCAACGACCACCCTGGTGGCAAGGCCATGATCCGCTCTGGTATCGGCAAGGATGCTACCGCCATGTTCAACGGTGGTGTCTACTTCCACTCCAACGCTGCACACAACCTGCTCTCCACCATGAGAGTTGGTGTCATCCGTGGTGGTATGGAAGTCGAGATCTGGAAGAAGGCCCAGCAGGAGAACAAGGATGCCTTCATCGCCAAGGACTCGAACGGCCAGCGTGTCGTTCGTGCTGGCCTCCAACCCACTAAGGTCTTTGAGCCTTCTGCCTCCGCTGGCGCTGCATGAAGAGATACCCCGTCGAGGCTTGGTGCCTAAGACAACCTTGTCATTTTTTGCTTTTTGTTTCTCGCCTTTCAGCGATCATCATACTGTATATTTTGGTAGCATTCGCGTCTCCTCTTCCCTACTCTTGGTTTGGGTCCATCACGATCGCTCTAGACGCGTCTTGTTGCAAACTTCTAGATATGACTACCTACAATTCCCTATCATGGGTTGCACATCCTTAGGATGAGCAAATAATGTCATTTACGCCTTGAAATCACTCTTCTTCCTCTGTGCCTGTGACTACGCTGTGATATCTAACCATCCACAACCTGCAAAAATATCCATTGAGGTGATCGTCTGTTCGACTAGCAACTTGCTCCCAACTGTAGCTATGGGCAAAATGTAGACTATAAAAAGGCACAGTTGTTTCCGGAAGCAGAGCCATGTCCATGGAGAGTCGATAACTTGTGGCCTCTCAGTGGATACCATCTTGGGTTCTATTACTATTGTGCATTTCCATAGCTATACCTGAAATTCGTTAGTCCACAGGGAGAAGTCAACAAGCTTGTCTACTGAACAATTTTTGCATCTCAATAACTACCTTAGGCACTCTATTACCGACGGGACTCGTGGAGGACACGGAGCTCGATCCCGCATCTGCAATGATGACGAACCATACGGATTGAGCATCGTGAGAGTGACTCTCGACTAGACCCCAAGATGTTTGCTGACTCCTCCCAAAGGACCTGATTGTTTGCTGACTGCTTTTGACGAACCACAGTTGTCAAATAACAAACATCAAATATCACAAATGACAATTGCTGACCACGTGCCTGGTTGCCTGAAACTGTAAGAGGAGCACGAGATCTCCTTCCCCAGTAGCCACCTCCACAACCTTATCGGCTGGGCTTCTTGTGGATTTTTGCTTCTTTTTATCCTTTTTTCTCTCTCTCGAGCTGCAGTCTTTGCCGTTGTTGGACGACCGACTTTCTCCTGCACCTCTTTTCTTTCTATAATATCCAAACAATCGTTCATCCAATCGATCATAGGGAAAATATGGGAAGAAAACACGAACAATGTAAACATTGCAATTCCCTGCATTTTCTCACCGCCCATTGGCCCACGTGAGGAAATGTCTTCCAATTTCGTTTCTGTTCAAAACACCGGTGTGGAGGTTGTCTTCATGGCCAGACTTCGGTTCAACTTACTTTGTGTTTTAGCTGTTGCAACTTCACGTCCTGAATTGTTTGCTGTCTGATCGTGATCAAAGTAATTGGTGTTGGGATGGCTGCCAGGGAGATGGTAGTATGAACTTGGTGTACTGAGCCTTTCTGAGTGGTGAAGACAGGTATGAGTTGGGATTGACTACTTCTCCGCTCGAGATGCAAGCGTTATAGTAAGCTGTCAAAATGCAGAGTCGTATGTTGGAAATAACACAGGCCATTGAGATAGCCCTTGGTAGGGCTCTCTCTATTTGCGAAAGTATTGTGCATCTCTATAGCTACATCATAACAGTCTTTCGCACATGGAGGGGAGGTAGGCATGATCTTCCAGCTCTAGAGGGTTTGCTCATGGTTCCTTCTCGATTTCCAGATGTAAGGGTTGTTGTAAGCTATGGAAATGCATAGTTGTAGGTTGAAAATAAAACTGGCCATTGAGATAGCCTTTAGTAGGGATGTCTCTGTGGTCACCATATTCTTTATGAGATAATTGTGCATTTATATAGCTATACTATGACTGAGTTCGGCATAAGGAGAAGAGATAGATACATTTTTCAGCTATAGAAGTCTGGTCGTGGTTGTACGAGAGTGTTATCTATCATACTTTTTTTAAATTTGAAGGCTATGTGACTGTTTTTGAAGATGCAGTCTTTCCATACTAACATAGATTTTCTGTATTTTGTGGTAGCTTTGCAATGTGTAGGCACGATTGGTAAGGACTCTGGGGGCATGGCGCCATGTTTCTTGGGATAGAACAGCACTTTAAAGAGCAGATATATTGAACGAATTCGCTAGCACTTGCTCGATGAGAGTCACTCTCGCTCGATGAGAGTCACTCTCAGGTTCCTGTATTAGAAGTATCGTCCATAGTACCTGAGAAAGCCACATGAAGACATACGATCTCGTCATCCCTATTGTCACAGCAAGGATTTGATTCCAACTCTTCTGAGAATTGACCAATCCAGAAGTGAAGTCACCTAAGTGATCTGGAAAGAGCTCATCGAGAGTCAGTCTCGCGCCTTCTACATTGGACCTTCCAAGATATTCAAGCCACGAACGAAAAACGCAGGTGCTACGTAGGCCATCAGAAAAACAACGCGGATTTGTTCATTGCAACGGAAAGCACACTCATGGTCGTCACTTCCAGATTGTGAATGACCACCAGAACCTTTCACTTGTCTATCTGGTTCTCAGCTTTCTTCCACAACCTTCCTTCCGTCCCACAACAACTTTTGCCATCCTTCGTCTGTATAAAAAACCGCATCTAGTGCGACTGGCGCACTGTAAGTCTTGCAGATCTTCTGTACACGCATTTACCACATAATCCAACGCGCTGACACCATCCTAGGCCTCGATCATGGCTGATCCTCCCACTGTCATCGACCTCAACAAGGACGACCAGGCCAGCCATCAAGCACCGGACACTACTCTTCGCAAACTCATCGCCATCGATCAAGACTTCGCCGAAGACCTTGCCCACCAAGCAGTCGGCGAGATCGAGGTGAGTGAGACAACAGGCTGCAGCTTGATGTCTACCATACTGACGCCTTCAGAAATTATGGCCGGACCTCAAGGCAGAGCGTTTCGCTTCCCAGGACATCGTCGAGCTATCAACTACCCTCCGTACGGCAAAAATCACTCTCGAATTCAGAATGCTGCGCGCTCTCTTGGTCCTCTGGAAAGACCATCTTATGAAACGACCAGGACTGTCGTCTCAGCAAATGATCGAAATTGCGGTGGTTATACATCGGTTGGTCCCTCTCCAGCTTGGTCCCGCCGAGAAGCAAAACTCGGCCATCGATCTTGTCGCAGCCGATGTAGCCAACGCATCGAAGATTAAAGATGGTCCATACGTACGACGCTTTTAACACATCCGATTTGGCTGTACGGAAATCTAACTTCTTGTATTTAGCGTCTCTACACGGGAGATTATTATATCGACCATTTTGAAGCGGAATGGCCTTCAACACTCTACCGTATCTTCGAAAACTTCCCAATCATTCGGGGCCTTGAAATCAGCTGCCAAAAGGGCCGTGAGGAGTTTCAAGTAAGTGCTCTGACGTGAGAGACTAGTTCCCTATAGCTACTGACATATAGGTAGAAATTGTGGCCAGACCTTGAAGACAAGCTGATCCCAACGGCCCAGCAATTGGAGACCATGGGTAGAGCTGTTCGTGCAGCTCACATCTATCTAGAACTGAGACTCCTACGCGCCTTTGTTGTCTGCTGGATGACCGATCTGCCCCAACATAGTGACTTTGACGAGAGGGACCGCGCAGAGAGAATCTACAAGATGACCCTTGCCCAGATGGGACCCAAGAATATGGTTATGCACAACGATGGTGGTATCACTATTCTGCGCAGGGAAGATGAGGAGAACTACAACTCGGCAGAAGATTCAGACCTTGACGAAGAAGAGCGCGAGCAAGCCAGGAGACACAGACTCGTGACCGAGGCTCTTTATCCTAGAAACAGGCCAGCCCCTGGAAAGAAGAGAAAGCGAAGCTCGAGCACATGATGAGCGCACACACCGAGGACAACGAGTGAGAGAGGACGCTGAACATTAAGCTTGCTGGTATTGCTGGACTAGTCATTCGAGGTTTCAATACAGGCCCTGAGACAGAAGATGTCGAGAAACATACGAATAAAAAATCAGCAGCATTATTGAAAGACGTTCACCGTCCAGACACTCCTTTCAATATTGAGACTGACTCTCGATGTGAACAGCGGAGACCATGAGTGTAGACGTGACTTCGATGGACGCCGTTCTCGCAAAACTGAAAAAGTTCCAAAGAAGAAAACCATGAATTCGTAAAGATGAACTACATACCGACTACTATGCGAAGCTCTTAGTTCCTGAAATCGCCATTCGTCATGACATCCTCGTATTCCAAGTCAGGCTGGAACTCTTCGTAAAGAGAGTCAGGGTCAGCGCCCATCCTGAAGGTATACTCAGCAGACTCGTCAGGCACAATGACCTTCTCGATGCCACTGGCACAAGCCGCCTCAGCAAGCAATTGAACCTCGCAACTCCTCTCCATGAGCGTATAAAGATACGCAGCTTCATCAACTGTAGTGCCTACAGTCAACAAGCCATGGTTTCTCAAAATCATGCCTTTGCCCTTTGGTCCCAGAGCATTAGCAAGCTTAATACCTTCCTCCTCATTAAGCACAACACCACCAAACTCTTTATACACCGCCTGCGCCTCGCCATAGAAATAGCAGACGTCTTGATTCAACATCTCCAAGGGCTTAGCAAAAGTGCTCCAAGCCTTTCCATAAGGCGAATGCGTATGACACGCAGCAATAACATCAGGCCTGGCCTTATGCACGGCCGAATGAATCAAGAACCCAGCCGCATTAGCAGGACGCGACATATTGCCTCCAATAGCTTTACCCTCATAATCGACCAGAATCATATCTGAAGCTTTGAGCAGACCGAAATGCTTGCCGAGTGGGTTTGTCCAAAAGGTATGTGGATTTTCGGGGTCGCGGACGGAGATGTGGCCGCTCATGCCTTCGGTGTAGCCTTTGCGTGCGAAGACGCGGAAGGCGCCGGCCATGTGTTGCAACATGTCGCGGCGGTGCGCATCGAAAGAGACGTATTTGGGAATGCCGGGGAGGCAGACGCCTTGGCTGATTGCTTCGAGGGGGGTCTTTTCTTTTTTCTCGACTTCGAGGTCCGGGTTCGGGTTGGCTGGTTTGGTGGATTTGATGGCCATTGTGGTGGTGGGGGGCTCGGGAGCCGAGACAGCAGAGGGAGCCATTGCTGTGTGTGTGTGATGTGTGTATGCTCGAAGGGTGGTATAGAAAGGACAATGTCTATGTGATCAGTGTGGAGCGACTTTGTGGATCAGAGGAGTAGAGAAGAAAGATGAATTGGACAAGTCGTAATGAGTCGTGCCTACCTCTAGATATGCCTATGAACGTCGGCGACGACTGCCCATTAGGTTGTTGAGGTCGGCCGTCGCTTGCCTATCTGTCGGACACCCCGCCCGATGTTTGGTTGATCAGGGTGCTTATCATTCTATCCGCCACTTTCGTCGCATAAAATTGCCATTCCGGATAGAGTTGCCCTATCGCAATCGTTACTTCAGAGTCAGTCTCGCTGTCCACCACCACCACGTTGGCACGGAATGTTTGAAGTTTCAACAATATGTAAGAAGATGCATGATAGTGTTCCTGCTTCCGCCACAAGAACAAGTAGAGTGATCGCTGTCGCAATGCACGATCAGCTTTGATTCATAGTCATTTCCATTGAGAGCCTCCATCTCAGCGACTCTCTATGGATGAGTTCATGACACAAATACAATCGTGCATTCAAACAGTTACGCTTACGACAGACCTCAAACTCAGGGATGGTTGGTCGTGTTAGAAGGTCAGTGTTTTGTCAGACCGGCTCTCAGCGGATGTGTCTCTGCTTCTGAAAAGTATCGTGCATTGTGATAGCTTCTAATGGGATCCTATAGCTCATTCTGAGATTAAGGTACGAGACTTCTATGCATCCCCCACGGCTGCACAGGAGCAGACCAGAGCTGTAAAAATGCACAATAGCTCATAAGAAGTGGTAAGCACCCGTGAGAGCCACTTTTCTACCAGCTCTCCCTGGACATCTCTCCGATGCAGAGATTACCGTGCATGTTTACAGGACCTTTGTAGCAGACTTCAGCACACGGAGAGGACACATTGGCAAAGGGACAGTCAGAGATGAAGCACTGCTGGAAAACAGCAAAGTCAAGTTCAAAACGTGCTAAGCTACTTGCTTGGGAATCACAAAACCACGACTAATCTTCTCGCCTATTGCTCAGGCCCCTGTAACGACGGTAAAACACCAAGGCAAAAACTCCACGCTCGAAAATGCATCAAATGTGTGTTCCACCCTCAATAGAAACAGAAAACTCCTTCCTTCTCGCAACGTGACCTAAATGTCGGAGAAGGTAACGCCGTCAAAAATGCTGTTGCCCATGGGATCTTTGTCCCAATTGGTGTCGTTCCTGTCCAAGCCAGCATTGGGCCCAAACAAGGCGTCCCAACTAACGTCAGGTGGTGGTGTAGCTTTGTCCTGACCTTCCTTTTTGTTGTCAAATGTAGATTGAATTCCCATAATACCCATGCCAAGGTCGTCGCTCATATCGAATTGGATACCAGAGCCGAGACCGAAGGGGTCACTCTCGAACATGATCTTGAGACGATCGTGCTCGCTAATGTCGGTGAAGTTAGAGGTTGCCGCTGAAGTACCAGAATTGGAGCTCGACGGTGTGAGATCAGGCGAGGGATCAACGGGCCAGTCCAGATCAGAGTACTGTAGCCCATCATCAAGACCATTGAGACTCTCACGAACAGATCTCATGAAGTTGTCATCGGCGTCATTGCTGTTCCACATGTTAGGAGATGTCGAAGTTTGCTTACGATCCTCCTCAGGCACAGCAGGCTTCTCGGTCGGCGGCATAGTAACGCCAGCCTTCTCCATCATAGTGTCAAGCATGGTCTTCTTCTTTGGCGATGCCGAGATCGGCTCATCTTGCGCAGATCTCTTCTGACCTTGCGGTGTACGGCCAGTGGTCGGTGGCGTTCCAGGCTTGATGAATGGAGAAGGCGTGCCTGCCTTGATGGTCTTGCCAGGAGTGTGTCCATCAACCTTGAGTGCCTCCTTCTTGATTGTGTTTGGTCCCAGTGCAGATGGCTTAGCGCTGGCAAGAACCGGCTTGCTGTCAATCTGTTGTGCCTTCTCATTACCATCCATGTCGAGCTCAAACGCTGCAGCCGCATTCTCGAGGAAGAAGTCAAGAGGATTCTCGATCTGCTTGTGTGCTTCCGCTGTGTGCGCCTGAAGCTCTTCCTCTTTTTCAAAGCCGGTGACATGGAACTCGCAGTACTCGTCTGCGCACTTGAACTTCTTCTCCGGACCTCGTGGTGGCTCAACCTTGGGCTGCATTTGCTTCCTCTTGTCATCAGGACTTTGCATCTTGATGCTGGGGCTAGGCATGCTGCCGGGGGTTGTGCCTGCGTTGGCAGGTGTAGAAGCTGAACTGCCAGGCTGACCGGTCTTTCTGCGCTTGTTGGCAGGGAGTTGTAGCTTATCGGGTGTAAGTCCTTGAATACTGCCGTCATAGACGGGTACACCGTGGGGGGAAGGATGACTGACAGGGAATGGAGGAGGCACGGCCGATGTAGGCGCTGGAGGTGGCTTGGATCGGTCTCCGCTCTTGGATGCTGTTCTCGCCATAGCAGCGGTAGCTGCCAGTGGTGCTTGCGAGGGCTTCGCTTGGTCGGCATTCTGCTGCGCTTGCTCGGGTGAGGAGGTTGACTTCAACTTATGTATGTGCTGCAAACATTGCATGATGAACTGACGAATCCTCGACTCGGCCTCGTTAATCTGCTGTATCGACAACGAGAGGTATTCGTTGACGTTGCCATCCAAGCGCATCTCACCAAGAAGCTTAGCCCTCTCCAGGCAGATCTGGCGAACAATTTTGTCGTTGACGAACGTCATGGCAGTAGGCAGCATCTTATCCAGCTTCACAATCATGTCTCGACAACCACGCAATTTCAGGACGACCTCGTTGAAGCTGGTGTCAGTCACCTGCTGAGGAGGACCCTTCCTGTAGCTAGCCTCTGTCTCCGCAGTTATGGCTGCTAGTCTGGCTCTCTGCTGCTGTACCTTGAGCTGCGAGACTTGCGCAGGCTGTGAACCACCTTGAGTCTGCAGTTGAGCCTGCGATAGTTGTGCAGCTTGCGATTGTGATGCCTGCTGCCCGTCTAACATCTTCTGGTTCTGGTTAGTTGAGGACTGTGCTCTCTTTAGAGCATCCATTTGCATCTTCTGCTGCAATTGCTGCATCGACTGTTGCATAACAGCACGCTGTTCTGGTGCCATTTGTTTGATCTTGTCAGGATGCATGTTCTTGAGCTGCTCAGGATCGAGCTGCATAGTTGGCTTCTGGTTCTTCTGCTGTGCGTTGTTGGGTGCAGGTCTTTGAGGTGACTGGTTTGGGTTGGGGATCTCGACAACATCATCGCTTGCACCCTGGCGCTTCTGACCCTTCTTGTTCGCTGGTGTGTTCTGCTGCTGCATGTTCGCATTGTGCTGTTGAGACAACTGGGGCACCATGGCAGCAGATTGAGCACCCATCTGAGGTACCTGAGGTGCCATAGGATTCTGAGGCGGTATGCCAGGTGTTCCAGACTGCTGTATCTGTGCTTGCCGCATCGCGTTCATCATGGCGGGATTCTGCTTCTGCATTTGTGAATACTTCCACTGCATAAAGTTCTTTCGAAGCTGTTCGTGCGACCAGCCCTGAGCTGCAGGAATCCTCGCTTTGAAGGCTTGTAATTCTTGCTCTGTGACCGGAGGCATGGGCATGTTGCCCATATTGGCAATGTTCTGAGGATTTGCGTTCATGTTGGGCATACCTGGCCCTTGACCCATTTGAGATGGTTGTGGTACCATCGGTGCTTGAGGGGCTTGGCTACCGGCCATTGTCGGGTGGTTGGGCATAGCACCTTGTGGCAATTGGCCGGGTATCTGAGATCCAGGTGTGCCGTTGGCATTGGCCATCGCTGCTTGCTGCTGCTGCTTTTGGATGACGAGTGACTGGAAGCGACGGACCTTGTCCATCATATCTGGAGGCAAATTCTGCTGATTTTGTTGCACAAATTCCTTCAACTGACCCCATGTCTTGACATTCGGTGGCACCGAACATATTTCGTTCAGGACCCTTGGAGGGAACGGCCTTGCGTCCATCTCCCGCTGCCGCTGCAACAAAAGTCGCTGCTGCATCTGTTGATGGTTTGGACCTCCAGGCATACCCATGGCCATCTGCTGCTGGGGGTTCAAAGGAACTTGTGGCGGCATACCCATAGTGCCATTTGGTAGTTGCTGACCCATAGGCGCTCCGGGGTTCATGCCGTTCATCATCATTTGCTGTTGTGCTTGATTTGGCTGCGGTGCCTTTTGTGAGTCGCGAATCCTTTGTAGGATCTGATGTTGTTGATCAGGTGGCATTCCCTCGAGTTTGGCCCTCAACTGGGGAGGGAGCTGAACTCCAGGAGGAATCTGTAAGTCTGGTTTAGGAGTAGGAAACATGCCAGGATTGTTCGCAATCTGTTGGCTGAACTGAGCCATCATCTGAGGGTTCATCTGCTGATTAGGTTGAGGTGTGGGCTGGGGACGAGTTTGAGGGGGGGTCTGAGAGGGTTGGCCAGGTGGCACCATAGGACGGTTAAGCATCGACATGGCAGGGCTCTGCTGTGGAGGCTGAGTGGTGTTAAGGCCACCGGGCTGCCCTCGAAGCATTTGTTGCTGGGCTTGTTGCTGAGCAGCGCTACGAGCCTGAGCTTGAGCCTGGGCCTGTTGCTGCATCTGGGTGTTGCGCATCTGAGCCTGTGTCTGCTGCTGTCTCTGAGCCATCATGTTTTGGATCTGTTGTTGGTTGTTCTGCATAGCAGGCGGCATGTTCATCTGACCCATGTTGGCCATGTTGGCGGCTGCAGGATCCATTCCCATGTTGTTGTTGCTAGCTGGCACGACAAGCTGACCTTGGTCAGCCATCTTCATGGCATCGGCCTGTTGACCAGCAAAAGATGAGAAGTCTATGGGTCCTCCAGCCTGTTGAGGCCTCCTCGAAGCATTGAACTTCTTCATTGCGAGCTGCTGGAAGTGTTTGGCGAGAGGGTCAACTCCTTGACGCTGGTAGTGTTCCCTCTGCTGTGGAGGTATTTGGGCTAGCAGACGCTGACGCATGAGATTCCTCTGATCTTCGGGGACTGAAGTTATCATGCTGCGTGCAAGATTTGTTATTTGCTTTTGTTCCTCAGGAGTGTAGGCTTGGGGTTGCTGGTTTTGTGCCATCTGTTGCTGCGGTTGTTGCTGCTGCTGCTGTGACGGTGGTTGTTGTTGAGGCTGTTGCATGTGCGGTTGCATATTCATCTGGCCCATCATCTGCGGCGCCATGGGCATTTGTGGAGCCATCTCGCCTTGATGCGAGCGACTGGGCTGCATTTGCATTCCCATGGCCTGTTGCTGTTGTTGCTGTGCTTTCATACGCGCTTGTTGGTGGGCCTGACTGATCTCGTTCAATTTTTGCTTTATGCCAGCCATCCACTGGTCCTGTTCCAGAAGTCAGCATGTGGGAATGAGGAAATGTGTTTACAAAGCGTGAACGGACCTCGGAGGGACTGTTTGCGATGATCTGACTCTCGAAGCGCATTGCGACTTGGACGGCGCTCGCCAAGTCGCTAGCACTATTCAGTAGACGTAGTGCTTTCACTCTGTTTGGGTATATGTCAGTCATGCGACTATGGGTCATTATAGCAAGTTATGGCAGCACTCACAGGTTGAGAATGCAAACGGCACGAGTGCGAAGGTCGAAGCCAGCCTGCCATCCTGTGTGTATGGGATTCTTGTTCAACTCTTGTACGATCCTAGCCAGGAGTTCGTTGGTGTGCTGGTCATTCTGAGGCTGTGGTCTCTGCTGCATCTGCATGCCACCTCCAACCATAAAGGCATTAGGATCCATGGCGGCGAAATTCTTGCTGGATCAGGTCGAGTCGAGAGTGGCAGCGGCGGCACGATGGCCGGAAATAGTGACGGTGGTAGTGAGTGTGTCGAGCATGCACCAGCAGGAAGATGTCTGAGCAGGAAAGAGGGTCAACAAGAAGGGGCGTTCGTTCGTGGTCGTCGAAGGGCGCGTGTCACGAGGGTAGTCGAGTAGCACCAGGTCAAGCAGCAGGCAGATGACGCTAATTTGGTAGCCGGAAGGTGATCTATTGGCCAGCAATATCCAAGATGTTGGGCTGGCAATGCGAAGAAAGAAAAGAATTCCAGTCGTGTCGTGTCGAGTGTCCAAGAGGGGTGCTGACTGTGCTGTCTCACTGGCGCAAAAAGAGGCCGCGACTTTGTAGCCCAAACGTCTGTCAAACAAGGATGCACGATGGATGCGTCCCGGAGGCTCGGAGTGTGGGTAGCCAGAAAAACACGGCTGCACTCTGTCGATCGACGCACTGCTTTGTCGTTGGGGAAGATGAATACTGGAGTCGACCAGAGTCGCAGGTGTTTGGGAAGGAGCGACGAGGACGACGGCCTTGGGATGAGGAGAGCCAGACGAACAAGCGCGAACAAGAGCAGCTCAGAATCGCGCCCACCGCTCAGAGTCAGCTTCACACGTCTCCGCTACCACTGGGTGTTCGTCGAATAACGTCTATAACGTCCGTGCGCCGCCCTACTGATGCCTGCAGGGGTCCTCTGACTTACTGCAAGACAATTGCGACAACAAGAACAAAGAAATGCCTTTGCGTTTGTCTGGCTGCTCTGCGGCGAGAGATATGCTATCTAACCAGCCTACCACTGCTTTTTGCCCAACTCTTGCTCTCTTTTTCGGGCTTGTATTGCAACTCTCTCAGGTCTCCAATTAGGAGGAGCTAAAACTAGTCAACAGCACTTCCGCATGGGCTTAAACTTTGGCGCGCCACTGGCTCTAGTCCCGACAGCTTGCTACTCCTTCCATGTCGCGCGCGCACGGGGAGATGGCCTTCCATTTCGCTTCAGATTGAAGTTGCTACTTTCTGCAAATCCTCATTCTTCTCTTGTGTCAGATTTCCTTCATGCCTTAACGAATCTGCATGTCCCGTTGACTTCATTTCGTGACGACTTTCCGTCGACTCGAGAAGGTTGCGGGTAGATGTGGTGCATTGATGGGCGCTGCCAAACCTCCGAGAGCCCTCGTCATCGCCTGCCATTTTTGTGGCTTGCGACCCTGTCTAGCCTCTAGCCTCGACCTCCTGCTTCTCGACTTTGGACAAGGCGCAACCACTTCAATAAAATGCCTGTCTCGACTTCTCGCTTTGTCTGTCGTTTTTCGTTTAAACAATCCTGATGTGTAGCACAGTTCCCATGCTTGCTTTCCCTTCCGGACAAAAATATCGTCACCTCTAAGCGTACTCGTACACAAATTATTGCAATTCTTTTTCACATCCGACGCGCCCAACGGTATTCGGCAGTTTGGCTCGTTTTAGACAGCGCAAACCAAAGGGGTTTTGGCACACCTCCGTGCCCAAACCATAACGACGCCGTTGTCAGCCTCTTCGCTCTGATCGTGCTATAACTTCGATCGTTGCCATGTCAGATGGACGTCTAGCAATAGTGTGTCCATGTTTTCACAAGAATACGACATTATTCTGATCATGAGCCTTGGTTGTCGACGAATGTCACATTGGATTATGTCAAATTGCGCACTTCACATGCGCCGCACGTTTGGTCAAATCACAGATTTGCTTTTATAGGCTTACCGCGGAACCGCTACGCTTTCAGCCTTGAGACAAGATCTCCCACATCACAGCAGATCGCTACCTTTGTATCAGCTACAGATCCTCCGGTATCCTTATTACCGACCCAAATGCTTACATTCATAGCAAAAGCATTGCATTCCTCTCACTCTTTACAGATATCATGCCGGATGTTCGGATTGATGATCCCAAGTTGTTGATTATCGCAGGTCACGCGTGTCATTCGTTTGCCTTGTTATGCATGCATGGTGGTTTCGAGTGCTGGGCAAGTTCGCCTTCCGTACTTCCCCAGCACGACAGGCACTCTCCTTGGCTGTTTTCCAGCTAGCAGGTCTGCTGATATGAACGTGTAGAATTACAGCAACGTCTTCGGCTCAGAGCCATGTTCAGAAAGAAAATTCGCATCTTCTTGATCAACGCTACTTGCTGCAAAGGTTCTCTCTCCTCTTGCTGGTCATAATATCAGACCAAAGGATGTTACCCTTTCATCGCCTGCCCTTCTTCTTCTGCTTCTTCGACTTGCTCTTTTTGCTGTTCACCTGTTGCGACTTGGGATCGTGGATCTCAGCATCCTGGTCTTCGTTCGCCATCTCAGCAGTAACTGGCTCAGCCTGCGGTCGAGCTGTAGATCCGACGTCTGCTGGAGTGTTTGCGACTTCTTGGCCAGTACCATTGGAAGAAACATTCCTCAGACAAGCTTGGAGCTGCTCTAGGCCAAAATCGATATTCATCATAGATGCCTCATGTTGCCTTGCAAGTGCCTTGAAGTACGCAAGGCCATTCCGAGGTAAAGCAGGTACAGACTGCGCTAACTCATCTTTCAACTGATGCAAGGCGAGAGTGCCCTTGATGCACTTGGAGAACTTGGAGAAATGACCAATGCGGAACCACTGACCATCGGACTTTGACCATTGCTGAGCCGAGACGTCACCGATGGTATTGATGGCGAATAAGACCTGATTATTTTTTCCGATAATGTGTCCAACTTCCGCAAGAGGAATGACTTCATTGCCGAAGACCTTGTTGACCTGGGAAAAGTACATGGCTGATGACTTGGCATTGGCTTTGGCCTTGGTTTGGTCGCTCTTCGATTGTGGGTTTTCATCCTGATCATCCTCAAGTTGCGAGATCATTGAAGAGTATTCTTCGCTTGAATACACCTGTGGCCAACCCTTCCTATCCTCAGCATCGTCCTCTAAGGCTTGCAGCATACGCTCAGTTGATTCCAGATGTTGCAAAAGTGGCGCACAGAATTCACCGAGAGTTTGGATTTGCGCAAAGTCCGAATCAGGCATGTCATCGCTTTTGTAAAACAGGGCAGATGCCCTGAGACCTTTCTCGAGTACTTCCATCATATCTCTGACGTTCGAAAAGGCCGCAAAGTAAAGCTCATCAATCTGCTCGAAAAGTAGCAAGCACTTGGAGCAATAGGTCTTTGTTTCCCAGTCACTGTCGTGTTTGTGAATGACGAACCATTTCTGGAGCTCCAGAGAGATTTGGAGTCGTTCTTCGGCAAAGACTTCGAGATCTTGCTCGAGTATTTGGATGCTTTCTTTGATGTACTTGGTGGACTGGCGCATCTCTTCTGGGGTTACTTTTTGTTTTTCGAGGACTTTGTCAAAGAGCTGATGTAGGAAGACGTTGGCAGTTTTGGCTGATGGTTCTTGTTGTTCGTGCTGACTAGTACCTAAGCAAGCATGAGTCTTGTCCTTGTTGAGGTAAATGTATCGTGGAACCAGAGGCACATGAGCCATGCTGGGGAGGCTCAGCCTCTGGTTAATTTACCTTGTTCGGTGACCAGTGCACTGCTCTCCTCCAGACTCCCTTCAGGATTGACCTCTTGCAGCCAATCAAAAGCATCCATTGCTCTTTGAACAAGCGTTTCAACAGCCACAGCACTTGACCCACTACCCTGAACAGCATCAGGTGCATGGACCTGTGTCGGTGCCCGAGGCTGCGTCCTAAGCACCATAGCAGAAAACCTTTCAGCAAGCGCATCCGAGAAGATGTTTGGTCTAGATGGACGTTTTGGAGATGGTGGTGATGCGGGTGGTGCTGGCGAGGGTGGGTCTGACTCGTCGTCGTCGAAGTTCTCGATGAATTTGCTATCTAGAAAGGGTTATTATATCAACATCATATGGGTTACTGATACTGACTTCTCGGAGATGGCATCGTGGATTCTCTGACTGAAGTTGATGATGCTAAGCAATAGCCTTGGATATGTTGCGATGGTGTTTTGGTAGGTCAGTGTTGTGGTCGTGATGGTCGCAAATTCATAAATCACGTCTTTTGGCAAAGCACTAACACGATGGATCAGACCGGAACGTTCTAGAGGTTGGTTGCCAGCTGATGACCTGAGGTTTGACATGCACAGTGCTTACAACTCATGTTGTCTGTTCTCTTCTGCACAAACCTCTACTACTACAGGTATTGATTTCTTACCGCATAACCACATGACAACAAACAACTAACTGCCTTTGACTGTGTAGATACTTCTAAGCATATCGCACGAGGAGAAAGAAAAGAGATGAATGGAAAATCTTGGACAGGGTCGACAAAGAACTGAGCAGCAACTACACAAGTTTACTGGGCCAGGGTTCATGAACGTGATGGAAATAGATGACTCTCCACTCTGCTATTCGGCGTAGAAAAAGGCTATAGAGATGCACAAAAGTCTTCAAAACAGGGCAAGGTGCACCAGCGGTAGCCTCCTCGCTGGCTCTCGGACTCATCTTAAAGGGCACACTCTCCAAGATCCATCGATTCTGCAGTGTTTGTCTCCTCACAGGATAAGAGCATGGGGCAATGGAATCCAGACGAACAAGATATGATGTAAGAATCTCAGTAGACACTATTGGCTCGACTCAGCTAACATGGATAAGCGAAAGAGATCTTCCTAGAATTGGGACAGTTGAGAGTCACTCTCAACAAGAAGCAGAGAAATCAATTGAACCCAAAGTGGCATAGGCAAGAACGCTCGTCTTAGCAGGATGGCAGGAGGATGCAAGGAAGAATATGAAACTGGCAAAACGATAGTGACCGAAGAAAGAAAATGAGCCGACCATCTGACCAGCTCTCAATGACAGCCAGCATTTCCAATGAGTAGATCGATTACGAAATCCATTGCTTACCTGAACATAGCGTCGTGTTGCAAGAGCAAGAACGGGACTTCATCATGCTTGTCTGTCAAGATCGAATTTTAAGGTTCCTTCTTCCTCAATACATGCTTTATAGTTATCGGCGCATGCTTGAGGATAGAGAACTCGGGATGGACGAGCTTATACTCCGACTGCAGTGAAGAGCAAAATATAGACTGTAAAAAGGCATAAATACTTTAGCAAGCAGAGGCATGTCTACGAGTCTACGAGGGCCGACAACTTGTCACCTCTCAGTGGATACCGTCTTAGTTCCTATTACTATTCTGCATTTCTATAGATACGCGTTACATGGTTTAGTCCACGGGGAGGGTGAAGGGGCGGAAGTCAACGCCAAGGCGGTGAGTTTTCCCCACAAATCGGGCTGACTTTGCCCTTCCCGTGCCTGTGGATTGTCTCGATCTTTCGAAAAAATAATCTCCAAACAAACCACTTTCTCCCTACAAACAGCAATCATGGCAACCAAGCGTCCTCACAGCGAAGTTCATCCCTCTCGTCGAGACCAAGTTCCTGGCCAAGAAAAGAAACGAAAGGTCAACCCACACCCTCACCGCAAACTCGAGCGCAAGACCAATCCCATCAACCCCATCAAGTCGCGCATCCGCAGTCTGAACCGTCTATTACAACACAAAGAGAACCTCCCCGCCGACGTCCGCCTCAACCATGAGCGAGAGTTGAAGTCCTGCGAGTGGGAACTCGCTCAAGCTGAGAGCCAGCAACGCAAAAAAGACCTGATTGGCAAATATCACATGGTGCGCTTCTTCGAGCGACGGAAAGCAGAGCGTCGCCTCAAGAAGCTGGAGAGGAGAGCCAAGGAAGGCGAGGCCGATCTCGAGGAGCAAATACACGAAGCCAAGGTCGACTTGAATTACGCCATGTACCACCCTCTCGACATGGCCTACTCAGCACTCTGGCCGACAAAGGGAAAGAAGGACGCCGATGGCAATGAAGTCGAGGTCGAGAAGCAAGGAGACCCAGATATGTGGTTGGTAGTCGAGAAGTGCATGGAAGAAGGTAAGCTGGATGCCCTGAGAAACGGCAAGCTGTTGAAGTCTGCTCCTGCCCAACTCGACAACGACGACAGCATTGTTCAGAAGGCGTCAAATGCCAGAGCAAAGAAGGAAAAGAAGGACAAAAAGGACAAGGAGAAGAAGGCAGCCCAGAAGCCTGCAAAGAAGGCCGATGAGGATCAAGCCATGGGCGGACAAGATGAAGATGAGGACAGCGAAGGAGGTTTCTTCGAGTAAGAAGTCTTCTGGCGAAAAGTATTGCATCTGTTATGGCGCATTGGGTCTGTTGTTTTTGTTGCATTCAGCCATTCTACTGTATATACCCATCATTGCAACTCTTAAACCGACTACAGTAAAGCCTACCCAAAAATTTCGCGACCAGAGAATATATATAGAATTTTATGTGACTTTGCTGCTTGTGTAGTGGTTGGAGGCATGCGAATGGTTGACTGTCTCGTCTGGCTGGCTGTGCTCGAACTTGTTGGAGACGCTGAACTTTGGCCTTCACTTTCAAGTCGCAACAACGAACTTCACAAACCTGCGATTGCAAGCGCATCTGTACAACGAATTTGCTTAACACGGTAATTTACCTTCACTCACAGTTTATTGCAATCCCTCTGAAAATCTTCACCAGCTCGAGCGCATTCTTTACCGCACGAGCTTGCGACTACACGCAACTTCAACCACGCGTGCTTCCCAAATCGTCTCCTTCATTCACAGACAGTTCATCTGTCACAGCATCAGCAATGACTTCCAAAGCAGAGCGCTTTGCCGCACTGCTGGGCACTTCGCCCAACACTTCTTCTTCTGCTAATGGCACAGCGCACAATTTCTGCGAGACTGCTCCCACGGGCATGCAATTCGTGCCCATCAACGCCGTCTCCAAATTTCCTTACAAGTACATGAAGAGATCACAGAGCGAGCCTGTCTCCATCCAGTTCTTTGCCGGCGGCAAATTCTGGGGGCGCGATTGGGATCTGTAAGTATTGCTCAATTTCTTTACTCTTTCTACTCTGCGTGCCCTATCCTTCCATCATTTTCTGTCCTCAAATAGCATATTTGCAGGCGCAAAGCGGTTCACCATAAATTCTGCAACTTATCCTGTTCGAAGTGGTCTCTCAAATTTTCGACCGCCGAACTTGCCGCTATGGTTTCACTATGGAAGAACAACTTGATCAGTTTCTGTTCGAAGACTAATATTTGGTAGATGGTACATTCACTCACCTTACTTCCAATCTGAAAGGCCCACCATCTTCGTACCTCTTGCACAGTTCAAGCAGTTGCTTTGGGAAATTGATAGTACCTACCCGAGCTTTGCTGTTCGCATGCCCAACGATCCCGAAGGTACTCTTGTCTTTCCTTTCGAGTACAGTGAGCACAGACTCCTCAGACCTCACTTCTTGGGTAAGTCATCAAACAAGGATGACTTTGATCGGCTCAGCAGCAGTGCTCCTCACTTCGGCCGTCTTGCTGAAGACGAAAATGAGCCTGTGCCTGAGCATATCTCGTACTTCCGCCAAGATATGGACGCTGCCGTTGATGCAGGAAAGAACAAAGGCAGATCAAAGGCCGCAAAGGAAGCAAAGCAGGAAGCACGTGCCCTCCAGCAGTATAACATGCGCCGCCAGGTCGGACGTACTCAAGTCTCGCTCGGTCTTTCTCCAGCATCATCAGATGACCCTAATCTCGATGTCATCTACATCGCGGTCGATGTCGAGTCCTACGAACGCAACCACAACATAATCACCGAAATTGACTTTGCTACCCTTGACACCCGCGATGTCAAGGGTGTTCTCCACGGCGAGGCTGGCAAGGACTGGCACAAGTTTATCCGCGCTCGCCACTTCCGCATCAACGAGTACAAGCACTATGTAAATTCTGAGTTTGTCCGCGGCTGTCCGGACCAATTCGAGTTTGGCGAAAGCGAGTTTGTCAACTTGAAGGACGTCCCTCGTATGGTAGCTTCCTGCTTTAAGTACCCCTACAGCGCAAAGGATGCCAAAAACACCACAGAAGATGACGGAGAAAAGCGCAACATCATCTTCCTCGGTCATGACACCAAGCAGGACGTTGCATACCTTCACAAACTTGGCTACGATCCCAAAAATTTGGCCAACCTGCTCGAGTTCCAGGACACGGCTGCTATGTGGCGCGCTATCACCGGTGAGCAGTCTATTCGTGGTCTGGCTCATATCATGTATGCGCTTGAGCTTGAGTCCTGGAACACTCACAATGCCGGCAATGATGCTGTCTACACTGTGCACGCCATGATCGGTATGTGCATCAAGGATTTGCAGAAGAAGGCTTCCGATGAGGATGACGAAGGTGGTGTGAGTTTGCTGCCTGAGAAGAAAATGGATGTCGAAAAGGAGGTCAAGAAGATCACCAAGAAGTTCGTCGAGTGGGACATGTGAAAATCGAATGAGTTAGGGCCGTGAGATGCAGAGTGTGTCTATGCAAGGTTAGGGAGAATGGATTGCTTCCGTTGCTAGCTACATGAAAAGGAGATTCGGCCAAGTCGTTGCTCTGCGCAGTACCATCTCTTTGCTCAATAACTTTTGCACTTAAGCAGGACATGGTGTACAAGTAGAAAGGCTTGTCAACCACACGAAACACGAACCTAATTCTCACTCAGTCAAATCAATTGGTGTGGCTGTTTATCTTGTTGGAGTCGGGTTACTGCGATTGGATGGATCTCTTTGCACTCTCACGGCTGACTGTTGAGCTGTATCCAGCCATTCAGCGGTTGATGGTTTCGCTTTCTTTCCCGGAGTCTGATCGTCATCACCAGCTGCGCGCTTCTTGCCTTTTTCCTGAATCTTTTTGATATCATCCTGTGAGCTTTTAGTCATGTCTAGACCCAGCACCTCTCTCCACTTGAAGAACTGCCAACAAACTGTACGAACCCTCAAGGTTCTACCCTCACCCGGCCCTCTCAAACCCAAAAACTTGGTCAGTTCTGGTCGCGCGATTTGCCCCAAGGCCAGTCTGAATTGATCAATTGACCAGATTCCATCGCGAGTGAAACGTTTGATGCATGCGCGAATCTGATCGCAGTCGAGGTCTATCTCCAATGGAGGTCTTGTCTCTGACTCAAACGGAAGCTTTTTTGACCCTGGTTTCACGACGGATTTGAAGACGCCTTCGAAGTCGGTGTCAAAGTATCCATGATTTCCACGTTGAGTCAGATCGAGATCCTCGTCAGGGATGCTGTCGAGCAAGTCTCTCTGTTGCAAAATGTTTAGGGCTTCGTCTAGGGACTTTGGCTTCGGCTTATGGTTCTCCATGATGTTCAAGATGTCCTCATCGTGCTGTTCTTGTTCGATTTCTTTGCGGCGTTCTTCGTCCTTCGATGCTGATACTGTTGCGGAGTATGCTGCTATTTCTGACGGGCTGAGGTCGGAGAAGACTGCTGTGCGGGCATATTTTTTCTTGTCTTCTTCAACTTCTGAATTGATGTAATCCATAATGGTGTCGCGGACGAAATGGTTTGGTACATCTGTGAGTTGATGATCACGTCCTAAGCGACCACCGGATACTTTGCCTCCCTCGGGTCCGCCAAACATGACGAAGGCAGGCCTTTTGTCGTCTCCCGACGCATCGCGGTGAATGATTTGAGCTTGTACCATGCCCTTTGTTCTGTCGCTCATCCCAACTGCTGAAGCCAGGTCATCGATAAGCTGCTGGTTAGACTTGGCTTCGTTCTGTAAATCCATCAGAAATGCGAACGCCCTTGAAAGTTTCAGGAGGAGAGATGCCACATATAGCTTTGGAGGTCGAGAAAGGCGTTGGAGGATCCTTATTGGGCTCAATAGCTGGTCTTTTCCAATCCGGCTCCTTCTGCGCATGTTTTACTCCTTCTACGACTTTCTTGTACATTTCCGTCCGACGATCCTCGGGTTGCTTTGCAATTTGCTTCTCGATTTCCTGTGCCACGATACGGTGATCTACGTCTGCGAGGGTATGTTCGGTGCCGTCCATTCGATAGTGTTTGTTCCCTGGCATGATGGCACCACCCATGTGGTTGGGAAGTCTGAGATAGTTCATTGCTACCAAGTAATATACGAATTCGTCGATTTCTTCATCGGACATGTTTGTGTACTTTTTCATGTTTTCAACCATTAGGTCGTTCATCCTCTGATCGTATGGGATCTCTTTTGCGTTGCCTTTCGATGGGCGTTGACCTCTTCCTCCAACTTTGGATATATTAGCAGATGAGTTCGGCATCTTGATGCCCGTTCTACAACAAGTGACAATGTAAGTTGTCTGCGTGGTATATCTGATGGGGATAGGGTCGAGGTTGGAGAACGCGTTGTACACGTCTCTATCTTTATGCATTGCACAATTTATGCGTCATGCTCAGCGCCGATCTTTCGCGCCTTTTCACCACACCTTGCTCGCAGCTGAAGCAAACAATGAACATGAACGACCTCATCTAAAATATCTACTGGACCTTGAGACAATGAGAGATCATATGGACGTCGAGAGTGACTCTGCGCATTTCTTCCATCGTCAGAACGTCTCGCGTATAGCCATGATGAGATACACGATCTTCTTCAGCTTGGAGAAGCGCTCAAAGGAGATCCGTCAAATGAATGACTCCCTCCTCCCCATGTGCTAGGTCTATGACTTGCGTCGCCCTTCGACTATATTGAAGAGCATCGTGCACACTTTGAGAAGACTCAGCTGTTTTCGGAAGCAGGCGTGTGCCTACAGAAAGCTGATAAGTTGTCGCTTCTCATTGAGCACCATCCGTTTCCTGATACTGTCGTGCATTCGTGTAGCTACACGCGTTGTATACTTCAGCGTATGGAGAGTCATTGGATGCCGTCTATTATTCCAGAGTATCGTGTGTTTCTCGAGCTCAGCACTTGATTTCGTTGCTTCCCTACTTAGGTTCTGACGAATGCATACCTCGCCCCGCAGCTAAACAACGCGGCAAGTTCAACTATCTCTGCTCATGTATCTCAGTAGCTGCCACTTCTCATGCGCAAGGCAGGTAGACGCGCATAGATGCCTGATTGTGACTCACTCCTACGTCGGTCCTTGTCGGCCGAGATGCTCGGACACCGAACCATCGTACGGGCATACACCTTTCCATCAAAGGATTCAGGCAGCAGTCAGCGACCACCATTGCCAGCAACAGCGACGATCGCTGCGTGATTATCTGATTGATAGGTAGGGATCGATTGATAAGATGTCAGACCACTGTGTTGTGCTATCTTCATGTGATGATGATGGTCTGAATATAAAATGAGTCGAGGTAGGCGCTGTCAACATCTCCTACCTTCAAGCTCATTCTTTCTCCATCAGTTGAGTTCTGCTTTGAGCCACAGCTTACTGTGATATCTGCACATCTGCCTCAAGATCACCCGACCAACATGACCCAACAACAGCAAACTTCAGGTCCATTCACAGGCATCTGCGATCCAGATCCCAATGCCGTATGGGTAGCCACAGACCTCTACACCCTCTCTCACCTCGACCCTCCAACCACCCACAACAGCAAGATTCTGAAAAGTACCCTCGACAACGCCTCCGCTCAAGGTCTACCTGCCATCTACTCCTCGCGCGCATTTGCAAAATTTCTAGCTCTTCAAGCCAAAGCCATAAACGCAAAGCACTTTCTCGAAGTCGGTACTTTGGGAGGCTATGCTAGTATATGGCTGGCATCTGAGAATCCTAGCCTCAAAGTCACGACGCTGGAATACAATCCTCATCATGCTGAGGTTGCTAGAGAGAATATAGAAAATGCTGGACTTTCTGATCGGATTACTGTTCATGTGGGAGCTGGGATGCAGACACTGCCTGTTGTTCTTTCCGATATTGAGGCTGGAAAGCTGGACAAGTTTGATATGGTCTATGTGGATGCAGATAAGATGAACAACTGGAACTACGTCGATCTTGCCATCGAGGGATGCAGGAAGGGAGCTATTATTGTTGTGGACAATGTCGTACAGGGTGGACAAATTGCCAGTGGGATTGAGCGCTCTGACAAACCGGGATATGTTAGTGGTGCTCGGGAAGTCATTGAGAAAGTGGGCAAGGATGAAAGAGTCACTGGTACCGTTATCCAGACTGTGGGAGAGGGCAATTATGATGGCTTCCTCTTTGCTATCGTCCAGTGATTGGAGCATGTTGTGCTAGTGTCTGTTGGATTGCCATTACCCTTCGTCTTTTCTTCTCCGTTGAAGCTCCTAACTATCCGGTCTTTACACCCTATGGAATTTTTGCTCTCTTCTCTTTCTTTTCGAATGACGACTTTATGACGCTTCATCACCCTCAGTCAGTACTCGATCAGCCTCCTGAGCAATATGGTGATCAGAATTTCTAGTCTACCCCTCTCCCTTATGATGTAGATAGCGTGAACCTGGCCTTAATAGTTCACTGCTTAGTATCTGACAAGTTCTACAAGACTTATGTCTATTGCTAGACAATTGATGTTAATGCAACCTAGATATAGAAGGTACAGTATGTGTTGATACAAGTTTTGTATTTGCAGAGCTTAAAGGTCGCGAGACCATTCTTTTGAAATCTACATGTCTAGAAAGGCGAGACCAAGCCTCTTGATAGAAACCAATGTTCCTAGCAGAGAGGTGACTCGAGCCTTTTTGAAAGAAGAGCTTTGCCTCGTTTTTGTTTCAGGCATCCGTCGTACCGTTCGTGTTTTTGCTTGCAATGAGAGATAGCCTCGGACTCCTTGAAAATGCGTTGAGATAGCAAGCCAAACCAAGTAATGTGTGGACAAAAGAGAAAAAGAAGAAAGAGCAAGAACAGAGAGACTCATGAACCTTCATGTCAGCCACACCAGCAGCAGTGTAGGACTGCCGTCTCTTTCCCCCATCCATCTATCTATATTTATTTTTGTTTTTGTCAGAACTCCATCGTCCTTATATGCACCGACTCCGGAAAGAAGAAAAAGCGTAAGGAATGCGTGAACTGGGACGCAGGACGGGCTGCCGTCCTACTCCCGAACTTTTGTTCATGAGATAAAAAAAAATCATCGACCGTGTTGTTGAATCGAGGTGAGAAAATGCCTGACTGTTGTTAAATCATGCAGATTTCATCGAGAAGATAGATAAGTTCCAGGATCATTGACCTTCACAAATCCAGTGAAAGTATGCTTGTATTGAGGAGGTGTCGTTATGCTCATCGTATCGTATCTGTTCGAACACCTGCTATCGGGCTGTCCGCCTCTCCCATGGGCTTGAATAGCAGTTTCATGTCGAGTGTAAGGTCACCGACTCCATAAGTATCATCGATATCGCCGACGGAACCGGTATCTAAGCCTCCTTGAGTGTTTTCATTGGCGACAAAGCCTTTAATCTTCTTCAGTAGACCCATAATCTGCAAGAAGCGAAGATCCGGCGGTGCCGTCCACTCCGAGGCCTTTGTTGAGCGCAACAACGATTGACCAAGGTAAAAGAAATGAATCCCGTCCCGCGAGAAACCAAAGCGGCGATAGCCGATACCGTTTTGTGGGTATTGGATAGCTATGTCCATATCCCAGATTGACTTCCACTTGCTCATGGCGAGCTGAATGGACTTGAGAATAGGTTGGATTTGCGCATGGTGAGCCTGCGGCGTGTCACCAGGAGTGCCAATATTGCTATTGCCGTCCGAAGCAATCCAGTCGTTCTGTCCAAGTGGGGTGCCAGGACCGCTTGCTGCAGCACCATGGCCAAACTGGCCAGTGATGTTCTGCAAGAAGCTTGACCTTTGGAACTTGCAGATCTGGACAATAAGCGCATGGATAAGGATGAATTTAGAGTAGATGTTGGTGGATCGTGACGCGAAAGTGTAGTTGGGCTCCATCAGACCTCGCATAGCACTTCTCATGTCAGGCTGGCGAGGTCGCTGACTGCCGCAAACATTGTTACCAAGGTTGGACGGGCCATTCAGGCCGAGCGCGTCGCGACATTCTTGCTCAGTCTTGGCCTCCCAAGCGGCGTCGTCACAAGGTAACGGCAAACGGAATTCCAGTGGATCAAACTTGGGCTCATTGTTGAAGTACATAACAAGAGCGGCGTCAAGTAGGAATAGAGTGAATGCAACTCTGCTACGTTTCTCCTGTGCGATCCAGGAAGACCAAGTCCATGTTGAAAGGGCCTCTTGAGATATCGGACCGGGCTGGTGGAGGACGCTGTAAGTAGCTTGCCCAGGTACTGCAGGGGAAATAACCATTCGGCGAGCGATTTCGACAACACTGTCGAAGTTCTTTCTAGCATCTGCACGCTGGCTTGGAGTGCCATGCCAGCAGAACAATACCTTAAGCATGTACAAAGCTTGCAGCTCTTCAATATCGGATTCCAGTGAGCCTAGAGGTTGGTTGCCTTCTTGGATGACGCCTCTGATGACGTTGTGGACTCTTGAAGCGTTCTTGACAGCGTCTTTGACAAGCTCCATCATTCTTCGAACTTGATACAGGTCTCGCTTTTCGGAGTAGACGGCGCCGATGCAGATGATGGTTAATACCAGGCCATCGTTGGCTTTGAGGATTTCGAAAGTGGGCATGTGGATGATCGGCCAATGACCCTGGAAGCTGGTGAATTTCTCGATGAAGTGCTTGATGTTTTCAACAGTCAAGCACTTTCTCATCTCGTCGCAAGCGTCATTGCTTGAGGATGTTCTGTTCGAAAGTACGTACGTCAGCAATGCATTGGCCTTGGCCTGCAATGGATCGCTTTGCACGAGATCCATGTTCCAGTTTGGAAAACCAGACAGGTGGTGCGCACCTGAATCTTCGCCGAAGCCCGACGGATGTGAATAGAGTCCACCAAAGAACTGCTGCTCGTTGCTGTGCTCGTTCGACGAGTTGTAACTGTGACCTTCCATACTACCCTCAGCTTTAACAGGCATCTGCGGCTGGCTTGGATGAGACTGTGTCATGAAGCCATCGTGAGCGTGCTGGGGTGCGAACATGGACCAGTCGGGGACGCCGTTGGGTTGGCGGTTTTCGCTGATAGGGGCGGGTTGGTGAGTGTAGCCGTTTGGTGCCTGCTCTTCGGCTTTGACGCCTGAAGGATAAAACTGGCCTCCATTGGCCATCTGGAAGCTATAGCTCGGCGGCATGGGGTTCGAGGCCGAGTGGGGACGCATGCCGCTGTAGGGGACGCCATTAGGGTAACCTGCAGAAACGATTGAGTACTGGTCACGGTATTGTTTCCCACATCTATACATACCTGCGAGGCTGCCTCTGCCATCACTTGTCATTGCACCCGGGTGGATCAAGCTGTTAGCACGAGACGAGCGATTGGAGAGGGATGCTACGCTCGAAGCGTATGAAGAACCTTCTCCGTTGACAGTTGGGCTGTTGGTAACGCCATTCAAGGCGGTTCCGTTAGCATAAGGAACACCTGCAGCTTCGGCGAGACCTGCAAGAGCTACGGGTTCGGTGCTGCTGATAGACATGCGGTTAGAGCCATTAGTGTTCCTGCGTTGGTGAGCGAGGTGATTTGCGCCTGTAGGGTTGCCACGACGAATCGAGCACTTCTGGAAATGGCGCTTGAGAATGTCGCTGCGCGAGAATGTGTCCTTACACAGGTGGCACATGTATGGCCGGTCTCCAGTGTCTGAGTATTGTCAGTCTTCTGCTTCTCGACCAATGTGACGCGCGATAACTCACGGCGCAGTAAATGTCTCTTCAAATGTTTGGCGTGGAGATATGTCTTGTTACAGTGTGGGCAGGGGAACTTTCCATCTGCATCCTTGGCTGGAATCATTGACTTGCTTGTGGCAGCAGCTGCGGTACCAGGTGTAGGAGCAGCTGCACGACCGGGTGCACTAGGTAGGATGCCACGTCTTCCCTGCGATCCTACGACGTGGGTAGGTTCTGCCTCATGGTTCTGCATGTATGGCTGAGCGCCTACGAGTCCGGATGCGCCGAAGCTAGGCAGCGTCGACAAAGCATTGTACGAAGTCTGAGGCTGAAGTGGGCGCAAGTCGGGTAGGCGAGCCTGAGCTGGAGTCTGAGCGGCGCTCGTAGCAGTAGAGGCAGGAGGCAGGGTGGATTGCGATGTCGAGTAAGGGATGTATGTAGACGAAGGTGGCAGCATTGAACCAGTGGTCGCCGGCGACGATTGGTGCTGCTGTTGCTGCTGCGAAAAGGCGTGCAAGCCGTTGGCTCCCATTGACGAAGTGGTAGGGGTATGGACGGTAGTGGGGGTCTGAGGATGGCTACCAGATGCGTTGTACAAGGAGGGCAGCTGACCAAAGTTGGCGGCCTGAGTGTGCAGCGGAGGCAGCGTCTGGTTGTGGCTGTGGTTGTCGCGCGACGACTCTTGCTGCGGCGGACCCTGCTGCTGCTGTTGCTGGGCTTGTTGCTGCTGAGCTTGTTGCTGCTGGGCCTGTTGTTGCTGGTGTTGAGGGTGCTGCTGCTGATGGGAATAGCTCGAGAAGGGCGCGAAGTTGGCGGGCTGAGGCATATAGGTAGTGGAGGGGTACTGGTTCTCCATAGTGAAGATGCCAATGATGTCTTGGTTTGGGGAAATAATGGGCCCTCAGGGCGAGAGCATCTGGCGGGCACAAGAACGCGGATGTGGAGCAGGTCAGTTGCGATGCCAGACAAAAGCGTGTAGAATAGGCAAGAGCAAGAGCAAGAGCGACCAGTTGTCAGAACTCAAGCCAGACCGAGCTCCAAGCACGGAAAGGACAAGGCAATCAAAAGTCGAGTAGAAGGAGTGGGCAGCTCGAGGGCAATGCGTTACTCCAATGCTGCGGTGCGTCGAGGAAAACGGCCGCGCAAAATCTGTTGCCGAAAAGTCCGTTTTGTGCAAAAGATAGCTGCCAAGCGCCTGTCGCAAATCTGAAAAAAGCTTGCGGCCCGTTCGAGTAGGTACAAGAGCTGACAGAAGCCAACCTCGAGGATGTCCACGAAGGAACTTGTCTATATCTCTGTAAGAACGCGACCTGGCGCGATAGCTGCTGGAGTCGCTCTCAACTAACGATGATGCTGATTGCCTGTGAATAATCGGTGCACGGGCTGGCTGATGGATTAGATCCGTGTGGACCAGGAACCCGAGCGGTGGATCTGATCTGTCAAGCACACGAGGGGTCTCAGTACAAGAGAAAGCGGGTCGCTTGTGGACTTCTAGCTGCTCTAGAGTGGACGAGAAAGAAGATGCAAAAGCCTTCCGCAGATTGCCAGCGATGACAAACAGTACAGACGTGCAAGATGCTCGCGCAAAGCGACTGGGAAACCTTTCACTAATCGAATGATGAGCTCGAGGAAGTCTCAACGCCTCAAAGCACGGCTTCGGATGCGCGCCATAACCACTTTTTTTAAGACCACGTCATTCGACGAGCCTTCTCACCTTTCCTAAACAGTCGCCAAGGCGTTGCATCTCCCTGCTTTGACTTTGGTGGCTTTCCACTCTTCGCGCCCATCAGCTCTGCGGTTCGGATCCTCTTGAGCACGTTGTGCCAGAAGCAGATCCTGTCAATCAACTCTCTTTCTGTCTTGCAATCGTCCCATCTTCTTCTGCAGGTCTGCATTCTACGCCACAAAGCAGAAGTTCTGTATCAATCTTCTCGCGGCTGCGCTTGCTCAAGAGAACCTGAGCCGCTCTTGGCTTCGGATAAAATGACCGCGCGATTTTCTAACGACAACGTCCGAAGCAGTTCGGCTCGAGCATTCGCTCTCTTCTCCGACAGCTTCCGCCCTCCTTCTCAAGTCGGCCTGGTTTGGTGCTAACATACATATCGCTTGTCGACACTCTTGGCAATTCGTTATCAAATTCCCCTCGCATTCGCATTTCAGCTCGCGAACACAAAGGGTCACAGTCTGCCTGCTCGTAAAACCATTCCTTTCGAAAATGAGTTGCGCCATGCCATGAGCAAACGATCCGGTCAACCCTGTCAGTCAGGTCAAACCTAAATCGATCACCTGCATTGGTGCTTAAGCGATGGCAGGCGCGCCGAACAACAGCCATTTTTTCGACTCATGGTCTACAAGACGGTCCCTGCCACCATTATTTCGAAATGCCTGACCAAACACTTTCGTATTCAGGTTTACGCCATAGAGAAGGTCGTCAGCGTCCAATGGTAGCCAATAGGCAGGTGAGAGCATTGGCGATGGCGGTATCGATCTGCGCTGCAATAAGCCCTTGATATGTTTTCTTGACTCGTGAGGGGCCCGCTGGTTTGCAGAGCGGAATCGGTGGTGCCGCGCCGGCGGCCCCTCGTCCTTGCGCCAGAACAAGCATAATCAGCTAGCTCGCTTCTTAAGTACGCCATGACCGTGCCTCGAGATATTCCCGAGAGCTTTCCCTACTCAAGTAAGCCGCGTCTCTTAGAGCTTCCTTCCAAGTCGGCGTGAGCCAGGTGAATCGCTAAACCACACAGCAGGGAAACGAATATCTCCTTCGCTGCACAATATCCCAAGTCCCTCCGCTGTATGGCCGACGCTTGCTACCCAAGCTTACCGCCACGGGGTCACAGTACGGGGTGAGTGTGCGCTGCCGACTTGACGTTCCGAGGGACCTACCTTTGTCGACTCGCGTTTTAGCCGGGCTTCCCGCACGTGAACGACCAACACCACGGCTATCTCTCCGGTCTGAGCGTTGTTGACCTATCTGCTTGCTTCGGATCAAGACAAGTGACATTTCGTTTGCTGCGCCTACAAGGCACGAGACGTGGTGAGAGCCGTATGTTCGTGCTCAAATCCTCCTCGGAATCTGTTGTTCAATACTGCAACGTTGCATCTGTTTACTAATATCAACCTCACACCAGAAAGCATGACACCAATTGACTTATGGGATTTCTAGGTTTCGCTATCGTTGAATATGTCGGAACAACTCGGACTTGGTGTGTGCTTGCCCTGCTTGAGGGCATGGTATCGTACAACCTTCATGTGTCCAACTCAGGTGCTCTTGTCGCTTCGTCGCAATTTGCACAAAGGCTTGCCTTGCGAAGGATAGATGTTCATTCGTTTGTGAAACGTCGGCGTCCTCAGATGTCAAGGTATCCTTAACCTTGCTCTAGATTTCCATGACATTAAACGGAGGCGCATTCAGGACGTGAAACTCGAAATGTTTGATTCTACGTCAGGCCTTGATCAAGCATTGATCACAACCAAAGAAAAGAATAGGTAAAAATTGGCTACTCAAGACAGGTGGTTGGGAAGCCAGCTACGAAATTATCTATCCAGCCACTCTGCAAGTTACGGCCGTGTGCTGCATCGACCACATTCTCTGCTGTTCGGTCCTTCATTCAAGACCTGAGCTCAGAATTGATGTTGAGCAAGTTCAATGGCCGTCATGAGCAGAGCGGGACAGTAAACCTCGAGACGGATACATTTCCGGATCCGGCCCGGAATTTGCATTCATACCAACGGTCAGTGATTCCCAAGATTCCGCAGCGCACTATTGGCATTCAAACACAGCGAGCGGCTGGCTGAGAGAGCCGAGCTGGACCTGATGAACAATCGACAGCCACATGGCAATGACAGCGGTCGACGCTCACTGAATTGATCTTCTTCGCAAGATTCTCCAGAGACTTTGCGCTTAGCTGAACCCATGCCGGAGAAGGTTTGAACAGGCGTTCATTCCTTGACAGCATACGAAGCCCGTTCGGCCTTTTTGACCAAACTGAGAAATCGATTTTGATCTCCTATGGATTGGTCCTTTTGGGTATATGCATGTTTTGTAGATGCCCGAACAGCTTGCATGTTTAGGCCGGCAGGCGACTGTCGATTGCATAGCACAATTCATCATCGTGCATTTAGAAGTAGCTAAATGCAGAGACCAGACTCTTCCAGGTTCTGTCCATCAAAAGAAAAGCAATGGCCGTACAATCCTGACTTATCCAGCCTCTCAGATCAATCACCAGCGCTCCAAGATTGCGGAAATGCAAGAGGAAACTCTGAACCGACACGAACGCAATGACACGGCGTACGTCATATTCTGATATCGCAGACCATAGGTCCATAGCTTTATAGCCTAATAAGTATATTTGTCTTGTTATTCTGGGCGCTGTAAAGGAGGTTCTGAGTTGTACACAAATCACTCGCACAAGGCACCGTAAGCAGTGATCATCAGCAGTGCTAACTCAGTAGCGAAAGTATAACTTCGAATCTGGTAACCCCTACCGCAACACCTTCTTTTGGTGTCAACCACCCAAGGTAAGCAGCTTGCTGATAGTTTGAGATTAGCGGACGACCGTCCGCGATACGAGTCCGAGGATGCAACGTAGCAAGCATGGAGTACCAGCACTCGTGATCACACCCAGACAGCTTTGTGGAGCGTGACTTTATATTTCCAAGCCGATCAGATCAGGGACACAGGGACAAAGACCCTCAATCAAGTGGGTCAGATGTACAACGTCGCTGATGCTGCATGTGTAGAGCTATAGATTTGAGCAGGGTCGTCCGGGCGGCATGTAATTTTCATGGAGTAGATCAGACTCGAAACCGAGACACTGGCGGTCAGTCCTGCATGTTCTTTCAGACATCTTGATCGACACTCAAGACGCCCAGAGAAGTTGTCTTTCTTTCCCAAAATGTTTCTCTTAGCAGAATAAAGAGAGACATTGTAATCGTGAATCAAATCAGAAATTACCAAAAAGAGGAGCGGATAGATCCGCAGAGCCTCATTCGTGGTGGAGGCAAGGTCAGCAAAGCTCCGCAATTGAAAATGTTCAAGCTCGACTGTTGATGTTTCTGCTACGAGCAATTCTTTCACCATCTCTTTGAACCATCTCCTCAATTCACCACAGACCATCGTTCGTGTCCACCTCTATTCTCACACATCAATACATGTCAGCAGCGAAAAGAGTCAAGATGTCAGGTCCTCTCATCGGAACCCACAACGGTCACTTCCACGCCGATGAGGCGCTCGCCGTCTACCTTTTGCGCCTTCTTCCCACCTACTCTGACAGCACCCTCGTCCGTACCCGCGATCCCGAAAAGCTCGCTCCCTGCCACACCGTCGTCGACGTTGGCGGTGTCTACGATGACGAGACCAAGCGCTACGATCACCACCAGCGCGAATTCACCACCACCTTCCCCAACCACTCCACCAAGCTCTCGTCTGCCGGTCTCGTCTACATGCACTACGGCAAGGATATCATCTGCGCCTGCACCGGTCTTGACAAAGAGTCAGCCGATGCCGAATTGCTCTACCAGAAGTTGTACGATGACTTTATCGAAGCCTTCGATGCCAACGACAACGGTGTCTCTGCCTACGACCCTACCGCTCTCCGCAAGGCTGGCATCGAGAAGAAGTTCTCCGACCGTGGCTTCAGCATCGCCTCCGTCGTCAACCGTCTCAACTACTCGCACCCCGCTCCCGTCGCTGTAGCCAAGCACTCCCTCAGCACTGAGGGCGTCAGCACCGAAGGCGGTATCTCCGTTCCTTTGACCTCCAACGGCACCACAAAATCTCCCGTCGAAGCACAGGCCGAGGAGGACGAGCGCTTCCTCAAGGCGTCCCAGTTCTGCGGCGACCAATTCATCTCTGAGTTGATGGACAAGTTCCACTCATGGTTGCCCGCCCGCGCCGTCGTCAAGCAGGCCTTTGGTGACCGCTTCAAGTACGACGACAAGGGCCGCATCATGGTCGTTCCCCACCGTCCCGAGGGCTGCCCCTGGGCCGACCACCTCTACGCTCTCGAGAAGGAGACTTCCACCGAGGGCTCCGTCCTTTACGTCCTGTTCGCTGAGAACGGCGAGCCTGACAGCAAGTGGCGTATCCGCTCCGTCAGCCGCGAGTCTGGCAGCTTCGAGAACCGCAAGGACATGCCTGATGCCTGGAAGGGTGTTAGAGACGAGGAGCTGAGCAAGGTCTCTGGCGTTCCCGGCTGTGTCTTCGTGCACGCCTCTGGTTTCATTGGTGGCAACAAGACCTTCGAGGGTGTTCTCGAGATGGCCAAGAAGTCTGCCGACGCATAAAAGGATTGAAACGGATGAATGAAAACCACAAATGGAGAAAAAGGGAACCATTGGCAAGGCGTTTATTTTGGTTCGATCAAATTCCGATACCCGGGATCTTTTGTATATAGTTGTACAATTTCATGTGCCATACCGTCACATCTTTTTCTTTCTTGCTTGCTGTTGCGCCCTTCCCATAAAGAATGTTCAGTCTCTTTAGGAACTCACCTTGTTTCCCAAGAACACCTGTGCGTTTTAATAGCTATGTGTGATGACTGCTGATTGTTATGAGAGACGATGAATGCAATGTTAGCACATTGCAAGATTGAGCAAGGCTCTATATCATAAACATCTGCATAGTAAAGAACCATTCCAAGCGCGATTCCAGCTTCTGCTTCACCGACACAAGCTCCAGCGACGAGGACATGACGTTCTCTGCCACACACGAGAATCTCGCCTTCTCTGTGACCTCCGAGGATGATCGTGCGACCGACGTTCGACAGCTGGGTCGATGTCGATTTGACCCCTTGTCGACACGCTCGTGTTGTCGACAAGGTTTTACAAGTCACGGATGCAAAGCACGAGTTACGATTCTACCAGAGGGAAGAGAGGTCTAGAGTCGGGTGAGTACAATCGACAGCCGGGTCGGCGTCGATATGACTTTGTCAAACTGCTCGTGGTTCCAGCAAGGTGCCAGAAGCTACGCATGCAACGCACGACTGTCGTTTGTTCTACAATTGAGCACCGAAAGAGTGTGCTTGAGAAAGCCAGTTGGACGTCGAAGTGTTTCTCTATTCACACTCTCACTTTGTCGGTAAGGAAGCAGAATGTACGGATCGGAAACACGACATAGCAATCAGACAAAGCACGACAAGGGGAAGTGACTTACAGTGCTAGCTGTCCCATGAACGTTGCCATTCGCACCTTCTCCGAAAGCCTTTTGTTAACTACTTTCCCTTTTTAGCGTCTGCTCCATTACTTCTCTCTTGCTACCTCTTTATAACAACTTGGGCCTTTCCTTGAACAAACTTGCTTTACTATATGCTCCCATCAACGCCGCCATCTGCACTCTACTCAAGAAGCCTTTTCTTGACTGCTTCCTCTGTTTGAGGCCTCAGCACCATGCCGCTTCGCCATCAACGAACGACCCTCTCTAGGTCAGCAGTCAACCGACAGCAATCCTCTCACGATCGGCGGGACAGGGGGTAAGAAGGGTTTACAATAACAGTGCTTTCAGGGACAAGCAGTCGTCCGACGAGAAATTATTGCTTTGATGATTGAGAGAGAGAGAGAGAAAAGTACCATGTAGACAAGTCCTCATCGTTTCATACTCAAAGAAAAGAAATATACTCGGGGTATCTCAATTATCGTAAACCTCGTCGTAGAACACGCGAAAAGCCCACATACCATAATCCACCCATGTCCATCTGTTCACACCATTTGAATCCCGAAACGATCCTCATCCCTTTCCTCTAGTGCGTCTGGTCGTCTGTCTAGGCTTCACAACTTCCTCTTCACTCTCCTCATCTTCTTCCATCTCCTCACCACCATCATCCTCGGTATGTGAGAAGTAAGGACTCTTAATCTCTTTCTTGATACCATTTTTCTTGCGTGGTGATATGATAACGCGGGGCGAGGAGGTGCGTCGTTTGAACGGCTTCGAAGGTGCAGAATCTTCGGATGCGTCGGTGAGATCGGAAAGGGAAGATGAGTGGGCTTCTTCATCATCTTCGTTTTCGTCTTCTTCTTCGGACTCGGAAAGAACGGCTTTGCTCTTTCTGGCAGGACGTTTTGGAGGAGGCTTGGGAGCTGCCTTTGTCTTTGCTCTGGGTGCTGCTTTGGGCTTTGCTTTTGATTTAGCAGTAGCCGTGGAAGTGCGAGGATTGGGACGTTGAGGTGGGACTTCTTCGGCGTCCATCTCTTCTTCGCTCTCTTCCTCGTCCTTCACAGGCTCAGCATCTGATGACTGGATTTGACGGGAGGCGGCGGAGAGAGACATTGGTGCAAAGTGTGAGCTAGTGACTGGCTTCTTTTCTTCTTCTGCATCGTCATCATCGAGCAAGAAGCCACCGCCCATCTCAATGTCAGCGTCTTCTGCTTTGGTATCGTCCTCGTCCTCGTCCTCATCTTCGGGCACGAACCCACCACCACCGAGACTGAGGTCTGTGTCTTCTTCTTTTGTCTCCTTGGACTTGTGGTCCTCTTCGTCTTCAGAAACCAAGAAACCACCGCCCTCAGTCATCTCATCTCGAGGCGCCTTCTTTTTCTTTTGCTTGTCGCGATTGACGAATGGGTTGACCTCATCAATCTCGTTCGGTCGACCAGCATAATCTGATCTGATACGTTCGACGATACGCAAGCCCATAAGAAATTTACGCCAGAGATGCAGGTTAGTAGCCTGTCTCTTGACATCTTCTTTGCGTTTGCGCTCGGCTTCCTCGACTTCCCAGGCATCAATGACGGCATCTTCGTTCTCGACAGCCACGACCACACCAGTAATGATGGGGACTGCGCGCTGCTTACCAAACTCAAAGCCTGTGCACGCTTCGGCATAGTCGATGTTGAGTTTTCTGCAGATCCTGGCAGTGCTGCGAAGCGGAATGTGGACAGCACCCTTGGGCACCATTGATGGTACATACACATCAATGTTGTTGTATGCATTCTTGGGAATGACACCATTCTCAATGGGAGGTGGAATGATCCATTCGGTCTGATCAATGCCGTAGAGACCTTGCTTGAGCTTCTCACCAGTCTCGCGCTCAGCTTCTTCCATCTCACGCTTGCGCATGAGAGTTACAGCTCGTACGGGAACCATTTTGAGAGGTTGCTCACCAAGCTTGATTTGCCGACCTTCTTTGTGCCATGATTCAACAGTCTTGCAGTTCACCACGTCAGCTCGTCTGTATACAGGTTCTGACTTTTCCTTATCGCCTTTGCCAGAGGTGAATGTCCTGACTTGTTTTGCGTTAGGAAGAATGGCTTCTTCACGACGAAGATGGCGTTCAAGCACGAACTCGGCACTTTGCTTGTACCATTGCAATGATTCGGTCGCAACCTTGGCCTTCTCAGTCGCCGGCTTGAAAGGTTTGAGGTCTGTAGATTCTTCGATGTCGTCTGCTGCAGTGCGCTTGTTGTGTGGGCGAACAAACGGTGACATGATACGCTTGAAGAAATCGTAATCTTCGGTTTTGATGACCTTGCCACGCTTGTTGAGGACTGGTATTTTCTCGACAGGCATACGGAAGCCTTTGGTACGCCCAGGCAATTGGTGCTTTTTGAGATAGCGTACAGTGACATCTTTGCAGGTTGTGTCTTGGTTGTGAGCGACAACATAGCAGATGACTTGTTTGGCTTGATCCGCACGCTTGCCTCGAGGTTCAAACGTAGACAGTAACTCTTGATTGCTAGCAACAGTGGACAGGACGATAGAGTCGACCGGGATGTAAGTGTTCGACACCGGGGATAGTACCTCTGTCCAATAATGAGGGAATGCCAGATCACGGTCGTACTTCTTGCTGTTCTTGACTGGAGGTGCAGGTGTGATATCAATGACTGAAGCATCATCATCTTCGTCGGCGTCTGATGGCACACTTGAGAGATCACTAGACTCGTCTTCGACCACAGCATTTTGAGACTTTCGAGCAGACTTTCGAGCAGGCTTTTCAGTTTTCAGTGGCTTCTTTGCTTTTGCTTTTGATTTGGGCTTTAGAGATTCGGCAAGATCACTCTCGTCGTCAGAGATTTCGACGGGGTTGGTGGATGTAGTTTGCGGTTGCTTCTTGATTTCTCCTTCCTCGACTTTTGTCCAGCCGAAGCCAGTGGGTTGTAAACTGGCAACCATTCTAGACTCAATGCCGATTGCTCTGATCAAAGCAGTGAACAGCTGAGCACCGACATCTCGCGAGCCTCGACATTCCTTTGCACATTTGCGAAACTCGTCGATGTTCTCGATGCGTTCACCGTGACGCTCAAAGTTGGACTTGTTCTTTGCCCATGCCTTGATCTCATAGGTGATGAGTCTTTGAGGGAGATAGCCTTGCTTACGTATACCAGGAGCCGTCACATTGAAGCGCTTCTTCCAGTAGGCAGTCAAGACTTTGAGCAGTCTAAGCAGAGGGTCTCCACTGCTGAGGTTGGGCACACCAGGCTCGAGTCTATCAGCGTCTTGGCCCCAGTCTCTACCTTTGCTGTTTCCCTTGGTCTTTCCTTTTTGCTTCTTTTTGGGTGGTGGCTGCTTCATGCCCATGTTGATTTTCCAGCGATCGATTTCGTCCTTGACGCCTTGACTCAGACTGTCAAGCAGGATCTTGTGTAGCTCGGCGTCGTTGAGCCATGAATTACGGACGGCATTGTGGAAGAGTAGAGTCTGGACGTGGATACAATGTGCTCGAATACGGGCCTGGCGTTCTCTCTTGGAAGGGCCTTTCTTGGCCTTTGCTTGTTGCTCAGCAGCGGCGATGGCTTGGACACTTCCGTCTTCGTTGATGGAGATGTTGATGTCTTGGATGGCACTATCATCGTCGACCTTGTCTTCCTGAGCAGGAATAGCGTCTTCCCAGTCTATATCCTCGCCATCATCCTGCTCTTTCGGTGCTTGATTCATGGGGACATCTTCGAAATCGTGGTCATCGTCATCGGAAGACGAGGCATCGTCGTCGTCATCGTCATCGCTGTCGCCCTTGCCAACGCTTGCAAAGAAGTTTTTGGCCTCTTCCGCTGTTGCTTTGGTGTTGAGGGTATCGATTGCATCAAAGACGCTGCTCTTGGGCTTGGTGGGTTTGGTGGGTTTCTTGTCGACGGGAGCCTTCTTGCCACGGGCAGTCTCTCTCCGTTTTGCAGGAGGAGCTTCGGGCGAAGGTGAGCGCCTTTTGCGCGGGACGAAGGGAGGCATCTATCTCATCAGTCGTACGCAAGAGGAACAATGCTGAGACTTTTGCGATGCAAAGAACATGTGCAGAGACAGATCAATAATGTTTCCACTTTGGTGCTGGTACCTGCAGCTCATTGACGTCACGTTCGACACGTTCGCAACACGGAAGACGCGACCACAAAATTGATTTGGAAGAAAAAGAAAAGAATTATTCCATCCACTTTGACGACATTATTGACATGGCTGGGAACGAGTTTGCCCGTGCAGATGCCATAGCAGATTGTGTCCTCGCCGCCTTTGATGCTCTGCCAGCACATCGGAAGCCACGACTTCCTTCTTCAGGCCTCAAGGCAGGCCGTAGAGAATGGGTTCCACTCGCAGGCATTGTCCTTGAGAACGGCCAAGGTGTTTTGACATGCGCCGCCCTGGCCACTGGCATGAAATGCTTGCCTCGTGATAAAATACAAGGTCTGGATGGCAACGTCGTACACGATAGTCATGCTGAAATTTTGGCACTGCGCGCCTTCAACCGCTTCCTTCTTGATCAGTCTGCCTTGCTGTGTGCTGATCCTTCTGCTGACAATATCCTGCAATCAACCTCTGCACAAAAGCCCTTCACAATCGATCCTCACACTACTATACACATGTACTGTAGTGAGGCTCCTTGTGGAGACGCCAGTATGGAACTTACAATGGCTCAACAGGAAGACCAATCTCCCTGGACATCCACTTCAGGAAACGAGTCTAATGAGCTATTCGGAAGAGGCTATTTCGGCACTCTAGGCGTAGTACGTCGGAAGCCTGCTCGTCCAGATGCTCCTCCTACCTTGTCAAAGTCATGCTCTGACAAGCTCGCTCTCAAGCAATACATGTCTGTACTTTCTGCAGTCAGCTCCTTGTTTATACACCCAGAGAATGCTTATATCCATACTCTTGTCATGCCTCAGAGTCAGATGGTTTCAGAAGCTTGTGCTAGAGCCTTTGGTCGCGATGGACGTCTATCAGCATTGCAAAGTGCATCTTCTGGTCCCTTCACCTTTCGTCCTTTCACTGTTCGTCCAACTACGCGCGAGTTCTCCTTCAGTCGTCGTATCGCCGATCCATCTACCACTTCAATCGTACCATCGAACATCTCTTCTTTGACATATGGCCCCAAACAAGAAACTCTTATCAATGGCACGCTCCAAGGGAGAAAACAAGGTGATCCGAGAGGAGCTTCTGCCGTCTCCAGACGCTCAATGTGGGCCCTGGCTCTGAAAGTTACTGCTTCACTGGCACAGCCTGCTCTTGTCGCTGCTCTTAGCGCAAAGTCCTACGCAGACGTCAAGGCTAGCAAGATGCTGTCTGACCGCGAAGCTGCTAAGAAAACTGCCAGAGATCTGTCTCTACAAGGCTGGAAGAGAAACACCGGTGATGATGATTGGCTGTTGACGGAAGCCAAGTCACCTGCGAAATGAAAGCTACGCATCTCGATAGCAATGCACCGCTGCGAAAGGGACGAAACTCATTTGTTTTTGGACGGAACTACCTCTCTACAAGGACTTTGTGTACTACCACTGTCCAAGCAGCATTCAATGGATTCCATCAACTCGATCGTGGCACACAAGCTATGAACATGCACAATGTAGTTGATACGCCGTATCGTGGCCGAAGAGACGCTGCGACGATGTTGTCCTTGTGTAACCATCAACGGAACACACTACACGGCTTGAGATTCCTACACTGAGTGCCACGTCACGACTCTGCTTCAGACTCAATTGTCAAGGTTCCAACATATGCAATATAGATCTGATCGATATCAAGACTTGGAAAGCCACAAGAGTTGCGACTTACACCTTCCCTAGTATTGGCCGTCCAAAGTAAAGGTGCCTGTCTTTGTGATCAGGTACTCATTGACCGCAACATCCTTGCCCGACTCCTTTCCATAACCACTTTCCTTGATACCTCCGAACGGACTCTCCGCAGCAGACGAGTTGCCTATATCACAAAGTCAGCCATTGCATCTTCTCCCGCTGTTCAGGGGCAACTTACCAGTGTTGATACCAATCATACCAGCCTCAAGATTCTCAAACAACCTCCAAGTCCTATCAACATTCTTAGTAAAGAAATAACTCGCCAATCCCATACTAGTGTTATTCGCCCTCTCCACCGCCTCTTCCTCAGTCTCAAAAGCAAATATAGCAAGCACAGGCGCAAAAGTCTCTTCACTCGCAATCAACATTTCCTTATGCGCATCGCCAATAATCGCGGGCTCAAAGAAATAACCACCTGCATCTTTCTTTCGTTCCCCACTACCAAGTAGCAGTTTTCCTCCTTGGGAGACGGCGTCTTTGACTTGGGATTCGGCTTTGTCGAGGCCGCGGGAGGTGGTTACGGGACCTAGGGTTGTGGTGGACTCGCTGCCGTGGCCCATGACGAGCCCTTTGGTCTTTTGGACTATCAGGTCGGTGAATTGCTTGTAGATTGATTTTTGAACATAGACGCGGTTGGCGGTTATGCAGGCTTGGCCTGCGTGGCGCCATTTTAGTGCCATGAGTGCTGTGATTGTGTTGTTAGTTGCAAATTTCCTGTATTTAAGTAAGGGAGACGGTCAGGAGGTCGTACCATTAGCTGCTTGTTCCAAATCTGCATCCTCGAAGACGAGGAAGGGGCAGTTGCCACCAAGCTCGAGTGTCACTTTTTTCAAACCGTCGGAGCAGATCTTGGCTACCAATTTACCTACACGAGTGCTACCTGTGAAGGTGACCTTTTTCACAAGCTCATGTCGACACAAAGCTTCAGACAACGATGGAGTGTTATCGAGACTAGTAGTCAAAACATTGAACACACCAGGAGGAAAGCCTGCTTGCAGAGCCAGGTAGCCCAAAGTCAAGACCGAGAAAGGCGTCTCTGGCGATGGCTTAACAATCATAGTGCAGCCTGCCGCCAAAGCTGCTCCCGCTTTACGCAAGATCATTGCGATGGGGAAGTTCCATGGTGTCAATGCCACAGCAACACCAATAGGCTGCTTGATGGTAAAGACACGACGACCCGGAGCCGCAGGCGTAGAAATCGTTCCTTGGATCCTCTCAGCCTCTCCTGCAAACCACCTGTCCACAAAATCAGCAAATCATTTCTAGTCACACCAGCACACCACCAAAACCCACCAAGTAAATCCTAGAGCATAGTCTAGCTCTCCCTGACTCTCAGCGAGTGGTTTTCCAGTCTCATAAGTCACAATCTTTGCAATGTCATCTCTATGTTCGCGGATAAGTGCATCCCACTTTAAAAGCCATTGTGCCCTGGTTCGTGGGTTGACCTTGCGATAAGACTCAAACGCCGTCTGCGCAGCTTGGACAGTCTTGTCTACATCCTCAGGTCCATTATCAGGAGCCGTAGCCCACGTTTTGCCAGTACCAGGATCTGTTGTTCTCACATATTAGTTGATACAAGTCTTGACATCACCGTGATGGGCACGAGAAAACAAAACATACCGACAACATCGAAACGTTTTTGGGATTGGGCTTCCACCCACTTGCCATTGACGAGAGCATGATCGCGGAATATATCCTTGTTGTTTAACTGTTGCAGGTTTTAGTACGAGAGTGCTACGTCAGCAATCGGGAGTCTTGGTTGCAATCGTTTACCTTGAAAGGTAGCTCCGACGCCATGGCTAACTTTTGGCTCTTCTGCAGTAGTTGCTTTTTGCTTCCTTTGTTGTTTTCTTCCCCTACGATAAGGCGCAATATACGCTCAGATAGCAAAAGGAGTAAGAGAAACCAAGAGAATAAGAAAAGGAATTAAAGAAATGAATGATGCGTTCATGTCTTTCTCACGACATTGTACATCTTTGAGGGGTTGAGTTTGTCGCTCCCTCGGGAAACTCACCAAAAAGGCGGGGTCGTGAAGCTGCTATCACCTTGGTGGGCAAGAGGAGCAGCTCCCCAAAGCTGTCAAAAAGCATCTTTTCTTGCTTCTGTATACAGGTACAATGTTACATAGTATTGTTATAACCTCAGCCTCTGTCGTGCGTGGCTTGACCACATGCATTTCGTTCTTTCGATCTCGTCTTGCGCAAACGGGTGGGATTGTTGAAAAATAAAGGTGCCACGATAGTGTGGGATCGTCATCGAAGGAAGACAAGGCTGCAGGCTGCATAATGTTCCATATGAGCCGTCCTTCCACCCCAATGCTTGGTCTGACAGGATGGTGTGATACTTTGCGACTTCTGTAAATATCGATCGGATTTGTTTCAAAGTAGTAGGGGTAAAAGTGTCGTGTTTTGTGGGATTCGCAGAACCACCCTGAAGAGATGTCACAACGGACAGTGTGAACTTCGTAAAGAGCATTGATTCTTGCTGGATGCTATACAAACATCATCTCTTCGTGTTCTCGGCAGCATGAGGCCGACTTGACATACGACCTACGCTTGCTTACCTGCCGGACATAAGGAAACGCGTAGCATCAACTTTGTTGTTGGCTTGTAGCATAACCCACCCTCTTGTCGGCTTTTGTGGATCATGATGCTTGTGTGGCCCTGTCTCTAGGAGACTTTCTTGTGCATGGCTGTAGTCGCGACATACTTGTCTGCGTAAGCAGGCTCATGACACATGTATCTGGGGTGAGCGTGCTGAAACCGACAGTCTAACATACACGGCGGAACCGTGATTCGTAGTGGTCGGTGGTGACGTGACGGACATTTCGTGACTTGAGTTCGAGGGTTGGTGGTAACAAGGTCCAAGGTTGAGAAAGAGCATTTCGAGGTTTCAGTTGAAAGCAAATTCGCCTATTGTTCTTGCCTGCTGTCGAGCAGAGACAGTGTAGCCATATGTATGTCGGTTATAGTTCAACTCTTTCAAAGTGACTTCGGACCCTTAGAATCCGCGCGGCTGCTCGACGGCTCCGGTCGCCGTAGTGGTTGTCATCTTGAATTGCTGGGAATAAATGGTTTCGGGCGTGTTACGGACGAACGAAACAATCCGGATGGACAACTCATTTGCATTTCTCGCAACACTCTGAACGACTGGGATAAGCGGATATTGGATGTTGTGTTGATGATACCTGAATAAACACAACAACAGCAACGAGCAAATGAAGGGTCCAAACCACACACATGCTTATCTCACCAGGGTACAATCTCGGTGTCACAGAGGGACAGGTATTCCAGATATGGGTCTCGAAAGTTTTTTGAGGCTCTCATCAAACATATCAACAAGTCTGGTAGATAAGACAAACGGGTGAATTCTCGGAATCTCTCGGCAGGACAGAAACCGCGAGACATGGCAAGCAGCCGACCGAGTTCCGAGTCTCGAAGTGGCAAGAAATGAGAGGATTGGCTAGATCTGAGGCAATTGTATTCTTTGTCGGTAACACCGTGAGCACATTTTTTCTTTTCATGTCCATGGTATGCCCGAAGATTCAGCGTGATCGGTGGTTGTTGATGCCGCCAATCCCGCTGCTTCCGATGCTGGCAGTTTCTTGCGAAAGACAAAACCAAAGACAGCTAACGCTGGTCGTTTAATCCCGGTGTTGGACCGGCGGGTCTATCGCTTGTCGCGGCTAATCAGTTCAATAGTCTCTGCTTGGGTGTTCAGGAATAGTTAGGTTTTCAGTAGAGTGATATAAGTGGGTGATGGAAGCCAAGCGAAGGACTTGTTGCGAATTCTTGGTCGATTTTTGTTGATTCCAATTTGGTGGCTGGCGATGAGCGACGATCCAGGCTGGCTGACAAGAACCAAGAAACAAAACACAATCATCGGCATCCTTCTGACCCGTCTTGATCGGACTAGCACGGTCAAAATCGCCCATTCTCAAACTGGACTTGTTTGAACGCACTATTGGATATACGGGGACGACTCCAGATTATGGTCGGGCCTGTTCAGAAGGATTGTGTGCGTGCTCGCCTTGAGGACTCCAGTATGACGCAGTTTCATCCTGTTCTTTGCTTCAATCCAACCAATGCTTCATATGAATTCGGTGGGTAGGTAAGAGCGCCATCGGGACTGGCCATTGATAGGCTTAAGCGCCTTATGCAGGTACAGCTGGGCATGAATCGATAGTCATATATCAAAGACGAGAGTGCTCAGTAGTGTCATGCATGTGTGATATAAATGACAGCGGTAAGTCGGCGGCAGATTTTAAGCATTTGTTAGTCAGGTACAGAGTGGAGCTCATGGTTGCCCGTCAGGGTCATGAGGACAGCGGATAATGAGGGATCACGACAGGGCATTATCAACATCAAGATGAGATTGTGACTACGTTCTTGCGGAGAGGATGGTGAATATGGTGCGGAGATTGTGATTGCGGCATTGTGGAGATGGATTAATATGCTCAGGCATGATTGATAGTATATGCCATGGTTCATGACAGGTGCACGTTTTCAGCCTGAGCATGACCGGAATGAACGACAGCAGTGCTCAAGGAAATCAGTATGGGGAGCGGGGTATAAGTTGATGCAAGATATGTAGCAAGGAGGTGAGCAATAGCCGTGTCTGTCATCAGTGAGAAGGGAAGAAGGTCTTTATATGTATCGCGCCTGAAGCGGTTCCGTCGGATGAGAAGGTTCAAAGAACCTCACATGCACATCAAACCTCTAGCCCACGGGGACTTCAAACGCACTCACATTGTTATGTTTGTAATCTATGAGCAAACAACAACATTGTTGCTCTGGCTGCCATGGGTGCTATGGCTCTCGTGTCCTTTGACTGGTATAATGAGATCGTGCACTGTAGGCGTCTCCCCTTGGCAGTTGTTAATCTTATTTCAACCAAAGACGGTGAGCGAGTCCTGAGCCCGACCCCAGAGACAAGAACATGGAGAACGCTCAGGAGAATGCGATCGGTGAAGACGTCATATGATATGAGCTTCCCAAGGAAGCGGTAAACAAACACGAGACTCTAGAGCGAGTTCAGTCCGTTGCGATTCAGGCTTTGGACGATCTCCTTCTCGATAGACGAACTGTTTGATGAGAGACTCCACTTGGAACCCCCGTGGAAGAATCCACCTGTCAACCCAGATCTCCAGGAGAAGCGTCCAGGGGCAAAAGATCATGAGTCTGCAAACGTCGGACTATACCATTGTGATACCAGTCATTTCTTGCTATCTTTCCTAACCAACGGACGTGGAGTAAAGAGTTCCATGTTCAATCTGGATGTTTGAAATACCCGTCACGTATTGGGATAAGACCATGGTAGACGTTGATGATACGCAGGTGCCATTCGAACAGTCTGTGCAGACGTTGGAAATTGCGACTCTGCTGCTTCAGTTGACTCTTCCATCAAACAACCACAAATCGCCTCCAGACATTCTAAAAGAAAAGGTGAACTGGGTAACATCGTGGTCCAACAAGTCAAGCAATGAAGAGAATGAACGTTAGAACGTCTGACTCGGAGTTGATAGCAAGATCAAGCCTCGAAGGGGCTCTGAAGGGAGGTGAGGTCGAGATTTCCTACTGGTCGTACATGATTGGTCGGATGTTGCATTCGGCCCGTTGGAACACTTGAGAAGGAAGCCGAAGAAGGGTTTGGTGCAGAAGAAGGGCCCATCGCAGCCGACTAGCAGGCGAACTTTGCACGAAAGCCGGCACCTACATCGTTCTCGACGATGCCGAAAGCCGACAGGTGGCAGGAAAAATGGTGCGCCCATGTGCGACATTTTTTGCTGCTTTACCAAGACAAGACACGAGCGGAGGATATCCGCGGCCAAGAGTACTACAATACAATGACGAAAAAGGCTTTGCCCGGGCATAGCGGCGAGCACACAATACAGTATTTGGGAATAACAGCCGTGGGCGTATCGGAAGCACCGTCGGGGGTGTTTGACAACGGCCAACAACGGAGAACGAAGAACGAGTAGAGAATGTTGTGAATTTAGCAAACATCAGACTCGACTAGATCCTCAGCTCCCAACACATGGCGATGGCAGGGAAGAGAGTTTGAGAAGCTGTTCGCTGTTCGAGGTACTCGAGTATGTGTTTCAAACAAGTGCTAGCGCCTGAATATGTTGGGGGCCCAGTCTTGTCGGACCACGCAAAGGCTGGAGGAAGAAGGACGTGCCGGTGGTTGTCATGGCAGCCCTGTTGAGTCTGGGTTTGGTTGCGAGAAAGCTAATTTCCGGTACCTGCGGGAGCACCCGGGGTACAATTCGACACTTCAAGCACGAGTAAAAATGTGAGAGATGTTCTAGCTTACCAGTTGCGACTATCAATTCTTGCTCGGAGAGCGGTCAGTGGCGAGATGAAGAAGCGTGACAGAAACGTGGCCAGCATAAGGCGAGCCAGGTGGTGCTGTCATGGCCTCCTGGGGGGGGTCCAGAGAAGTGTAGATAGGCAATATGCAACGATTTGATGGCCGTTCGATAAACGGGCGAATGATTGACAATGGTATTATTTACCCCAAAGAAGCAGAGCAGAAGCACAGAGAAGCAAATTGGGGGAACAACCGCCGACGAACTGCTTTTTCGGTGGGGACGTCATGATGGTCGCAGAGCAGGGGACAGCAACTTTGTTTTACTAGGAGGTGCATGCAAGATGGCTAGCGACGGCAGGCTCGCAGCGAATCACAATGGTAGAGAGCTGATGAGGTTGGGAGTGGCAGCAGCATCATTATGTCACGTATTCGAATATGCAGACAAAGCGATAGGCGATGATGAGCGAGGCATCCTGACGGCGCAACTAGGTAGCATGTCGTGTGCTCTGGTCGTGGACGGGCAGCACGCCGACAGCGCGCGCAAGTTTGTTCGAGGCAGGCTGTTTGCAATTTGCAACAACAATTTGACAGGCACAGCGGGCGCCGTTACTGCTTGCGGCAAAGGCCAACGGTATTGGAAGCACTTTAGAGATGTTTTGGCGTAAGGCGGGCCAGTCGCACAGCTAGCGAGGGTCCGGTTAGCACGGCTGGGTGGGATTACGTCGGTGCGCTACGATCGGCCTGGGATTGGGGTGGAGCCTGTTGGAGCGAGCGACGCTTGGGGCTCTCTGGCCCTTGGTCAGTTGTGTTGATGTTCGGGCCAAAAAATGCCTCACCAAAGCAACGCAGGCCAACGCTTCAGTGAGTCGCCAAATTACCTTCACTGAGGCACGCCGGCCAGCCCACCCAGCGAATTGCAAGAGCAAGCTAGCGCACAGGCCGCCTGAACGGCAGATTCGGCCACGGAAAATACGATCGCACGCTCGTCGGCCTTCCTTCAAAAGAGCTCGTCCGTCCCCATTTCTCACTTTCTTCTTCCGCTCACGCAGGTGCTCACCCAGTCGACCGACCCCCACTCCTTCACCCATCGACCGCGGTCTGCCAGTGCAGCATCAGCAACATGTCGGAAACCAACCCCCCTCGTGTGTCCTTCAGCGACAAGGACCTCGAGAACGGCGCCCCCAACAACGACCGCGCCGCCTCCCGCAAGTGGTCTCAGGCCCCCGGTGCCATTGAGGACCTCGACGAGTACACTGCTCTCCAGAAGTACATCTCTACTTACCGCGACCCCAAGGAGAAGGCCGCCGAGGAGGGTGATGGCGAGGGCGCCACCGGCAAGCCTAAGAAATCATGGCAGTTCTGGAAGAAGGGTAGCACTGCTGGTGGCTCTGGCGACGAGATGACCGTCCCCGAGGACTGGCTCGAAGCCGACATCAGACAAGGTATCTCGAACCACGACGTCGAGTCTCGCCGCAAGAAGTTCGGCTTCAACGAAATCTCCTCCGACAAGGAGAACCTCTTTATTAAATTCTTGTCATTCTTTACTGGCCCTATTCTTTATGGTACGTCTCTCTAACCTTTTGCTTTTGCTGCCGATCTGGCTCGGCGGCTTGCACTAGCTCGCTGCCGATGCCATTTCCCCCGCAAATCCCGCAAGCCTAATCCGCAAAAACCAAAACACGCCGCTAACCAATCATGTACAGTTATGGAACTTGCTGTCCTTCTCGCAGCAGGCCTGCGTGATTGGATTGATTTCGGTGTCATCATCGGTATTCTGATGCTCAACGCCATCGTCGGTTGGTACCAGGAAAAGCAGGCTGCCGATGTCGTCGCCTCGCTCAAGGGTGATATCGCCATGAGAACCACTGTCGTCCGCAACGGTCAGGAGCAGAACATCCTCGCCCGTGAGCTCGTCCCCGGTGACATTGTCATCATCGAGGAGGGTTCTACCGTCCCCGGTGATGCCCGTCTTATCTGTGACTACGATGCCCCTGAGGACTTCGCCAAGTACAAGGAGCTCCGTGAGCAGCACGCCTTGAACCCCGAGGAGGACCCCGCTGGCTCTGAGGAGGGTGAGGGTGAGGAGACCGGTATTGCCCACCAGGGCCACCCCATCGTCGCCACTGACCAGTCTGCCATTACCGGTGAATCTCTCGCTGTCGACAAGTACATGGGCGATGTCGTCTACTACACCACTGGTTGCAAGCGCGGAAAGGCCTACGCTGTCCTCGTCACCTCTGCCAAGCACTCTTTCGTCGGTCGCACTGCTACTCTCGTTGCTGGTGCCAAGGACCAAGGTCACTTCAAGGCTATCATGGACTCTATCGGTACGGCTCTTCTCGTTCTTGTCATGTTCTTCATTCTTCTCGCCTGGATCGGTGGTTTCTTCCGCAACCTCGGCCTTGCCACCCCCGAATGGTCTGAGAACACTCTCCTCAAGTACGCTCTTATTCTCCTGATTGTTGGTGTCCCCGTCGGTCTTCCCGTCGTTACCACCACCACTCTTGCCGTCGGTGCCGCCTACCTCGCCGAGCAGCAGGCTATCGTCCAGAAGCTCACTGCCATCGAGTCCCTCGCTGGTGTTGACATTCTCTGCTCTGACAAGACCGGTACTCTTACTGCCAACCAGCTCTCTATCCGTGAGCCTTTCGTCGCCGAGGGTCAGGACGTCAACTGGATGATGGCCGTCGCCGCCCTTGCCTCTTCCCACAACATCAAGTCCCTCGACCCCATCGACAAGGTTACCATCCTTACCCTCAAGCGTTACCCCAAGGCCCGTGAGATCCTCAAGGACGAGTGGAAGACCGAGAAGTTCACTCCTTTCGACCCCGTCTCCAAGCGTATTACTGCTATCTGCACTCTCCGTGGTGACACCTACACTTGCGCCAAGGGTGCCCCCAAGGCTGTTCTTAACCTGACCGACTGCGACAAGGAGACCGCCGACCTCTTCAGAGACAAGGCTACTGAGTTCGCCCGCCGTGGTTTCCGCTCTCTCGGTGTTGCCTACAAGAAGAACGACGAGCCCTGGATCCTTCTCGGTATGCTTTCCATGTTCGACCCTCCTCGTGAGGATACCGCCCAGACCATCATTGAGGCTCAGCAGCTTGGTGTCCCCGTCAAGATGCTTACTGGTGACGCTATCGCTATCGCTAAGGAGACTTGCAAGATGCTTGCTCTCGGTACCAAGGTTTACAACTCTACTAAGCTCATCCACGGTGGTCTCTCCGGTGCTGCCCAGCACGACCTCGTTGAGAAGGCTGATGGTTTCGCTGAGGTCTTCCCCGAGCACAAGTACCAGGTCGTCGAAATGCTCCAACAGCGTGGTCACTTGACTGCCATGACTGGTGACGGTGTCAACGACGCTCCTTCGCTCAAGAAGTCTGACTGTGGTATCGCTGTCGAGGGTTCCACTGAGGCTGCCCAGGCTGCTGCCGATATCGTCTTCCTTGCTCCCGGTCTTTCTACCATCGTCTACGCCATCAAGACTGCCCGCCAGATCTTCCAGCGTATGAAGGCTTACATCCAGTACCGTATCGCTCTGTGCTTGCACTTGGAAATCTACCTCGTCACCTCCATGATCATCATCAACGAGACCATCCGTGTCGACCTGATTGTCTTCATCGCTCTGTTCGCCGATTTGGCCACCGTCGCCATTGCCTACGATAACGCTCACTCTGAGCAGCGTCCCGTCGAGTGGCAGCTCCCCAAGATCTGGATCATCTCCGTCATCCTCGGTATTCTTCTCGCTACCGGTACCTGGATCATCCGTGGTACTCTCTTCCTTGAGCGTGGTGGTATCGTCCAGAACTTCGGTTCCGTCCAGGAGATCCTCTTCCTTGAGGTTGCTCTTACTGAGAACTGGCTCATCTTCGTTACCCGTGGTGGCAAGACCTTCCCCAACTGGCAGCTCATCCTCGCCATCCTCGGTGTCGATGCCCTCGCTACTATCTTCTGTCTCTTCGGTTGGTTGTCCGGCAACCCCCAGAACACCTCCCCTCCTTCCGCCTTCTTCAAGAACGAGCGTCTCGATGGCTGGACCGACATTGTCACCGTCGTTGTCGTCTGGGCTTACTCCATTGGTGTTACCATCATCATCGCCATTGTCTACTTCCTCCTTAACCAGATCACTTGGCTTAGCAACCTTGGTCGCAAGGACCGTAACCAGCACGACACCAAGATGGAGAACATCATTGCTGCTCTCTCCCGCGTCGCCCTCGTCCACGACAGAGACGAATCCACCGGTGCCGACCGATGGATGCTTGGTGCTAAGGCTGAGGAGGATGATGAGGAGTAGATCATGCTTTGATGCTCAATTCATGCGCCGGAGTTTTTACTAATTTTTATTTTCCTTTTTCTTCTATACATGTGTCTATAACACGCCCTCTGCTTGTAGAATAACGCGGAGTAATACACCAAACAAAAAGATATTCAAAAAAAAAACAACCCATGCGCCTTCTCACTGTGCTTCTTGTGATTGTTTTGACAGTTTTGCCAGCAATTTCCTCACAAACAAAACCAGTCGTTGATCAAATTTAACAAAGTCATGGTCAGCAACGTTCAGTGCCCACTTGGTTTCAATTGCGATCAACGCGAAACCGACAAGGGGACTTCGATCTTTTGACGACGGGGCATCGAATCGACCACCATCGAACCTCCAACAGAAAAAACGAAAAATTTTCGCGTTCCTTTGTCGGCGGGACGGCGAGTCGGCGCTTCGCAATTTGCTTGGCTTTGGCTCTGCCGCCAGAGCTCGACGAGCCGACCAATCTTGTCTCTCCGCGACACGACCTTATCGTTACGAAACAAGAATTAGAGGTATCCCGCACAAAAATTGATAAAAGGGTGTGTGCTTGTGGACTGTGGATGGGCCCCATGGAGAGGCAGGCTAAAACGAGAACAGCCCCGTGGAGTTATTTGTGGGCTTCTCACGGCCTTACTTCGTAGTCTTTTGGCAAAAGATCATGTCGAACCTCATGCAGCAGGGTCGAGCCCGAAACATGACACGCTGGGTTTGCTTTTCGTTCTTGCACACGGGAAGGAGATCAACTTGCAACAAGGGGCTCGTACCAAAGATCGGCCAGACCGACGTTCGCAAAGCACACGAGCTTTCCTCTTCGTATCTTCGTATGTTTTCAACACTTTCGTCAAAACCACTCTTCTCGTCGAGTTCCAATCCAATGGTGGAACTTTAAGTCGTTTAACCAGATTAAGTAGCACCAAAAGTAAAAAGGTCAGTTGAAGGTTTAACCATTGATAGCCGCGAAACTCTGCAAAACTTGACACAACACACAAGATGTGAGTAGCAGATAAGTCCCCGGACCGGCCATTTCTCGTCTCAAGCAAATACTACAGATCGTTCTTGGTTGCTTGTCGGTCTTGTCACACAGACTTGGCCTTTGTTCTGATTCAAGGCGAGGTATTTTCTGACAATCTCTTGGTATTCTAGCTTGAGCCATCGATTGCCCAGACCTTGTTACGGACGCAGAGGCGCTTCGGGAGACTACTGCAAAGAATGGTCATACCAAAACACGGGCCGACGCCCAGGAAAGGGCAAAAAGCCATGCGAAGAGGGTGAGAGCCCCAACCACCCACAAAAAACCATGTCCAACTTTGGGCTTGAGCTTTTTGACTTTCTCTGACTTCATTCCCGGACATAACTTTATGGGTTTATTACACCTTTTGGACATGTTTCTTGGCTGGGCACTGCTGGTTTGTTTCCGCATGCAAGCCAGGTGCCTAGAGATTCGAAACCCGCATCCCCCAACCTCTTCTCTCCGCAAGGTCATGATACACTTTCCCCCCTGCATTGACAGAAGAAACGAGTTATGGGGCATGGCATCATCTCCAACCTCGTCCTCCACCTTTGTGTGATCTACCGGACATTGTTGGGGATGCGGAGAGGTTGGTATGGCGGCCGAAGGGAAAGCTTCTTGGCTGCGACGGACAAGAGTCTTGGAAGTGTTGCTCTCAACCTCACTTTGTCTCTAGTTCGCATGAGTCTGACCTTCGTGCTTTGGAGTCCTTGCTTGACTTTCTTGTCGCGGGTATCACAATTCGCTGCTCCTACACCGTGTTTCAATCTTGATTGTCTGTCATACTGCAGATGATTGATTTGGCAGGTGGTCATGACCACGAACGACATCTGCCAAACAGGAGTAAACATCAAGTATACAGAATAGATCGTCTCGGTTAACATCTTCTCTCGTCTCGTGATCTTGTGTTCTAATTACTGTCTTAAGGACGGACTTCAATGCACTGAGACTGGATGTCACGCGACATGCTGCAGGCACGCGACAACATTTCTCACCATACGACATCCTCATGCACACTTGACATGCTCGAGAGACATATACGAGCATCGACACAAGTTCAAGCAAAAATTCGCAGCTAAGGTCACGACAATAGAACCACTGGGATCACAGACGTCGCCTCTGCTCGCTGGTGAGGAAGGATATCGATTGTATGAAGTCGACATCCATCAGACCACCCTCTCGCTGTCATTTTCTTACCTTTCCGACGCAATCAGCAACTCATCGGAGAGTGTCTAGATCCAACAATCGTCGGAACTGCGGTCTGAACACCTTTGTTGAGCCTGCTTGGCTCCATCCGAGCAGCGTAAGCTCTTTGCAATTCGATGAGTCGTTCGCTGGGTGAGCATACATCCATTTCAGTCAAGCATTCCGAGTTTGAGCTTTGGATCCCTCGCTCTATGGCATTCGTGCATGCTATCATCAAGATACGACATTGGATCCCTGAAGTTGTCGAACGAGCACTTAATTCCTGGTGGCCACGACTCTGATCTTGTTGAGACAATGATTGCTCCATCCCCATCAACACGTAAGTTCACAAGAGCTGGCGATCCAAGCATGAACTTGGTCTATCAAGAACATTTACGTTATAAGTTTGTGATCGAAAGATTGAAAACCGTCAAGTTGCTTCAATTGAGTGTGATGGTTCCGAAGTAGTAGGTCCACTTGCAACTGTTGTGATTGGCTACACATGGTTCTATACTCCACAAGTCCCCACGATAGTTAACTCTTAACAACATCTGATCATGCCATCATGTAAATCCGCTCTCCTCTCCTGTAAGTTAGCCATGTAAGCCGTGTTGGGATTCAATTCTCGTCCTCATTCAGGATGTCAAAAAGCCCAAGGATCGCACTTTCCATTCTTACCTCTTTCCATTCTCTTTCATCAACGAGGAAAGAATAACCATGTCGAACAACTTCATGTTGAAGCTTCTTATTCTCTTCTTTGGGTGTTTGAATTTCTTTGGTGCTGTTGCACAAATATCCAAGAAGCCAGATCCGGCTTCTTCGACCCCCCAAAATGTTGGATATCAAGCCAGCACCCTTCTCACCTCTGTTGTCAACAAGGCCGACATCGTCCCCCATGATATCGATGCTTCCAATGCTCAAGGCCAACTTGTCGCCAACGCCACCGACCCTTCCGATTTGGACAACGATGAAGTCCTCACCGACGTTGAAGAAGATGATGACGACAACGACGATTACTCTCCTGCCAATGGGGATACTGCCATGAGCAGCGGCTCGAAAGGAGGCAAGAGACTCAAAGCCCACTTGGGTCGCTATCACAAAGCCGATTGCGAGAAGAAGAGGCATCCCAAGAAGGGCAAGAAGATGAAGGAGGGCAAGTGCCACACACTGCACAAGAACCACTTCAAGTCTTACGATTTCTGCATTGGCGAGCAGAAGAAAGACAAGAAGGACAAAAAGGGCAAAGACGACGACGACGACGACGATTCTGAAGAAGAAATTCCCAAGGGATGCAGAATGATGATCTTCTTTGACGGAAAGTGCAAGAATGAAGCTTCCAGCACCAATGCTGAGGAATCCTGCAAGGACATCGGCGAGGAGGGTGTCGATGACGACGATGATGATGACGACAAGGACGACAAGAAGCTGCACGCCAGAGACTTGTTGACAAAGAGAGGCAAAGGTCCCAAGTACAAGAGTGCAAAGTTCCTCTGCGATGGCCTCAACACTTCTGACAACACCACAAAGACCGAGGCCGAGGACAATTACTACGTTACGATCACTGTGTCTTCTCAACCCGTCCGTGTCGTGACTGGCTCGTCTTCAAGGTCGTACACTCCATCTTCCATCACCGCCACTCGATCCACAAAGTTAGCCACTCGCTCGTCTTGTTCCGGAGAACCAACTGCCACCAGTACACCAGTCGACGAGAAAGACCCCGACGATGAAGATGACGATGACGACAAAGATGATGACGATAAAGAAGATGAGAAGGAAGACGACGATGATGACAAGGAAACTAGCGCCACCGTATCTCGAACCTCCAGCACCAAGAAACACAAGTCCAAGTCCCACAAGTCCAAGACGCACACCAAATCCAAGAAACACCATTCAAAGACACAAACCGTCAGTGCCACACAGTCTGCACAGGCTACCAGCGGCAGTCCAAGCCCATGATCGCTTTGCATCCATGGCCTGCAGCTATGTACAGCATCGCTTCGAAGATAGCACCTCTTCAGACTTTCCTTTCCCATCTGTTCATCTCCAATATCAGGACACCAAACATTCATCAGTCACCACGAACCGCAAATCCCTCGAACACCTTATTACAAACCATAGTCAGCATACAAACCAAGATCTTTCCATGATGATCTACTTTCCTTGTCATATCCTCTTCATTGACCAATATGTGCATGTACAGGCAGTAAAAGTCACTTCTGTCGGACATCAATCCATCACAAAGCCTTCGTTTCTTTTGGCTACAGCGGAGGCCACAGGGCCACTTCTGTTGAAAGCCATCCACTCACATGCCTTTGACATGAGAGTAACATGTGTAATTTTGACATTGATCCATGCTTTGGTCATTAAATCGTCTTATTTATCCCATCACAGAAATCTCACACTGCTAGCATTAGACGGTGAAGCCGCCAGCCCACCCTTAGGCATACCTCGATCTTGTGCCGTATCCTTAAGAACCATATCTTCCCACCCATCATCGTGATCATCTCTAGCTTTGCTTTTAGCAGCATCAGGCGGCTCGACTTCAGCCATGGAGCTACTGATCCTATTCCCTGCTTCCACTTGCACCAAACTCTTCCTTCCACGCATGTGTCTCGCACCACTGAAACTGTCATTGCTGACTAGCTTACTCAAGCGATCTTCACTTTTGTTTTCCTTGTCGTGGTCAGAGGCAGATGAAGCCTTTAACCTCTGTTTACGACCTTTGATACCTGATGCACTGACGCCTGTAAGCGTGACACGCACCGGTGAAGGCGATCTCGAAGCCAAGTTGCCAGAGCTATTGCGGTTGAGTTTCTCGGCCCATCTGCGACGAGCAGCTTCTCGGCTATTGCTAGTGGTGTGGAGTATACTGCTTGGAGGCGGTGTAGGCGAGGCTTCTCCTGGTCGTACCCACGTGCGTTGGTGGCGTGGTAGTTCCATCTCAAGGGCGTATTCGGCGTATTGAGCTGCTGCTCTGGCGTCTGAGTTATCGCGCGAGAGCGAACCGCTGGTGTCGGTGGTTGTCCAGTTGTCTGTCGGGTTTGCTGGGGGCAGTGTTGGGCTGTTGTTGCTGATGCCGCGCACAGGAGATGGTGTGATGGCTCGTGGGAGACCGGGTGGGAAGACATGTGGGCCCGAGACTAAGCGGCGAGGATTACGAGCTGGTGGCTCAAGGAGTGATGAGGAGGTTGTTTGTCGTCGTATGCTGGGACTGCCTTTGATGGAGCCAAGATTACTGTAGAGCAGCATGTTTGAGGAGCGTCGCGATGATGCAAAAAGCACTGGACTTATGACGCCGCTGCTCGCTCGGTTGCGGATGAACGATTGTCGTTTCTCAGCTAGAGGTCGACGGTCTATGACACTATCAGTCTGGCTGACTAGACGGACGCTACGACGCTTCTCTGCTTCTGTCAAAGAGCGCCGCTTGACTGGGTCTGTGATCAATGCAGAAGACATCAATGCAGAGTTCCTGAGTGAATCAGTCTCAGGGTAATCTGATAGTTTGGTTGAGAGTATGCTGGTTCCATGTGTGTTGAGAGAACCTCGACTACTTCGGTCTTTCGTGATAGAGAAGGTGCTACTCAGACAGCTCTTTCTGTCTGGACGATGTATCACGGTGCCCCTTGTTGTGATGCCTAGACCCGGGTGCCAGCTTTTGACCAATCTCGAAGCACGCTTGCTGGGCGAAAGTCTTCCAAACTCTGACAATCTTTGACGTGAATCTCGACTGTTTTGCCTTGCTAATTCTGTAGCTGCAGAATAGCTGTGATGTGGTGTGTGGGTTGCTCCTGACGCCCGGCCCCATACTGGAATGTTTGAATCTGCCTGTATCGCTGCTTCCCCATCTCCAAGCGAGCTGACTACAGACAACTTGCTTTGGCGAGCATCTCTTCCAAGAAAGTGGCGTGTTTTCGTGGGTGGCTGCATTGTTGTTGGCAGATCGACATCTAGTTGAGGAGGCTCATCTGGTGAGTGCTTGACAGGTGATCCAACATATTTCTCTTCATCATGATCTCCTTCTGTGACCATAGGTTCTTGGTCGCTGTAGGGCAAAACTGGCCGAATCGCACTTTTCTCTATCTTCTTGCGAGGCTCTTTTCTCCTGCGGCGACAACATAACATTGCAACAGCGAAAAAGAGAGCTAGGACTGCCAAACAGCCAATGACGATGCCCACTATGATACCAGCTGTCATGCTCTTATCCTTCGATTTCGCAGGTGCTGCTGTGGTGGAGGAAGTGGCAGTCGCAGTCGGGCTGCTCGTAGTGCTCGAGGGTGTATGAGAGGTCGCTACGGCGTTCGCTGCTTTCAGATTGATGTAGAATGTCTGAGTCTCTGACTGTGAACCTGAAGAAGCAGTCAAGGTGATTATGTTTGCTGAAGCCTTGGCTGTGGTGGGCGGAAAGCCTTGAAGCTGGCGTTTACTGGCATCATACTGCAGCCAGGATGAGGCGGAACCGGCATCAACGCTAAGATTGATGTTGTTCTGAGATAACAAAGATGGGGAGAAAGTGTAGCTGAATGCTATTCCAGCTGTTGCAGTCAGATTTGTAACTTCGTCATCGAAAAGCGATGCATTCGCTGTGCGAAGCACAATGTTCTTGACTGCCGTGTCTCCGAATGTGTCTGTGACAGTGATGGATACGCTTTGTGATTCAAATTCTTGCGGCGGAGTTCCTGTCAACTCAAGGGAGTTGTTCTGGAAAGTAAGCCAATCTGGCGCCTCTACAACGGCCTTCTGCAGTTGACTAGCTGTAGCTTGTTGACCATTGATTCGTAGCTGGTCTAGAAAAGGTCCCAGAGTAATTGCCGTTCCGGGCGTGATCGTAGTGTTTTCTGTCTGAGGGCTGAAAGCTAACTGATTGCTGCTGATCAGCAAGCTGAACGATGTTGTTGCTCCTGCAAAACCAGCGACATCGGATGCGATGAAGTCGATGCCATATGTCTGAGAACCCGTAATCAATACAGGACTCATGCCCCAAAACGTTAGAGAGCTGCTGTCAAACTTGAGCCAAGAGGGAAGTGGTGTTCGATTGGCCATTGTAGCATAGTAAGTCTGGATAGTGCCTAAATCACCGAATAGGTCGCTCGAGAACGTGATTGCAAATGCGGTGGATGGTTGCAATATCAAGGTTGTTGGGCCTGACAAGGGTCCTGATCTTGCAAGATCCGCTGAGACGTTACCCGTCAGAACTGGAGCGCTGTTGCTTGCTACTACCAGGGTACAACTCATGTCCACCGAGACGTCCTTATCGGTTGCCACGATCTTGAAGACATTCGGACCGGTATTGCCTTGACCAGGTGTGCCATATAATGTCCTTGTCGTGCTCTCCAGATTCAACCAAGCAGGGGCATTTGCCAGAGTATACACCAACGCACTGCCATCACCGGAGACGAAAGTCGTAGGAGCCAACTGAAAGACATAGGCCTCGCTTGCTCGTGCGAGGGTCGGTACTTGCGAGTTGAATGGAAACGCGACTTGAGGCAATGCTGACACCAGCGCGTGAAAGAGCACCGTCAAGAGTAAGCCGCGCATCGTGCTACAGGCTTCTGTGCTTTTTTCAAGGCCGTGGTAGTCTGCACATAGATGTGAGCAGGGTTTAGTGTTGTTTGCAGGTCAAAAACTGTTGTGCAGAAGGCGTATTCTGGCCGCACGAGCGAAGGAAAATGCGTATCCCTTCAGCAATCATTCGTACAGCCACCACACACGCTTCTGACGCGAGAAGACGTGTATAGCGATTACATCTTGACGTGGCCTTGCCTGCTGGTTGGAGGAATGATTTTCTGAAGAATGGACGAGGGTGGGCTGGAATCTATGTGCTGGGAAGCAAGGGATTGTGCAAGTGACACCACACCTGGAGGTCTTCTAATAGACACTGTTCTTCTCTCATCTGAGCTAGATAGTCGATCAGAAGATCGAAGTCAAGTTGTCAGTATATTCGATTTGTGAAGGTTGGTGTGTCTGTGTCTTGTTTGGCCTGGAAATTCGCCAAAGTCGACTTGAGCGGAAACGTGACATGCGACCAACATCAAGGCCATTGTTCTCGTATCGATACCATCCCGAGACACATGCCTACCTGGTTGAGGAATGTTGCTTGTATGTATACCAAGCACCAGAACATTGCCGCGTGTTAGCAGTCTAGGAGCATAGGTCGCGTCCGGACTGCAAGAGGGAACCATCGCATCTCGGTAGACCACGACTTGTATGAGTATAGTACCGTCTGAAACTACATCTTGAATGCCAAAGGCAAGCACAAGTTGAGCACAAAACAAAAGAGTCCTGGGCCGGCAGTCGCGAGCAAGCTATCACAGCAAAAAGATCTAGAAGCAAACAGCCTCGGCAACTCTAGCCTACACCTTCCACCTCACACCTCTGCCATTCCAAAAACTTACAGATGGCAAACACGTACTCCCCTCCACCACACCCCCATATCCCCTAAAATATCTCACAATGACACTATCCGACGACGAACGGGATGGCATATTCGACATTGACGAGGAGCTCGTGCCAGTACGAGAGCTCAAACAAGCAGGAGTGATGGAAGTGGACTTTGAAGGCCTGTTAAAGACACCCCTAAGGTTGGAAGAAGATCTTAGGGAGGGATGTGGTGGTATGTTGTGGCCTGCTGGTATGGTTATGGCAAAGTATTTGCTTAGGCAGGATAAAGATGTGTTCAAGGATAAGACGGTGTAAGTGTGGTGCCAAGACATGATGGTACATGGGAATGATCATGCTGACAAGGGTCTTAGGATCGAACTAGGTGCTGGAGGTGGTCTGGTCGGGTGAGTCGTATCGAATTCAGCCTGGATGATTTATTTGGCTGATAGGGTGAATAGTCTTGCTGTTGCTTTGGGCTTTCAACTCGACCATCCTCTACATCTCACAGATCAAATCCCCATGCTCGCCTTAATGCAACGCAACATTGCGCTCAACAACCTCCAAGACCAAGTCAAAGCATCAATATATGACTGGGGTGAGTCTGTGCCGGAAGGCATACCTCAGCACCCGGACATCATTCTGGCAGCCGAATGTGTCTACTTCGAGCCCGCATTCCCTCTTTTGCAACAGACCATGAAGGATCTCATTGGACCGAATACGATCTGCTACTTCTGCTTCAAGAAGCGCAGACGTGCAGACATGAACTTTGTCAAGGTCATGAAGAAGATGTTTACGGTTGAGCTCGTTGAAGACGATCCTGACAAACCGACTTGGTCGAGAGAGAATCTGCATTTGTGAGTTCAATGCCTGCACAATGTTAGGAATTTACTAACGCCCAAAAAGCTTTAAGGTCACTCTGAAGCAGAAGAAGGCATGAACACTGGATTGATTCAAGTATCACACACCAAACAGCATTTCGATATGGCTGCAGAGCAAGTATCGATCGGAAGAGATACACTGAGGCCAGTGGACCAAAAAGGACCTGCCTTCCCAGGAGCCAACAGCGGAAATCAAGCAAACACACAATGAAGCAGCAAAGCATAACACAGGAAAGTACAAAGCAAAAAGCGTATAGTATTCATATCATATCAACATAACATCTCCCATCTCACATCATCAAAATCATAAAAAAGCCGTAAACCGCATAAGAATCAAACACCATCACCTCTTACAGCCTCAAACAACCATGCTCATGCCTCAATATCACTCTCCTCCTCATCACCGCTGTCTCCTCTTCCACCCCAAGCCCAAACCTCACCCCTCGACCTCACTCCTCTCCCCTTCATCTCCCTCCTCTCTCCTCCTCTTCTGCCTCCTCCTCTTAATAGCCGCAATCTTCACACTCCTCTTCTTCCCACACCTTGCACACCTACACCTCATTCCCCCCTCACAACCCCTCTCCATAACCCTCCTCCTTCCCACCTCCCCCCTCGGTAACCTCAGAAACCTCTTGTCCTGCCCTTCCTCTTCCCTCATCTCCATAAACACCGCAGGCGAAGGTGTAAGCGTGATATTCGGCATCTCTGGTCCGGTGGTCATGAGAACAATATCTGATGAAGACGAGTGTGCCAGAGGTTTTGGTACTGGGCGAAAAGCTGACTTGACGCTGTCGGAGCTGGTGTTGTTTGAGATGCAAGACTGAAGAAATTGTAACAGGTTTGTGCGGTAAATGGCTGGGTTTATAATAAAACAATTGTCGTTGTGTGGGATGTGTGGGTGTATGATATCGATGGGCATAATTTCTTTGTTTCTTCCTCTTTTTCTTGAAGCGATATGTCTTTTTGTTTCGGATAGATAGCAGTGTTGTGGAAAGAGCAAGAGTGTGTCGCGTGTTTCTTCTGTCGCGAGATATGGCTGGCCTTATGGCGTCGTGCGTCCAAGAGGAATGCAATCGTTCGTAGTATGGAGCAACCAGAAAGCTTGCTTAAACAATGCTGGCTGGCTGGTGTTATACTTCCGGGTCGCCGTTTTGCCCGTGGGATCAGAGGAATCAGAGAGAAGATATAGAATGTGTGTTAATGCAGTATACAAGAAAATACATATAATGATAACTGAAATGTAGGAGATGGCAAAAGTGGTGGTAGAGCAGCAGGAGCGGTGAGCCTCGAAATTTCGCCAGGCATCAAAACAACAACTTTGATTCACCGAAACATCGTCATCACCGCTCCTCTACCTTTTAGCAAGAAACATTTCTGTATTTCAGAGTCAATAATTGAAATAGGGTATAGAATAAACATAAAACAGAAGTGAATGGAGACAAGAAAGCGACGCTCGAATGTCGAAATCTCATGATTGCTCCAGCCAAAAACTCCTGGACGCCATCGCTCAATAAAACAGCAACCCCATCATTGTCCTCGAAAGTTAGTTCTCATGACAAGCCTCTTGAAGCTCCGAGTGAATGAAACAAATGCAGTGTCACATCAGACCTGCTAGAACTAATCGACTGACGCCGCCAATCTCAGAGCGGACTTCACGGCGAGTCGTGTCACCAAGTTCTTGGGTAGCATTCTGCACAAGCACTTTGCGCAGAATCTTGTCTGCTTTGCCAAAGGCCTCACCGACACCAGGTCCTATCGACTCTGCGTTTGGCAAAAGCTGGACGATCCCCGAATATGTGTCGATAAGAATATCCGCCAGAGTTGCAAAAGCGGTGTGAAAGTCGGGGTCGAATGGCAGAGAAGGCGTCTGCAAATGTGTAAACTCTGGTAGGTTTCCAGATGATATGGGAGGCATGGGCAAAGAATCTAGTTGAGCACTCTCGACTGACTCGGACAAGGTTTCGATGGCAGCACTGCTAGATCTGCGACCCTTGACTCCACGCATGCCACTCTTGAACATGGCGCCCATTCGACCACGCGCACCAACCGAAGCGTCAGGGTTATTGAGTTGTTGGTAAGTATCATATTCTGATAGCAGAGAAGCGAGAGATCGTAGGTATTCCAGAGGGTTATCAGCGTTAAGGTCAAGTAGTGGAGGTATTGATGTGCCGAGAAGGACGTAGTTGGAAGCGCGACGACCGAGCTTAGAGTATTGCATGGAGGGTAATTGGCCAAGGTTCGAGGGAGTGTAGAGGAGAGTATTGAAGTAGTAGATGTGGCCTTCGTGCCTGGGGTGTGTCAATTTTGAATTTCCAGAAGCAAATCGACCATGAACGTACACTTTGCGAAGATACTCTAGAGTGGCTATTCGCTTGCGACAAGTAGCGTGGATATGGGTCAACAGAGCGGCGGGTATAGGGACCAAGCTGGTCTGCGGGACTGCCGTATTGGATGGAATCAGGTTCAGAGAACTGCCATTGGTTGCAAATGAGCCCAATGAGGGACGATCTGTCTCTGATCGTTTGAGACCGTGACCGAAAGGAGCAGCGAGCATGGAGAAGGGAGTCTTTGGAACAGGCTCAGCAAGGCTGTGTTGACGGTCGCGTGAGAAACTATCCGACGACTTTTGCGGGCTCAAGGTAGTGTTGAAGGGCGGCTTGACCGTGTGAGTAGCATTGGCACTAATAGAGCGGCTTTGACGGTGCAAGCGGATTGGAGAGCGAGATGGGACTGCTATCGACGAGCCTCTGGTCTTGTGGTGGTGTATCGACGACAGCGACTCGTGGGAGCGGCGGAGGGATGCGCTGCGACGAATGTCTCCTTCTGCGCCTGACGAAGGCAGCGATATAACGGACGAGTCTCTGCGAGCGGTAGGGGACAGGTCTTCGCTGGCTAGCGGCGAGATGGGAGTGATTGAGGTGCTTTCCTTGCGGGATGACTTCTTGGTCGAGAATATCGAAGGCTTTCTGCCAAAGATAGAGGCACTGGGCGCCGGTGAGGGGTCGGGCGCCATCTTGTTTCTTTGTTCTCTAGACCCTTATACTTTTAGACTCTTCGGGTTGGTGAGGTCTAACGTGGCGGCACAATTACTCAGGGGTAAGACCCTGTATGCAGTCTTGCATCAAGCAGATCGAGATTCTCGAGGGGGTTGGACGGCCGTGCTGCACTGCAACTACGATTGCCTTGGAAAGGAGCCAGCCTTCTACGACATGTGAACCAGACTATACCGGTCTTCTTGGCGCGTCCAATCTCACACGCGAGCAACAGAGACAAAAGGCGTGAGCGAAGGTTCTTGGAATTGCTGAAACAAGATGCCCCTGGAACGTGAACGGAATTCGACCCGCCGTCCAAGCGCCAGCACCCCACCGCCAATCTGGGCCTGCCCCACCAAGACTTGACATTGATGTTGACACTGCTGTCTTTCCATTCTCTCTCTTGTGCACCACTCAGTTCAAGTGACCAACCCGTAACCATGTCTTCCACCGAGGTACAAGATGATACGCCATGCCCAACGCGCCTTCGTAAATCTCAGAGACGCTGACCGTCTCGCAGAGCATCCCAGCTCCTGGTAAGTGGCCTGTTGACCCTCAAGACGACGTCCCAATCAGCGACGACCGCATCTGGGTCGATGGTTGCTTCGACTTTGCCCACCATGGTCATGCCGGCGCCATGCTTCAGGCTCGTCGTCTGGGAACTGAACTTCTGGTTGGTGTGCATTCGGACGAGGCCATCCTTGAGAACAAGGGGCCCACAGTCATGACACTCGATGAACGGTAAATACAAGACTTTTCCTATACTCCATACTGCAATTCCCTCAGTCTGGTTCTGTGAAGCTGAACCGTTCCACTTAGCTGTGCTGCTGTTGACGCCTGTCGCTGGGCTACCAAGTCCATTCCTCACGCCCCTTATGTGACCTCCCTACCTTGGATTTCCCACTATGGCGCCAAATACGTTGTTCACGGAGACGACATCACCTCGGACGCCAATGGCTACGACTGCTACAGATTCGTCAAAGAGGCTGGCCGTTTCAAGGTTGTCAAGCGCACACCTGGCATCAGCACAACCGACCTCGTAGGCCGCATGTTGCTATGCACAAAATCACATTTCATCAAGGACCTTGACGCTGTACTGGAAGGCCAGGAAGGCCCAGGAAGCCAAGAAGAAAGAAAGAGCACAGGAGAAGACATGAAAGAGAGGATCAGAGAATATGCGACGGATGAGTCTGGAAACAAACCATTGGTCGATGTCTGGAGCTGGCGCTCAGACGCCTCGTTCCTCAAGAAGGTTAACGGAACATCACCACAGCCTGACCAGAAAGTCATCTATGTCGACGGTGGCTTCGATCTCTTCTCTACTGGTCACATCGAGTTCCTCAAGCGAGTCGTCGAGACTGAGGAAAAAGGGGCCAAGCAAAAGGGATGGAACAAGGAATACAGCCCTGTCTATATCGTTGCTGGTGTTCACAGCGATGAAGCCATCAACGACTACAAAGGCATCAACTACCCCATCATGAACATCTTTGAGCGCGGTCTTTGTGTTCTGCAATGCAAGGTAAATTCTACACTGGCATAAACTCATAATCCAAATCTGACAAACCTACACAGTACATCTCCTCCCTCATCTTCATGGCACCCACAGTCCCCAGCAAACCTTTCCTCGAATCACTACCCTACCCTATCCAAGCAGTCTACCATGGCCCCACAGTCTCAGCACCACCAGGCCAGGACTTCTACACTGACGCAAAGGCAATGGGCATTTACAAGGAAATCTCTTCACACCCATACTCGCATGTAAACGCAGATTCAATCGTAGCCCGCATCTTGAAGAGCAGAGAATTGTACGAAGAACGCCAGCGCGTCAAGGGAGTCAAGGGAATTGGAGAAGAGGCAGTACGCAGAAGAGAGCAGATGGAGAGAGAAAAGGCAGAAAAGGATAAAGCAGCCTCTGCATGAGATAAAACAACGACAGATCGTCTTTCAGAAAGATATAGAGTAATATTACAAGTCGTCAAAAATGCGCAAATCACATCAAATTTCCGCGAAGCCCGGACACAAGAGGCCCTCTCTATACAGTGTCCGACTTGTATCGACGAAATATGATGCAATTTTTCAGGCCCTGAATTGGCCATCTCGACTACATGAAAGCACGACGACTTCTTACACGGTTAGGGACGTGAGGTTCTCGGTGGCTGTTGAGTGTCAATGTTAAAGTAAGATCAGACATGATGGGTGGGAAGAAGAGACCAGACACGTTGGAAGAGTGGGCGGCGGTGTTGCGTCCACAGAAACGGTAGATGGATAGGAGAAAGAGATAAACAGGATGGAATCCTAGAAGTGCCTGTTTTGTAGTAAGGAAAAGGGGTTGTCCGATGACTCGAGTTCACGTATCTGTACTCTGTGCATTGCCAAACATTTCGGACATGAATGATTGACCGAGGAAGAGCTAGGAAATTGGATATTGCAGTCCAGAAGAAAGAAGTTGTAGCATTTTTTGAGTAGAAGACCAAAAAGATCAAGCTTACATCTAAGTAAGCTTCTGCTTGATAAAGAAGTTTCTCAAGTGCGAGAGCTGCCAGGCGCAAGTAACACCCAAAACAACAAGCTGCACAATAGTCCAACGCACAACACGAGCGTTAGTATGCTCAGACATGTTTCTAAACTCAGCCTCACGCTCTCTCTGGAAAACCTGCTCCTTTCTGATATCGCTGAGTCTGGCATTCAAGTCTCTGACTTTGGAGACGATATCGGTGATCTTGTGCTTGTCGTCGCTTTCGATGCGCGAGGTCTCGCCAATGGCCATGTCGACTTCGAGCTTGATGTTTCCAGCCGAGGAGCCGCCTGCGAGCCAGCCCTGGGCAGAAGGGACGTTGGTAGGGGTGAAGCAGATACGGTGGTCGCCAGAGTCGGCAGCGGAGAAGGTGAAGCGGCCTTGAGAGTTTCCGCGCTGGGACACGATGCGGTGGTCGTTGTCGAAGATTTCGTCGACGCTGATGTAGAGGCCCATGTCAGGGTTGGCTTCGTATCTGCGGCTTTGCTCGTTCCATTGTGTAGCGGTGTAGTGACCTGAGTTGGGTTTGTCAGATGAGTTGTAAGGAGTCAGGAGAAAGAAAATACTCACCAACAACCAGGGTGTCCTTGGGGAGCTCCTCGAAGAAGCACTTTTGGGAAGGGCCGTCAATGTAGAAGTAGAGGGCCTGGGTTGGCAGCAGCAGAGCTGCAAATGCAAGCACCGAGAACAGCATCGAGTGCATCGTGACGGTCGTGATTCGTGAATGACAGCAGATGTGACAAGACCAAAGGACGAGACAACAAGATGCACCCCCCTAAACACTACAAAGTACAGCTGGTTCCATGCCAAGAAGTGTGGAGGCTCGCCGCGACGAAACACCACCGACAGCATCTTCACGCGACAGCCAGCGACTTTTCAAAAACATCGCTTTCTCGCGACTCTACACTCACAAATTAATTCACCATGTCAGCACAGGATATGCGCGACATGCTGGGCCTGACGGGCGATGTTGCCCGTCCGCCGCCCTTGAAGAAGCAGAAGACGGTCGAGAAACGCCCACGTACGTCGCATATTCGTTTCATTCAATGCGCCGCCTGCTAAACAGATGCAGTCGAAAAGGGAATTGCTCGTGAAGTGTCTGCTCTCATGGGCGAACGCGCTCCTCCAATTGCCATGATCCAAGTCCAGCCAAAATACAAACAACGACCCAGACGATCACATCGAGTTGCACCTTGGGAATGGGCCGCTTTCAACAACCAAGCAAGAGAGGACGGTCTCACCTTACATCACTGGCAACGGAAACACGCGCCCAAATCTCGTCCACAAACGGAACAACAACCGCAAACAGAGTCGGAAGCAGATGGAGAGAAACAGCCAGAGCCAGAACCACAAGAGAAGGATTACCAGTATGCCAAATACAACGTCCAGGTCGAGACGCCTACCTACGATCAGACTCTATACGATGCTCAACTACAGGATCCGGATTGGACAAAGGAAGAGACGGATTACTTGGTAGAGACTGTCCGAGACTATGGTCAAAAGTGGCCTGTCGTTATTGATCGCTACGAGTACCAGCCTCAGCCCACTGAAGATGGTGCACAAGTGCCAGAACCAAAATCTCGTTCTATGGAAGATCTCAAAGCACGCTATTACACCGTCAGCGCAAAGGTCCTGGCCAACCACACCCCCATTTCGTCCATGACTGGCCCGCAATACAACCTATACTCCACATTAACTTCCTTCAACCCTGTTCAGGAGGCATCACGGAAGAAGCTCGCCGAAGGTCATCTATATCGTACTCAACTCGAGGTCGACGAGGAAAATGTTCTGCTCGCCGAACTGCAACGCATCATGATCAACCAGCAACAACTAGAAAACGAACGCAAGGAGATCCGCGACAGATTAGAATACCCGTCAACAAGCAACACTGCAGCCGGACAGTACAGCACATCACAGCAACTTGGTCAACTCTTCCAACAACTATTACAAGCCGACCGCATGAAGAAAGACCGTCGTCTCAAGGCTCTTGGCGATACTCCTGGCAGCGGTCCTCCTACATCTGCACAACTGCAATCCGCTGCAGGTGCATCTGGCCACCGCGATAGCATCAGCAGTGCCACGGGCGCCCGCAAGGCCGGCGGCCGCGACTCTATAGCCGGAGGCTCCAGCTCAGGACTGGATCCCACAGCACGCGCATTAACTCCCCACGCCGCCCACCGCTACTTCGTCACCCAGCACGATCGTCTCAGCAGTGGTGTATCCTTTGCCTCTGACCGTCTCCACCGCGCCAGATCCGCAAAATCAATGATCCAAACCGAAAAGATCTCAGCCATTCTCAATCATTTGCGTATCCCTGACATTATTCCTTTGCCTACTCAACGTGTCATTGAAGACTTTGAGAAGTTGATGCAGAAGGTCCATGTTTTGTTAGATATGCGCAAGGTTGCGGATAAAGAGGAACAGGAGATTAGGGTCAAGGAGGCTGAGAAGAAAATTAAAGAGAACAAGGAAACTGTCAAGGAAGAGGCTGAAGAGGCCAAGGTTGGACAGAAGAGAAGTGCAAGTGTAATGAGCAATGATGCTCAGGGTGCTACCAAGAGACCCAAGAATTAAGAGTCTCGAGAGAAGTAGTCCCTTGAGGGCTTGGCCCAAGAAATAATAATGAACATTGATGAATCACAAATCCTCCAGAACACTGTGTCTTTCTGATCTTTTCACATCTTCGATCTGTCTTTGAAGTGACCTTTCTACCTGAATCTGGAGACGTCGAGCCTCTTGATCAATACAGCTTTAATTATGGATACTCAAATATCCAGTCTTAATGTCTAAGCGCACAGCTTATCCAAGTCCCCTGAACACTCCATAGTCCATGGGTGGTCTCGACCATACTTTGCCACATGGTAATCCAAGACGCCCCGTTGCAGTTCCCTCGCCTTGTCCTTGTCGCCTTGCGCATCAGCGATCTGTGCCAACCCAGCAATGCAACCTTGAGTACAGTCATCCTCAAGCCCATATCTAGCCAAACTCGTCTGGTAAGCGGAATCTTGCAACTGCCACGCTTCCCGTAGACGTCCTTGCAACATGTGTATACGCGCAAGATCACGGCAAGAACTCAACGTGGCGGAAGCATCTGGTCCGTAAGCGATTGAGCTCACTTCGACGACTCTGGCATAGAACGGCATGGCTTTGTCGTATTTGCGTTCGTTTTCGTAGTAGATTGCCAGTTGCTCTGTGCTGTTTATCGTATCGTCGTGCAAGTCTCCAAGGACACGTTTTCTCGTGCCCAACAGCTCGAGTTGTAGCGTTTCACTCGCCTCGTCTTGACCCAGTCCTGAGAGAATCACAGCCGTTTCGTGTTTACTGCGTAGAGTTTCCTCGTGCGAGTCTCCTAGAACCCTTTCCTTGGTCCTGATGATGCCGAGCTGAATTTCCTCTGCGCGGTCCCAGTGGCCCGCGGAATTGGTACGAGAGACTGAGGCTGCGCAGGGCTTCTAGTGTTGAAGGGGCGTTGGGTCCATGGAGGGCTGTTTGCTCGGCTACTTCCTGCAATAGGGGTGCGAGGTTGTCTGGTTCGCTGAGTTGGGTTGCGGATGGCTCATCATCGCGGTCTGCATTGGTCTTTGCGGTCTGTTCGGCTTCGTCGCCTGACTAGTAGTAACTGACTACTCCTCTCGTGTCTTGGTCCAGAAGCGTCGCATTGGGCGGTTTCAGCTGGGTCTGATGTATTCTGGAGGGCTTTGGCTTGGGAAGTCATGATACACGTGAGTTTAGTGTTTGACGCTCGAAGGATCGATCGTTTGGAGTAAGTAGTAGATTAGCTTAGGTGTCCAGCGATTCTACTATTTTCCCCTTGTCTCCAGCTAAGTAACTATCGATATCCCACTTGACTTTGGGATGATTTTATATAGCTATCTACTTTTTCAAAGCACTTTTAGACAACACTGTGTAAATCTGCTGCTGCTGGATCTGAGGCTCAACTCACGGATGCTGAGGAAGCGCTTGCCTGCGGTAGTTGCTTCGAGCTGAACTGGTGATTTAGAGAGTAGACAGCATATCCATCCTGCAGAGAAGTTCTCAATGCGGTCCAATCAGGTAGTGCCTGCCAGAAAATGGCAACAAGCATCCCCAGCATAGCGAGGCCAGAAACGAATATCAGGATCCAGGCAATAAGTTTGAAGAGTAACTCTCTGGTGTCGGAGAGATCATGTTGTTGTAAAGTTGTTCGATTGAACAGAGGAAGGGAAGTATCATTGGTGCTTGGACGAACATGTTTGGAGTATGCTTGAATGATATTCCAGAGCATTGTTTAAGTGCAAGGGATTAATAGAGGATAAGAAGCAATACTTTTAGCATCTGATCGAATTTGCTTGAGGATTGAATCGTCCTAGGAGTATGTGGTACCTGACTGCCGCTTCTGCCATCAAGACTTTGCTTGCTGTCTCCTCATTACTCAAGAATCTTGGATGCACGGTGGGATGTGTAGTCAAGAACCAAAGAGATCTGCATTTGTGATCAGCACCGAGACCCACAAAGTATAATGCTTTTTAAATCCGGCCTTTCTTCTACAAATCAGCGATGTGATGGCAATCGTGAAATTGCGATGTTACAAGAAATCGAACGATGACAAGGAAAATTGTTCAAGGAAAGAGGGATGGATAGTGTGATGGTTGAAGAATCTTGATTGTTTGCTTCATTAGGATATGATAGATGCTATGCATGCATACAATTTGCGAACAACTCTTGTGTTGCTTCGATGGGAGAATATATTTTGATGAGTGGACATGGTTCGTCTCGGGAGATTGTGGCTCTAGTCGCCAGCGACGGTATGGTACTCGATTGCGATGAACATTTGTGACAGAGTTGGCTGGCGAACTGAATGTGCACCGGTCTTCGTGTCCGTCGAGCAATTCTTGACACACGTCATTCTTTCCCGGACCCTGATGGCTGTTTGCAAGGAAGCGCTTCCGTCACTTCTCGGGACGGGAAGAGACTTTGATTCAAGACTTGATTTTGTTCTCAATCAACGGGATCGAGAATGGCTGGGAGATGCAAGCCAGCGTCATTTTTTGATGCTTGAGACTTGATCAAAGCGTGTCGAGTTGCATGCTCACAAGATCGGTATAGACGAATGTTGTCTTGCTTGTGGCTCTTGCGTCGATGTCTCTAGCTCGTGAGAAATCATGTTCATAGTACATGAGCTGGGGTGACCCCGTAATTGCGTGTTGCCGTGTGATAGAAGCAAAGTTGCTTCAAGGAGCAGCATCTGTCTCGGAAACCCAAGCATTAATCCGTGCCCGGTCAACCTCTGAGCTGTTCATGCTCCTTGTATCTCGAACTTCCTTAACACGACAGTGTCTGCCATGTTTGTCAAGTTTCCGTACAGCTTCTTCTGTCAATGGAGACACGCGGGTAGATTGTCTGACTGATCTGGGCGATGCTTTCTCTGCTTCGGTGGCTGTGTCGAGAAGCCATTGTAATCCGCTGGAGAATAGGAGAGTGCGTTCATCTTTCAAAGCAGGATGAGTTGGATTGGATTGTAGTAATCGTCGGGCGAGGGCTTTTGTGTCCTCTGAGAGACCTCGTGTGCGGGGTCACGAATAGGATCTGAAGGGTTGATGAGGTTTTGGTGAGAAGGAAAGACGTGGCTGTAGCTGCTTGATCTTGCGAGATTAGGATGTATCGAGCTCGAAGATGATGCGTTGCGAGAGGTCGAAGATTGAGTTGATGATGAAGTGACAGACTCCATTGGAGAAATACTTGGTGCAGTCATGTTGATGATGGCTTTTTGTGGACTCTTGCCAAAGATAAAGATGTTATGATAGAGCAGATGGGAAAGACAGAGAATATGATGACAAGAGAAACAGCAGAGAGTCAGCTCATACAGGTACCTACTGAACAGCATGCATGGTGTGGCTTGCACATAGGCCACACGCACGCGCAATAATCGATACTCAAACATCGGCGATGTCTGGCATCTTTCGTCACAGCACCTTCCATGTCGTTTCCTGTCCATCCAAGGTTTCGCATGGTCACCAAGAGCCGCACCGCTACGAAAAGGACCTGAAGCTAGGCAGAGAAGAGCTGTGACTAGGTAACAAGTGGCATAACTTGGTCCACGATTGGTTAATGCTGCGGGATCGGTGATCGCATCTGCGATGGGACAAGATCGTCGATGTCCAGCACGAACCTCAAGATTCGTCTACACCTGCCCAAGGCCTCCCTTACTGACAACGACTTCTCTCTGGCAACCACATATCTGCAATTAGCTGAGAATGTTGGTAGCTATACAGTAAACAACACAACACAGACTCATCTCGTTTTCTCGTCTAAGGATCAATAACAATTCTCCAGCGCACTTTTTCAAGGATGCAAGAGACTACGCTGGCTTGGTTTGGTGCGGGCAGCCGGAGCTCCCGAAGCTCTGTCTCTTACCTCGCCAACTTCAAGCCTCGATAGCTCTTTCCTACCACATCATCTCATACTTAGGGCAACATAGCGCTATACTTGTTGAACAGACGTTAGAAGAGCCGTCATGTTTCTTTCCTTATTGGTTCCTCTTGTAGGGACCAAGGGTTTGGGAGGCTTGACCTCCTCGAACGACTATACGTGACGTGTCCAACGCTTCCAAGCATCCGTCTGTCGTTCGGAAAATGGTGAGTCGAAATGGAGTTGCCATTCACAAGAATCACAAGTGACAGGACTGCTATGTTGTCCATTCTCATGGCGGATACCCACCCGCTGAAACAGAATGCGGAAATCTCGGATCGAGACAATGTCATCACCGGAGAGTTCAACAGACAAGAGCTTCGCAAAAAGCCACCTTTTTGCTTTTGAGGCAAAACTTGACGACTCCTCTTTGTAAACCGTCAAGATTCAAGAGTTAGAGACTATCGCGTTTATCGTCTGATAACCATGACTTCCGGTAAGCAGAGCAGAAAACATCAAATCAAGTCAAGTCAGATGAGAACAAAAAAGTTGATTGATGTATCCAGAAAGACCAGCTTTCCATGTTTCATTGTCTTCGTCATCTCATCAGTAAGAAAAAAAAAAGGGGGTATCTCTATGCTTGCTTCCATCCATCAGAAATAAAAATCCCACCAAAAACTCCATGCCATGCCGGAAAAGATTGTAAGAGAAAAAAAAAATTGACACCCAAACCAAAACTGCCCTGCTTTCATAGAACTTCGTTGAAGAATGCGATGTCGCGTTGGTTTTGCAGAAACTCCTCCTTGTCGTAGATTCCTTCCATGCAGATGCGATGCTCCATCTATGCAAACACGAGTTGCAACACCTTCCTCCTCAAATCATCCATTCATACGATCCTCCAAGATTGAAAAACCAGAAACAGACAGCGAAGAACATCATCTGAAGCCACGACCACGACGAGCACGAGTAGGTTGTTCGTTCCATTCTTCCTGCATTTGTCTTGCGATTTCTTCGTCGGCAGCGATTTGAGCAGCTGTAGCGGGTGTGATGTGGACTGTTTGTTCGGCATCTTCGGCGATAGGAGACAGGACGAAACGAGGAGCTCTTGATGATCTGGTGGTAGAAGTAGGTTCGGTGGTCGAAGAAGTCTTTTGCTTGCGAAGTTCGCGACTCTTTCTGGCTCTGTCGGCAATGGTGACAACGGGCTCTTCGTCTTCGTCATCGTCTTCCTCTTCCTGCTGCTGCTGACGCTCATATTCCTCGCGTTGTTCGGCGACTCTGGCTTGACGCTTGCGGAGCACCTCCTGCCAGTATGACAGGCTGTTGTAGTTGGGCTCGGGTGCTTCGTCCTCCTCATCATCGGCGTCGTCGTTGACGGTAGTGATTGGCTGCTGACGAGCGGATCTGCGAGGTGTTGCGGCGGTGGTGGTGGCTTGAGCGATGGCGGCGGGTCTGTGGCGAGATGCCCTTGGGCCAGAGAGGATGTTGGCGGTGGAGAGGTCGTAGTAGGCGACATCCTGAGTCGAAGGCAGGGCGGAAGAAGAAGCCTCTGCGGCGATGCGAGGACGTTTGGCAGGATAAGGGCGAGATGCAGAGTCGATATCCTCATCGTCAACCTCGTCGTCGCTGTCGATGTAGGTGGCCTTGCGCTTGCCCTTGCGGCCAGAGAGGGAGCTCGTCTCAGTGGACTGAGCAGAAGTTGCCGAAGACTTCCTGCCTCTCGAAGTGCTGGAAACCAAAGAGGTGACAGCGGAGGTGCCACGTTTGGTACCCTGGCTGAGAGCAGAGGTGGTGAGGCCAGAAGCCCGCTTCTTCTCACCGCGATCCTCGAACCCCGAGGCAGCCCGCAATCTGCGGTTCCACTGAAGCTTCACACCAGAAGCGGTGCGGTTGAAGCCAGCTTCACGCTTCATGCGATCGGCGACCACCTCGAAGCGCTTCTCTGTGCCGGCGATGGCGGCGTACTGTGCCAGGGTGCACACCTCCTTCATAAACTTGATGCAAGCAGCATCCTCGTCATCAGACCAGGCGCTTGCTTTGCGAGAGAAGATGGTGGGAGCAGGCGCGCCCGAGAGCCTGGCTGGACGCTCGTACTCATCGTCGTCGCCCTCAAACTCCTCACCATCCTCATCTTGCTGCCATTCAGGCGAGTCCGCGTAGGGGACACCGTCTGAAGAGGGCTGTTTCCCCTGAGCTTCAACAGAACCTGTAGAGGCAGGCCAGCTGGCCTCCACAGGTCTCTTCCACGCCGAACGGGCGGGTCGACGATCCTCCTCAGAGTCGGTCTCCTCCACCGAGACCTCCTCCTCCAGATCGCTGTATTGAGGCTCTTCGCCCCAGATGATCTTCACCTTTGGTTGCTCAAAGGTAGGAAGGACATACTCCTCCCAGAAGGCAATGCCTCCGTCAGTGAAGGTCTGGAGCCAGGGGTCCCGGCTCTCCACACCTTCCATCAGGCTGTGGAAATCACCATGGTGAGCCATGGTGGCCTGATTGCCGGTGTGGGCAGATGAAGGAGGTAACTCCACGGTGTTGTCGTCGTAGTGGAAGCCATAGACCTCCAGAAATTTGGCGCGGGTGGTGATGCCGGCCTGGAGAAGGAGAGGGTCCTGGAGAGGGTCCATTGTTGTTGAGGTGGTTGGCGGTGTGTGATGAAAAGGGGTATGATGAGACCAGCTCAAGGTACGAAGAAGAGATGCAGAAATGCAGAGAAGAGAACAACAATAGATGGACAACAGGCAGAAGAGGGAAAAGAAACAGAGGAAGAGGAACTCAAGGAGGGTAGAAGACCTACCTCGACAATAGCTATACAGGTCTATGGGGGTATAGAATGTACAATGGTGTAAAGATAACCATTGTCAAAAACCATTGTGCACAATGGCACGGGAAAAATCATGAATGAAGAGAAACCGGTGATAAAATGAAAAGACAATAGCCTGGTGAATGGGAAGGAGAAAAGTACGTCGTAAGCGCGCAATAGACAATAGGTGCATGAATAGGATCACAATGGGAGGATGCGGTAGTCTGTGGTTGAGAGTGAAGGAAATGCGTATTGCGAGGGTCAGGCCACTGCGCGTTGTGAACGGCAACGACAGGTCCCCAAGCAAAATTGAGATAGAGAGTATTGCAACAGAGGGGTTACGAAAACACATGTTGAATGATGACAGATGAAGAATGGGTGATGGGTGATGGTAGATGGAGGATGGACAAAAGTTGAGAACAGGAGCCATGTGACGATTGACAGATGATGTCTCCGATGCGCGAAGTGTATAACGTGTGCTTGTAAAAATGCACAGCACTTTCAGAAGACGGGACAGCATCCATTGAAACATGCTGTCTCATGGGGCTCTCTCTGGACTCATCTCGAGACTGGAAAGATTTGTGCATTTTTATAGCACGAATCTAGCCTCTGCTTGACCTTGGGACAAGGCTCTACGAGCATGTATGTGTATATAAATGACAAGATAGACATGATAATGCAAGGTTGTAACCTCTACTGATTCCCAACATTTCTAGAGAATCGGAACGATCCTTCCATGTGGGCGCCCAGCAACGGGTGAGTCCATCTTCGCACAGCGCGAAAACGCCCTTGCTACTGTAAGGCAAAGGACGTCGATAAGTAATGTTGTAAGCTGGCGATGTTTGTAGAAAACAAAAGGAGAGGGCTGTGAGAAAACAGTTTTGAGATTCGAGACGGAAGAGGTCCGTGCGTGATGACGGAAGGAGCCGATGATCTGGATGTCGAGCCCGGGGGGGTCAGTTGGCAAGATGAAGCAGTCGGCGACGTCTCCAGTTGTTGACATTTGGCTATACACACCAAAAGGGAAGCTGCCCGCCTTCTCATTCCCTATTCACTACAGCACACGACACAGCAATCTCAATACGACAGCGACCCAAACCAGCTTCCCTCCAAACAGCCATCTTTACAGCCCAGGGGTAGCTCTATCCACACAACATGGCCGCATTCGCGCCCCACGGTGCACCCGTCATGGACTACGAAGCCCTGAAAGAGCAATGGAGCGACATCGAGGACAAGGATGGCATCAGATTGAGTTGGAACACCTTCCCTTCGTCGCGCATGGTACGCTATCCGTCAATCCTGACACGAAGCTCTTTCTAACAGCTTGGCTATACAGGAAGCCTCGAGATTGGTTGTCCCTATTGGAGCTCTCTACACACCCCTCAAGGAGAAGACCGACACACCACTGCTCCAGTATGAGCCCGTTTCTTGCAAGCAGCCCTGCCGTGCTGTCTTGAACCCCTTCTGGTACGTCACTTTGCGCATCCACTGACCAGACGCCATGCTCACCACACGACAGCCAAGTCGATATGCGCGCCAGGATATGGATCTGTCCCTTCTGTCTGCAACGCAATGGTCTTCCACCTCACTACAAGGACATTTCCGAGAATGCCATCCCTCCCGAGCTCCACCCCTCCAGTACCACCATCGAGTACAGACTGGCTAGACCTGCTCCTGTTCCTCCAATCTTCGTCTTCGTCGTCGACACATGTCAAGAGGAGGATAGTTTGAAGGCTCTCAAGGATTCCATCATCATGTCACTCAGCTTGCTGCCACCCAATGCCCTGGTTGGTCTGATCACATACGGAACCATGGCCCAGGTCCATGAGCTCGGATACACCGAGTGCGCAAAGTCATATGTCTTCCGCGGATCCAAGGACTACACTGGCAAGCAGGTCCAGGAGATGCTTGGTCTGATGACTGGTGGTGGCGCAAGACCTGGCATGCCCGCCATGCAGCCTCAACCCGGCCGTCCCGCCCCCGCCGCTCCTATGGGAGCTGCCGCCAGATTCTTGTTGCCCGTTCAGCAGTGCGAGTTCCAGCTCACAAATGCCCTCGAGTCTCTGCAAAAGGATCCCTGGCCCGTCGCAAACGACAAGCGTCCTCTGAGATGTACCGGTGTTGCTCTGAGCGTCGCAACTGGCCTTCTTGAGACTTCTTTCCAGAATGCTGGTGGCCGCATCATGCTCTTCACTGGAGGTGCTGCTACTGAAGGCCCTGGTATGGTTGTTGGTCCCGAGCTCAAGGAGCCCATCCGTTCCCACCACGACATTGACAAGGACAACATCAAATACTATAAGAAGGCTCTCAAGTTCTACGAAACTCTGGCCAAGAGAACTGCTCACAACGGCCACATCATTGACATTTTCGCCGGATGTCTGGATCAGGTCGGTCTTCTGGAAATGAGAAGTCTGGCAAACTCGACCGGTGGCCACATGATCTTGACCGACAGTTTTACTTCGTCAATGTATAAGCAGTCATTCGCCCGCATCTTCGACAAGGACGCTAACGACAACTTGTTGATGGGCTTCAATGCTTCTCTTGAGGTTTTGACCACAAAGGAACTCAAGGTCACTGGTTTGATAGGACACGCCGTATCCATGAACAAGAAGTCAGCCAACGTCGGTGAAACTGAATGTGGTATCGGTAACACTTGCTCATGGAAGATGTGTGGCATCAACCCCAGCTCGAGTTATGGTATCTACTTCGAGATTGCTGGTCAGGGTGGTCCTTCGAACGTGCAACAGGGTCCTCAGAAGGGTCTCATGCAATTCCTCACATACTACCAGCACTCTTCTGGCCAGTTCCACCTTCGTGTCACCACTGTTGGTCGCAACATGAGCGGTCCTTCAGGTGACCCGGCCATTGCTCAATCCTTCGACCAGGAAGCCGCTGCAGTCCTCATGTCTCGTATCGCAGTCTTCAAGGCTGAGGTCGATGATGGTCCGGATGTGCTCCGCTGGGTCGATCGCATGCTTATCAGGTTGTGCTCTCGCTTCGCCGAGTATCGCAAGGACGACCCGTCATCTTTCCGCCTCGAGAAGAACTTCACCCTCTACCCACAATTCATGTTCCACTTGCGTCGTTCGCAATTCCTGCAGGTCTTCAACAACTCTCCTGATGAGACTGCATTCTACAGACACGTGCTCAACCACGAGGACGTGTCAAACAGTTTGGTCATGATTCAGCCCACTCTTGACAGCTACAGCTTCGAGCACGAGGGCAGTCAGCCCGTTCTGCTTGACTCTACCAGTATCCAGGACCAGACTATTCTTCTGCTCGATACCTTCTTCCACATCCTCATCTTCCACGGTGAGACAATGGCACAATGGCGCAAGGCCGGTTACCAAGATCAAGAAGGATACGAGAACTTTAGAGAGATGCTCGAGGCGCCCAAGGAGGACGCCAAGGTGAGTTTAATAACAATCTGCTATTCAAGAACTTCATATACTAACAACCATATCAGGAACTCATCCAAGATCGTTTTCCTCTGCCTCGCTTCATTGTCTGTGATGCTGGCGGTTCTCAAGCACGTTTCCTTCTCTCCAAGCTCAACCCCTCAACAACACATACAACTGGCGCATACGGCGGTGTCAGTCAAACCGCTCAAACCATCTTCACTGATGACGTGTCGCTACAGACCTTTATGGATCATTTGATGAAGTTGGCCGTTAGTGGTAACAGCTAGATGTGGTGATTCAAAGCGGTATGAATGTGATGAGAAGCAGAAGAGAAGGGAGCGATTAGTAGTAGAGAGAAGAAGACCAGAAGAAAGATTACCCTCAACAGCTTTTCTTGAACAAAAAGACTATACCTTTTCAACATACCTGAAAACTTCTGCCCGGTGATTCTTCCTCGTCGTTGGTCTTCTTGAGCCGTTGCAAACATACAGATGTAGCTCTTCGAGCTGTCATGGAGGTCTCACTCTCACTCGCCCTGGCATGTATTGGAAGCCACGGCAATTGATATCTATAACACAGTCTCATGCAATGTGTAGCAGCGTCATCACCTTGTTTTCAACAAGTTGATGTACAAAAGGTGCTTGCTGGCAGCCAAATCTGTCCCTCACAGCACCCCAAGGAAATAACGTTGACATAACAATAACTTCATAAACGTTTCCTTAGGCCTGACAGCTCGAGATATCGATTCTTTCCTTCTCAGTTGCTATCTATTTTTCAGCGCGTGCGTCAAAGATACTATGTATGCGAACCAGTTTCCATCGTGGTTAGCAAAAGGGTGGATGGCAGGGTGGCCCCGGCATGTATGGGAAGCTGAGATGGTCACCCTGTTATACAAGTATCTGTAATAGGCAAGCCTGGCTTGTCGATGACGAATGCAAATATCGTCTCTGCAATGATTCTTGTCTTAAATTGTCTTAGAGTTCTAGAGCTATGGGAAACAAGAGTCGCTCGAGGATATGAGAACCGTGAAAGATTTATACGTGACAGTTTTGAACCAGTGTCATATCTTGAGTGCATGTCAGCAATATTTGCTCCAAGATAATAATCTCGGTTTAGCACACAGGCAGAAAGAACAGCGATAGATCAAGGTGGAAAACAAGGACGAGACAGAATCGGATGTAAGAGTTGAGATAGGTGGTTCGTGGGTATTTGTTTTTTGGTATCGTTACAAAAAGGTGGCCAGGACACAAAGCCAAGAAGGAAATAAGCAGATAGAAATCGCTCAGAAAAGAAGAAGCAACAGAGGCTGCAAAGAAAACCCCGAAGCCAAAAAACGCCATTCCCAAAAAAAGAGACAACTCCCTCCTACCCATCAAACAGGGTATGCAGCAAAAGTGTCAAACAGGAACAAGCCAGTGTCCTGTACATCTAGTTCTCCAACCAATCCAAGAACTCGGGTGTAAAGTATGAAACGACAATGCTCGCGCCAGCACGAAGGATGCCCTCGGTGGCCTCGAAAGCCATGGTCTTCAAGTCGAACACGCCAGCCTTGGCGGCAGCGCAGATCATGGCGTACTCACCACTGACCTGGTATGCAGCAACGGGCAAGTCCTTGCCAATGTCTTTTGCGTCACTGATAATGTCGAGGTATTGAGAGGCGGGCTTGACCATGATGATATCGGCACCTTCGTTGATGTCGCGTACGATTGCTCTGCGGGCGAGACCGCGACCGCCGGGGGGGAGTTGATAGCATCTGGGAAGTCACAGTTAGCACTGGATAACATTAAACTAGAGGTTTGAGTTCTGTACCTTCTGTCACCAAATGACGGTGAGCTGCCAGCAGCATCACGGAAGGGGCCGTACAGACAGCCACTGAATTTGGCCGAATAGGACATGAGAACGACCTTGTGTGCGATACCAGCCTCGATGAGCTTGAGCTTGATGGCGCGGATGCGGCCGTCGTTCATGTCTGAAGGAGCAACGCAGTGGGCGCCAGCCTCAGCGTAGGCCATTGCGACATCCGAAATGCGATCGACAGAGAGAGCATTGTTCAGACTGCCGTCCTCGCGCAAGATACCACAGTGACCGTGGCTGGTGTACTCGCACAGACACACATCTGCAGTGATGAAGAGAGAAGGGAAAGCCTTGCGCAGCAGGCGGATGGAAGCGATGACAGGGCCGGTCGGGTCGTCGGCAGAAGTGCCCAGAGAGTCTTTTGCGTCAGGGTGGAGCGGTACACCGAACAGGATGACCGACTTGAGGCCCTTTGCGATCAAAGGACGGAGGAAGGGGACGAGCTTGTTCAGACCACGGCGGTATTGTCCAGGCAATGAGGGGATCAGAGTCTCCTCGTCTGGGTTGTCTGTGATGAACAGGGGGTAGATGAGCATCGACTTGGTCAACTGGCGCTCAGCTTGCCACGCGCGAGCGAGCGGATGGCTGTAACCTCCATGCAGTTGACTCGAGATGTCTCCAGTGATGCTGACGCTTGTGGCTGCGGTGCTGGCGTATGATCGGGCACGAGACATGGTCGAGCGCTTGTCGGCGCCGCCGTTGCCGCCATTACGGTCGCGGTATGTCAAGTCGGATACGAGCGAAGAGAAGGACATGTTGTGCTATGTCTTGTGGTTTGGTGAGGGCGAGTGGCTCGTCGAAGATGTTTTGCTGCGGCGGAGATGATTCGGTAGACGTCACTGCTTGAGTCGGAACGAGGCCTTTTCGTGGGGTCAGAGCAATGGGGCAATTGGCAATAGCTATCGTTTCGAAGGGAAAGAGACGTGTATCAATATCTTCTCAAAGGAAGGAAGGCAAAAGATATCGAGTGCAGAAACTACAGAAGCAGCTGGTAATTACTTTGTCATCCAAGGGCACAGGACCCCTCATGCAACCTTTCATCTAATAGCACCGTCGGCCTCGGCCAATCGAATCATTTGCATTGGTGGTCGACGGCAACATCCGCTCGCATTCGGCTGCGTCTTTCCGACTTTTTGCCAACATCGGCCAACGACATCAGATCATCTTTGCATGGCATTCTGTAATTTTCTACAACACTCGACTCGTACGATCCTTCATCTTTTCATATCTATATGAGGCATTTTGGAGTCACCAAGACAATCAGAAGGAAGATGTCGAGTACAAAAATTCATAAACAGATTTGCTACATACTTATTAAAACAATTCCCATGTATTCCTTGCATTCATAACCGGCCCCATATAACTATCCTATCCAATTTGGACAGCTGGCACCTAGTTCTGATATCCCTAGGTCCACGCTGCAATTCGCTTGCACCTTTCATCCTTCTGACAAACTCTTCCCATACAGGCTTCAGAATGTCTTTGCTTAGAGGGCAGCAGCGAAACCGAGAGCGGCCACGGCAACTCCGTAAGGTGCGTACTTTCCCGCGGTCTGCATGGCACCGGGGTTGCTGGTGCTGCTGGAGGTGCCGGTGGTCACTGTGTTGGTTGAAGCAGTGGTGGTGGCAGCGTTTGATCCGGCAACTCTGGTAGTAGGAGTCACAGTCTCGGTGTTAAGGGTGTTGGTGGTGTAGGCAGAGTCCTGGGTCTGAACAATAGTGTTCAGGTAGGTAGAAGTGCGGGTGTCGAGCGAGTGAGGAAGAGAAGTGGTGTCGTAGACAACGTTGCGAGAGGTGGAAACCAGAATGTCGGTATCAGTGCTTGAGAGAGTAGAAATGCGAGGGTTTCCAGTGGAAGAGGCAGCAGCAGCATCAGTGACTGTGGTAGACACGGTGTCGGTGTTGGCTGCAATGGCTGAGCCGCCACTGGAAACAGGAGTGCCGTTAACGCAGACGACACCGTTGTCGTTCTGAGGATCGCAAGGGCCGTCATCGTCGGCGAAGCCAACAGCAGCAAGAGCTGCAACAGCGAAGAAGGTCTGGGTGAAACGCATGTTTGCTTGTTGTGTTTGGTTTGATGAAGAGTAGAGAAGTGTAGAGGAGAGTAGGTCTTGAAGTTGAAGATGCTTGTTGATGATGTGGGTTGTTGTTCAGTCTTGGACAGCAGAGAGCATGGCTCTTATATATCCAGGGAGGGCTCTGTATTTTCCATCGTGGCCATCGCGATCTCGAGTGTGGTATCTCTGCATCGCAGATTTGCTATCTTTCGGAGACACCGCCTGACGATGATCGCCATCATACCGCGGACGTCAAGAAGCATGACATGCTTTGCCAAGGAGACAGTTGAATGGGGAGTGTGTCAGTCAATCCAACCAGCAATGATGCAATGTCATCGAATTTTTGCACAGTAGTTGGCCGCGGTTAAGCGTATATCAACGGCACTACCTGATTTGAAGTGAAATCCCAGCTGGAGAAGAGAACTCTAACAACATCCAAGAAAGCTTGGACGTATACCATGATGCTTGATGGTGCAGTCCATGAGTCAAGACCTAGCCATTTCCTTAGATGGTTGCCAGCAAGTAATCATCTAGGTTGAGACATGACATGTGGTCAACCCTGTATGGTCCCCTTGTCGACAAGCAGCAATGACAGCCGTCTTCTTCTGGTAATATGCCATAAGTAATAGTCTCAGCTTCTTCATACTGAGGGAGGGAGGTGTGTGCCCGCTGGCAGTACAGGCCTCCGGAAGATCTCCACGCCAAGCATGCATCGAGCGGCTCTGTACTTCGATCTGGCCTTGCCAGACGCTGGAGGAAGGAGAAGATTTCTTGGCCATAACTACCGGTTGTTAGACTGATGAGCGTATGTTGGAAGCTTGAGGCGGCTCCGCGGATGATAATGGTCTCGCAAAGATATCCGCATCTATGCGCAAAGAATGTGGACGTGCAGTTTCTGCCCATGTGTCAGGAGTAGACACTATAGAACTATGATCCGCGGAGTGTCGTTGTAGAGCCCCAGTCGTCAAACTCAATGAACTTCCGGGGCATTTCCGTAGAGAAGGTGGGGAGGAGTAATGGCATCCATTTGCAGGAACAGGCTAGAGAACCAGGTGACATGAGTCGCGGAGTCATTGTTCATATCGAGACGATAAACGATTCAATGGTTGGTAGGAGTACGAGACTGCACCGAGTATGGCCAAACACCTCGTCCAGTCTGTCTGTTCAAGAGATGCAATGCTTCGTCCAGATACCACAGCCATACTGATATCAAAGATGTTAGGATGATACTGTATATTGGCGAAAGACAGGAGGCAATTATATCCGAGGCCATCAACTGGGAAAGAACCTTAAACTGTGTCAATATTGAACAGTGTGCCGTCATAAAAATTACATATACTCACCGTCAGCAATTCAGCATCCGAACCAACGAGATGAGCCAGAATGGACCTCGGTACGTTCTAGCATATTTTACTAGGTATGTCGCACATATGGAAGCAGACTTCTCGACTGTCTGTGCAGGAGTTTATTCCACGGACTCATGGCATACGCAGGTACGAGCAGAGATTGCCCTGAGAGTCAGGGTAAGCATACAATCAATTGAAATCATGCCCCCAATGACGAGCAACATAGGGTATGAATGCCGATCCGGCCATCGCGGAAAGACACTCAAGGAGCGATTGCGGAGGCGATCGAGTACAGAGACAACGGAGAGTAACTTCTTCGGAAGTGGAACGAGGAGAAGTGGACGTTGCTAGCGAGATGTCCAGCCGGGAATTAAATATGAGCGGCTTTCCGCGGGTTGAGGCTCAAGAGACTTTCCACTGCACTTGGCGCCATGACACGCCTAGAAACGCTTCATGCTGTTGATCATGTTTCCCACGTGTCTCAAAGATGCTTATTTTCCCAGACGAAGGTCGTAGAAGGGTGAAGAGAGGGTGCGGCTGTACCGGGACCTGACAGGTTTGCAGCAGATGTTGTTCATGAAGGTTGAGAAACACGATTTGGAATCAGCACGTTGTCTACAGCAACATCATCATGCGTTGACAACAGACTCCTACCGACCAGGACAGATCACCTCAACCTCACCATCTGGAACCACATTTCTTCTTAGAGGAGAACGGGCTGGAATGGTAAAGCATTGAGGACGCGTTCATGAAGATAGGTCGACTGAATAAGGTGGGTTTCTATCGAACGCCTTCATTCATTCCTTCCACAACATAACTGCTGGTAATATATCCATGTCAAGCACCTTCTCTGACTAAAGAGAAAGCAAGAGCCATCTTCCAAGACAACGGCCTGATCTATTAGCTCCAAGGCCGCTAAAGCAAGCACTGTTCTTGTTAACTCCAAGACTACCCAAGCAAGCACTATTTCTGCTAGCTTCAATGCCACCGAAGTAAGCACTCTTTCCGTCAGCTTCAAGGTTGCCAAAGCAAGCACTCTTTCTTCCAAAGCCAAGGCCACTGAAGCAAGCGCTCATGTCTCACACACTGCTCCTTCTGCATTCGCACAAGGTAGCGCTCACGACTCGCATGCCGCTCCTTCTACACCTGAGTGACTCATCAGTCGAGTGGCTTCCGTCTCACGTGTGTCTATGCCAAACGTAGGCCTCACTTCCGCTTTCGAGGCAGGTTTCAATCTCCCCATATTAGCTTCCAACTTCACATTCACTGCTGGGACCTCTCACAACGACGAGGATGTCTCAGGACGCCTTGCTGGCTGTACTGCTCGTGCATCTGCCGATGACATCTCTATGACCAGTCCCAACAGCCTTCTTCACATCCACAAAGCTCAGATGGTCCATGAGACGGACCTGCTCAACATGAGTCCTGCATCGACCACTGGCGAGATAGGAAGCTCAGCCTCATGTGTTGTGCATGATTGACCGTTGAGAAAGCGTCAGAGAACCAGCCGCTTTGGTCAAGTCGAGTACAGGGATGCTCCTGATACCCTGGGATCTGAATACGAACAGGCCAGCGACAGCGAGTCTCCGGAAACAAGACACGAATCGGAGATTCTAGACGGATCAGGCAACAGACGTCCACCTTCACCCAAGGAAGATGCAACTCCAAGCCCACACCACAAGCAAGGTTACAAGAGAGAACACGAATACCCTCTGTGCCATGAGAAGTCCACGAGTGCTGCAAGTCTGAACCAACACCTTGAGACTCGTAATTCCTCTTTCTTGTCCACAGATGGGGTACAATCAGATAACGATAAACAACGATGGAGTCCCACCGTAACTTGACACGTGCATTGTGCAAGAGAGCAACAGCCAGCATCGACAAAAATTTCGAGAGTGCCGCAGCAACAAGGCTCAGTACAAGTAAAGTAAAACACCACGGCGGCCTCATTCGTGAGATCTTGATACGGATTGCTCCAGAGTTTACTGAGGATGATAAAGAAGACGCTCGCTTCCAACTACCTGCGTGTGGAAAAGTTCTCACCGCTCAAGACACAATCGCCATCTCTGGATCCACCGCAACGCTGCTGTCCATCAGAGGGGACACTGGCGACCCAACAGGGGAAGCAAGGTCTATGAGACCCTGGCCTCTACTGCTATCTCCATGTAGAAGGAGTCTATCTTAATTACTGTGAAGTGCATCAGAAGAGCATAATGAGACATGTTCTCAGTCTGGGAGACGGCACACCATGCTAGGGCTCATGGACCTACATGTCCTACCTCAACAGGCATTGCGCAGACGCTCAAAAGAACACACCACCCCTATCGTCTGCGCCATCGATTTGGCATGGTCTCAACAACAAGGTACAGTAAAACACAAAAATAAAATCATTATACTTTTGATCTATCTTATCTAGAAGACATATCCATAGCAGCCTGTGCCTCGGTGATACCCTCCTTGAGAGCGGTGATAGCACGATCAATGTCATCACGGTTAGGATCAGTAACACTCACACCCATGTGACCAAAGCGGATGTACTGAGTGGCGATCTGCTTGTGCAGACCGCCGGCAAACACAACACCACGTTGCATAAGCTTAGGCAAAACATCGGGAGGAGTCATGCCCTTGGGAAGGTAGATGGCGGTCATGCCGTTGGCTTGGTTCTCGGGCTTGGAGGCTAGTTGCTTGAGGCCGAGGTCAGTGATGGCCTTCTTGACTTTTTGGGAGGCTTTGCGGTGGGCGGCGAAGCGGTCGGCCAAGGGGACGGAGGTGATTTGGGTGAGGGTGGTGTGCAGAGCGTGGACGAGCTGAGGCGAGGGAGTAGCAAAGTATGAGGGCTTGCCAGCTTCATAGTTTTGCATGACTGTGACTAAATCAGTACTGGCATTGAAACAGAATAGGTGATGACACATACTAGGCATCCAATTCTTCCACGAGCCAAAGTAAGAGGTAGGAGGAACCTTGCGGCTCTGGAAAGACTTGATGGCACGACCAGAAGCCATGACGATGCTCAGACCAGCTGGACATCCAATGGCCTTTTGCGAGGCGGTAATCACACAATCGATTCCCCAGTTGTCGAATTGGATCTCCTCACAGCCGACACTGCAGACACCATCGACAACGACCAGCGTGTCGGGGCTGACCTTGTGGACGAGCTTGCTGAGGGCCTCAATCTCACTGAGAACACCAGTCGATGTGTCGACGTGGGTGACAGTGATGAGCTTGTATTTCTTCTCCTTCAGGGCCTTCTCGACCTCGTCCAGTTGAGGACGCTCTCCAATGGGAGCCTTGAGCTGGGTCGCCTTGACGCCGTAGGTCTCGAAACAATCGGCGAAGCTGTCGGCAAAGTAGCCGGTATGCAGGACCAGGACATCATCACCAGGCTCAGCAAGGTTGGCAGCGACCTGGTCCCATCCAAGGGTACCAGAACCAGAGATGACAAAGGGCTGGGATGCGGGATCTTGGGTCTGGAAGAGCTTGCGGAGCATGGTCAAGGTCTCGCCGAATGTCTTGACAAAGGGTGCGCCAACATGGGACTCGCTGTAATTGTACCGTCAGCCATTGATCGACATGATGGAGACAGACATGGTGTACCTGAAGTGGCTCATTGACTGCAGAACCTGGTCATCGAACTCGATGGGACCTGGGATGAGCAGGGCAGGGTGTGGTGGTTGGCTCGACATGTTGGTCTTCTTCTCTTGTTGAACAGCAGCAGGCTGAGGGCTGTACGGAATGTCGTCTGAAGGGCTGGATTGGCGCTCGTGGGCGTAAGGTGTGTTCAACTCGACTCGAGGTGTCTGGTCAAGATGTCTAGAGATGAGACTGAGGCGGGACTGAGGAGCCATGGCGATGGCGGGGTTCGCCGGATGAGTTAATGCGGGGATGTGGACGATGTCGGCTCTCCCGATCGTGATTGGCGGCAACGAATGAGCGTATTATGATCCGGTGGACCGCCTTTATTCGAGAATATTTGAGTCTGCCGCGAGACTGAACGCGTCGTCAATGTAGAAAAGAAAATGCCCAAACTGCAATGAGCGGCAAATCGGACATGGAGACAGTCGACATCGGCGCTTGCTCTCGGCCCGGTCCTCAAAAATTAACTGCCGACCAATGCAGACCCCAGCCGTGCATTCTATGATGCTAACTCGATCTAAGACAGACCAGACATGAACGAGACATCTTTCCAAGACTGGACACCGACATGGTATGAGAACAATTGACCACTAGTGTGGCCATGACACGATATCTTGATTCCCTTCCCGAAGGAATCGTCCTGCAGAGAGATATCCTACCGTCTACCCAATTAATGCACTTACTCCTGACCCATGCTTTTCCCGTTGACCTGACAGGAAAACTGTCCCGCGAGCTACATTTATGAAGTCTCGCGAACGACCTTGTCGACAGCCTTGGCGAAGTACTCGACGTTGTTGGTGTTAAGACCAGCCATGCCTGCAAACAGTCAATATCTTTTGAATGCACATCTTCATAGTGGTACTCACTGATTCTGCCGTTCTTGGTCATGTAGACGTGGGCATCTGATCTGATCTTGAGGACTTGCTTCTCGGTCAAGCCAGTGAAGCTGAACATGCCAATCTGGTTGGTGATGTGATCCCAGGTGCCAGGAGTCTGCAGCTCGTCAAGCTTGCCCTTGAGGGCCTTGCGCATCGAGATGATACGACCACTCATCTCACGGAGGTTCTCCTCCCACTCGGCGAACAGCTTCTCGTCATTGAGAATGACCGATGCAATACGGGCACCGTATGCGGGAGGGTTACTGATCTCGGAACGTTGAAGAATGGCCAACTGGCTACCAACACGAGTTGCAGTATCGGCAGCGTGGGAACCAGGACCGGCGATAAAGTGGAAGCAACCAGCGCGCTCGCCGTACAGACCGAAGTTCTTTGCGTAACTCTGAGCGACGAACATCTCGAAGCCTTGCTCAACAAAGTAGCGAATTGCCCAAGCATCCTTGTTCAGATCGCCTGATGCAAAGCCTTGGTATGCGCAATCGAAGAAGGGGAACTGGGACTTGCTCTTCATGAGCGAGGCGATCTCCTTCCACTGATCTTGAGTAGGATCGACACCGGTGGGGTTGTGTGCGCAAGCATGCAGCAGGACGACACTGCCCTCAGGAGCCTTCTCTATTGTCTGGATCAGACCCTTGAAGTCAAGGCCCTTGGTCTCGGCAGAGAAGTATGGGTAGTTCTTGATAGGAAGCTTGACATTGGAGAAGATTTGGTTGTGGTTGGCCCATGTAGGGTTGGAGACGTAGACTGTCTTGGCCTCAGAGTTCGAGGGGGTGTAGAACTTGGCCAGGAAGGCGGCGCCCAAGTGTACGGCACCAGTTCCTGAGATTGTCTGAAGGGCGACAGCACGCTTTTCCTTGAGAGCAGGCGAATCGGCGCCGAGGATCAACTTTTGCGAGGCGGTGGTGAAGTCTGCGAGACCGGCAATCGGTAGGTACTCGTGGTTGAGGTTGGGGTCTTGACGAAGGAGGTCATCGGCCTAGATAAGAAACTTGATTAGCTCTTTGGGACGACAAGCACATGTTTCCTTTCTAATTGTGTATTGCTAGGGATAGTGTTGCTTAGAGTAGACATTGGTGCACACCTTCTTCACGACGGGCAAAACCCAGGGCTTTGCGTTGTTGTCTCTGTAGGCACCAATTCCGAGATCGACCTTGTTTGAATCAGTGTCGCGGCGGTAAGCTGCCATCAATCCAAACAAGGGATCTTCAGGTGCCTGGGGCACGACGTCTGCTCCGAAAGATGATGCCTTCATTGTGTTTGTGGTGGACATGTGTGAAGTGATTTGTTGAAGGCGAGATTGCGGATCTGAGGAATTAGAAGACGAAACCATTTTCCGAATCTCCTTTGTCAACCACACCACTGGCGGGGTTTCGATCAAGTAATAATGCGGAGGGAATGGCGGGCAGGATCCGATTCTTGGCGAGCTACACGAACTCAGGCTGAAAATTCAGGGCGAAATCGGCTGAGTGCAAGGTGGACTGATAGCAGGATGATTCTATAACAAAACGAGAAGAAGAGAGCATGAGCAGAGGACGAGGTCTCAGTAGTATTGTCTTACTACATCATGCCAATATGTGCCTTGTACCCTGTCAACAATTGAACCTCGGGATCCCCACGTCCCTCGTGCTCACCACGACGTTCCGAGGCTCGATCCGTCCGCCTGATGCCGTCGGTCTTAACCCGCTTTCTGACCAAAACGCCGAGCATTCATCGAATGATACGAGTTGATATATAAATGAGATATAATCTCTTGCGATTGCATGTGATTATGACTCGGATCCTAGAATATCAAATCCCACACGACGAGGAAGGCACAGAATGCGCATGTGCTGTGGAATAGAATCCTTGCACTGCTGGGGCGTTCGCTTGCTCGCTTGAGCTCCTTGTTTCCTCTTCCAACATTTTCTGTCGTGAAGAAAGAATCTTGCACAAGTTGCTCAATGTGCTCATTCTGTTCCGTCAAATTGGTGACAAGAGTCGACTGTAGTTCTGAGATCTCGATAAGAGATCTTTCCGCCGTGCTGTTCCTGAGGTTAGCTAATCGTTCAAAGAACCAAGAATTGCCCTTTACTCACCGGACCTGATCTAAAGTGTCCTGGTAATGTTTCATCATGTCTTGGTTCTCTTGTGCAAAGAGTTGCATCTGTTCATCGCTCAACTGAGGCTCTGCCCGCTCCTGCTCTTGTGTTGCTGTTTTCTCAGAGTCCAATGCAGCATCGAAGCCGTGAGCGGAAGGCACGCTGCTGCTCTTTGCTTTGTATAGCACACTTTTACTCTTTTCAACTTCACGTTGTATCCTTATCTCCATCATGGTGGCCTGAAGAGTACCAGCCTCCCTGAGTTTGGCTTGTAGGAACCAGACGATACTCTCTCGATGTGCGTTGAGCATCTTTTGCCTGGCTTCTTCCATCTCCTCTTCTGCACTCTTCGCAGTGACAGCTCCTCCAGCCGCCCATCTTCCGATGGCTCCGAGACCGCCTTGATTGCGTTTGCGCAGCGCGATATGAGACGCAGTGTCTTGTCTGATCTGCTCGATCTGGCTTATACGCTCGACGGCAGCATGCAATTGTCGCAGCACTGTCTTTGCCTCGGCATCAATCGAGGCTCTTTCAGTATCTGACAAGTGTCGTTGTGTTGCATCATGTGTGGATTTTTGGTCGGCGGAGTTCTGTCGTTGCGGTCGTCGAGGTGCTGGAGCGGTGGATAGGTAGGAGGGTCTGATGGCGCGAAGGTATGCAGTCAAGTCTGCTATACGAGCATTCTGTTGTCGAGTAAGATATTGTGTATGCCTCACTCAAAATATCTTGACGTACAATGCTGTATGCTTCTTTCAGGAACTCGTCCAGTCGGTCGATAGAATAGCGATGTGATGTGACTGGCGGCGCATTATGAGCTTTCAACGCTGTGTTGAAGGCTGCCGTGATATCGGCCATGGTGACCTAGTCTTTGTTGACACAGTTGTTGACCTTCCAAGTCAAAGCAGCTTGTCGCATGTGAACTCTCGCCTACGTAGCTCTTGCCCAAACTGACGTTTGTCTTGGCTCCAGCACGAGCTGGAATCCGTCATTCGAAGCCTTCCATGACTTTCGTAGCCATCGCATTGCCATCATAGTCATCGTGATCTCGATCGACATGATTTGCTTCTTTCGTTCCGCATTTCTCACCGGCGACACTTCGAAGATACCGGAGGGCGATATCGGAACGCGATGTCGGACAGCGGCAAGTCGAAATGCCCTATCACAGATCGCCTCAATATCCTACATCAATACGGACTTTACACCACGGAAGCCGGCAGCGAGACAGTTACCCTACAAGCGCTGATAGGGCATCGTAGGCACGTAATTTGTAGGTTGTTTTAGGTGATCACTTTCCTTCTTACCCTCTTTTCATCTTGTACCTCCATCTCTGCATGTCTCGTCCACCGTCATCTCGAGAAAACCATCATAATGAAAAGACACCAGGAGACGAGATTATGAGCCATACTGGATCCGGAGCTGTTGAACATGCACTCTATGGAAAAGACGAAAAGAAAAAGCAGAATCATTCCGAAGAAGCAATAGAGTCTATCCGCCATGTTTCGACAACAAGCTCAAATAGCGAGGATGAGGCTGCTTCTGTGGAGGACAACAATATGCGAGATGTCGAGTCCAGTATAGCAGAACCGCCATATACTGTGTTCACGGCAAGTCAGAAGAGGTTCATCGTCTTGTTAGCAGCTTGCGCCGGGTTCTTTTCAGCTGTAAGCATCTATGCCATGTTCAACCAGGATACATCATTGACCTGAAGTAGGTCTCTGCCAATATTTATTTCCCGGCTCTTAATTCGTTGACCAAGGAATTTCACGTTTCCGCAACATTAATCAACCTCACTCTGACCACATATATGATCGCACAGGGCATAGCACCAGCCATCATTGGCGACCTGGCAGATATGGCTGGTAGGCGGCCAGCATACTTTGTATGCTTTGTCATATACATCGGTGCTTGTATAGGCATCGCACTTTGTCAAAATTACGTTTCTTTGCTCATTTTGAGATGTCTGCAGAGTGCTGGGTGCGGTGCCACAATTGCGCTAGGCAGTGGTGTCGTTGCCGATATAGCAACGAGTGCTGAGAGGGGCACATTCATGGGCTATGTTACTTCTGGTCCTATGGTTGCTCCCGCACTTGGACCAGTACTCGGAGGTATACTGGCAGAATTCTTGGGATGGCGATCGATATTCTGGTTCTTGGTCATCCTCAGCTCCTGTTACCTGGTACCATTTCTTATTGCTTTCCCGGAAACTGGTCGTAACGTTGTTGGCAATGGAGCCATCAAACCTCAAAGCTGGAACAAATCGTTGATCAACTATCTACATGAGCGCAAGGCTGCTAAAGCACCTGCTTTGACCCGTACAGTCACTCGTGAAAGCATTAGACTAGAAGAAGCACGACTGGCTAAAGCCCGAAAATTGCGAATTCCGAACCCCCTGAAGACACTCAAGATAGTCTTCGAGAAAGATACTGGACTTCTGTTGTTCTACAACTCACTGGTGTATACAGCTTTTTACGATGTGACAGCTAGCATGCCATACCTCTTCGGGAGGATCTACAACTACAACGACCTTCAGATAGGTCTTTGCTTTATTCCATTCGGAGTTGGATGTCTGATTGCGCCAATCCTAGGTGGAAAGGCTCTCGATTGGAACTTCCGACGTCTAGCTGTCAAGCACGGTTTTCCGGTCGACAAGAAGCGAGCGACTGATCTCAAAGATTTTCCTCTCGAGAAGGCTCGCATCCAGATCACATGGCCACTGCTTGTGGTCGGCGACGCAGCCTTACTTTGCTACGGCTGGATAATGGACGTGGAGACCAATTTAGCAGCGCCATTGGTTATGTTGTTCTTCATTGGACTCTGCTTGACCGGAGCCTTCAATTGCAACAGTGTCATGTTAGTCGACCTCTATCCGCTCAGCCCATCGACAGCCACAGCGGCGAACAATCTCGTCCGCTGCCTTATGGGAGCGGGCGGTACTGCTATCATCATAATCATGATCGAACATATGGGCAGAGGATGGTGTTTTACATTTATAGCAGGCGTGGTGTTACTGTTCTCACCTATCCTTTGGGTGCTTGAAAAGTATGGGCAAGGATGGAGGAATGCAAGAGCCCAACGGATGGAAGAACTAGCGGAGAAGAAACGACTGGCTGAACAAGAAGAAAAGGCGGACGAGTTGCAGACTTTCGAGGCTCAAACTGGGAAGTAATACAAGACACACCTCTCGGTAAGCCTAGACTCAGCAAAGTGTAGTCACGAAAATACACAGTAATACAAGGCTGAAAAAACGTTCAAGAAGAAGACTCTATGACCTCGACTCTGTTTAGTATCCCCAGAAAAAACTGTGTAAAGTCATGAATGAAGATAACACTCTGCACAAGCGTGAGATGTGGGCTCGGTGTTGCAGGTTCAGCGTACGGAGATAACTCCCAGGATGCCTTAGGCAAGCAACGAAACGTCATGTACAGTCCTCTACCAGAACACCTTGATGGCCTGAGGTATACAATAGATCCATTCGTCCTTTGGCCCTGGTCAGCAAGCAGATCAAACAGAGTTTCGCATGCCTGTTAGACTTTAGAGTTCAAAGATGGACGAGGAAGAACCGGGACCTTGGCCGAAGCCACTTTCACATGCAAGACTGAGTCAGCGGCCCCAAGAACGGCGCTGACTTCTGAAGACGAAGGCCATCTCTATTCGACTCGGATGGGTGGTGTGGTTAGTATCAGGCAGATGCCCTGTGTGCGACATGCATTATTCTGAATCTGTGATCGAAAAGATCGACGAGTTGCACAAGTGAGATGATGAAAAGATTCGCCAATAGGCGTGTCTAGGCGTGTCGAGATCGGCGCGCGGAAGTGATTCAGGAAGATTTTTGGCCACACCAAGCACAAGCCGCGCCAACAAAGAACCGAAACTCGCAACGTGAACGCTCTTTTTCCCATCTGCCCTTTCTGCAAGAACTCTTCCTTCAGTAACGAAGCACACGACACCGTGAACGACTTTCTTTTCTGCTCACGCGACATTTCCATCTGCTATTTCTACGTCCACGAGTTACAACACCGCAACCGCGAAAAATCCCTAAGGATCAACCAAAGTTCCCAACGCTCCCTGCCGTCCATCGGCGACCAGTCCGCGTTTCGTATATCTAGCATTCTCTCGACCCAGCTCCGCTCTCTCGCTCGCCCAGCCGATTTTCTGCAGCAATGAAGTTCTTCGAGTCACAGCATGAGTTTGACTACTCGTGGGAGGAGGTGTCGACTGCAAACTGGCGCAAGTACTGCCCGTGGAACGATAAGAGCACCCACGTTATCGCCGTCGACACTATTTCGCGTCACGTTGACCCGGCCACCGGCATTGTGAGTTTTCTGCTGCATTGCTCTACTTACACGTACAATTGCTAACTTCCCTACCAGCTCCGTACCGAACGTCTCATCACCTGCCAGCAATCCGCTCCCAAATGGCTCGCCTCGTTCTTCGGCGGCCAGGATGTCTCGCAAGTCTACGAAACCTCATACGTTGACCCTGTCGCCAAGAAGGTCACAATGTGCAGCACCAACATGACTTTCAACGACCTCCTCTCCGTCCGCGAAACCGTCGTTTACCGTCCTTCCCCCGCTGGTCCTACCTCTCGCACAATCTTCCAGCAATCTGCTCAGATCACTGCTTTCTGTGGTGGTTGGCAAAAGATTAAGAACAGCATTGAGGACTTTACCGTTGAGCGCTTCAGGCAGAATGCCATCAAGGGTCGTGAGGGCTTTGAGGCTGTTCTCGAGATGAGCAGAAAGGTCTTTGCCATGGAGAGAGAACGTCAACGTCTTGCTGTTGCTGTTGCATAAGTGCGCTCTTGTCGACTCGACTCTTCTCACTTTCCATGCGTTTCTTCTATCCTTTGACGGTTCTGTATCCCGTCATGCGTTCCAGCGATTGGTGTCTTACGGCGTTCTGCTTTTCTGCACTGGATATACCACATCCTTTTTTCGACTCCAAAACGGGCGGCGTTTCTGGCTGGGTTTCTTCTCTTCCAATATACCAACGATACGAGGTCTCCGACGTTTAAAAGTTTTCTGTTGTTTTCGTTTCTCTGCTCTAGAGATTCTGTCTGTCTAGATGGTTGGTCTTGTAGATCTGTCTCATCATTCCGCTCTGTTGTATTTCAGCGACAAAACTATACTCCATTTGAGTCATAGATGAGGTCAACACTTTATCAAAACATGAACCTACTTTCTTCGAATTTCGACTTGTCTGAGAGTGTGCTGTCTATTGATACATTTCGACTTGCCTGAGAGTTTGCTGTCTATTGTTACATTGGCCATGACTGCCTGATATCCTGATCATGAAACACTACACCTTTGACAAACACGAAAGGCACGAAAGATCTCAAGATAAGAAAAAGCGACCGATCGTGCTTTCCAATCACGGAATTGCATAGTCTAAGAAAGGCATGCATAATGGATGATGTGCGGGAGGAGCGATGGGGTCTTTGTCGTGACTTCCCTGTTTCATAATTCCGTTCACGGCAAGACGTCAAAAGTATAAATGTAGAAATGGCTGCTGTCAACTCGATGGTCGAGAGGCCGGTCAGTAGAAAGTATAAAACACACCCATACAATCCCGTCTCATGTCCAGTTGCTATGATGGATGCAAATTTTTGAATCTCCTTATCTACAGTAAGGATATATCGACAGCACAACCCTACTCACACTCAATACCCACCAAAGCCCCCTTAGCACCCAACCTACAAAGATACAACTCCTCTTCCCCAAACATCCACATGCCCTCCTTCGAAAAGCAGAAATTAGCCACACAACCTCCCGTAACAATCTTTCCAATCAAAGTTCCTTGCGCATTCCACACATGCACTCCATCCCCACATCCCGAATACACATTTCCTTCTTCGTCGCATTTGATTCCATCAGGAACACCATTGTCACAGTAGGCAAAGGTTTTGCGATTGCCAAGCTGCGTGCCGTTTTCGAGGACGTCGTAGACGTAGATTGTAGCTGGTAACCTCGGGTTCATGGAAAAGTTGTGGCCGTCTTTGGGGCCGGTGTGCGCTTGACATGCTCCCGTATCCGTAACATACATTTTCTTGTAGTCGGGAGAAAAGCAAAGTCCATTACATTGCACGAACCCATCTGCAACACACCAGATTTGGTTTGTTCGTGGGTTGAACCGGTAGATTTGAGACGGCAAGTCGGGGGATGGGCGGAAGGCTTGTTCATACCCGTAGGTAGGATCTGTAAACCAGATTTCGTCGTTGGCGTGGTGGATTATTACATCGTTTACGCTGTTGAAAGGGCGGCCTTGGAAATTGTTGATGAGGGTTTCTGAGGTTTTGGAGATTGGGTCTACAAGCACCAAGCCCGAGGGATTGGTCTTGTCGCCTTGACAGCAATAGAGGATTTTGTCTTTGTAGTTGCAGGCGCCGTTTGCTTGAACTATACCGCTGAAATCATCGTCTGCGACTTTGAGGGAAGAGGCGTCTACAGAGTACAACGCGATGGGGTCGCAAGTCTGGAAGTTTGCGGTAAAGTAGACGCGGTTGGTTGACTTGATGTACACGCCTGCCTCATGTGCAAACTGATAATCTCGGCTTTGGACTTGAGTGATGCTAGGATTGGATCCAAGAAGCTTGGAAAAGGAGTCATCGTAGATACGAAAGCCTTTTCCTTGGGAGAGCTGTTTTCCGTAGGTGATGTCTGTGGCCAGGCGTTTGAGATCCACCTTGATGGTCTCAGTCTTCAGATCCAGAGGAGTCATGCATAGTTTCTCTGGCTGGTGAGAGTCGGTTGGGAGTTGGCCTGACATGACTGGTAAAGGATGTTGTAGTTTTGATTTAGGACTGGGACATTACACTCAGCTGCCATTCCTGAGCTCGAAGATATAGAACTTGGTTCCATCGTTTACTTACACAACTAGCACTCAGGATAACTACTGGGTTGACATGAAAGTACAGTCTGTCAAAGAAGGATGAGCTTTGTAGCTTCTTTCGTTTTGAGGCTCAAATCACGTCGGTGTCTGTCGGCGTTTGTGAAGCATTCTGCCAAACGCACTTCTCTCCGTGCCGGCTTTCCACATTGGTCTGTAACAGCAATCTGATCAACAAAAACTTCTCTATCTTAAGACCTGAAGTCAACTACTTATTGAGGCTAAGTTTATTGGTATAGACTGACTGACTCAGTAAGTAAAAGTGCCGCGGATGTATTTGCGAGGATGAAGGGAACCTCGGCAGGAGAGAGCTCTCTCCGCATTTGTCTCCGCACTCTACGGAGACAAGGCGGACCCGCCTGTATCCGTTACCTACCTAGTAGATGGTCAAAGGTGGAGCTGGCTGCTACAAATAAGCCAGCTACTCAGTTAGAAATAAGCAACACACAAAACAATACCAAAGACAACATACGGAAAACACGACGGCCATGGGCAAGAAAACAAAGGCACCATGTTACGTCCTCGGCGTTGGCATGACCAAGTTCATCAAGCCTAGGGGCAAGGTCGACTACACAGAACTAGGCTTCGAGGCCGGTGTCAAGGCAATGCTGGATGCTCAAATCAACTATGATGATGTTGAGCAAGGCATAGCCTGCTACTGCTACGGCGACAGTACTTGTGGTCAGCGTGTCTTTTACCAGTTCGGCATGACACAAATTCCCATCTACAATGTCAACAACAACTGCAGCACTGGTTCAACAGGACTTAATCTTGGCCGTACTATGGTTGCAAACGGAGCTTCCGATTGTGTCTTGGTTGTCGGATTCGAGAAGATGTTCCCAGGCTCTCTGCAGAGTTTCTTCCAGGACCGAACTAACCCTACCGGCACAACTGTGGACATGATGAAGGCAACCAGAGGCATCACCAGTGCTCCCGGAGCTGCCCAAATGTTCGGCAACGCTGGAAGAGAGTACATGGAAAAGTACGGGGCAAAGAAGGAAGACTTTGCAGAGATTGCAAGAGTCAATCACGAACACTCCAAGCGTAACCCCTACTCGCAATTCCAGGATGAATACACTCTGCAGCAAGTCATGGATGCTCCATCTATCCATGAACCTCTGACAAAACTTCAATGCTGTCCGACTTCAGATGGAGGTGCCGCTGCAGTCCTGGTGTCTGAGGATTTCTTGAATGCTAGACCACATCTCAGAGAGCAGGCAGTCCTCATCGCTGGTCAGTGTCTTGCCACTGATGCAACCTCTCTGTTCTCGCGCAGCAGCATCGACTTGATGGGCTATGAGATGACAAAGAATGCGGCCAAGACGGCTCTGGCCGAAGCAGGTGTTTCTGTGAAGGATATCAAGGTCTGCGAACTTCATGACTGCTTCTCAGCCAATGAGATGATTGTTATCGATGCACTAGGGCTGAGCGAGCACGGCAAGGCACATGAAATGGTGCGCAAAGGAGACATTACCTACGGCGGAAAGATGGTCATCAACCCTTCAGGAGGGCTCATCTCTAAAGGCCATCCACTTGGTGCAACAGGCATTGCACAATGCGCAGAGCTTGTCTGGCATCTGCGTGGCTGGGCCAACAACCGACTAGTCAAGGGCACTACGGCAGCGCTACAACACAACCTTGGCCTGGGTGGTGCTGTTGTGGTTACGGTGTACAAGAGAGCGGACGGCAAGGCAAGTGAGTCTGTGGACTCGCAGACAGTCGGACAGAAGAACGGACTCGGGTACAACCCTGCAGTTGAGGCCAAGGGTTTCAGCAAGAGCCAGGTGAATCAAGTCCGCAGCAAGCAGCACAGAAGTGATTGGGCGCTAGCAGACACTGAGCGCAAGGTGGAAGCGCGATTCTGAGGAAAGGTGGGGCCTGCCCACGGTTTATGACATATTATGAAGTAGCTCAAGCAGAAGGTATCCAACTCCATGGGTTATATGCATCGTGTTGCTTAGACAGCTTGGGGTTGGCCGTCAGCCTCGCCCGAGTTGACCTTCTTGCCAGTCTTCTTGATCTTCTCCAGCACGGTGTTGTAGTCAAGGGAGGGTTCGGTGACAACGGATGCGGTTTGGTTGTCGAGAGAGACGTCGAAGGACTTGACACCTGGTAAAAACGTCAGTACCGTGGACGAGAAAGGGTAGTTGGCCACGGACCGTCGAGCTTCTTGAGGACACGCTCAACTGCGCCGGAGCAGCCGCCGCAAGTCATGGTGATGTTGAAGTTGTAGGTGTGATCCGACATGGTGTTTTGTGGGAGAAAGATGTGTTTGGAAAGCTGAGCAGAGTAGAGAAGGTGCAGAGGTATGAGAAGAATGTGAGCAAGAGGTGAGATTACGAGGAAGGAGGGATGGCGTGCTATGCTGCGTTTCGGACATTTGGACAGGAAGGCGCCAAGCTTGATTACAGTACACGTTCCAGACCCATCATCAGCAGGAGCGATCTTGCACCTGCCACACTTGTGGCTACAGTGCAGTGACTGCAGTCAGCTCCATTACGTGGCAGACAGCAGTCGTTTCCTGAATTGTCCAACTCTGTCCCCGACTGTCGTGCCTGATCAACTGCAGGGTAACTTTGCGTCAACCCCGCGGACAGGAAGGACAACGCGCCACATTTGCATGTCCGGGCAGTCGGGCTGAGCCACAAGTTTCGCGCATGACGGAATAGCATAAACAGCTAAAGACAGTTTTGATCTGTTGCGCACCATCAAGCTCCTACGACCTCGTAGGCCGACTCTTCCGCCATGGCCTCGTACGTTCTACCTCGCAGACACTTCATGTCATCCATCTCACTCACCGAAACAGGAGCAACATCCTACATCTGCCCTTCCGCCGCACCCACAATGTCTCCATCGCCGAAGCCATCAAGCGCTACATCTCGACCAAATATGACCAACACCCGGACATGTTCACCACCGATCTCGAGCAAATAGACCACCTCAGACATGCCGCTGTCCACGCTCTCGAGCCTCATACCAGCGGCGTTCGCAAGCTCCAGCAATATGCTGCCCAGCTCGTCTGGATGGGTGCCAAATTTCCCGTCGACATCGGCCTGGAATTCATCTGGTACCCTGCTTTAGGCTACAACACTCAAAGGCCGCTATCTCAGGACAACATCCGCTTCGAACTTGCCAACGTTCTTTTCAACTTGGCCGCTATGTACTCCCAACTGGCCATGTCGTCCAACAGAAGCACTAGTGACGGCCTGAAAGCTGCCTGCAACTACTTCTGTCTATCTGCTGGTGTCATCTCCCATTTGAAAACGACTATAGTCCCAGATATGAGGACCTCTCCACCCGAGGACATGGATACCTCTACACTGGAGAGCTTGGAATACCTTATGCTGGCTCAAGCTCAAGAATGTTTCTGGCAAAAGGCTGTAAAAGATGGTCTCAAAGATGCTAGCATCGCAAAGCTCGCTGCTAAGGTCAGCGACTTCTACAACGATGCTGGTGACTGGGGCATCAAGAGCGACTCTGTCAGTAGTGAATGGATCCACCACATGAACGCCAAGCACCACCACTTCGCTGCTGCTGCTCAATATCGCGCCGCTTGTGACTGTCTTGAGAAGAGAAAATATGGCGAAGAGGTTGCTCGTCTGCGTGACAGTCTTAAGTGTGCCGATGAGGCTTTGCGTGAGACCAAATACGTCAACAAGGCTGTACAGGACGATGCAAACGGTCTCAGAGCAAGAGTCTCTGAAGACCTCAAAAGAGCTGAGAAAGACAACGATATGATCTACCTCCTGCCAGTGCCGCCCAAGTCTGAGCTCAAAATCCTTGATAGGGCAAGCATGGTCACTGCAAGAGTGCCCAAGGAAGTTTCCGAACCATTGACTATGCTCGGGGATCATGGAGAACTCGGCAAACCACTTTTCTCAAAACTTGTTCCATATTCGGTCCATGTCGCAGCTAGTATCTACGTCGACCGCAGAGATCGTCTGGTCAACAACACCATTGTCCAGCAGCTTGAGGAACTCACTCTCGGCATACACGAACTTTTGAAATCACTTGGTCTTCCCGGTTCTTTACAGGCTCTTGAGAAGCCCCTTGGTCTCCCTCCCAGTGTGGCTAGTCATGCTGAAGAGGTCCGGCAGATGAATGGTATCTACAGGCTCCACAGTGCCATGGCCGATACAGAGAAGCTGAAAAACAGTGACCGGGCAACATATCAAGAAGGTGTAGAGATGCTGCGATCAGAGTCTTCCGAGGATGATGCTGCGCGACGGAAATACGGAACTGACAGGTGGGCAAGACCGCCATCGAACGAGGCATCCCGCAAGCTATACGCTCAAGTCACAGAGATCGACGGTTATCTCAAACAAGCTGGCAATAGCGACAAGCTGGTTCAGAAGAAGCTAAAAGACAACGAGGCTTTGATTCGCCTGCTTGCTGGCACAGATCGCGATCTCGAGGATTATGTTCCGAGCAGTCGACGTGCAACCATGACTACCAAAGTCGAGAGGGAAGCAAACAATCTTCGCGCTGTGCTCAACGACATTGCCCGTTTCGAAAACCGTCGCAAGCGTAAAATCGAAAATGTTCGAGCAAAGGCAAAGGCCGATGATGTTAATGCCGACCTTCTGCGCGAAGCCGCGCGTCTGGAAAGGGAGTACCCTATGCAAACACTTGAGGCGATTCAGTTCGAAAGCTTCTTCGACCAAAGACTAGAGAAGTACACCGCCGACCGCAACGACATCAACGCAGAGAGAACAGAACAAGAAGACCTCCTCGAGCGAGTCCAGCAAGCCAATAGCTCATTCACTGTTGCAAGAAAAGGAGACACCTCAACAAAGGACCGTGAACAAGCTTTGCAAAATCTGGAAAATGCATATTTGGCGTATAAGGAAATCATCTCAAACCTTGAGACCGGCCGTAAATTTTACAACGACCTTGCCAGTATTGTTACACGCTTCCGCGACGATTGCCGGAACTTTGTCTACCAACGACGCGCGGAGTCTTCATCGCTCGAAAACGATTTGAGCACTTCTATGGCTCAGATGAGTTTGCAAAATGCCAATCAGACAAATTTGCGACAACAGAAGCAGCAGGAGACATTGATGAACCAACAGCAACCCCGTACAACTCCACGACCAGGACCACCACTGGCAGCGCCACTGCCTACCAGAGCCAATGTCGCCCCTCCCCCAGTAGCGGCGACCGCGTCGCCCACGCCGGGTATGTGGACGCCAGAGATGGGTATACGGTTCGGGGGTCCCAGCGCTGCGGCATCATCCGTAGTCAACAATGATGGAGCTCCTCAAAAGCCCACATCGCGCGACAACAGGTGGGATCCTAGCACGCAGAACATCCAATTCAGGTAGGCGCATGCTCTTTTTCGGTTGTTGTCCGGGACAGGTTAAGCGTGTGAAGTTAATTGGTGCTGCTTCCGGCAGAGGCCGGAGGAGGCTCATTTAAAGGGGGGCAAGTGTGTATGTTGTGCATGCGGACACATCCGATGAGCCCTGATGTGTTGAGACGAGGGCTTGCGGCCTGTATGCAGCAGCTTAAGTCCTAGCAAACCCTGCAACTAGACGAGTCATTGTTCTTGTACCCAGATCACAAGCGGCTGAAATACTGGCTGACCTGAACTGGAGCATGTTTCAATCACAAGACAAGCGGAATGTCTATGGCAGACTGACATCTCTTGACGGCTTGGTTCAAGTTGCTGCTAATCGCAATCTGGGAAATGCCTCCCTGTAGTATTGTTTCCGGTATCGAAGGGAAGCAACAGGGGACAGCGGTTCACACATTGTACACCGCATCAAGTCTCAGCGCTCTATCCCCGGAGCTAGTTACCAGTTACCAGTTACCAGAAAAGTCGGAGTGACGTTTACCGAGGCATTGGGTCATGGCTTCGTCTAGTCTTGCCTTTGAACGGCGCCTGCTCCGAATTCCCTACAATACATCAACGGCAGCCTCGTTCCCATCCATTTGCTTTCAGAATATTCGGCCGATTTTCGAAGGTGGCTTCAAGTCTCTTTGCCACCTGCTGTTGATATCAAGGTCCACATCCGCGTGCATGATAAACTCAGTATTGCGGATGCCCACTGCTAGCCAACTTGCCACGAGAAATGCAGGTGCTTTTCACGCTAGAATGAGGCTTCACTCTGGCGGCGCAAAGCTTTGAGATGGTCAGCGTCCTGCCAAGAACCAACGTCGAAGAAAGCCAGAGAAAGCCCAATCATCCTGACTCATGATGAACGCAAGGTACGATGTACACACGCAGAGAGCATTGCGGTACATTTGCCATGAGCAGATCTGTATGTCGTGATGAACCAGGTGGTTCAGGGGTTCCCAGACATAGATGGTATCTGGGTTGTACATCGAATTGCCCTTCTCCGTGCAATGCTATATCTTTCTCCGCAGCCCCGTATAGAATGAAGTAAAGACGCATCACAAGGCAACCCCTGTTCTGATACACAGAAAAGTGAAATTGTGATACGTACGTACTGACATCCATTGCTTTTGGAAGAGCCCAAGGCTCAAGCCACAGTGGTGGAGGCATGGTCACCGACTCGTAGACATCGCGATTTGTGACTGCTTGGCTCATTCGAACCACAGCTCTTTCGAAGTATTTCGCTTGCCGAAACTAGACTCTCTTCTACCGGCCAACGCCCCACAAAGTATCCATAGACTTCTGGTTTGACACGAACTGAAGCCGATACGTGGTTTACTAATCATGTATACGACGACCTGGCGAAGACCCCAGCAGGGTGCCGAGTCCCTGCACAAGTAGCAAAGAATACCGATGATAGTGACTGGCCACTGGATGACAGTGTCGCAGCAGAGACAAGACAACGGAGACAAGGACAATCGCCAGACCGAGGCCCTGTCTCCCCCAGGCTCACAATCCAAACTCGAACTCAAACAAGCCTTGTATGCACGGATCAGTGGCTGAACGGCGGCGGCGCGCCGACACCCGAGCGCAAATCACACCCAATTTTTGCGTCACCACCATAGGATTTCGCTGTTGCGTCTCCGATGCCTAGGCAATTGGAACGACCTTCGATATCGTACGGAGTCGCAAGCGGACTTAAGATGGAAGAGTCGGCGGATCAGCAGTACGCCAAGTGGACAATCTTTCGTCTCTGATTCTCTAGAATTCACAAATCGGCAACCTCGGCGCCCACCAGCCACTAACACCACACAACCTTACCCTGCGTCCCCAACTTTTCGCTCGCAATTCGAGTCCAAGGTTGGATTATGCCAAGCTAAGTCCATCAATTGTGTTTGCGCCCGGACTCTTTTGTCTGGTTCTAACTGCTGCTATGTGCCAAGGGGAGAGCGTTACGTGCCCTTCGAGACTTGTCCCATCTTTTGTGTCCATATTTGTCACCGGCGATCGTGCGCTTTGGTAGTAGTATCTCGCATGAGTGATGTGCAATTCTTACTCGGTCGAGGCTATCCACTCCTGTTTATCCGTACGCCATGAACTAAATCATGGCCAAGCCTTGACATGGACCTACCCTTATTCCCACAATCTTAGCATCCGTTCGTTCTTATTCAGCATCGTTCAAAGGTTGTCCGGAGTCAGGTCTAACTCCATAAACTCACCGTCGCGTCCTTCTTTTTGTCAATTTACCTTTTCTGATTACTTTGCCTTTATTCTTGTAACTTTCCACTTCCAAGCCTGCTCGTCTTCCTTTCCTTCAGTCCAATTGTTCTTCCTTTTGTAGTTCTACGTCTCAAGCGTGTTTCCCACTTCCACCGATTCATACCATTGACCTGTTATGCCCCCGAGAACAATCCTCCCCAAAGATGAACAAGGTTCAAGCGACGGATTAGCCAGCATGGCACCTCCAAAGTCGGCGAAGCGGAAAGCCGTTTCTTCTGCCTGCATTCCTTGTCGCAAACGAAAGAGCAAGGTCAGTCGCATCGCATCATATTTCAGTATTCAAAGCTCTTACTGATTCAATTGTTTTGCAGTGTGATGGAGGGCTTCCCTCATGTTCCACCTGTATGGCGGTCTACCGAACAGACTGCAGCTACGACCAAGACACGGACCACCGACGCAAAGGTGCACTTCGAAAAGATATAGCATCACTACAAAACAAAAATACCGCGCTCGATGTCGTCATCAATTCCTTGTGTGCTCTTCCAGAGCACGAGGCCACTGCATTATTTCACAGTCTTCGTCGGGGCGAAAGACTCGACTCCCTAGCCGAAGCCATCAATGCTGGAGATACCGAAAAGCTGCGAACGTTGGATACCGACCTCTCTGGGCCAAGCGGACCTCCAGGAGCCACATTTCATACGCAAGCTCCTTCAACACGAAACGAATCGTCACGCAGTCCGACAGACGCAAAATGGAACGATGCAGGGAACCAGAGCGCAGTGACAGAAGGGTCATCGTCTTGGTTCCGCGTACCTCAAGACGCCGAGTTTGTGGACCACCTACTCAACCTTTACTTTTCCTGGAGTCATCCATTCTTTTGCTTCTTCTCCAAAGATCACTTCCTGCGGGACATGTCTCGAGGTTCGACCAAGTACTGTAGCGCTATGCTGGTGAATGCGGTGTGCTCGGTTGCTTGCCAATACTCAGACCGACCTGCAGCACGCGACCGAGCAGGAGACTACTTCTTTAGCGAGGCACAAAGACTATCTGAGAACATTGGCGCGGCAGAATTGACGTCTGTCCAAGCTCTGGCGGTGATGGCTGTCAGAGAGGGTTCTGCAGGCCGTGATCACATCAGCTATCGCATGATTGGAAGATCTGTACGTCTTGCTATGGAAATGGGCCTCCATCTGGCAGAAACTACGGCAGGGGAGCCAAACTTGCGGTCCAGCGAGATGGACATTCGAAAGTTGACATTCTGGGGCGTCTTCAACTGTGAGATGATCTGCTGTCTGGCATTGGGCAGGCCATCTTCAATACCCAAGAATGCTATTGAGATTGATAAGCGTAGGTCATGGACATCTATTGATCTTGGATGACTGCTAACACAATTTGCAGCTATGAACTCGGAAAAGTTGGATGCACTTTTCTGGCAACCGTACGAAGACGCCAACTTGCCAGTCAGTCCGAGCGCTGTGCAGCCTATGAAATGCCTCCTCTTCCACAGCATTCAGAGCAAGCTCTCCGAGATGATCAATGACATCAACCTCAACCTTTACGCACCCAGAGAAAGATTCACACCGCGCCGACTGGCGTCAGCATATCATCAGTACCAAATGTGGTACAGCGAGCTGCCTGAGATGTTCCAGCTTCAAAATACTGCAATGCCGCACGTAATCGTGCTTCACATGTACTATCATCAATGCGTCTTGCAGTGAGTATTCTCTTGGGAAAGAACACGGAATTTTGCTGACCACTTTCAGTCTTTTCCGACCTTTCATGAAGCTCGACCTTTCAGACATTGGACTCTATCCGCGGGAGCTGGCGACCTATTGCGCCACAGAAATCTCAAAACTCATGAATGCGCTCCGCGGAATGTATGGGCTGAGAAGAACGTCTTTGGCCGTTAGCCCCATCCTTCTGTCGGCCAGCACAGTCCATCTCATGAACCTTCCCTCCCAAGGTGCAGCAGTGCAGCTCACCCAAGCAATGCGTAAGTTTGCCCCTGAGTTCATTCCCCGACGGGATGCTGACCCCACCCCAGAGGACTTAGAAACGATGTCTGTGAACCACCGTTATGCCTCGTGCTGCTTGGAGATAATCAATCGACTGGCAAACCAGTGGGGTATCAGATTACCTGAGGCCACTGCCAACTTAGCACCCTTCCGATCTCCAGAACCTGGTCAAGCTATGCCCAACATGTCTCTGTTCTTCACCCAAGCAACACTCAGCAATGAGTCTTTGGAATCACTTGTCGCCCCTCCCACCCAAAATCTTAGACACGACTCTGGTAGCATGTTCGAACCATCCTTTGCTCCGCATAACATGCCAATCCTCCCGACAGGCAGTCAATCATCCTTGGGAGCAACATCACAACACAGCATGCATTCTACCCCAATGAACACCACCCCGGTCCAGGCACAATCGGCCATGTGGCCATCATTCCCACCTCAGCAAATGTCAACACCAATGCAGATACAGTTACCGCCAACAGACTTCCCCATGCTGAACGTCGACTCTTCAGCCTCGTTTGGATACCAGAACTACCAGCAACCCCGATGACTACCTTGGGTGTTCGCTTGAGATGAAAGCAGGGCACCCACCAACAACATTGAAGGACAACAGAACGAGGACTTTCGGTTCGGCCAACTTTAGTACTGGTCCGTATTGCAAAACGCAGGCTGTTGCACAATGAGGGAGGCAGAGTGTCTTTGAAGCTCATTGCAATGGCTCAGGAAACGATTAGATGCGATCCATGCTATACCCATTTCTTGTACATACAACAACTTTTTAATTATACCAACTACATAGACGACGACCCGTCACGAAAACTCAAAAGCATTTACTCTTGATCAATCTATCTCTTGTTCAATATGGTGCATTGCTGATAATCTGATGATACCGGTCACATCCAATTGCATCGACTTCGGAGCCAGTTGCTCCTTGAACTGATTTCTCATCAAGCAGCACAAGACATCGCTTAGAGACTTTGCATCCATCACCTTGCCACTGTATGTCACTGCTGTCACGAGGCGCTTAGATCCATCGATACAGAAGGATCGACATAGTATGCCGTTCCACCCACCGTATGCCGTACAAGGAAGGCGTAGAAACAACATCTTGGCCGTTCGAACAAGGTTTCAGAGCCACAAAAGATCTACAAGGCAGAGGCTCGGATGATGGTCATCCGGGTTCGCCTTACCCGAGAGCCCTGCCAAGGAGATGTGGCCAAGAAGAACCACTCTCATGACTCGGGTCTTCGGGTCTCTAGCTGTGGCAAAGGCAGACGCAAGCAGCGGTAACTCCGACCAAGTCACCGAGCTGATAGGATCAACGAGAAGCTCGGGACTGAATGCCGAGCAAAAGGCTGGGCATTTGTTTGATGCAGATATGCAAGTGTTTCAGCTGAGGGCAAGGATTGGCGATGGTTAACAAGACCGAGCATGGCATTCTGGATTGCCATGATATTTTTTCATTCTAGCGGTGTTCAACAAGATGCAACCTGACTCTTGCCAGTCTCCCAGACCTGCTGAGAGTATCTTGGAAACGATCGTGTTGGAACGAATTCCTTGAATCTGGCGGTCTTTCGCGGTTAGAGCGGAGCGCGAATGATGACGACACTGGGGGAGCTCTCGCGAGCTTCTGCGACTTTGCATCTGACGCGACGAGATCGTCCAAGGTCGACCACTTCCTCCATCCGTACACAAACAACAGACTGCCGGTATCAGCAATGGTTCTCGTTCCGGGTCTGCTTCCGCCTTCGCGCGAGAATTGGGTTATCATCAACAACCTCTGGCAGTTCTTTCCCGTCGTAACCGGAATCCAATGGCTCGTTGACTACTACCCTCAAGGCAAGACATCCGTCGAGTCGCGCTTCAATCTCCCTGGAAAATGGGCCTGGGCTATCATGGAAGCTCCGGGCTTCATCACCCTGCTCTACAACATGAATGCGCTGCCTGCTGAGCTGGGTCTGGGCCCGCTGCCTTGGGCCAACTGGACCATGGCTGGCCTCTACGTGCGACCCTCCTCCGTCCCGCTTTCTTCGTACCTTTCAGCTAACATGATCATTCCAGACTATCCACTACGTCTACCGCGCCATCCTCTCGCCGCTCTGGCTCAACCCGAGCATGTCTCCCATCCACCCTCTAGTCTTCGTCTCAGCTCTAGCCTTCAACCTCGTCAACTCGCTCTGTCTCTCCGGCTGGCTCGCCGGCTACGGCCCCACCACCGTCTACGACTGGGCCGGCCGCCTCTACTGGATCGAAGCCGGCCTCGTCATCTGGGGCTGGGCTCTGCTCGGCAACATCTTCCACGACGACGACCTCCGTGAGATCCGTCGCTCTGCTCTGCGTCGCCAGAGAGAACAGGCTAAGAAAGACAACAAGCCCATCGAGGGTGTCGAGAAGCTTTACATGATGCCCAAGAATGGACTTTTCCATTATGTGCTTTTCCCTCATTATCTTTGTGAGTGGTTTGAGTGGGCGGGCTTCTGGATGATTGGGGGTTTGGGATGTACTCCGGCCAGAGCTTTTCTCTTTAATGAGATTAGCACTATGTTGCCTCGTGCGCTGCAAGGAAGACGTTGGTATATCCAGAAGTTTGGCAAGGATAGGGTTGGCAACCGTAAGGCTGTCATTCCTGGTCTGATCTGAGTTGCTGGTGTGCGATCACGATTGATGATTTGACTCAAGGTCTTGATTGACCCACGGCTGCTAGGTCTGTTTGAGGAGTCTGGTAATCAAGCACGTAATCTTTGAATAGTACTAATAATCATCATGCTTTGCTATTTCTCGGTCATACACGATATCTTTAGCCATCGCGATGCAACCCTTACGCTGGGATCGCTCTCAGGTATGAACGCTGTAGATGTTGAACAAACATAAACACGCACAGTGAAATGAGCTTCAACAATTGGGGTTGTGGTCTAGTGGTATGACATCTTCTTAGCATTGCTTACTTGTAAGCGATTCTGAGTTGGAGAAGGTTCTGGGTTCGATTCCCAGCTACTCCACTTTTTGTTGGTTGTCTTGCTATCCTGTGTTCTGTGTTCTGAGGTTCAGTGATGTGATGTTTTTTTTTTTTTTAGTTACGGTGATGCACAGGGTGGAAGAATTGGCGGTGGTTTTACTGAGCTGGATTCGATTGAGGGAGAAGCAATGTTGGTGAACCAATTAGTGACAGTCTTTTGCATCTTTTCAAAGCATTTGATTATCCTGTTCACGACTGCCTGGTACACCCTGCTAAAACATGTCATACAATCGTTTCGAAGTACTTGTATCAATATCTGACAATTGAGACAGTTGGTTCAATCAACCAAGCTTGTCTTCGCAGGCTTCACCCACATCCCCCAAAGCAGCCATGCAAAAACCTTCGGCCGCAATCCTCTCACACACCCAAACAGCAAAAAATGGAATCAATCATTCTCCGAAGAAGTTCTGTTGCGACAACAAAAGGGATGAATATAGGTAGAAGATCAAAACATTGATGCCGCTTCTGTGGATCGAACACAGTGCCTCCAGAATACTCTTGTCGGTGAACAAGAACGGACAGAAGTTGACTTCAGTCTGGCGCTCTCCCAGATGAGCTAAAGCGGCTTGTTAGAGTCAATCCGTGCTTGGCATAATTATATCCCTCATCTCTGGCAGTAAGCGCTCCACGGCTTGACAGCGGTCTTCCGGCTTACCTTTACTGGGTGGTAATGGTATTGCAAAGGAGTAGCAAATGTATCACTATGTGCTTAGGGTTCTGTTTGCAAGCAGACATCATTCCGAACCGTAAGCAGGTTTACCCACGCTTGGTCAAAACAGCTTGGTAGCGATCATGTAAGTCTTACCAGGACATGCTGGTTTTACAAAAATCGTAAATGATTATGGTCAATGAGGAGTCAACACGATTGTCTTTTGACACAATGATGATCGCGGCCATTCAAATAGGCACCGAAATACTTCCTGGTATGGTCAGATGTCATCAAAGATGCATGTTGCAGCTGTAATTCGAGATTGTTTGTCGAAAAGAGATGCTGTTGGTACCACCCTGTCGACATAAATTGTCACAAGACAGAGCAAAATGCAAATTGAGATGAAAATTGGATACAAGAGACTGTCAAAGAGCTCAGAAAAAGAAGCTCTGCCAGACATGTGCACCCTATGGAGACCTTCAAGTGTATCGACTTCTGTCGTATGCCAAAGGGAGCTCCTGAGCTTTGATTAGGCATATAATGGCAGCCGGTTAAGCAAAAAGAATGCTAATGATTGCTAAGCAGTGAGAGATCAGTCGAGTATCTAGGGTTTCGATATGCGCAGACATCGGCATCAACTTTGTTGACCTCCTATTCCTAGACATCCTTTGTCGATGAGAGAATAGAGGGAGTTGTTTAGAACCTCCTCGAGCAGGCAGATTATAAGCATAGAGCGTGATTTGTGAGCCGAAGATGTGATGTAGGACAGAAAGACATGTGCGTGAAACATCGAGTTGAAAAGGAAAAGTACAACCACAGTTCGCCCCTTGCCGAAAGGATTCATTGAGATACAGGGGAAAAATTGAAACCTGAAGATCGAAGAGCATCAGAATCGAAGAAAAAAAGAAAACACAAAACAAATCCAGTCAGGACTTTAAACAGAAGGGATACACTGCGTGGAGAATCTACTACGATATACCACTCTTCCTACACCATACTCTTCGAATCTTCAGTCTTCCCCGAGTTCAACTTTTCTAAATCATACAATTCATAACCTTCATCCTCTTCATCTTCATCCTCTTCCTCTTCCTCATCAATTGGAAGAGCGTAAATGGGAAATCTGATTTCTGGAGCTGACTTGGGCACGACTTCTTCATCTATCAACACTTCAACAGCAGATACAGTGCGCGGATTTAGTCTTGACTCTATGACAGCCAATCTATCCATTAGTTCCTCAAAGCCAGGAGATGCGAAGTCGGCAGAGTCGTGTTGTGAGCGAGCGAGACTTGTGGAGCGGCGGAGAGAGGAAGACTGGATACTGGGTGAGCGTAGACTTCTGCTTGAGTGACGGTCTAGAGACTTTGCGTCTGAGCGTCTGCCTCTGCTTGAATGACGTTCTAAAGATTTCGCATCTGTTTTTTCGGGCGTGGTAGTGGGTACAAGAGGTGTTGAGGGATATTGGCTTGGTGAGATGGCTTCAGAGGTTTGAGTTGGTAGTCTTTCGATCTTGACGGAGGAACTATTGCTTCGTCGAGAAGTAAAGCTCACACGTTCGCCTTGGAGTCTGATTGCCGGAGTGAAGACCTCGGGTTGCTCGGCTACTGGCGACATAGGCTGAATATCGAGTTTAGGACCCAAAGCCGTGACTGTCATTTTACGCTCAGTAGGTCCTGAAGGTGTTTGTTCCACTACTGAGCCTTGGGTTTGGGCGCCTACTGCTGTGATGGTCATGCGTCGTCCCTGATCGGCTAGAGTATCATGCTGTTCTTCCATTCTCAGCACTACATCTACTGCTTTTTCGTCTTCAACGATTTTCGGGTGGCGGCGGGCAAAGTATTTTGCGTATTTGTAGAGAGACCAGTAGCAGCTGCCTACATTGACCAAAGTGAGCACGACTTTGTAAGGCATGTAGTAGAGATAGAGACATGTAGATCCCACTCTTTCCTTCTTCAGCCTCAGATGCAACTCGTTGAAAATGACGACGTTGAGGAAGTACAGCACAAACGTGCCTGCGAACAAGTATCCGAAGAAGGCAGGACGTACGATGATCGAAATGGGAAGGACAAATGGCGACAAGAGGTACAACAAAGTCTCATAGACTTCTTGGAACACAAACAGCTTCGCTCCTAACTCCCAGAAGCCGAGTTTCCAGGAACCTAGAATATAAGCCATGTTGTAGTATAGTCCATTGACGAAGAAGAAATTCCAGCGATGAAATCGTTGTTTAAATATCGTCATTTCGCCAAAGCCTCCTCGTGCACCTCCAGAACTGAAGAAGACCGCACTTGGTGTTTCCGTCTCGATAAAGACAGAAGTACACATTGTGATCCTGGAGCCGAGTTGTCGAGCCACATGACCGAAGAACCAGTCCTCAGAGACGCTAAAACCAGGGTGTTTGTAGAATGTTTGTATCAGGAAGTCCCGGTCCCATAAGGAGATAGCTCCATGAGGAAAAGTTGCACTACCGACATATCCAGCTAGGGCTCGCTGAATGCCACTGATCTTGTATTCCAGATCCTGCGCTTGTTGACATAAAGTACCTCGCGATGACTCTGGTCCCACAGATTTGATTGTGTATCCTATACATTTAATCGTTGGCGTCATCCTGTCGCTGACGATGGGAAAATTTGGCGGAAGAGCACAATCGTCGTCAATGAGCAGGACATTCTTGAAGCCTCGAGCGGCGTAGCATCCAACAAATTGAGCTACGATCTTCGAGCCGACTGGCGACCAGACATGGTTGACTCCATACGGGCGGCACACAACTTCGGTATCGTCGAGGGGTGTTGGGCTGTTTCCGTTGGCGATAACAAAGATGTGTGAAGGTGGAAATATTTTCAAGGCTGCTTCTAGAGTAGGACCAATAATCTTGGCGCTCTTGTAGCAGGGTATCATTAGTGCTGTGTTGTGAACGCCCGGTGTTCGAGTTGGATCGATATTGTCAAGATCAACAGGCATAGGCGGGTCCTTCTCGAAGAAGACAAGGAGAGGAGTATAAGCGTAGATAAAAGCGATGCCGATTGTAACAGCCCTGCATTTATCAGTAAAGTGAGACCTTGTCATATACCCACAACATACCAGGTACCGGCGACCGTGAATTTTCTGTCGAAGACCCAATACAACCAGTACACGGTGCCTTTCCAAAGCGGTAGTCCTATCAGAACAAAGTAGACAAAGGCGACAAGTATGAGGTAGAAGGTGTATTCAAAGAGTCGCATGGCCCATTTGCTCCTTTGTAACTCAACACCTCGCTTCTTTGCCTTCTCGTAAACGTCGTGAATACTACTCCTCCGTATTGCCTGTTTCACATTCTCAACAGTGTCGAGCACAACAGAAGCAGAGCGCTGTACGATGCTCCCTTTACGAGACACATCTGCTGTAGATCGTCGAGGTCTTTGTGTGCTAACTCGGATCTCGTCTATATCATGCGAATAGGTTCTGTCTTGTAGTCGTAACGGATTTGGATGGGTGGGGCTTGGTTCGTCCAGGCGGACTTTCCTTGAGACGCTTCTATCTGAAGAGGTGCGTCGTTGTAGTCGAGGACCCTGTGCTCCAATGGAGTAGTTGCCAAAGTAGTCATTTGTGGTCGCTGGACTATGGTCTGCCGTCACTCTTCCTTCTGTCACAGTGGACAGGGCATGTTGTCCTCGATCTGTTCGGCGTGGGCTCGGCCCTCGGTTTCTCAAGTTCGATTCAAAGTTCGGTTCAAGGCTGGTCTTGCGAAAATCAAGTTCGGGCCTAGGCGCTGGAGTGCGTGCCAACTCGGCGATAGAGATACTGGCTGAGCGGGCGAGTATGCGATTTGTTTCTTCATGTAATTTCTGTGCTACTTGGCGTACATCGAAGTCGTTGCTTGTGCCCTGGTTTTCCACGCTCTGGAATTGATTTATGTGCGATTCGTAAGGGCCGGAGTTGAGCGCGTTCAACAAAGTCGATGGTACGATAACGTCGGTAGCAGGGTTGATCGAGGATGCCCTATCATCTCGACCTCCATCTGTACTTCTAACTCGTTGGTCTATAAAGGTGGACGTATTGGATGAACGCCGCACCATTTCCGAATGAAGTGTCGCTTGAGAAGATTGAAAAGTACAAACGAGTAGTGGATCAGCCTTGAGGGTAGAACGAACATATGCTCAACATCTCTCTTCGCTTCCTGGCCCACAGGCTGAGGATACCACGAGTACCGTTTCCAGCCATGATGCAAGGCGTCCAACTCGATAAGAAGAGCATAGACGGGATCATGTGCAAGTGGCCATAGTGAACCAAAAGACTCGACTTTTGCTCGACCATCTTCGCATGATTACCATCAAAGGCGCATATCGAGATGACATATCGGAATTCTGATTGGCACAAGTCGATGGCTTGCAGGCTACACCTCCAGATTTGGTCAATTAAGGTTGATCTGGTTGCAAGGATGAGAGTGGGTACAGGAAAGAGCTCAGTGTAGGGCTTCGACCACTTTGGTAAGCCAAGCACATAGATCTGACCCGGCTGGATGGTCGAGATACTCAGGGACCTGTACTTGGTACATGTCAAGACCCGAGAGAGCCACCGAGCGATCAAGATCACCCCAAGCTAATTATCGAGAGGCTGAATTTGGTGGTCGACCCGTGACGATATATCGGTGGGTCTGATGCATGAACGACATACTGACGTTCTGAGATTCGCAAAAGGGAACTGAGCTGGCAGAAGTGCAATTGGTGCATAGTCCAAATGAGGATTAGAACGCGATCAAAGACGGCATGACATGACGTTCCCGTGGTTGAAAGTGCGGCTTCAAGATTGGCGCACGTCGCTGCTTGTCCGAAAACTCAACGAATCGATCTCGTTAATTGTCAAGCATGCGATGCATGGCTTTGAGAGAGCAGAGAATGACCTTGGTTCTTGAAACATACGATGCGTTATGCCGAATGAAAAGAGCCCATGTCATGGACGCATAAAATCAGAGGTCTTCATCAACGCGTCGGCAACGCGAAATCTGGCAGCAGCGCACGAGTCAAATTGCCAGCGGCAGCCACTACTTCCTCATCTTCAACCCTTTGGCTACCATATTTGATCTTATACCGGATCATCCGAGACTATGTCTCGGCTATTGTTTTGACCTTCGGTCTAGGATATACTGTGATTCAAGGATCTGTCTGATCAAACAACCACCATACGCTCTGAATTGAGTCCCGAAACGAAAGAGATTCATGACCACTAGATGTGCACGAACTGTTGATACCCTGCGAGTGCTGTCAAGGCCGACGCAAGGCACACTCTTCTGTCAATACTTCATCAATATCACAAAAGAAGAGCGCAACAAGAAGCAAAGAAAGCAGCGCAATGGCAATGTGAGCTTATGCACGCTACCAGACGTGTGTACCTGCAATATAAAGTCCATGGGCACAATTACAATGCTTATGAAAACCGATCTCCAACAGCATTGAACCAAGAGATCATCTTCAGTAATGTCGCAGGAGTTTTGTCGAGAGAGACGATCGCTCTCGAGCACAACATCGCAGGCTTACTTCAGACACAGCTAGAATAGTTGTTCTTCGGATGGCAGAGGTCAAGTGCAACAGTATGACCTTCTCTCGAGTGGCTCTTCCTTTGCCCTCCTTACTCACAGAAGAGCATGGCTCCCACGACATTGCCTGTCAGTTCAGTCTCGATAGGACTTCTGTTTCTTTTTCATGAAAATGCTCGAAGGCGCATTTGCGATGCCCCATCGTTGTTGGAAGACATTATATCCTAGAGTTCATTCCTTTGTAAGTGATTTTAGAATTGGTGACTTGCCCTTATCAATTTGTGCTCCTTCACACGTAGAATAATGCAATGCTATATTCTTTGTTCCCGGCCGCGCGAAAAGATTATTGCAGACATAATTTGTATCGTAGATCTCGTTACTTGCTTGGTATCTGAGAAAAATAAACAGAAAAAGTAGCTGACAAAAGCACATCGCTCCTACACTTGCGCCTCGCTTCAGGATAAAGGATTCAAAAAGTCCAGCTTTCTCATCCTTTCCGTGATAGATATTCAAATGAAGAAGATTGTAAAACCTCGCCACGAATTTGCAAACACCTCGTTGTTGCCGTGAAATGCAGAAGATCAACTCATGAAAGCGTCGCCATCATCATGGCAATCTTTCTAGCCTGTCGTCTCTCCTTATCTGCCGCTGTAAATGACGAAGAATTAGCCGAGTGTTACAAGTCGAGTTTGCGGTCCACGCAGGAAAGGACAAAAAGGGACACACCGATCACCGCGCAGACCTGACAAGCGCCATCCTACCTTTCCGATCCTTTTCCACACGGATGACCTCTCTCTTGGGGCTCTTGTCCCGCTCGACATATTCCACGATTTCTCGATCCGGGCGACGTTCTCTGTACTCGACCATCTCGTAGCCGGTCTGTTGTGGTTGGGCTATGACGATCTGACCGTGGTGGTGCTGTTGGGCTTCGCGTTCGAGACGGAGAGCGCGAGCTTCGGCTTCCAAGGCGCGAACTTCGGCATGCACATCACGACTGTGTTCGCGGCGGCGTTCGGGAAGCACGATGGTCATGGGTTGTGGTTGAGGCGGAGCAGGTCGAGCGGGCTCCTGGATGTAGATGGGAGCAGGGGGTGGAGGGGGCGCTTGCTCTCTGATGTAGATCGGAGCCGGGGGAGGGGCTGGAGGAGGGTCGCGGATATAGATAGTTTGTGGTTGAGGAGGCGGAGGAGCAGGCGATGGTTGGCGGACTGTACGAGCAGGAGAGCTGCGGCGAGTACGAGCAGAGCGGGCTGGGGAGGGAGCGCGAACGCTGGGAGGGTTAATCCACTCGGTCTTGAGGTGCTCGAAATGCTCTTCAGCTGGCGGGTCGTCGTAGCGGTACGTCTTGGTTTCTGGTCTTGTCAGTGATTGTGAGGCGTGCTAGTCAAGACATTGGACGTACTCGGCTCAACCTTGTACTGTTCGCTGATGCGAATCACTTCGTCAATATGCTCTTTGTCGAGAGCTCGCTGGACGATGATGAAGTCGTCCTGTTCCTTGTCAGCTCAGACCAGATGATGGAGTTCGACAGAGCCTTACCTCCTCCTCGAACGGATAGCCCAGGTTGATGATAGCCTCCTTGCGTACCAGCCTCTTTGGCATGCGGGTCTTTCCTTTCTTGCCAATCTTTGGCGGACTAGGGCTACTGCGACGACTGACTTCGGTGAAACTGCTCTCGCTGCTACTGCTACTGCTGGAGCTGCGATGTGATCGTCCGCTACGCTTGGTCGTCGAGCTACGAGCATCACTTCTTGCCCTTTCACGGTTTCCACGCCTACGGTGGACGCTCTTCTCGCGCATGATTTCGACATCACGGTACGAGTCTTGAGGAGAGTAATCTCTGTATCTCACGTCATCGTAGTCTTCCTCATACCAGCGGCCAGGGGGTCCGCGTGATGGTGAGCGACGTCGCGGAAGAGGAATGGGGACGCCAGGAGGGATGCGGTACTCGTCTTGCTCATATCGGCGTAGAGGCCGACGGTCGAAGGTGTCAAGACTGCTCTGTCTCCTTTGAAGACCTGGTCTGGGGACATTTCTGGTCTCGCGGAATTCAAATTCGCGGTCGACAATTGACTTTCTTCTGTAGGGAGCGATCTGGAGGTCGGCAAGTTCGCGAGGGTCTCTGTCGCCAAAGAGCTCACGGTCTGAACGACGTGGTCTAGCAGCAGGGCCATAGTAGTCTTCGGCGAATGCGTCTCTCTCACGTCGTGGAGGTGGGCCTCTGTCGATTCTGTCTTCTATACGGATATCTTGGCGACCATTACGGTCATGCTCGCTGAAGCGGAAAGTCTCGCGTTCTTCGACGGGGGCAGGAGGTCTACGTGAGTAGCGTTCGAAGCGGTCGCGGTCCCATCGTTGGGCTTGAGGTTCCTCTCCGTAGGCAAGGTCGTTGGCAGAATGGCGACCGTACTGCGAGCGGGACATGACGAACGATGTCTTTGACCCTGACGGGTTGTTTGGTAGAAACGGTTGTGACTTTGCTGGTACTGCGGGGTGGCTGGGGTGTAAGCTTCACAAGTAGAGAAGCCTGACGAATGCTGTGACACGCCTTTTCTTTGAGGTCAATATTCTTGTTTCTTGTTTCTGAAGTTGGACTTTTCCTCAAGACAGGGCTTGCAGAAGAGAAAAAAAGGCAGTCCCCTTGAATCAAGAAAGTACGCGACGAGGAAGATGCGGTCCAAGCTGCACGTCGGCGCCCAAAAACCAAGGCGCAGTCGCCGAACGTCATTCAGCCCAAGGACGCCCAATGGTTGATCCCGTCCAACCTCCTTGTCGTCGAACTTGATCCAATCGCTCTCATGCCTTACTGCGACTCTTTGCCTTGTTTCCTGGTCTGCGGATCTCGCCTCCTCTTTCTTTCTTCATGACTTGCACACTTCCGCGTCGCACATCCTGTCTGGGCTTGTCTTACGACACCTCCATGCTGAGTGCGAGCTTGTCTTACCAATTCTCCCGAGGTCCTCATTAAGCTTGGAGTTGTTTGAATATAAGCTGTGAGATTAAGCTTACCAGCACGTACGGCCACAGTCAGCTGAAAACTGGGCATCCCGTCCGCTCTGCCATACATAAGCAGTTGAACGGCAGATTAGTACTATGGTGGGTGACCACATGGGAATCCCTGCTGCTGTACGTTTTGCCCTCTTGAGGAGATTTATCTTTTTGCTCTGGTATATGTCTGGACAATCCGAGAGGGAGGCATCTCTAGCAACATGTTGACCGCGAATTTAGCCGCAAAACCACCCGCTCTTCCCTGGCTATATCTTCCCCGCACACGCATTCATTTCCTCCTGCCACCTTTCGCTCCGTGCCTCGTCAATTGAGGCCATCTCAGCATCATGCAGTAGGGCAGTGTCCTCTGCCTGCGGGGTTGACGGCTTAATGGTAGGTCGGGAAGATCAAACGCTGTACTATAAGTTCAAATCAAAGGTATTCAAGGCCAAGTAGTCTCATTCTCATCTCATCTCTGCCTCCTTGTCGAGTAAACTGCGACTGCTGTTGCGGCCATGCTCTCAAAATCTCCTTTGTGCCTGACGGCATTGCTGCCTGCTCTGGTCAGTTGCCAGACTCCTGTAGAAACCAACGCCCTTGGCACACCCAATCTCGTTCACAACGGAAGCTTTACCGAGGGTACTCCTGGGTGGACAGTCAAACCACCTGGCTATGTTCGCAATGGCATGCTCTGCGTCGTTGTACCCGCAAACACTGCCCCGAACGCGAGCTATATCCAGACCACTCAGAACTTCACTCAGATCAAGAACGATATCTATTACTTGAATTTCACCGCCTCAGCTACCCATGCCACGAACCTTTGGATCGAGACGAATGGCTACGATCCTTCTGCTGGCGGTGCTCCAGTCGATCCAAATCTTAACACAACTCAAGTACCCTTGACAATGTCTGCGGAACCTTTCTCGCTCGTCTTTTCACCAGCCAATCAAGAGAACAACTCTACATTGACATTCTTCCTTGGAGGAAGCAATTTCACAAACGAAATTTGTCTCGGTGACGTTTCCTTGCACCGCATTAACCGCCTGCCATACTTCCAAGACACTGGTAGATCGATCAAGATCAATCAACATGGCTATCTACCTAACGGCCCAAAACTTGCTGCAGTTGCTTCAAGCAGCAATGCGTCTTTAACTTGGCATCTTCAGGACAACAATGGTGCATCAGTCGCATCTGGACAGACTACTCCGTTCGGCAATGACACAGCATCTGGTCTGAATGTCCACACTATCAACTTCACCAACTATACTAAGCAAGGCACTGGCTTCACTCTGAAGGTTGCAGGTGATACGAGCTATCCATTTACCATCTCAAGCCAATTGTACACGACCCTTCGTCAGGACTCTATGCAATTCTTCTACCAACAACGTAGTGGTATTGCAATTGATGCCGAGCTCGTAGGCTCACAGTATGCTCGACCAGCTGGCCATATCAATGTCTTTCCCAACCAGGGTGACGTCGTGACACCTTGCCAGTATGAATGGGAATCGAACGTTACATACCTTGAACCATGGACATGCAACTACACACTTGACGTTTCGCAAGGATGGTATGATGCTGGTGATCAAGGCAAATATGTTGTCAACGGAGGAATCTCAACTGCTCAAATTCTGATGGCATATGAGCGTTCGTTGCATGCAGCAAACAGCTCCTCCAAACCACTTGGTGATGGATCACTGAGGATACCAGAACGCTCGAACGGCTACCCAGACTTTCTCGATGAAGCCCGCTGGGAAATGGAGTTCATGCTGAAGATGCAGGTTCCTCCCAACTCTCCACCACAATTGTTCAATGGCTCATACATCGGTGAGTAACAATTCATGAGATTTTTTTGGATTGTTATTGACGAGCGGCAGACATGTCAGGACTTGTCCACCACAAGATGCATGACAACCAGTGGACACAACTGCCGACTCCTCCTAACCTCGATCCCAAGCGAAGAGAGCTACACCGTCCGTCCACGGCTGCAACACTCAACATGGTAGCCACAGCAGCCATGAGCGCAAGACTCTGGGCTACATTTGATACTGCATTCGCTCAGAGATGTCTGAGTGCCGCTCGCATAGGCTATGCAGCCGCCAAAGCTAACCCTGCCATCTATGCTCCGGGTACCGATTGGGATCTTGGCGGCGGTGCATACAGCGACGACGACGTGAGAGATGAGTTCTACTGGGCAGCTGCAGAGATGTACATCACAACCTCCGAGGCTCAGTTTGAGAAGGATGTCATGTCCAACTACTACTATACCGCTAACGCATCAACACTCTTCCCCGAGGGTGGCTTTGGATGGTCGTCTATGCAGTCAATTGCACAGATGGATCTTGCTGCTGTGCCGAACAACGTCACTGGAAGGAACGCAATCATCGAGTCTGTCTTGACAGGCGCTGACCAGTACATGGCTATTCAGAAAACGCAGCCTACTGATGTCTTTATTACCTCCTACCCTTGGGGCAGCAACAGTAATCAACTTAACTGCATCCAAGTAGTCGCAACCGCCTACGACATCTCCCAAAACACTTCCTACCGCACGTCAGCCTTATCAGGAATGGACTACGTATTCGGCCGCAACGCCATCTCCCAATCCTACGTCCACAACTACGGCACCAAGACTTCGAGTAACATGCATTCTCGCTTGTATGCTGCTGAGCTCAGTCGTTTGATTGTGCAGGATCCGATTGTTCCGCCACCACCCAAGGGAGCGATGGCTGGTGGTGCGAATGAGAGTCCTGCTGATCCTCCTGCTGATGATGTGTTGGTGGGCTGTGTGGGACAGTTCTGCTATGTGGATGATGTGAATAGTTATAGCACGAATGAGGTGGCTATCAATTGGGGGTCAGCTCTGGCTTGGGTCGCTAGTTGGGCTGCTGATCAGTAGACTATAGTTTCTTTGCCTTTGTTGGTGTAATCAAAGATATAGTCCCAGTCATATTTCTGGTTCTGAAGAAATGTTTGGAATGAGAGTGCTATACATACCCAAAGCAGTAGGTTTCCCGACATCAAAGGGTGTCGTTGAGAAGACCGATGGCATTTAGATGGCGTCCGTTGTCAACAAAAGTCACCTTCGTCCTTGGAGAGGGGTTCTATCTGCCTATCACGCCTATCGCCCCTGATTGCGCGTAAAGGTGAGATTATCATAGGTAACTGAATAAACAAACAACAGTATGCATATAAGTGCTAATTACATCCTGGTCAGTCACCTTAAACGATGTCAAATCATTCCACCTCCTCAACGAATGGTTTGAACCAAGTCGAAAGGGCAGGGTCACAGAGGTCCGAGCTCATGCGCAGCAAACAACAAGATTAGAAGACTGGATACACGTTCGTTCTATAATACACAACACACAAGATGCAGTCAATCACAGCAAGGAGCCGACCAGTCCTAAGGAGCGCTCAGCTCTGTCTCCGCTACCGCTATGCGACCGACGCGCCCTCATCGGCACCGCCGCTCCTCCTGAAGCTCCGCTCTGACCTGAAGACGGCCATGAAGGCCAAAGACACCAACCGTCTTAATGTGTTGCGCGGTCTGCTCGCCGAGGTCACCAATGCCGCAAAGACCGCGCAACCCCTCGACTCGGACATGAAGCTTCTTGGTCTGTTGCGCAAGCGTTCGTCGGCAGCCGCGCAAGCAGCCAAGGAATTTTCAGACGCTGGAAGAGCAGACTTGACTGAGAAGGAAAATGCCGCTATCAAGGTGTTGGAAGAGTATGCCGGCAGCGTCGAGACTGTCAGCGAGGACTACATCAAGGAGGTTGTGCAGAGCACCATCGACAGCATCAAGGCCGAGGCCCAGGGTGCAAAGGTTGTCATGGGCGATGTGCTCAAGAAGTTGTTGGCTCCTGGTGGTGCCTTCGAAGGCAAGCCTGTCGAGAAATCGCAGGTCGCAAAGGCCGTCAGACAATTCTTGGACGCAAAGTAACCATCTTGCTTCGTCTAATGTGCTTCATCATGGTACGTCTTCAACCTTGACGCTGTCCACGCTGATTTCGAAGCTTATGTCTCTCTTCCCAGCTCGCCGAATCCCAGCTGAGCCACGGAGGAAAGAGCCATCTCGAGCTTCAAACCCGGATATGTACAAATACCTAACGCATCATACAATTGTAAAAATAGTTCCCACGTACTCGCCGTACGCAACTGCCTCGCATGACACTTCCTTGGACTGTGACTGGAAGAAGAGCTAGTCTGTCCCGCATCTTTTTCCTGTTCTGTCTACACGCCTTTCACAACCTCTGCCCTCTGGTCAACGGTCCAGCACTCAAGTTTCATTTCCGCATTCATGGCCCACTTATCTGATGATCTCTGCTTCCTTCAGCTGCTACATCTCGAAAATGCCCCTCATCTCCAAGACACGGCATACAGCCAATTCCGCTGCACTTCTGTCATGTTCACTGGCTTTCACCTAGCTCCATGGTTCCAAAAAAAGGTTGACTGTGCTTAGAGAATCGCAGAGCAAATCATCGGCAAGCTCTTACTTAACAAATATGTCCTATGACGAGTTCCACTTGAGTTGTCTTTGCTACTCCGCACCTTGATCGATGAAGCTCCAACCGAGGACCAGGGCTCCGAACTCCAAAACTCTTCAATTGACGAATCGAATATTGTTCCGGAGACCAGTGCTCGCGATGTGCAAGACGGCCCATCAGGAACATAACGGCCCACGAAGAACAGGCGGGTCGGATGTAAAGGCGTTCGTTATGGTTTTCTTCTGAATCGCCTGATTCGCATCCATAGCGTCTTATGAGGTCAGTCGTTCTCAAATATACGCTGGGTTTCTTTCTTGGCTGACAATTCTCAAGGTTGGTCCGACAGAGTCAAACTCGTGGACTTGGCCCAATCATGACAGCTCACACAAGCACTCCTCGACCATTGACTTTGCTTCAAGCCTTCCACATCATCGATACCTTTATCCAGGTCCCGCAACATAGCAAAAGTCACTCAAATCTCAGCTTCTCGATCTGCGCATGCATGCACAACATTCCCGGTCCGCTTTTGCCCCAGCTTTTACGAGCTTTCCCCACGTTTTTTCGTACTTATTTTTGTAATCCCGAGCATCCGATCCGCGGACATGCTCCGTGCCTGATTAAGCGTCAGGTACGCGTATGGACAGCATGACGATCACCTACAAGAACGCAGCCTCAATCGACTCGTCAGCTGTCTCGTCATCTGTTGAGCCAATCAAATCCGAGTACCTGAAAATCCTCAATACAGTGCCAGTATTCCCGTTCATGCAGTCTCAATTGGCAGCTTCCACAGATGTCGACAAAAAGAGCCTGGAAAAAGAGATCATACTGAACACTTGCATACGGTTGTGGCTTCTTGATGTTACTCGGTATCTGCGGTGTGGAAAGCATGTCCTCCGCCATGCCACAATCGAACTTCCCATCACTAAGCATATTCAACACTCGTACTTCTTGGCTGTTCCAATTGGTCAGGACCGTCCCGCTCTTTGCACGAAGGTTTCCCCGGATCTTTGTGCTTGGTTGAATCCACCATGCTTGACGCATGCTTAGTGTCATTGGCCAAACCAAATATCTCGTTTGCTCCGAACTCACACACTTGCTAAGTGTCAATCGTAGATGACAAGATTACGAAGGATGAGCAGAAGTTATTGCCTTCGCCAAGAATCATCTTGAGCTCTGAATATAAGTATTCTGCCTCTTTCCCATCCAAATCGATTTTCTACAACCACAACCAGCACCACCTTCGCTAAATTCAATCCAAAACATGAAGACTGTATACTCGACATTGGGCTTTGCCCTTGGTGCCTCTGCTGCCTCCCTGGTTGCTCGTGACCAATGCTGCTTCTCCTTGACCGCCGCCGGTGGCAAGAGTGGTGTTGTTGGTCAGCTCGGTGATGGTCAGAACAGAATTGGCCAGACTGCTGGACTTTCTACCGGACAGGCTACCTACTGCATCAATAATGGTGGTCTGACTGACGAGAACGGCCGTGGATGTATCCTCACTCCTCCCACCACTCAGTTCCAATGCGATGTTGGTGCTGCTCCCACTACTGGATTCGCAGTCAGCTCCAGCGGTGACTTGACCTACAACGGCAACACCCAGTTCTACGCTTGCGCTACTGGTGACAACGGTGGTTACAACATCTACACCACCACTTCCAGTGCCGAGTCTGGATGCGTTAAGATCACTCTTAACACTGGCGGCAAGTGCGCTGGTTCCAACGGATCTGGTAGCTCTTCTGCTGCCTCTTCGAAGCCCGCCTCTTCGGCCCCTGCCTCGAAGCCCGCATCTTCTGCCCCTGCTTCATCGGCTCCTGCACCCTCGAAGCCTGCCTCTTCGGCTCCTGCTTCGTCTGCCCCTGCACCCTTGAAGCCTGCCTCTTCCGCTCCCGCACCCTCGGCTCCCGCATCTTCTGCTCCTGCCTCGCCTATGCCTGCCTCATCGGCACCTGCTGCAAGCCCCATGACCGTCTACTCGACCGTCACCTCCACCGTCTACCACTGTGCTGCCAGCTGCACATCTGCACCCAGCGCTCCCGCTTCCATGCCCGCTTCCATGCCCGCATCCTCAGCACCTGCCCCTAGCGCTCCTGCCTCATCTGCTCCTGCTGCATCCAAGCCTGCATCTTCTGCCCCAGCTCCCAGTGCTCCCGCCTCGTCTGCCGCTTCTAAGCCTGCCTCGTCGGCTCCTGCTCCATCTGCCCCTGCCTCGTCTGTCCCTGCTAGCGGTACTGCCGGCGGCAACCACTGCGCAACTACCCTCTCCGGCGCTTACCAGACCCCTCACGCCATCATCCCTGTCAACAAGAACTCCCCGAGCACCAGCTACGGCACACAGTATGATGCTTATTTCAGCTCTGCCAACAGCACCGTCTTCAACTTCGACATTCCCTCAAGCTACTCTGGCAAGCAGTGCAGCGTCATCTTCCTCCTCCCCAACAAGGATCAGCTTGTTACCTCTGACTTCACCCTGTCTGGCTCCGGTGGTATCAAGTTCGACCAGCTCTCTTCCCCCGCTCCCCTGAGCGTCAGCTACGCTACTTGCCCCGCTGTCAAGAGCACTCTTGGCATGGTTGACAACGTTATGCCCGGAAACAGCTACGTTGTCTCCACCAGTGCTTGCCAGGCTGGCTCCACCATTTCCATCCTCGCTAGCGCCACCGGCTCCCTCAACCTTGAGGTAAGTTATACCAAATTTCCATCATATTTCACACAAACTAATGAATTTCAACCAGCTGTTCGAAGACTGGAACCCTAGCGCTATCGGTCTTTTCATCACCTCCTGTTAAGCTAGGATGACTGAAAAACATAGCCCGATCTCAAAATTTCGATGTTGAGGCTTCACGAAAACCAACCCACCTCCTGGTGAGGAATGACGACCCCCCTGAGTACAGTATACAGTATATACATAGTTCTTTTTTCTTTTGTCTACTGTCACTCCTCACCTTGCCTTTCATTGATGAATTTTCTTTGGCTATCCCAAGCACATATCCGTGCTGGTTGACCCCCCCATTTACACTCCTTTTCTATTTTTGGATAATAGACCAAAATATGTAAATTATAATCTTAAAATAAAAGATTCTGCCTTTGCAATTCTTGTTACATGATCAAAAGTTCATTCTCTGAAGATTTGAGATTTGAGATTTGAGATTTCATGGTTTTTACATTTTCGCAAAAGAGAAAAAGAAAGAAAAAAGAAAAGAAAATCCACTGCCTGGGTGGCGGACATCTGCCCGAGTCTCATATGTCTTTTTGACGCAACAGCAAATTCTACTATTCTCTTCGTGTTTGGAGTTGGACATATGCCAGTTTTGGTGTTGACCTTCTTTACATCAGGGAAGAAGAACGTCTCTGGCTCGTCGATTCTTCTCGACCAATTTGAGATCAAACTTGCTCAGTGTCCACTTTCACATTGGCTCCTTTAGGCCGCTCGTCGCGTTGATTATCGCTGGTACTGTTTTCTAGAACAACTTGCTTGGTAATCTTGTTTGGCAGGATGTTTTCCGCGTCCCAAGTCGATTGACATCATCTCGCGTCTGCGTTGTGGTAGGACGGAAGGTCTGACTGAAAGCGCGGCTTTCTATATCTGATCATCATTTGGTAAGGGATCTCAACTCGGTGGATATGACGATCTGGTGGAGATAACCCTTAAGACCTCCGTGAACCCATGTGGTATTCCAAGTTATTAACAGGTAGGCTCTGTAAAATCTATCATACATAGCCTTCAGTTTAGTGGATCATAGTTGAACGAAGAGAATTGCAATTTGGACTGATGTCTGAGGACTATTTGTGAGTTTGATCGATAGCTTACTGTTTAGTGATAAAATAAAGGAAAAGTATAGGCAGCAGTAACAAAGCACCTTGATCTCGCGATGAGTGGGAACCTGATGATCAGGTTTGAGAAATGACGAACTGAAAAGTCAAGTGATTTAGAGAGTCCAGGTTGCTGACCTCTCATAAAGAGTTGGACCAAGAAACATATTCGGTGATCTGCGACCTCGGATCTGATGGGGAAAGAAGGGTAGGGCCTGGGAACGCAAAACAAAAACAAAGTAAAAAAGGGCTGAAGAGAAGAAAGTGGAAGGCATAGGGAATGTCCAGATGTGGTGACTTGATAACCACAGAACCGGATGCTGCAGATGAGTTTGGTGATGTGTTATTTGTTCTCTAATATGCAGATCCTTTGCACGAAGATGTTTGGTGGCGTGAAAATCATGTGTCTCTGGTAGAATGTATCTGTGCGAAACCGGGTTGTCGAGGCTCAGATGTTGAAAAGGTAGTCCTCTTCTCGGACCTTCAGAATGAAAAATGGTATTCCATGTCAAATGTAACCTTCAATGGTCTAAGGGTCAGAGACAAGGACGCCGAGCATCAGTTCGTTGACATCTCTGTTGAAAGCAGCAACGTATTTTTCGAATCGAGACACTGCTTCTTGTGTTTTCTGGTAAGATTTCTTTCCAGAAAGAAGAACGACATTAGCCAAAGTTTGGTTGGCAGCATTCAAAGCATTACTGGTGTTTTGTCTGAGGACTCTGTATTTCTCGCTAAGTGCACTGAGTTGCAAAGCGCAGTATGCGTCATGCTCGAGATGAATCTGCACCTGCCGCAGTCTGTCAGGTGAGATGTTTTGAATGTCTTCGTATTCCTGGAGACCACTTCTGTGGTAGCCAATCTTACGTTCCGAAGTACGACAGAAGATGTGTAGCTGCATGCGACTTCTGAGTAGGCTCATCTCTCTTCCTAATGTCTCCAGAGACTTGTACAACTGGTCGACCTGGGCATCCTAGTATTTTGTATAAGCTTGTGGTCCTTTGACAGCGAGTGTTATTGCTTACAAGGACTTGGTCGCCTTCCTCAAGTTGGGATCTCGAAGCCGTTAACGATTCCGATTTGGGTGCATGATCATCAACATCATCTCTGGAAGTGAGTGTCATGTTGTGATTCTTAGCCGCCACGCCGTCCTCGAGAGACCCAACTCCGGCGTGGTGATTGTTCTCGGTGGCGGCAATAGCGTCGGCCTCTTCATACATGTTGGCTGTGGAAGACATTTCGATTATGGTGTGGTGAGTTTCGAGTGTCTGCCGAGTGTGGGTGAAATATCGAAGATCAATGGAGGACGTGGGGAAGTTTGGTGTTGGGGTAGAGGTTTACGAGGGGATGGGAAGGTTGTATAGATAGAATCAGGAGCGAAAGCAAGTGACAGTGAGTTTTTTTGGGACTGTTGAGGATCACAAAGAGACAGTGAGCGAAGGAAAGTACGACTGAGCTTGATCACCCAATACATCTTTGAGAAGAAATAGGGAAGGCAAGATTGGAAACTGAACACAACTTTCAATTGTTGACTTGTAAAAGTGAGCAGGGAATTGGCAAAAAAGAAAGATAAAAGAGCGCAGGCGAGAATGGCCATGAGAGAAGAATATCGCCCGAATGCTTTGCGCGCAAGCTCTTACTACCAGTACGACCTGACCTCCGTGAGAATCTTTGCTCTGCGAAGACGGATCTCACCAGGCACATTGCGCAGAGTTTCCAGTGTTTTGAGATCTTCTGCAGCGAGCACGGTCGCGGTTGTTTCAAAAGAGTTGAGAAAATCAGCTGTTCCTTGCTCGATTCTGTCCAAACCATCACAGCATGCCTTGAACTTCGACATGGCCACATCAAAATCCTTCTTGGCGACATCTGAAATTACAGAAAGATTTTGAACCACGTTCAAGCTATCCGCATCATCAGGTCGAATGACTACTTCTGGTTCGCCCGTCACTTGTCGAAAGGTCTTAACAGCGTCCGAGAGCAGGGAATCATGCGATTCATACCGCATTAAGTGTAGTGAGATCGATTCAAGTCTCGTGTCAATAACTCGGAATCTAGATGCAGTAAGCTGCAGTTGAAGTGAAAGGCTAGCTCGCAACAGTTCGCTGACATATGAATTTCCAGTTGTCTCATTCTCTTGGAGAGGGACACCGCAATCAGACGAGACCTGATACAGATGAGAATTTTACAACCAAGTCTATGAACGAAACATACCATTGGGGCTAACACTGGTGCTTCGAGTGGTTGATTGGGTTCGTCTAGATCGGCATTCTGGCTTGGAGGAGAGTCTGACGGAGAATTGTGGGGAAAAGACGCCATGTTGGATAGCAGGCGATAGCCAAGCTGTAGGATGACCAATAATCGCTGCCGAAGTCGAAGTGAGATTATGTAGTTGGTGGAAGGTTGAGGTTGGAAGTTCGAACGAATTAAAGTAGACCGATCGAAGAAGACGAAGGATGAAGGTGGAGAACGTTTGAGTGATAGTGTGGATAAAATTCGAAGAGAAAGTCGGAGGTGGACTGGACAGAGGTGTGAAGGTGGAGTCAATCAGAAGTATTCCGGAGCTGATAGTCGCAGTGAGGTAACGGGCTCGCTCACAGCTGCGATCGCGCAAAGATCAGTCCGAAAAACTCACGGCCAGTCTCGAAGACAAGAAGTCGGAGACTTGCTCATGAAGTTCTTTGATCACGAAGTCGAGACTTTTCTGAGCATGAAACAACTTGTCGCGACGCGCGATGTGGCGGACTTCATTAACAGGGTAGTGAAGAACGCGGAGTTTGTCAAGTAAGACGTCGCTGTCCTCGTGAAGGACTTCAAGCTGCTCGAAGATAGCCTTGGCTCGTTCAACGTAGCGGCCGAAGAACTGCTTTTGGTCAAGATCACTGTGGTCGAGTCGCACCTGTATACTCCGAAGGGTATCCGTGTCAACTTCTGAGATATCCTTAGTAGCGAGAATTGTGCTTTCGGTGTTGTAGTCGCGGCGGAAGTACGTGTCGTAGATGACTGTGACGCGACGAAACTCGTACTTGAGCATATCGTATTCAGTCGACTGTTCCTTGAAGGACCATTTGAGCTTTTGAGACTGTTCGCGCAACGAACGACAGGCTGGATCATATTCGCTCTCAACATCAAATTCCTAGCAACGGTCAGCTAGCTCAGCAAAGGCCAGGAATAGACAGAGTAGACTTACATCATGAGGTAGTTTTGGAGATGGAGTTCGAGGAGTGGTATGGAGGGCAGCGACGTAGCAAGGATCGGAAGGAACCCATCCCCACGCGGTGAGGCTGCCATAGTCAACCATACTAGCAACCAGCTGAGACACAAGACAAAGAACAAGACAAAGAAAGTAGAAAGGAATTGGAGGAAAGAAAGAACTTGAGAGCGCGGCCACGACAGTCAAGGGAAGAAAGATGCTGTCGCTCGGTCAACCCCCTGATGACAATCACACCTCGGACGAAAAACATCACGTCCGTGATCCCTAGATCTCCTTTTCGATATCGCAGAGGAAAACTGGCCAATTAGCTCTCAGCCAATTGGCAGGAGGCCAATGATCATGATCTTCTTTTTTTCTTCTCTCTCAGCCACTCTAGAAATGTGACCATGTGCTCAGTCGTGTTTGTCCAAGCTACAAAGTCACACAACTGTTTCCAGACTAGACACAAATGTACAAAGAAAAATCTGCTGACAACACAACCCACATTTCATGCTACTGACGTTGTCAGAAAGTTTGTACTGTTCATGAAAGCACGCGGCTCGCAATGCTGGCACGAAGCGAGGTCGAGCAAGTCGCGACCATAATGCATCATCTCACCTGTCGTATCTTGCATCTACTGCTGATCAGAGTACAACGATAATATCACACAGGAACAAGTATATGAGGAGCTTAAGACAGTTGAGTCAAGGTACGGGAGGCTTGAAATGTGGTCGGAGGTGAAGGTGCATCGTCTTGGCATGCTGAGTCATCAGACGAGCCAACCTCACCTGCCCAACTCATGTTTGTCATTCGTTCTTTGTCTCAACAGTTCTGACTCCTACGATCGGTCCACAATCGGACGCCTAAATCACGGAGAATTTGTGTATGCTGCCATCTGGATATGGCCTTCGGTTGACATGCGGACTTAAATCACTTTTGATGGAGTGCGACGCAACTCATCCTCTTTGGATTTCTTGACAGCATCTTGGCTCAAAAGGTTCTCGCGGAAACTTGTTCCAATCATTTGAGCATGTGACAAAAGTAGCGATCAAGATGTATGTCTGGATGTGGAAAGAGAACAGTTTGTTCATTAAGCAGCAATATCCTGTTGGCGGCAAACCAACTGCTCAGCCCCGAATACCATGTTTCTTACTACGCTCCGTCGACAGTATCCTGAAGAGAGGAAACATCTCTCACCATCCCTTCTTCTTCTGAAGGGTGTGGATTGTACGGAGACAACCAAGCATCATTCCTTCCAAGTTCAGCATAGCGTTCTTGATCTGGATGAGACCAAGCTTAATAGTTTCGGGCTCGTACTGCTTCAATCCACCGTCCCAGATGCTTGACCACTCCTCATTCTGCTCCTTCAAACGCTCGAGACACTCAAAGGTGTTTCTGCCGACTCTATTGAACGTCATGTGGAGGTCATTGCCAAGCTGTAGACGAGGGCCAATGATTTCGAAGAGCACGGCTGAGGTTGCATCAAGCAAATCTTCGGGGCTGTTGACGGGAGGCTCGCACACGTTTGTGATCTTGTAGATGAGATGAGGAAGCATTGCATCGCAGGTTCTGATGCTTTGTTGGGAGATCTTGAGGACGACGTGATTGAAAACTCTGAGAGAGTCTGGTCCAGGTCTTTTGGCGAGTTTGGCGAAAGGACGGTATTCGGGACCCTGTAAGACGTCCTGATTGACAAGGCGTGAGTAGATCTCGATCACCTGGTTGTTTGCATTGCTTACCTTGTAGTCTACACCAACGAAAAAAGTGGCGAGCTCGACGGCACCAAGTTCTTTGGGCACGGTTTGGCGAGTTGACTACGACAAAACATCAGCACGACTTCGTTTGTGAATTCTTGAAGAACATCTCAAATCACTTACCATAAACTCGCGAAGCTGCTCCAGCAGATCGTCATACATGGCGACAGCCTCTGAAATAGGCTCAATGATGAGATCGCCTGCGTCCAGACTGGTGGTTAAACTCATGGCGATCTGAGGTGCTTAGGCTGTTGTGGGCTGGACGGAATCCAGCTTGCGAAGTGGAAACACAAGCCTGAGCAGGCGTGTCTGAATGCTCCAAGAACAGTCGCCAAACACATCTTCCTCTAAACAATGGTTAGCGTGACGCGTTTGAGTCGCGATTGATGACGACGGGACTGAATCTGTTTGCCAACACTCGGACAATGAACCAGACGAGACTGCGCGTTTGCTGCTTGGCCCATGCTATCCCCTTCATGACCAGCTCCAAGACAGTATAATCGATAGAGATTTGGTCAGGTTCGGAACAGGAGATAGGAAGCCAGGAGATGATGGCTACGCTTGTCAGATTTCATGTAGCTTCCAAAATCCAGAGTAGAAGGCGCATCCCAGGAGACCTGCCAACTTTCTATAACTATTGTCCTCAAGCATTATACAAAGTCAAAACAAAAGACAGCCCAAGGAAGGAAGAGTCAGATTTTGCAAATGATGTGAGCTCTGCGCAAGCCCTGAATGTGAGTATATAACCTCCAAAAATCTTCTGTCTTTCACCTACTCAGTCAGATGACACGTACGGTGTGTTTGGCTGAGCGGAATAGCCGGTTCGCGCGTACGCACTTGTTAGGTAATTAAACCTCTAGTGTGTCTAATCGGGAATATTAGGTGTAACGCATCTAATTTTGCTGGTCGTGAGTTCGATTCTGATTCGTGATGCTGCTGAACTTGTTTTTTTTTTTTTTTTTGCTTCAGCAACGCTCTGAAGGATGGTCATCGTGACTGTGCAAGTCTGGTATAAGGAAGAGGAAGTTTTGGCAAGGGTTTTTTTTTTGCGTGACACGATATGTATGTCGGCCATCGCAACGTTCCACGTGTCGCTGCCACCAGCTCAACAATACCTGCCTGTGGAAGTACGACTATTCAAGCAGCTTGGGCGGATTTATCTCACTCCAGCAGCAATACCATGGTCGTATTGCAAAATTAAAAGACTCAAAATTTAACACCTAGATGGTCAATGATGAGATCGATCAAGGATACTGTAGACTGAAGCTCAGGTCTGCTTGAATCAAGGGATGTAATTGCACACATGAGGTTTTCTGCTGCTGACGACTTGCTACCTATATAATATCGCTCTCGATGACTGGGGTCCTTGACGCTTACCCATCCACACCTATACCAATTGTCTGTCCTGGCTACTGTGAAAGGCTTATCAGAAACGCATCCATGTTCTCGCGTTGCCTCTGGATGCTGTTCATCGTGACCTGTACCGCAGCTGCAAAGAGTTCACTGTGAGGTGTTTTCTTGACCATCGACGAGATCCTGTGGCTTGCTTCTTCGATCTCGGTGAATATGGCTCTGTCAGCTCGCATGATCTCCAGAAGGGCGTGGTAAGCGTCCAAAGCCTGCTTTTCGCGGTCGCTCATCATTTCAAGATGTGAGATCTCACTAGCAGTGGCACTTTCCAGATCTATGATTTGGCCCCGGACATGCACTGCTCTTCTGTGGCGATTGGCGGTACGAGTAGCAGTGCGATAGATCTTCCACAGATCGCGAATGTGTGTGCTCTTGTCTCTCGAAGCTAGATTGTTCAAGATGGCCAGAAGCTTTCTAGATTCAGTCTTGAGCTCCTTCTTGATCTTGGGCTTGAGCTAACCGCAAAGGATAGTTAGAAAGTGTCAATTGCTTTCCAATTATGCAAGCCTACCTGCTCAGAACTGCTGGCCTCCTTATCGCATTGGGAAGGAGTCGACATCTGTACGTCGGTTTGTTGATGTTGATCTTGAAAATCCGATGATGCGTCTGTCATGGTGAACTATTGACAAGATGATGAGGCGTCGGTAGACCGTCAAGAGCTCGAAGAAAAGGTTGTTGAGAATAGGTCTTCCAAGATGGTGAGAAAACACTGATATACGCCGCCAGAGGTCATGGACCGCGAACCTTGTGTGATGCTTATGAGAAGAAAAAGTGATAGTTTTGATGTAAAGTGACTTAAAAATGGTGCGAGTGTTGATATGGAATAGTATAGTATGATGGAAGAGGAAACTTGATTGGTAGACCGCTTGGGAGAGCGATTGTGAAGATATGGTAGGAGAGGGTAAGGTGAAACAGGCGAAGTGGATGGCTCCAATTCTCGAAGTGAAGGAGCCAGTGAATTTCAGTTGACGAGGTGATGGTGTAGTGAAGTGGGATATGTAAGTGGAAGGCACCAGGGTGAAAGGCATTCTAATGGCAGAGGAAGGCGCACAGCCATGACCATTTCAACTCCAAGCGCGTCAAAGTCCGTCCATGATTTCCTCGCGCTGCGTGATGATCTGCTCTGTAATTCTCTTGGCCTCCATATGACATTCCTTCATCCGGTCTTCAGTCTCCTGTGCAAAGTCGCGAACCTCGCTGTCTCCATCTGCCCGAGCCTTGGTCTTCAGCTTGACTGCCAGCTGCTCCAGCTCATCGACCGTCCCACTGAGCCGTCTGATGCGACGCATGATCGCAGATAACAAGTCACCCTCATACTTGTCGGCTTGAACAACGCGGGTAAGTCGAGCGAGGTGATCCAGGTCCACATTCTCTGCATCGAGTTCTCCTGGATGCCATGCTTCAAGACGGCGCTTTAGGGTGTTCAGGCGGAATACAGCAAGCTGCCAAGCTTCCAGTAGGAGGTTGATGGAGTTGACAATTCTTTGGTTCTCTGTATCCTGACGTCTTATAGCTTGAAGCATCTGAGCAATGGAGAGCTGCATAGAGTCAGTAGGGGATCACAAGTCTGCCATCAATAGAGAGAGTACCTCAGATTCGGCGGCAACAGGTTCGGTACTCGGATCTGAGGAGTCACCAGCGGGCATCTTGCCTGAAGAGATTCAGAGCCAGTCCTAGCAATGATCAGCAACGGCTATACAAGCTGCAGTAGTGGAGGATGCAATACCGTATGTGATGCTGGTTGAGTTGAGATGGTCTAGGTTGTTTGACCTTGTGCCGACCGAGGGGTGCCATACCTGAGAGCAAAATTTTGCCGGTCAATGCTCATCGTCGCGTCAACACAAGTGTAAACGAAGGAGAGCAATGGCGAAAACTAAGCGAGGCTCTATCAAAAGAGATTGGCATTGGAGCGTAGTGGGTCAGTCGCCTCGTTCGTCAGACAGAGATGGCACAAGATATTGGCAGTTCTAGGGCTGTGGCTATTGGGTGTCTCTTTGAGATGGCATAATATTTTGACCAGCAGTAAAAATGCACAAACTTCTCCAGATTTTGCAACCATCCATCGAAGGGACTGGCAAAAGTGCAAGGACTGCTATCAACAATGATGAATATAGAAAAGCTACAAGAGCATGTGATGTCATGGAGAAGGTCGAGTCAGAGAGCAGTCTTAGAAGTGATACCTACTTCTCAGCATAGGACCTGGTCATGTGTCTATACTGCGACCTACGAAAACATCTGCAACGTCCAATGCTAATCACCTGGTATATGACAGATTCTAGTCGAGCAACAATAATTGGATGTACTCTCATTCAGGAAGCGAGAAGCCCATACGGTATAAATCAATGCTCAGAGCAGAATGGTATATAGCATTGTTGATTATCTCGGTGCAAAAGTGCAATGTCTTTAGCTGTCCGAAAGAACGATTGTTTCTGAATATCCTGCACAATCAAAGAGCAAAGAGAATAGACTTTCTGTTGACAGCCTAGATTTATCATTGTCTTTCTGCATTTTGATGGACAAAGAGTTGTAAATTTGCTTGATGGGGGGAAGCTGTTGGCAAACGAGTTGTATGCGGGGCAGTTCATTGTGATTTCTTTGGGTGGAAGGATGGAAGAATGGAGTCATGTGGCATTGCTTATCTTTGGTACAATGGTTCGATTCTTGCTTTGGGTCCAAAATATGCTGTAGAGGTTCTAGGCAAGAGAAACTGACCTTGTTTGTCAGAAGTTTCTAAATTGTGTTGAAGTTCGAGATTTTGAGAGAACGAAGCATCGAATCCTCCTTCCCCTGATCACAAACACTGTTCAGTCCACTTCCCCCAATAGTTCTGCCATCTTCCCGCGCAGTCTCATGAATTTAAGTCCTACCTTTCTGCATTCGGATCGACGACTGGCGATTGCAGTCTTTCCCTTGTCCAGATATTGCTGCTCCGATTCTTGCAGGATGAAATGCTCCTCTCGAAAAATGATCAATTCCTCGGCAGCATCATAGGCCGCACACATCTTCTTCTGTATCTCATAGACTTTCCATGTTGCCTCACCAGCTTTATTTTCTTGGTCAAGGGCTCGGCGGAGCAACTCAAGCTGGTCCGCGGATAATTGCCCAAGATCAATGGTTGAAGGGATGCGCTTGATGTTGACAATGTAATTTGCTTGGTAGGAAATCATTTTTCTGCATAGGCGGCGATACTTAGGCCTGAGCCGTATGTATTCAGCTTTCTTCTGAGTGTACTCTTTTTTGACTTCTTTCCATTGTCGGAGAATGTCCGCGACGTCTTCTGGTGATTTGCTCTGTACCAAGTTAGTGAAGAACGAGTAAAGTGGACAATAATTTGCACCCAATAGTTCTTGAAAGACCGAGCCAAACGTGAGTTTTCGTTTTCTTGAGCCTCTGCCTCATCGCTGGTAACAGAGGAGGATTCTGAGTCATCCATCGTAGAGTCTTCGGCCTGCGACAGGTCGTTTGCGTCCTCCACCTTGAAACCCTCGTAGAAAATTTGCGGAGTTTACGCGAGAGGAAATGCTGGAGAAGGAGTGGAGTCGTAGGAGATCGGTATAAAAAATCGGGGTCGTTCTTGAGTGACTGCGTGAGAAGCAGAGACTGAAACTGCTGCTGGACTATCTGCAGTGAGGACAACAATCTGCAGCGACGTTGCTAGAGTACGGCGAGCCTCAGTTGCCAGATACGTGTGCTGTTGGTAAGTAACAAGAGAAAGATGAAAGTTCGAAAGGTTTAGAAGGTAAAGTGGTTTGGAGCAATTTGCTCGGATAGAGTGATCGCTGTGAGGACGAGTAACCGAGATTGAGTTTGGGATGTGTTGTGAATGAAGCACAGCATGCAGTGAGTGATGTTAGGATGCAAGTACGTTGAGAGCTAATAAAACGTCTTTCGTGTGACTTGTGCCGCGAGTTTGTGGTTGAGAGGGGAAATGTGAAGAGATGAGACTGGTATAGATTTGTGGATATCCCACTATGATAAGAACATGAAGTGAGACGGAGTTTCAATCGCCAGCTTCCTGCGATCTTGATTTGTGATGGAAGAAGTAGTGAAAAATGGGAAGGTGCAAAGAACAAAAAAAGCCACTCGAGATAGGAAAAGGAAATTGGCAGGAGCGATCAATGCTTCAAGAAAGCTCTGCCAACCAGTCGAGCCAGCCCTCCATCATTTGAGCGCGAGTCTCCTCCAGCGAAGTGAATCTCTTTCTAGATTCCTGCATTTCCTTATCTTCTTCCTCGCCATCCTTGTTGAGACTGCTCAACAGCTGCTGAATCTCAAGCTCTGTCTCCTTCATTTCTTCGATGAGCTTGAAGTATCTCTTTTGTGCAGTATGGAATGCGCTCAGTGCATCTGCCTTCTTTTTGTCGAATTCGAGAAGTTTGATGGCGTAATGAATTTTCCCGGAGTTGAAGTGGTTGATACTGCCATCAGGACGAGTGTGGATGAGGGGGTGTCCGCCCATGAAGACGAGCCTGTGTTGAGTGACTTGGAGATTGTAGTGGTTGCACTCGAAGAGGTGATTGTTGGCACTGAGGCGTATCTTGAGCAACTCATCGTCGTTGGAGGTATTCTTGACTTTGAGATCGTTGACTTGATGGATGATGTCTCGAGGGATGATTGAAGTGTCGTGATCGAGATCGTGCATTGCGACAAGGTGGGATTGGAGTTTTTGCTTGCTTGGGGTGTGTTCAGCCATCGTAATGTGCAATTGGAGTGGCAGTGGGAAGAGAAGAGTTTGATTGAAGAAGCAAGCTTTGGAATAAAAATATGTATTGGAAGCACAGAGTGAAAGCCGGGAAAGGAAAGACTTTAGCTTTGAGTGAAAGATGAAGGTGTGTGTATGTCCTTGCGAGTTCTGTGATGAAATTGGTGGGCAGTCAACCGAGTCTCTGCATGATGGCAGCCATCCTCCTGATGGTAATCGCCCAGTCAGCTCTGGGCTTGTCGAGTGCCTTCAGAACCTCTTCATATCTCTTGTTGTCCTTGTTATCCTGCTTCAGCTGATCGACAATTGCTTGGGCTTCCTCCAGCATCTTGCAAATTTGCTTGAAGTTCTCCCTCATGCTTGCCATGACTTGATTGATGCGAATGTCGTGATTCAAAATGAGTTTGCTGCCGGCAAGAGCGCTTGCTGCTTCAGGGGAAGATAGGTCGATAACGTCTTTGACCTCTGGGAACACTTCCTTGATGCGCTTGCTCAGGTCGTTAAGAGCGACCCAAGATGCCATGTTTTTGTTGATGTTCGCCTCCTCGTGCTTGAAGGCTGCGAGCTTTTCATTCAGCTGCAATTGGAGATGGGCGATTTTTTGTGCCTAGGCTTGTTTTAGTAGTGCATTTCGGGGCAGTGTGCGTCGGACAGTGGGACTTACATCCATGCTGGCCATTGTATGTTTTGGTGCTTTAAATCTATCACCGTCTTGTCTAGATGTCAAGGTCTTGGTTCGCGATGTTTAGGTGCAGGTGCAAAGAGGTGCGCGACGGGAAGAAAGCCAGGGTGTTAGGTCGCTGCTTTTAATGCAGCGGCTACTGTCGTGCGGAAAGAGGAAGACGTTGACGGAATTGATGCACGAGAAGATACTCGGTTTGAAGGGTAGAGAGAAAGACAGAGCAGTCAATGTTCAACCTTGTGGTATAGCTTTAGTCATAGAAAAAAAGAAACAAAAAGAGCTTACGGAATTGATGTACGAAGTCTTATACTTAGTCAAGACTGGTGGAGAGGAAGAAAGAGCAAGATGGCTGGATCTCATGATGTTGAAATACGTTTGAGTATTGAGCTCCTCCTCGCCGTCGATATGGCAGCTTTTGTCAGCTAGAAAGATAAAGCAGTCGACCGAGCGAATATAAGAGATTTCCTTATAGATCAGGCAAGGAAGGGGACGCAGATCTTGTTGACTTGGTAGCGTGATCAATACGAAGACGAAATAAAGAGATATGCTCATGTTAACAATATGCTTTTGTCGTGGGAAAACCGAAAGAAAGTGACAGAATTGATATAAAAGCAGAAATGCCTAGCTGGGGCAGAGACAGGAAGATAGGGCAGTTTCTGTTTGACTCTATGATGTAGGCTAAGGTATCGCTATTGTTTGCTGTAAAAATGTACAAACCATAGCCAATGCACTTGGGAAAACATTGATGTAAGAGGTGTTTCAGTGCGCGTGTATGTCAAAACAAGCTGCCAACTGAACCGTGCATGTGTGATGTCTAGCATGAACTTTTCCAAGAGCCAAAGCATATAACGTGTATAGCTATAGAAATGCACAATCCTGTTGGGAAACAGGATCATGTCTACTGAGAGGCAGTAAGTTACCGACTTTCTGTGGACATGCCTCATCATCTGGGGATAATTGTGCCTTCCTATAGCATGCAGATTTGCTCTTTGCTATAGTGGGAGTAAATGAGAGTCACAAATTTTGATTGAGGTGGAGCTAACAGCCACAGGTCAGAGTACATCATTGAACCAAGTTCCTAATCTCCTCTCTCATCCCCCATCTCCTCCGAAACCCCACTCAAGGTCCCTCCATTATGGCCTCATTCAACAAACGTTGGAACTGAGTCAGCTCCAGGCCAAAGCCAGCCCACTCATCCATCCACTCCCTCATCTCATCGCTGTCAATCTCAATACCCATCAATCCTGCTTTCTCTCCGAGCAGAGTTCGCGCCTTCTCGATTAACTGGGAGCCCTTGTCTAAGGTCTCTTGGATCTTGGCTTGGTACTCGCGTCTTTTCTGGCTGTGGTGGACCATCATTTGCAGATCGGCAGGGTTCCCAGCATGAGCGTTGGACCCGGCTTGGTTGTGATAGGCGGCATGGTGTTCTTGGAGCTTTTTGATGTGGAGGGCGAGATGACTGAGATGATCCTTGAGGCTGGATGTGGCGGAAAGGCGGGTGTCGGAGGCTTTTGCAAGGAAGGCATTGAGGTCTTCAAGCTTCTTTCTGGTGGTTTCGGCTTGGGTTGGGGTGCTTGAGCTGTCTGTGGACTATATGCAGAGGTATTAGTCGTTGTTTTGGGGAACGGGGTCTGCAGGTACTAACACCAGAGCCAGAGGTCTCAGTACCTGCAGTAGAGGATTCAGGGGGGCCTGTAGTGGTCCAGGTCTGGTCGCCGTCTCCCATGATGAACGTATCTGCCATGGTGGAGATGAGTTGATGCTTGACAGTAATGGGTTTGGAGAAGGTTGGAAGGCGAGAAAGGTGAATTTTGAGACCATCTCATACAACACGATCTTGAATGCCGCCGACTAAGCGATTTGACTCGTTTGTTGAAGCACCTTCCGGAACCTCTCAATCCTGTCCAATGCCGGCACTCTTGAGCATCTGCTCCCCGAGATCCTTTCTGATCTTGTGATGCCTTTTCTCTTCTTCAACAAACCATTCCAGGTCCTTTGCAAAAGAGGACGTCGCCCGACCACCTGTCAGAATTGTGAATTCTATGTACAACTCTTTGATCTCCGCCTCAATCTCTAACATCCTTTGTCGAATCTGTACCATGGCCAGTTGGGCGTTGGCTCTTTGTGTGTCAAGAGCAAGTAGGTCGGACGCCTTCTGCAGCTGAGCTGTATCGTCAAAGTCCAAGATAAGAGGCTCTTCTACATTTCCCATTCGCTTTTGCAGTCTGAGGTATCGGCGATTGCATCTGTTCCACTCGCGATAGTGCTGGGGGCCTTCTGCATCGATCTTTTCCATCTCTTGGGCAAGTTTCTTTGCCTGGCTTGTCACTTCCATGGCTCTTTCATGTCTGGCTTTGATAGTCATGGCCGAAGGGTCAAAAGGTATTTTCTGCAACTCAATCAGCTCAACTTCCTTAAATTGCTCTTCTGTCTGGTCAACTTACATCTTGGTGAGCATCTCTTGCATCAACGGAGACATCGCCTTCAAGCGCGTGGTCATTCATGTTTGCTTGACTTGGATGTAGAAAACGCAACTCTCGAGATCAGATCGTGGAAGTGTTGAGAAAGATCTTTGGATGTAAGCGGGGGTCAAAGCCTCTTGAGCAAAGATCTTACAAGCAGAATGTGGTCTTGCAGAAGACGAGGTGGCAGAAACTTCCAGCCAAGAAGGTGGTTCGGAAGAACAAGAGCAAAAGACCTTTGACGATGTTTTATGTGAACAAAGGCGGGAGAGGTTGAGCGATTGAAACAGTTTTTGAGGGGATGGTGTTATGTTTATTGAAGCAAGGAAAAGAATCGAATTTCTGCAGTAGAAGAATTTTCGTTGTGGAAGAAAGAAGGTGCTCGAAACCTCAAGGCAGCAGCAAATGTGTTGTTGAATTTAGTGATAGTGAGCCAGGACCCGTTGTTCTGCCATTTCCTCCGTTCTTTGTTTCTGACTGTCCATCATTATCAGAGCCATTTGTATTTGAGCTGTCCGCTTGTCGATCTACATATTTTGGAAGACGATGGTTCTGTAGACTTCAGAATATCCAACGCGAGTTTCCTCGATAATTTCTCTTCTTTGTGCAAACCACCCTCTCAGTTCAGCAGGCAATTTTTCCAGCTCAGATTTGTGGTTGGTGATGATTTCTATCTCCAGAGTAGCTAATATGTCAAGCTTAGCAAAGACAAGTCTCTTTTCGGCGTTTCCTCCAGATTCGCGCTTCATGCATTCATTTTGCAGATCGAGAAGACGAATATGAGCGTCGAGAGTAGTAACATTGTCCAGGTTGATGGTCTGCAGTTCCGTCCTACTTCTCCTCTCGAATCTGCGAAGTGCCTTTTCAGCTGCGCAAGCTTGGACAGAATTGGCTTGGATCTTGATGAGGTGAGACAGAACCTCTTGATCCGTCTCGGCGAAGGCCTCCAACAGAGTCCCCAGAATGATACTCATGATGATCTTCTATCACCAAATTAGTTTGCATGTGCACTCGTGAGAGGGCTGCCATACCGAAGGAGAGGATTGTTTTGACTTCTTTGTGACAACGGCGTCAGCAGCGGACGGCTTTCAGTTCTTTGTACTGTGGTCGATGCTCGAAGTAGCTGAGGATGGTCGTGGAGAAGCGGGTTTTGGTCATCAAGTCAGGGAGGTCTGCTTATATATATGTAGCAGATGGCGGATCGCATCAACTGTTGAGGTCCGGAGGAGCGTGACTGTTGATCGAAGTGAGCACTCACCCGTGAGCCACCAAGTCGTGGTGAGTACCAACTTGGAGACAGTAGGAGAAGGCCGGAATGAGGTGAATGAAGACAAGGAAGTGAGATTGAGACTGAGGAGAAAAGCAGCACGTCTCCTCTGGAGCTTTGCCATGTTTTGATTGAGCCATAGCAATGCAGGGTATATCGGCGAACGACAATCCCTCCGGTGAGACCTTCGGGCGGGCTTCTTCTCTGCAAGCACTCCTCCCGAAGGACAACCTTGTGTATTGCATCGCCCCAGGGCAGTGGCTTCCAGGGAGAACACTACGAGCTGGCAGGATCAGCTGGTGCAATAGCCAAAATAGCACGGCATCTAGCAAGCAAAGCATGACGATTAAAAGCCAGATCCCTCGTCACATGCTCAAACTTGACCACCATCTCAGCCTCAGCATTCTCCGTCAACTCCGCACCAAACCTATCCCTGATATTTCTTTCAAGAACAGTCAACTCCTCCTCGCGAACAATGACATCGCTACTTAGACGATAAACCTCAGGAACGTTTCTCAGAGCGAGGTTGTTGAGACGGAACCATTCGAGATGGTTATCAAGAGTAGTCAGAGCGTCGAGGTCGATAGTGTGCATGTCGACATTGGTTGCTTGCTCGTGGTTGTTGAGAGCTGCATAGTGGGTGTTTGCGATTGTGTTCAATGCATCTCTGTGTTGGGCGATGTCGTCGATTGCGTTGCAGAGACTGAAGAATCTGGTCAACTCGGCCACTAGATCTTCGCAGAGAGCCAGGCACTACAGATGTGCGTCAATGGGCAATTGTCAGATCCATTCTTGATAGGCCTTACCTGCACAGGAGCAGCGGTATCTCCATCAGGAGGGGAAGCACCGTTTTGACCAGAATTGGCAACGCTGGCATTGGAGATGTCGTCAGCCATTGTGTGTATGTTGACCGGTGTGTCGTTATCTTCTTCAGCAGGGGTCGCGTACTTTGTGCAAAGGAGAATTGAGAAAGACAACAAGCTGTTAGAGGCGACATGAGGCATGAGCACGAATGCCGAGCAATGCAAACGAATCTTGATGCCTAGCAAACAATCCGGAACCTTCTCTAAGTCGGAAAGGAAATTGGTGCATCATTCCGTGTTTGACCCCCTCGATCATGGCAGAGCTTCGATGGATGACCAGACCATCCTCCAATGCATTGACCTAAAAACAGTGTTAGAGAAGACTCTCAACTTGAAGTGGTGCTTGAGGGTATGAATTCCTTGCCTGGAAAGAAGAAATGGCCGGCTGACAGTTCCACCAGGAGCTGTTCAGAGGCCTCCAATCCTGATGCTTTTGAATCGAGGCTGCTTGGACTGTCGGACGTCGACGAGAACGAATAGTCAGGATAACCGGAAGCTGTGGTGTTCTGGGACAGTCATGACATAGAACGAGGAAAGAGCGAGTGTTCGAGCAAGTAGGAAATGGCAAACAACTTGAGCATGGAAAAAGAAAGACGTGAGAATTTTTCTACCAGAATATACGCTTTAAGTTGATCTGGGATTAAGAAAACAAAGCACAGAGTATATCTCCCCAACCCTTTGTACTCCACCAACGCCAGACACATGAATAACGAACCATGATAAATGCAAGAAGAGCACCGTGGATATCACCCATCTACCTGCTTCTGGTGCTGCCGTTACCACGCTTACCAGCGGTGAGCCACTTGGCAAGCGAGGCAGTTGTGTGACGATCACCCTCTCCCTGTCTGGCGCTGCGGTTCATCTTCTTCTGACCCAGCTTGTGCAGACGCTCGGCCTTGGTGCGTGCAACCTCGTTGCTAACACCATCCTCGCGTCTGTTCATGCGACTAACACTACGAGTGCGAGACATGGCGCGAGAAATGCTGTTGCGGTGCTTGGCGGGAGCGTCGCCGCCATCGACATCCATCATGTCGGCGTCTTCGACAGCCTCTGAACGGCCGCGAGGACGAGATTGCGAACGAGCACGAGCACGCTCTGAGATAGATGTGGAGTCGTGGCCAAGAGCCTCGAGGCCTCTCTCCATCTTCTCCAGTTGGACAGCCTTCTTGCTGCGGGGAATGACGGCACGGTTCTTGAGCGACTTGCGCATCTTGGCTTCGTTGCGGATGAGTTGGCGCTTCTCACGAATGAGCTCGGCCTTGTAGCGGATGTCTGCGTCTTCGGCATCTTCGACCTCGTCTTCTGATTTGTCGTAGTAGCCCTCTGCCTCGAGACGGGCTTCCTCCTCTTCCAAAGCGGCGAGCTTGCTCTCGATTTCGGGGTCGACAAAGTCGTAAACGTTCTTTCCGTCGAGGAATTCGGGCATCTTGTCCTCGCGCCAGTCGGGGTTCTCGAGCAGCCACTTCTCCTTGAGGTTGATGTTGAAGACACCAGCACCACCGTTCTCCTCCTCGATATCGCGCATGAGGGTGATACGGTTGGGGTCTGCCTTATCGTACTTGACTCTGGTCTTGACAACGTCGGGAACGAAGGTTTCGCGGACGACACCACCCATGGGTTGGGCGACGTGGATACGGCGGAGAACATCGTTGAGACGACCAGTGACTTCACCAGAAGCGTTGGTACCGGCCTTGAGCTTCTGTGCGTTACGCTCGGCGAGGAGACGGTCGCAAGCAGCGTTACGGACGTTCATGAGACCTTCGGTGGTTGTGCAGGAAAGCTGGAGCATCTCAACGTTGTCAGACTTGCACATCTCGGCAAGAGCTTGCTGGGTCTCGGGGTCGAGGTCCTCGGGGCGCATGGCGTCAATCTTGTTAATGACAACGAAAACGAGCTTGTTGGCGAAAAGAGGCTTGATGGATTGGAAAAGCTGCATCTGAGCCGAGACTGAGTAACCACACTGCTCAGACAGATCCATGAAGTAGAGAATGGCAGAGCGCAAGTGGGCAATAGCAGTAATCGACTGCATTTCGATTGTGTTCATCTCTTCCAGAGGATGGTCCAGAATACCGGGAGTGTCGATGGCCTGGAAACGAAGCATCTTGTAATCGAAGTGACCGACGAACAAACTCTTTGTTGTGAAGGCGTAGGGCTGGACGTCGACATCGGCGCGGGAGATGTTCTTGAGGAAACTCGACTTTCCGACGTTGGGGTAACCGCAGATGAGGAGAGTACGGGTGTTGGGGTCGATGGAGGGAAGACGACCCAAGTGCTGGCGAACTTGCTCGAGGTAGAGGAGAGGGTCCTTCAGACGCTTGCAGATGGTGGCCATGCGACCAAGAGCAGCGCGCTTGAGCTGCTTGCACTGGAAGAGCGACTGACCGTACTTGACGAGACGAACATAATCGCGGGCGACTGTCTCGATCAAGTGCTTAGCGGTGGACAGCTGACCGAGGGCGATGCGGAAGTGGTCTGCATCGTAGAGGGTGTTGAGCAGATCCTTGTGGAAGGGGTGGATGTCGGCGAGACGAGGGAAACCATCGAGGACGGCTTGGATCTTTTCGGCAAAGGTTTCGCAGGTGAACTTGATCTTGCGCATGTAAAAGGCTGCGGATGGTGTCAGTCGTTTGTTCTCATTGTTTGATTGCTCCTTCCTGCGTGTCCATCGCTCTCTCCTTCTTGTCCGATGCTCTTGCGTGGTGGCTCTTGCCAAACCACCTGAAAACTCATCTCTCCTGCAACAAAAAGTGGTACACACCTCTGATTCTCGAAATCTTGAAACCCGCTCTGATCTGAGTGGGCAGTCTCCTCTGAGTTCTGCTCAGGACAATGTCCAAGAACTCCTGCGACGTCGGCACAGGCGCGATATCCTTCCACGTCGTCTTCATCTTTGCGGTGTGTTGTTGTGGTTGGGGTTGGGTTCTTGTTGCGAGAACTGACCGAAATCCTTCTCTGCTGCGACGGGCTCCTTCCTCGAAAAATCTCGCCTCCAGACTTTCTGACAAAGTTCTGCCGCAAAGGCGGTCTGCGGGAAGTTGAAGCTAAGGGACTTTTGTTCGCCGACCTCCGCGATTTGGTTGGACAAGTGCCAAGCCTGTTCTTCAATTGACCTCACTTGATGTCGTCTTCCAGTCTGGCACTCTTTCCTGCTCTCGATTCCTCTGTCATTATTTCTTCTGTTTCACTTGCTCATGTGTTGCTCCTCCGCTTGACTCTTGATCTCTTTCGGTCTGTCTTTTACCAGCAGCGCTTCAGACACCGCCTTGCATCCGCGAAACGCTTCAGCGTCCGTGCACCCGCCACAAAATCTCTTCTTCGTATCCACAACATATACCTCCCTTTCTTCCACCACTACATCAAGCCCCTTTAGCTCAGTTGGTAGAGCGCGGCACTAGTAATGCCGAGGTCGCCGGTTCGACTCCGTCAGGGGGCAGTCATGCATATCTTTTGTCGATACACCATGTTAAACATTCATTTCTTGGTGGATGTACCTTTTTGGACCCTGGATATTTTTAGTTCGCGTGGGGGAGACCCTGACGCTCCGACGCTCCTACGCTCCCCTACCGCCGACAAGGCCCGAGGACAGGGACCATTCATTGCTCTCTCTAGATTGTTGCTCCTGTTCAAGAACTGGTCGTGACCTAGCATGTTTTGTACTGTCCTACGCTGTGATGTCTACTATCTGTATTCAAATTCATAAGTCCAGACTGTAGGACGACCGAGTGGTATGCACCTACATTCCACAACACGATTTTGGGGTTGCTTTCTCTCCATTCCGAATGTGAAATACACAGCATTGCTAAACGCAAAAGACTGGTTTGAGATCACCTTGATATCGAAAGGTGTAGAGCTGCAGATTGCTGTTGCTGCTAGTAAATTCATTGGGCTCGAAATATTCGCATGATTCTATTGCTGCGTAACCTTTGGCCAGAAGTTCTCCTCAGCCCACAAGACTTGGTCCCATACTTGCTCACACTTGACCCACTCTTTGCTACCTTCGGCGATGTCCTCAGCGAGCTCGTCTAGTAGCTTGCCAATGCTTACGACAAACTCCTCAAACTCTTCACAAGTCCAGTTGGGTATCAGCGTAGTATGAAGCACATGCGACTTCCTGTCCTCGGGCACCTCATTCTTGAAGCTCAGGGCATACTTCCAAGCCTCTAGATAGCATTTCTCGGTCGCCCACAACGCCGTCATACCAACAAGTATGCTCTGATTGGGTGCACCGGCGCCAGCAAACATGTCTTGGTATGCTCTTGTCTCCTTCGTCGCCGTCTCGCCTCCTTCTTCCCAGTCAAAGTGCTCTTTTAGAATGTCTTCGAACATGCCAAGCTCCCTTCGAACGTTGGTAAGGGCATTGATGAAGCAATCAGCAACACGCCATTCGAGCGACTTTTCGCGTGAGGCAGAGGGAATGGAAGCTTTCGAGAGCATGTTGCCCATGAAGGGGATGTAGGAGAAGATGTAAAGGCGGTCTTGTGTCAACCAGGCTAGTAGAGCTGGAGTAGGTAGTTTTGAGGTGCCGGCGAGACGGAGCCATGGATGGTTGGTTGCGGACTTGAAGGCATCTCGACTGTGAGAGAGGAGGTGGTCGGTGAGCTTCTTGGGAGCCATAATAGCGAAGTATTACAGTCTATCACGCAACAAAAAGTCGTGTATACAAGCAGGATAGGATGAGGAGCTATGTCTCAACAGGTTGTCTTGATAGGGTTGACCTGGAGCCGATAGCGGCAGAGGACTATAGCTTGGATGATGCAGGTCTGACTCGGAGCCAGACGGCGACCGCGGATGCGTTAGCGAACTGAACTATTGAGACCTACTCTCACCCTGATGCGACAAGACAGCGTCTGGAGCTTGCTTGCAACATATCGCAATATGAGCAGAGCATGTCGTTGCATGAGAGAGACAGGCAGGTGCGACACGAAAGCCGATGAGCAGCGCCAAGACTCGCAACAGGGGACGGGTGGGAGAGTGGGCAGCAAGCTTTCCAGGGGTTTGAATGCCAACTTCGAGCTTTTGAATCAATGCAAGAATATTCAGTTATTATCAGACAACATGCAAGAAATGTCTGGTTGCGCAGAAACACCACATTGAATCAGAAAATCTGCAAGCGCATAATATAAAAAAGAAATGGCCGAGCATCCTCGTTCAAGTCCCGGTCCTGGGCACCACAGGGAACAAAGTCCATCCCTGTCTCGGAATCTCGACCGATTATCTCTGGTCAGATCCGGTTCTCCAGCTGATCGCAGAAGTGCATCTCGAATCTCATCAAGTCCCATGCCATCGAACTATCGATCAACAACTCCTGGCGCATCCGACTCACCATCAGCTCTGCGCAGAGCTTCCAGCTCAATGAGCCACACAGGAACTCCCCCGAGGCGAAAATCGTCAATGTCTTCTTTGCGCAGCATGACTAACCAAACTTCTCCTGCTGGTTCTCCTCGCCGTGGCGATCGCTCTTCTTCTACTCTTGGATCTTATCCTTCTCATGCATTGGTCGAAGAACCTGCGCCGTTGACAGCTGCGCAAGTCGCATCCACTTACTTTGCCCAAGAACTGGCTCTACACGAATCTGAGTTTACGACTGCGCAGGTCGCAGTAATCCTCCACGATGCCTGCTACGGACACAGATTTTCAAGGCCAAAGACTTCCAAGGGTATGCTGAGCATGATTGTTGAGAGGCCAGAGCGCGTGCTGGCCGCTGTGCTTGGTCTTTCAGCCGCCTACGTTCGTCTTGGATCGAGGCATTCAGGTGGACAACATGCCCCTCATCCGGACAAGCAACCAAATTCTCGCATCCCGTTCAAGATCAGGAAAACTTCTCGCGCAGTGCCGTTGACTTCGCCATTTGTTTCTGCTGTACATGGAACTGAGTGGATGAAGGAGCTTGAGACCATGTGCAACGTCGCTGGAGAGAAACTGGAGCTGCACATGAAGGAACTGGCCAGACCGCAGGCTCCAGGCTCGACAGCAGAGAAGCAGCCTTTCCACGAGGGCGATCTGTATCTCTGCTCGGAATCACTGAACGCGCTGCAGGGTGCTATTGGTGGTGTCTGCGACGCTGTCGACACAATCTTCTCCAGCATCCCGACTTCTCCGAAACGTGCCTTTGTGGCCATCCGACCACCCGGTCATCACTGCTCTTCCGATTTTCCTTCTGGCTTTTGTTGGATCAACAATGTGCACATTGGTATTGAATATGCTGCGCAGACCTATGGCCTTACACACGCCGTGATCTTGGACATCGACTTACATCACGGTGATGGATCACAGGATATCACTTGGGAGAGGAACGCAAAGAGCGCCAGAATGCCCAAGAATGCTTCTTTCACAAAGAAGACCGCGATTGGATACTACAGTATGCACGACATCAACTCATATCCTTGTGAAGATGGAGACAAGGAGAAAGTCACCAATGCCAGTCTTTGCATCGACAACATTCACAATCAATCAATTTGGAATGTCCATCTAGAAGCTTGGAAGTCTATGGACGAATTTTGGGCTCTGTACGAAACGAAGTACTTGATTCTGCTGGAGAAAGCTCGGACGTTCTTGAAGAGACATACACAGACGATCAAAGATTCACACAAGCAGGCTCCGCCTAGAGCGGCGATCTTCATTTCTGCTGGTTTTGATGCAAGTCAGTGGGAAGGTGCTGGTATGCAGAGACATGCAGTCAATGTGCCTACTGAGTTCTATGCTCGTTTTGCAAAAGACGTCGTCAAACTAGCTCAAGAAGAAGGCACTGGCGTCAATGGTCGTGTCATTTCTGTGCTCGAGGGAGGTTACAGCGACAGAGCCCTCTGCAGTGGTGTTCTCAGTCATATCTCAGGACTCTGTCAAGACCCAAGCTCGACAGATACCAACGAATCGCAAGCATCTCATGCCGATGATGACATCGCAAGCGCAATGCAGAGTATGAACATCTCCAATGGTTCCCCGAACGGTACACCCGGATATGACTCGAGTTGGTGGGATGTCAAAAACCTGCAAGCTTTAGAGACCCATGTCACACCACCTCCACCACCAGCCCCTACCAGAACCCAACGCACTGCTATGCCAACATATGCCACGCCCACTCAGTCGTTTACAGGAAAGGTGGTCGACCCACTCAAGTTCCAAAGATCGATATCAGGCACAATGCGTCCAATGTCACCTAGACCTGCTGGACCAAAAGAACCACCTGAAGTCAATTGGATTGTTGCTGTGCATGAATTAAGCAAACTCATCATTCCTTCGGATCGTCAGACAAGAAGCCATGCGCCAGAAGACCTGGCGCCAGTAAGAGTCAAGAAGGATAGACTCTCTGCTCCGGTGGCTATATCGGCAGAGCCAGTTGCAGGTGGAAGACAGTTGCGAACCAGAAAACCAAAAGGTGCCGGTACAGTCAGCCCGCCAACCGAAGCAGATATGCAGGTCAAACCTCTTCCAGTCGATCTTGCTAGGCGCCAGACGATTTCGGAACTGCCAACACCTGCTAGTGTTGAGCCTGCACCAATTCAACAGCCAAAACGAACGACAAGAAGAACTAGCAACATGTTCGACATGAAGACAGAGGCTGCCGATGTGCCACCTGTGCCTGCTATGCCTGTGCAGCCACCACCTTCAAGTCCGAAAAAGTCGCGTGCAAAGGCATTGAAGCCTGTGTTGCCGGAAGAGCCAGTCATTAAGCAGGAACCACCAGAACCATTGTTCAAGCTTGAAAATCGCGCACCACGCCCAGAACCCAAGCGCTACCCCTCAGAACCGTCTGTACCCAGTGCAATGCCTCTGACTATCGACTATACCAAACCGATCAATCATATCCAGCCACTGCGACCTGCCGGAATCAAAAGGATTCATCTTAAGGTGGGGACACGAGAGGAGCATGATCGCAAGGTCAAGGAAATGGAGGAAAAAGCCAAGGCAGAAGCCAGAGCGAAATCAAACATGCCCGAGATGCCAATGCCTGAACAACTAGTCGAACAGGACGTTCTGAAAGTCGACCTGCCTAAGGTCGAATCGAGTTCTGCTTCGGATCTGACTGAACAACAAGACTCACGTAGGCCTCCAGTAGCGGCATCGCAGACTGTGCCCTCTGCCTTGATGCACAAAGATTCTCCTCTTTACCTCGACGTGGGAGAGAGCACACCACAACAGGCTGCTGGTGCGTCAGCCTCGCCAAGTCAACCGCAGGCTACAAACCTTCAGCAGGGGCAAGCTGTCGAAAAGCAGGAGCCCCGTGACTCTGCCGACCTATTGACCCAGGGTCGATCATTCCAATCTCAAGCTCCTTCGTATCAACCCGAATCACAGCAGCAATTCGTGCCAGCTCCACAACACACCCAAACGTTCTTCAACCCTTCATACACGCATCCTCAGAACAATCTCCCAACTTTCTCCAGCACAGGAGCAATTCCGTTCGCGCCTGCTCAAGCCAGACCAAGTGGCCCCAATCCCGTGTCTGGCCACGGAAATGGAGTGTCGAGATCAATGCTTGAGGAACTTCCCACTTTGAACAAGGTTATAACGCCGGACGATGTCGACATGATGGATCTGGACAGTCCAGAGAAGAAGAGATATGGACAAAAGATCATTCCCGAGACGCCACAGCACTAGACGTGCGTGGCAGAGGTCATAAAAGTTGATGGCAGATAGATGTGTTGCGGAGTCTCTTTTTCTGATGATACCCAATTAGAATGAATGATAATTTTGTGCCTGTCGCACTGCAGAAAAGTTTGAACAGAGCGCCTTCTACTGATATATGCCAAACATGAGCCCTACTCTACAACATCTGATAACCGACTACTGGTCGCACTCTAAAAAGTCGCATACGATCATCGGAGAGGGAAAGTCGATGATGCAGTGACGAAGGAGGGGCAGAGTTCCCAATTGGGAAAGACGTCGGACAGAACGCGAAATGTGCGCGTCCAGGATTCCGTCATGAGCGAGGCAGCTACAACAACGTCTATATCGCCGTCGCAAGACACAATCGCCACAAGATAGCTATCCATAACACGACCTATACCGATCGCATACATTCATTGCACGACAATCACCCATCCAATGCCGCCGAAACGCGCCGCGAAGGCCGCAGCTAAGCCCGCGCCTGCCACAGCTCCAACAACCAGAGGCACTCGATCGCGTGCGCAAAAGACGACTCCACCACAAGAAGAAGAGTCAGCACCCAGCAGTGTTGCGCGCAGCACCAGGTCACGCAAGTCTACAACAGTTGAACAAGATGCACCCGCACAAGAGGTGGAAGAAGAAGTTGCGACACGCGATGCGATCCCTCAACCTCGCACGAAACAGCAGCGCCCTACTACGCGTGGCCGCCCTCCGAGGACTGTCAAGAAGCCAGCACCTAGCCAAGCGAACAAGGATGTCATGGACAAGCTGAAGGCGCGCATGGAAGAAGACCGCAGAGCCACAAAAGCTGGAATTGTACCACAATCTGCACCTGAGACTCAATCGCAACAGGCAGTCCGAGAAGCCACGAACAACGATGGAGATGCTGCTTTGGTGCCTGCTCGCGCTGCTCCACGATCGCCCTCGCCAGCCAGGCAAACAGCAGTACCAGGAACGGCAGTCAAGGCGCCTGCTAGTGTCGTGCGTCCACAATCTGCTGTCAAGATGCAGAGTACGCCTGGAGCAGAGTCATCCGTTCTGGCCTTGCAGAACTTCAGACGACGCGCCCGTCAGCCTAGCTTGCTGCAGATGGTGCAGAATCTTGAACTTGCTGGAACTCCGATCGATGACACGACAGACTTCACTCTTGGTAGCTTGGGCGATGAAGATGATTTCGCGCCACATGACGAGAGCACACCTCTGCAGGTCTCCAAGGGTAGACCCATTGAGATTGAGCAAGAGCCGGAGGAAGACGTGGATGAGGAGGAGGTCGAGCAAGAGCAGGAGAATGCACAGACACCAGAACCGACATTGCCAAATTCAGACGATGAGTTCTACGGCGCGACACCACAGAAATCATCGCAACGGCAGACTCGTAAGCGCAAATCAGATGCCATCGAGGAGTCCGAAGTTCAAATCGCCCGTTCATCGCCTTCATTACCATCACCCTCAAGATCACTTGCTGGGAGAGAAGAATACGAGACCATTCCAGCAACAGCACCCGAAGACGACAGTGAAGAGCCAGCAACGACAGAGTCGCAACAACGCAGGTTGCTGAGTGATACCTACGCAGAGCCCATGAGCAGCTCACCACCACCTGACCCCATCAGTCCCGTCTCTCCCGAGCAACCTCGTCGAACCCCTGCACTCTCTCCTTCAGCCATCCGCAAATCCGCTCGAGCCGGTGGACAGCAGACCAAGAATGTTAAGCCATTGACAACAGCAACATTACGAGCCATGCTGCCCAAGCGCCGTGCTCAGCGTAAAGACGATTTTGATTTCAGTTCTTCATCAGCTCTCGAAGCCTCATCCTCAGCATTCGAAGACGAGAAGCGCAAAAAGGCAAGGACGAAGAAGACTGTCGCGACCAAGAAACCCGCGCCACCAAAATCGAAGAAAACAATTACAATAGCGACAAAAAAGACATCACGAACCTACGCTCGCAACAATAAAGAAAACAATCCTGTCGTTCAAATTTCTTCTGGCTCTTCAAGTCTGTCCGAGCTCAACAGTGATGAGCTCGAGGCAGACGAGACTGCAGACACGAGTATTGATACTATCAAAGGCTCTAACTCTGACGAGAAGATTTCTGACGAGTTGAAGAAAGCGAGAGAGAAGTTTGCAGAGATTGATAATTGGGACATGGAGTTTGAGAGTGCGAGTTTAGGGGCTGGTGGGGCGAGTAGTCCGTGGCGGTAATAGTTCTTGTCTACTGATTTTCGAGGGTGTGTGGTGTCTTGCAAGGTGTTCTGGCGTAAATAGGCTTGTAACGAGCAATCGGCACACTGTGGGATTTGTAGGCTGAATGGACTTTGGGTAGCTGTGCTTCGATATCGATATAATTATTGCTTTTGCTCCATCTCACTTGTAGGATCCATCTGTTCGTTCAATTGCGGGAATGTATTCGTGGTGACCGCAGGAAGGAGCAAAGGGAGGCTGGATTGCAAGCCCCACTTTTTGAGCGAACGTCGTCTCCTTCTGCTGGACGTGAATTGTCTTTCCTTCCAATCATGAACATCAAAGCAATATGGAATTCTCAAAGTTGAATTGACGCGTTATGCTCGTGGTTATCGAGATCGAATTGGAAGATTTGTCTCTTTATTAGTGTGACAAACAAACCGCGAATGCTTCTCCATCGCTCTGATAGGCGACAAGACATGGTTTCTTGAATTGCCTTTCTATTCGATCATCGAGATTGAGAGTCGAACGATATAACTGCTTGGATGTATTTGAGGTTTCAAGCTGCAGGTCTTTGGCTGGTTAAATGACTCTGAATAATTGCACGATAGTCTTTGCAGACGAAGCTGTTCTTGCGAGAGAGACTGAGGAAAATCTTCTTCCGGAATATTTACTGGACCTCGCCCTCACTGCAATGATTACGGCTTGGGATGTTGTTCGCGGAAAACTTACAGTCACATAAGATCGCTTTGTCTGCGTAGTTGACTTCTTCACTGTCAATTTGATTTGCGCTGGTCGATCGTCTCTCCAATCTGCGCGGTATTGCTGCAGTTTTCCTCGAGAGTTTTCGCATCACCTTTGACATAACTGTTGCGAATCGATCATCGTTCCGCTGTCGACAAAAGATGAAGACTGCAGAAGAACTCATGCCCGGTGGCAGATGGCTCTCGGTACCCGGAACTAGTATGTCATGAACACCTCATGGCTTATAGTGAGAACATGTGCATTGACAATTACCCAGACTTTGAGAGCGCCGCTTATGCACTGGCTGCTGGCATGACTACCCTAATGTCCGTTCAGCGGTCTTTGGACTGGTCAGATCTCACGACCGAGAGACAGATGTACGATGCCGTCAAACCGATGTGCAATACTCAGACGCTTGCTGAGCTGAAGAGCAATGGGATCAAATTCGACTCACAACGTCCTATGGACATGACTTCGCTCTCCTTTGTCATCCAGTCTTGGAATGCTAGGGTGGTGTCCCAGATCAGAGTTCACATGTCTTGCGATGGTCAAAACATTCCGGTGCCCTCCAAAGGTCATGATGGTTGCAAGTCAGTCTACATTCGGTGCATTGCCAACAGGTGGGAAGCTTATGGCTACTACCAAAATTCTGCAACGACTCCAGGACCTGTAAAAGCAGCCAACACCATCTCCATCATCACCCAGGTCGAAATCAAGCCTGTCGCAGTCTCTGAGTCACCAAGAGTCGCCAATCCCTTAGGAAAAGCCTCAAACACCCTGCCAAAAGATGCCAATGATGTTGCTGTGATGGTCAAAGAACTTCGCGAAAAATCTCTCAGCATCCTTCCAGCCATCACCAAACTGCACCGTCAGATCGAACTGTTCGACGCTGCGCTAAAGAAAGACCTACAGCCAGTAATAGACATTACTTACTATGAGCTTCGTACAAATACCTGCGATGCGATTGAATTCTTGGATACCATCATCTCCGACGACGTTTCTCAGGCCTCAAAGATGCTGATTGAGAATTTCCGTATGGAACGGATCAAGTCTGGCCGCCGCAACACTACATTCAAGCTTGTCGTTGAGCCTGTCACTCCTGCAAAATCTTGGGGACAGCTTGCGGCGGCTGCTCATCGTCCTCGTGTGTCTGCTTAAGGGTCCAGATCCAATGCGCGTGATAGACAGGTCTCGAACACCTTCTCCCCCATCGTACAGGTCGACATCAAGCCTAATCTTGACCCTGCAAGAGTGCCCGACACACACGACCCTAAATCTCGCCCGGCCGCAGACTCGTGGGAGAACAAGCCTATGGAGTCAGCGGTTCGTAACCTCCGCGATATCTCAACATATCTCACTGTACCCATCGAGAGGCTATGCTGCTGGACCGAGGTGCTTGATGTATCCCGCAATGAGACCGTACGGCCAGCTATAAATCGTCTCTTCTCTACATACATCATGATAGGTCGTATAGAAATCGAGGCGACGAGGAGTATTGAAGACAGTGCCACCGAGCAAGAGAAGGAGAGAGTTCTTACCATGATGGAAGGTTTCACTAAGCCTAACAGGGGCGAGCGCGTCAACCAAAAGAAGAACGAAGCTGCCGAACAGAAAGGAGACAAAAGATGCTGGTCAGAAAGTCGGCGAAGTGGCCAAGCAGAAAGAAGACAAGGACGCAGAGCAGAGAAAGCTCAAGGAGGCGGAGGAAGCTGCTGCTGCATATGCTTCACAAGACCGGCACGACTCTTGCAGTGATTCTGATTGAGAATGGGAAGGATGAATGTGGCTGGCGGTGGTCAAACGAGGATTGTCGAGAGAACAGAACTGCGCTCGATCGTTAGGAAAAGAATAAACCCCACTTTCTGCTTCGATCAAAGATTGTTCCCACATCGCGCCTGGAGAACTTTTCTTTGGCTGTATCTCATCTATTCTCTGTGTGTACAACAATGGCATTCAGGAGCTCGTAAAGTGAGAAGCAGTCGAACCCCCAAACCAATTCCAAACCAATCCCACCCCCACCACCATAGGTATATATTCTTCCAACTTCCGAGCATAAAACGTGTCCAGTAGTGTAGGGGATGTGCGTCGACATATGAACGTCTGAACCGATAGCAGAACACATTGGGAGTAAGGGCTCCAGGTTCGACCCTCCGGCCGATCCCTGGGGATTGAACCGAATTTCTTTTTGCACTTTTTGCTCTGGGTCTTGACATAACACAGCCAGGGCTAAATCTCATCGATACGACATGGCCTGGGTCATTGCGCCTCACATAGTAGTGTTTTCTGTGTCTTCTGTTTTTATGTTTTGGTTGTGTCTCAGGGGTTGACGGTGTGGGGTTGAGACAAACGCGTAGCTTGGCTTGTTGCTTGCGAAATCGATGGCTCGAAGTGTTTTGCAAAAAGTTTCTCATCGAAATATAACTCTGAAGTCTTCCCGCTACCTCTATCTTCCATTCGGGCACGTCAAAATCTCTTTACCTCATCTGACAACCCTTGCGCCCAACCATGGATGTCCACCGATCCAAACACTAACGACTATGTCCGCTCCTTCCGCCAAGAATATCCTCTTACCCTGTATGAACAAGCTTCAGGAGGCGTGCTGCTATCATGAGGGAGCAGACCACAACACTAGAAGTCCTCTTGGCAATCCTCTCGACCTTGTTCACCTGTTATAAGAGGACTTTTGGCATTAGGCGAAGACAGAGCAACTCGCAATAGACATTGCTGCGCTGAATGCAGTTAGTGATACAAAATTGATCGACGTGTTGGCCATTGTAGATTGATAGATACAGCGACTGCAGCTGCGAAGGACAATGAAGGAAGTAGCAAACGAGTGTTGCCGTCAAAGATCCTGCCACAACGACATGAACAGGAAGTCACGCCTCTTTGTGCCCCAGTAGGTCCTACCCAGTATGGTTCCACGCCCAACATTCACCAGTCTCGGAATTTGTGCATAGAGAAGCGGTGAGAGCTCCGGCCAATCGTTCTTCTGTTTTCAGAACAAGTGCTGGAATGGCTGGTCGATCGGCAATATACCGATCTTGACGTTTTGGTGGTACAGATGAGAGTTCATGCCTGTTACTGCCAGTTTCTCGACTTCAGCCCCTCTCCTGGACCGTGTGTATTGTGCATTGCGACAAGGTCGCCATCTTTGGTCCTACGATGAGGGAGTATATGAACTGGAAGGGTGTTTCTGTCTTTTGTTTTCTCTTCCTCACAACCTCCAAGAGTTTTGTTGACGTCTCATCTACGCTCTCGCTTTCTGCAACTCTTTGCAAGCTTTCACCATCATCGGGAAATCTCCAACGTCAACAAAGGAGGAGTATGACTATGAGGCAGATAGCCTGCAGAGCTGATTTTATGGTGTAGCAAACCCTTTCTGCACGATGTCGTGGTTCAAAGGAGCAGTGTCCCTTGCCAGTATTGCCGCAAAGAGAAGAGTGAGATTCAAAGCCCTGTGCCTTGACGGATTGATGCTCTGACACAGAACCAGGTCAAGCCTATGAACACTATCGTTCGATCTGCTGTTCCCCGACGAGCACCAAGAGTCATTGAGACTCAAACCCAGCAGAGCGGCCCCACTCGAAGTTCGATTATCCAAGAGATACTGAGCCAGAACCAAAGCCCAGGTTCCAAGGTTACATTCGGAGCGGCAATGCTTCTCGGCGCTACCATGCTCATTACTCCGTTCAAGGAGGGCTCTCCTGCACGAGTAATCCTGACCAGCACGGAAGCTTTGGTACGCCAACGAAAGTCACAGAGAGCACCTGCAATGCTCAAGAACTGGCTCAAAGCCTCTTACGTGTGGATCGTCATCCACGTATGGACCCTACTCCTGGCCATCGCTACCTGGAAGTTTGCAAGGTCCTGATGAGCTCAAGGTCACCAAAGGGCTGGACGATAATGATGGCTCTCATCCAGAGAGAGTATGCTTGACTGTTGTTGTGCTTTGCATCACATTTCATCCTGGGTCTGGCGTTCAGGAGTTGTGGTTGTTGTCTCACTACTTATTAGCCCTGAAAGTTGGGCTCTTCTGTCGATCAGAAATGTCTGACCATTTCACATCTAATTTTGTATACTTGTTGAGGCCTCTTAAACCCCATCACCATATTCTGAGGAACACATGCGGTAAGTCTGAGATTCGCCATGATAGCAGGAAATGCTTCGATTGTCAAACTGTTCTGCGAGATTGGCAGACTGCAGTAGGCCCCGTTGACCCTGAACTAGAAGATCATTGGATAGGGGAATATCGCAAAGCCTTCCCATTCGCCCAGACTGTAGCCAGCGATCTGTGCCAGGGGACTACCGACCAACAACGATTTTCCGAGAGCCACTTGAGCCACGTGCTTTGATACTTGCTTTTTGGTACAGCTGTATGCCCAAATGCATATCGTTTAAAGATTTGGTGTAATGCAATAGGTCACGTTGCTTGTACATGAACAACGCCTACGTCCTGCCTTCTTCGCTGAAACAATAGTCAGTTTTGCTACCAGCAGCGTTCACATTCCAAATACATATTTGCGAATTATGCGGTGTCAAAGATGACGCGTCAAGTTCATTGTATAGCCAGTATCAGTATGGTGACCTGGAGCCATTCAGGGGTTTGTGTGTATCAATCCGTCACATCCAGCCAGGTAGGTCGGTAGTAACAACCTCGAACTAACAATGTTAGCAGAATCATTCGCTGCTCCTTCGGATATGTGCATGATGCCAGCTATCTGTTTATACGTATGGTTTTTCAGGAGCTTCGTCGCACTGACAGCGCTTCGAAATTGTCATTGTTTCCGGAATCACCGTCATTGCAGCCTGGCTGACTATGTGTATGAACTATATCAGCTTTCCCCACAGCAGTTTCGTTGCTTTCTTCTTCACTGCGACCGGAACATCCAGGGGAGGTGCGCATACCAGCCCTCTTGACCTCAGCACTTCAAAAAGAACCTCCAACATGCCTTTTGATCCTGTGACTTTTGGCGCTCTTTCAGCTGTTGGCCTTCATTCAGAAGAGGTATGTATCTAAGTTCTGTATGAAAACCTTGCATATAATCATGCATATAGAAGTTCAGGATATTCCCATCCCCTTTGTCAGTCATTACAACCCGCTATTCTGCAGAAGTTCCATATACCCCTCATCAACCCCCTGAGAACGACATAGGCTCAACAATCAGTGGCTTTGAGCTCGACATTATCGATGAAGTTGGTGAAGATCTCGCATCAACACTATCCACTACACAACACACTCCTGCATCGAGTCAAGCATCCCCTCTCAGCGATCTTGAAGACGAAGCTGCATTGACCTCTGAAGTCAGCCATCTCCTTGAAGCACAGGCAACCAGAATCGAGCAACTTCTGGAAGAAAACGAGCTGCAAGCCGAAGAGCTGAGAAGACTCGTGAAGAAAGAGAAGAAGAAGCAGGGAAAGAGTAAGGAGAAAATGGCAAAGTACCAGACAGATGTCATGAGGGAGTTGTTAAGGGCTGTAACGATGGTGATGACACCATTGCCTGAAGGCTCACCTGCAAGATTTGTGCTCATGGCTGTCGAGGCTTTCTTCTTGAGGGAGAGAGTGATTGTCTCTAGAAGGCAGTGAGGGTTGATATGGTGGGAAGATTGCGAATGAGCAAAAAACGCCTGAATGCATGGTATATGGAGCTTTCTGTGTGGTATCTGTAGTGTTCTCGTCCAAGATAAAGCGCTTGGACAAAGAATTGGAGAGACGAGACAGCTGTGGCAGCAGATCATAGTACTACTATTCTTACCAAGCATAACATGTCTCTTGCGCGAATCGGAAAAATCTATGTATGGCTTGAGCAAAAAGGATGGAAGGAAGGAAAGAAGTGATGGAGTAAAAGTGCAAAAAGATCAGCGGTGGCCCACGTTGGAATCGAACCAACAACCTAATGGTGCAGCTAATGGAGGTGAACCGACCAGAGGTTGTCTTGAACACTGCTCCCAGATGCACCATCGTACCGCTGGTTAGATGGAAGTCATTCGATTGGAATAAGTAACGACAAGCACGACCAAGATTCACTTCGAGGTCAAGCGACTGTTTGCGATACACGTTGTGAGACAAAGAATTCTGACTGACGCGTGAAAGAAACACTCTACACGCAGACACAAGAGACAAACAACCCATTCGAGCACGGAAGCCATGTCTCGGACATCTGTCACAGACATCTGGAAGGAACATGCCAGAAACAGAGAACGTTCTTGCCTCTTCAGGCTCTTCTGATTGAGGACTGCACGCCAGACGGATTTCAAAAACATGTTTTCGTCTTTGTGACAAAGATTCGCGGATCAATAATCTTGTCTTGAGCAGGAACAACATGTCTTTGATCGTGGGTGAGACATGGCTTGAGACAAGGAAGGTGTTGCAATATGCGCCTGTCTCCAAACTTTCACTCTAGGATTACCGATACCACTTTCTTTAAATCAACATTCATCACAGCCAAGAGCTTTTGATCAACCCTTTATCTCCAGCATCTGGTTCCTCCTCAAATTCACCCTCGAACTTCCAACCGCTACTCACATTACAATCTTCACGCTTCGATTCGTAAAACTACCTCTAGCCAGGATGACGGACGACATGAATGCGCAAGATCCACCGCAGACTGACGGGAATACGGAAAAAACGAACCGTGAGTGCAAACAGACTCGTACATCCGCTGCTGCAACACACGCTATCGCCATCACAGAGCAACTGGCCAAGGCTACAGACATGACGTTCGATCTAGCCTCGTATCTTGAGAATTCCGAGGACGTCAACTACAAGATGGAGGATCCTGGCCCTGATCTTTCGAACTTGCCCGCAACTCCATCGCTCCCTATATCCAGCATTCCCACCTTCTACCTGGCACCTTCCATCACTCAAGCGATGCAACAGATGGGTCCCGCTATACCGAATCTTCCATATGCTCTCTGGCCCATAGTAGAGCCCGAGAATCCCGATGAATCTACGCTTCCATGGGACGATATCATCGAAAAGTCAAGCCAAACCGTGCAAGCCGCGGAGTTCTCTCCTATCAGCGACCACACCTCTGAGCCCCATCGTCAAACACCACAAAGCAATCCATCTTACGCCGAAACACCTCCTCTCATGACTCAGAAGAGCAGCGATGGATCGAAGAAACAAGCTGCTATGGAACAACAGAAAGAGAAGGAAGGTGATACTGGAGTGGCTGGAGAGGACATTGTTCATGTTGGCTTCTCCGACCAAGATTTCATGTTCATGAAGAATCTGCTGGCTCTCAACAAGTTTGAGCTCTGCGACATGAACCGCGAACTAGAATTGACTCAGGAGTCGAACACACAGCTGCGTAAAAGATTGTTCGACGCAACAGAAGAGCTCGCTGGAGCTAAAGAACAGCTCAGCCAGAAGGATGGCTATATCTCAGCTTGTGACAAGAAAATCGGTGCTTTGCAGAGAAAGATTGTCCTTTTGGCACATCCCTACACTGCACTTGACCTCGGACAAACGCCCACTGGCACCATTGCGAACGCCAACCCTGAGCCTCAGCTCCACAAGTCCACGTCGAAACCAGAAACGATGCCCATCCTTCACAAGCCATCAGCGGAACCCAAGGCCGTTGACAGAAGCTTGAGCCGATCACAGATTTTTGCAATGCCAAAAATGACAGAGAAAAAGATCGCCGGCGAAAGAGAAGCCAGACTCAAAGAGAGCCAAAAGGACTACGAAGCGCTTTTGGAAGAAAAAGAAGCCCTTATTAGCCGAATAACCAAAGAACATTTCGAGAGGCAAGCTGTGTTGGAGGATCGCTATATGCTCAGCGCAATGAGTGAGAAGCTCAGAAGAGTGGTCAAAGAGATTATCTGGGAGATCCGGGAGCTGAGGATTGAGAATGAAAAGTTCTGGGAGGAGAATGAAAAGCTCAAGGAAGAGTTGGATCAAGCCCGTACTGCCAACAATTCCAAGTTGGATCATGTTTCTGTTCCTCCGAAGACCTCTGAAGGAGTTTTTGATACAGTCTCGCAGCAGAATATTCCAGAGACAGCGACTTCTCATACGGAAGCTGACCAGGTCAGGCATGCAGTGGGTGAAGGACACGAAGACACAAACCAATGAGCCAACCGCCTGCAATCTGGAAGCTCTTCATGTGGCTCCGATTGAGCGAACATCGAAGAGCCTGACCTTGAGAAGGAGTGGCCTTACGCATGGTGGTGATTGACGGGCGTTGATTTATCCTTAAGCGAGGTGATCTACAGAGGGTAGAAAAGAGACGCAGTGGTTGCTTCACCCACTATCATCGAGAGATTCGAATTTGTCTCTTGATTGTTTTTGTCTAGCGACCGGTTATGGTATACAAATGATGCATATTTTGAATCAGCAACCACTTCTTTACAATGTTTTCATGATAACTTACATGCTTCTCTTCCACAACACTGCTCGACTTGATGACGCATTGGCCACTTGAATCAGTAGATTGAAAATATGCAAATCAGAGCGTGAGCCGCAGGAATAAGAAGAGTACAGTTCACAAGCGATGGCCCCTCCAACAGAGATGGTGCAAAAGTCCCAGCTTGCTTCGAGGATTGAACAGACAACCAATAACAACTACAAAAGCACGTATCAAACAACCGTAACAAAAGCTTTCCACTCTATGCGGCTTCCATCAATCTTCCAGCACCAAAATCAAACTGCAAGTCTTCCTTCCCAACATCAGCATCGAAAGTCATGCAGTAAAAGAGCAAAAAAGGAATGCTAGGCCGGCGCCTGAAGGCCTTGCCCGACGGTCTGGGATCGCAGATGGCTCGGCACCACCTCCACCACGGCAATAATCGACTCCCGCAGGTCGACCGGCGTAATAAATGTAATTTATCTCGCCTCCTTGTCCGCTTGACTATCACGCATCTGGGGTGAAAGTAATTCAGCTTTGGATTAATATATAGTCTATGCTGCCTTCCTTCACTTTTGGAAGACATCTCAGAGGCTTGCATCATACTACTTTGATGCTCTGATGCTCATCCTCACTGCCCTCATTTTTGGACCTGGAGTATTTTGACACATCTTCCACGCCTTGCTCATATCTCTGAATACTAAAGTATTTCTCTTTTCAGCCGATGGTTCCAGATAGCATTCAATGAGAGGGGCCAAACAACGCCCAGGTTCGAGGGAAACAAAGAGGATCTTAGCATTTAGCAAACAATTAAGCTGTATTCCAGTCACATCAACAGGACAAACAGCTTTCAGCCTCCTTTCAGTATTCACAAGATGTACAGGAAGCTGCATATATGGCCAATAACGAAACGACTCCAGACGGTTGCTTCTAAGGTGCCTCCAGTTCAACGACCAACCAAAGATGCTTCGTTCGTGGTATTATTTGAGATTTGTTATCTCATGCTCCTCTTAAGGATTGCAGATAACTTGGTTACTTCATTACAAAGAGACGATGGAAACAAACATGTCTAGAAGAATCCAAGATCTCTTTGTTATAGCAAACTCATACTGTTATAGAACTTGACTGGCGTCTACCTCGTGACAAGCTGATTCGTACAGAACGTCTTGAACAGGCAGCATGGACGAAGAAACGACTAGTTTAGAACCATACTCCCACAATCTTACACAGATGCTTCTTAATAAAGACGAGGTGTGTGTGATGATCCGTCATGCAACAAGAATTAACATTTTGATATTGGCCAATTACTAGTTGATGACCTGCACCTTTTCCGAAGAATCAAACGATAAACCCGAGGCCAGTTCAGAAGTGGCAATCGCTCAGAGATATCCTGCGGTCAGCAACAGCCAGCCAATCGAGACACAATCCAAAAGCGGCGGCGACTCCCCACCATGGTCACGCCCTTCCAATCACGATTCCTCACTTCAGCGAGAGCTCTATGACCCTCAACAAGCATCAGCCGCAGCATCAACAATTTCAACGCCAGACAAGCCAGCAACACTAGACAACGCCAAAGTACTTCTACGCAAAGCCGACAAGCTGCTATTTGGCAAGCTGTCTCGCTCTCACGATCAATCAGAAGAGGATCCTGAGGCTCTCTTATCGCCTTCCAATCCATGGAGCTCTCCATCTTCCAATGAGTCCGAGAACGATCTGAAGAAAGCGAGAGGATACCTGAGAGCTGCACACAAGATGCTCGAACTTGTCGGCTTCAAGAGGAATGACGGGGTTTGGGGAGGTTCGGATCATGGAGAAGATGGAAGTCTAGGCGGATCGACAGAGCTCGGTGGGGATGAAACAATGGATCTGGATGCCAATATGGGTGGGGTGGAAAGCCATGTTTCTGTGCTCCAAGGCCGAATCCGTGAGCTGGAGGCCCAGTTGCGAGATGCGTTGGCTGCTCTGGATAGTGAGAGAGGATTAGTCAGGGAGCTTCGGGAAGAATTGCGACTGTGAGAGGTGGAGAGCATGGGTAGTGATACAGGTAACCTACTAAGTCCCAGTGAGGTACCCATGTAATGACTCTCTCGGAGGTCGAGCAGTTCAAAAAGACGTTAGCAAAGGTAAAGTGCATCTTCAATTTGTTCCTGATTCATCGAGAGTTCAAGAGCAGCCGAGAGCTCGAGATGTGTGTTCTCGATCGTGGTTTTCTTCTCTTTCATGGTCGGCTTGTTTCACTTCGCATCTCAAATTTCCGGCACTCGAGCCGATTATCTTCAACCTGCGCTCTTGGTGTGAAACTGGTGTGAAACTAGTGTAAATCTCTAGTTTCAATCTTTCTTACACTCCGACTCTCCTTCGTCTTGCACAACACGACCATCGCTTTGAAAGATGCCGACTTTAAAACTGCCGCGACGCAGCGACAAGTCAAGTAGTCCCAGACAGGTATGGCCAGAGTTCTTTTCGCTGACAAAGTGAGTTAATCTTAGACAGGACCTTGACGTTGCCTCTCTTCCTGTTCCTCGTTCCAACGTGTTACGTCCTCGCGCTATCGGTAGCAGGAACGCTAGTGATTACTGGGACAAGTTGCCGAAGTTCTCTCCTAAGAAAAAGACTGTGCGCTTCGTAAGTTATAACATTGTTGCTCTTTCCCAACGCTGACACGTCTAACTAGAATGACTCCGGCACTGGAACAAAACGCGCAACGTCTCACAATGGATCTCCTGGAGCGTTTCATCGAGCCCTACATTCGATGAGCAGCTCAGACCTCATTGCTTCTCAGCAAAAGACTGCCGACACTCAAGCTCAGAGTGGCTGCATGAACAACGTCAAAAAGCAGTCTAAGGATCAGATCGACCGCGATGAACGCATGATCACGGCTCTCCGCGAACACAGCGCTTCTCTTGACAAGCACACCGCTGCTCTTGAGCGCTATACTGCCGCCATTAAGGAGCAGACTCGTGGCTCTGACCACGTCTGAGCTAGTCAAGTTGTTGTCAACTCCCGTCGCTAGCTTGGTGGTAGGGTGAAAGGAAGATGAATTGGAGCTTTCGCCTCTTCGATGAGGTTTATGGACAAGCATCGATACTATATCTTGAACTGCAACCAGAAAATGTCAGACCGATGCCCAAATCCTTTTATCATTTTTCTTGCTTGTGACTCGTTTTCATCTTTGACATGATGCATCACCACTTTTTCATTCTCACGTTTATCCTTGTACAGTTTGTTGTTCCGGCACTTTTCGAGTCATTAACTCAGTGAGCTCCTTGGAATTCCAACATTTTGCTATGCTTCTCCCTCTTGTTCGTGCTTCTTTGAGAACATGATGAGTTCAGTCGATGAAGACTTGCCAATCGTGTCCCTGATCTTTTGCTAAGTTTGAGAACCGGCTGTGATGTAGAGTCGATGATGAAAGTCTGAGCTACGGGGTCAGAGTCCGTTACACAAGGCGTTCTGAAATAAGAGTGTAGACGGTTCTCAATATGCAGGAGCGACAAGCCTCGCATTGGACGACGCGGCCGGCCGAAGGTAGTCTTCCATGTGGTTAAAAATTGTAGATCGTAGAAAATAGTGATATGTGGATACAAGATGTTGTCCAGCAAACGTCGAGGCGATGTTGATTCCCCTCGAAAACACATTTGAGGAGAAACCTTTGCAACCTGAGGCTTGCATGTGACAGCCCATCCGAAGACGAAACAGGCAAGATCGAGTGGACCGTGTGTCGTCAGAAAGGGGCATCGACGCCAAGGCTCCAAAACTCCGCTCACTTACCTCCCTCTGCGCACTCAAATTCGCACTTTCAATTCTGCCTTATCACATCAACAACATCTTTGAGTTTCCCAACCGACCGCACATTCAAGATGTCTTCCCCTTCTCTTCCTCCATACAAGGCCCGTTGTGATTCGGCCGAAGAGGCTCAGCGCCTTGCCGACAATGTTCTGCGTTTTGCCGCCTCTCTTCCGAGAGGCACTCGCAACGACTGGCTCAGTCTTACGCTGAGAAATGATGGGCTGTCTGCTGCCCTGATCCATCATCAGGCCTATCTCGGCCAGCGTAATCTGCTTCGGCAGCATGCTGACCTTTCGGCCAGAAATGCAGCCCTCCATGCGCGCGTTGCTGAATTGGAGCAGCAACTTGGCGCCGCCAGGCCCGCTCAGCCTGCCAACGCTTCCGGCGACGGACGCGGTGATCATGGTCGTCCTCGCAGACACTCTGTGGCTTGAATTGAGCAATGCTCTTCGCCATAGCTTGAATCGAGCAATGCTCTTGGCACCTGGCTAGAATCGAGCAATGCTCTTCGCGAAACAGGTTTGAATTGAGCAATGCTCTTCGCCGACAGGAGTAAACCTAGTATAAAAAATCCCCATTGATTGACTGGCCATGTGCTGGTGGTTGAAGGGGACCAAGTTTTTAATGTTGATTGGCGTATTGTTCCGTGCCTTACAAGGTTTCCAGGAATTCTCTCCGTCGGTGTAAGTCGTTTGTCATCTTGTAGCTGAAGAAATGCATGGTATTGTCCGAGAGGGGATCAGTTTGTGTTGAGAACATATCTCCAGACTGTCTTCATGGGCTCAATATTGTTTCTCTACTCCCGGAAGTAAGTACCTCTGCTTATCTCAACCTGCGGCCGTACATTGTACGAGCTGGGTTGATAAACCATCTGGAAATTCAATGCCAGAACCCAATCGCATCGCTTCCGAGCAATGAGCTGTCCGCTCGAGGTTTAGCTGTTACTTCATTTAAGACATTCGGACGCATTGCAAGCTTGACAGAGACAATTCGGCGTCGTAAAGGTCAGTAATTTTATTCTATGTCATATACTTACTCATCACTCTGCCTGCTCTTCTCATTGAAGAAGTTAAGTCCAGCCTCCTTCCTCAACGTTCCATACATAGCTGCACAATCCAAAACCTCACCGTGCTCCTCCCTCGCAGCCTTCATGTTCTTATTCGCTACCTCAGTTGCTGGCAACTTGACACCCTTTTCCTTGGCAATAGCCATGGCATAGTCGGCATCCTTGATTGATAGCGAGACACCAAAGCCAGGACGCTTGTCGAGAGGTGGTGCGTAGTTGCCGCTGGTCATGCGGCCTGAGTAGCCGCCAGCAACGGGACCGAAGCCTTCGGTGATGAGCTCTTCCATGGGACCGCTGCCGATGCCGGTTTGTTCGGCGAAAACTTGGGCTTCGCTGACTGCTTCCATGAGATTTACTGTGATGATGTTGCTGTGAGTTTTTGTTAGCATGATTTTCCTTCTCGGCATTTCTTATGGCTCTCGCTGCAATACTCACCCAGCAATTTTCAGCATAGAAGCACTTTGCGGCTCCTCCTTGCACACGATAAATTTTCTGGCCATCACATCCTGGAAGTAGGGCTTTACGGTCTCAACAGCTTCCGAAGGTCCACCAATTGCGACAACCAGTTTTCCAGGTGCGGCGATGGCAGGACCACCGAATTGGGGTGCTGCAAGGAAAGTTGCCTTGTGCTTCTTGATCTCCTCAGTAACGGCTTTCGTGGTATCAGGGTGCACGGTTGAGCAATCGACGAAGATCTTGCCGGAGAGGTCCTTGGTGTCGTAGGCTTGTTTCAAAAGGCTTTTAAGTGTATCATCGTTGTTGACCTTTTTTTTATCTTCATCAGTTCGCTTCTTCCAAGAATCTGACAAGTCTCAAAATTACCATTGTGAAAACGACATCGCTCTTCTGCACCAACTCGCCGAAACTCGACGCCGGGCTTGCGCCAAGACTCTTCAAGTCATCGCCCGAAGCCATTGTGCGGTTGTTGAAAATGAGCGATTGGTTGTTCTTCGCCAAGTACTTTTGGAGGTTCTCTGCCATGGGCTTTCCCATAGATCCAAGGCCATACTGTTCACCAACAACAATTAGCCATCACTCTGAACGCGAACGTCCTCGGTAATGTCCGCCGCCGACAACTTACCCAGCCGACTTGCAAGTTCTTGGCAGCCATTGTTCTAGCGGATGCACTGTAAAAACGACGTGTGATGTTTGATAGCATTGTAATCGCGAGAAGGCAAAGGTGTGGCCTGCTTTATAAGGAAAGATTAGATATCAATGACATGATGTCCCTGTCACTGGAGCTACGGGACGATGCCGGAGTTTCGGTTTGCAAATCTCTTGGGACGGGAAACTTGGTTGGCTCAACGGAAAGATAGCGACGTGATAAGGAAGGTGCGTTGACTCGATACTTTCGAGCGATGGCAATTCCTGTCCTTTTGCGTCTTGTACCTTTGATATCTGCACTGCATGCAATGTTTATCAGAATCTATCGGTGTTGCTCCCGGATGGATGGTGAACGCCTGTCACGACCTCGGCAAACATGCCGGTAGTTCAAGTCAACTTTATCTCAACGTCATCTGCTTCAAACGACTCGCGTTGGCAGCAAGCTGACGACGATCTACCAACGAGCATTGTCCAGGGTATTGACTGTAGTGGGCACGACGCTGAAAGTGGTGGCAAGTGGAAGAGGAGAGAACAAGAAGAAATACGACCCTGTGCTTGAATGACTAACCATCTGCTGCCAATTTCTTGCGGTCTTCCAACTCCAGCTCAATGTCCAGCATCGCTTGTTCTCCTAGTCTCCACGACGGGGTCTGTTGAGTGCATCAAGCCTCGCAAAGATACTCGCAAGCTTATCGCCTTCCTGAGCAGAATCCTCTGCGCCCGTCTCGCCCGGGCCATAGCTGAGCTGGACCCCTAGTTCTGTCGGCAAAAGCCCATGATTGTTGCGACCAGACTCTTGAACTTACTCCTTTCACCACCATCATTCTGCTTGGAGACATCCTCAGGAGTACCGGGGCCAGAGCTGTCAGTAATGGATACAGCTTTGACTTTGCGAGCAGCGTCGTGGTTGTTCTCGGAGGTGATTTGCTCAGGCAGTTCGACACCGCCATCATCAGACTCGGCATAGGCGCCAGGCATAGTGGTGTGGATTGATGCAGGTCTGTCGGCAGATGTGATGGATATCGAGTTGTCCTTCATCTGCTTCTGACCGGAAGTGGCCTCGGAGACGCGTGGACATGGCTTTGAACCACCAGTGAAGAGGGCAAGAGAGTTGTTGGCTGGGATCTGCGTGGAAGAAACTTGGGTGGGGGTGCTGCGCTCAGCAACATTTCCGACGAGCAAGGCGCTGCGCTCTGGTTCGGCGGCGACTTTCTTCATGGTGCGGTGGGGACCAGCAGGGCGAGAGACTCTTTTCACAGTGACTGGCTCAGGAAGTGGCTCTGGACGGCGCTGTTTCTATACGTGATCATCAGCGCAAGGCGATTGAAACACTGGTGGGAACTTACGAAAACTTCATCAACAATGAACGGGTATCCATCTTCAGGGCCACGGCGACAAGTCTCACGGGTCTTGTCGTTCTCCTTCTTTCCGGTGGACGACTGATCGGATGATGGCATTCTGCGAATACAAGCTTTGTGGTAAGATTGTTGCAATTGGTGAGATTGGGTTGTGCAAAAGACAGTCAAGCGACTATGCCCGCGCGTCGTTCGTGCTGTTGACATGTTCACGAACGCCAACTCTGTTTGCTATGACGCGCTTGCTTGCATGCGACACTTCCTGTGCCAGCACGTGCTCAGCCTTGGAAGATTCTCACCATGTTTTCGTCTCTCCTGTACCTGACAAGCGTGATAGAATCCGGTTTTGAAGAGGATGCGATTCTTCGCAGCGATGAGTTCAACAAAGTGCGTGAATTTTGGCGCAAACTCTAGGCAAGTACTCTGTTCTCTTTGTTGGGACTTTTCAGTGGTTTCGTTGCAACAGAATCCACCAAAGGAAGGTGCGTCCTTGCAAGCACCTGCTTCACTTGAAATGTCCGAATTCGAGTGGACATCCGATTGATGAACATCGCAAAACTTCGAATAGAAAGATTTAATAACGAGGAACAAAGAAAAAAAAAAGAAACATTCCAAAGCATGACAAAGGCATGACTACGCAAAAGTCGACATATTCGCATGTCTGCCATATCCACCAATCCACCTCCTATCCATCGTATCTCCAAAATTTTCCGCAAAAGTCGCTGTCGATTTTGGCAGGTATACTTCATCTGCTGTCGTACTCGTAGGATGACCTCGCAACCATCCAGTAGCTGAGCGCCATGTATCTGACACTTTGTCTGCGATACGGCTCATGAAGTCGATCACAGGGCTCAAGACAGTGGCTCGACTGCTGGTGGTGGTGGTCACCTGGCTTGAGGCGAATGTGTCGTTGCTGTATGTGTAGTCTACCCGCAGTCCGTTGGTGATGATTGCTTGCTTGCTCGAGTACTGTTTGTACTTGCTCTCTGTGGAAGGAAAGAAGAACCATCAGTATTTATCACGAGACTATGAACAAAGGGAAGACTTGGACTTACTTGGTTGACATTGATATCCGACCACAGCATTAGCTCCACTGTCCGTAATATTGAGATACTTGAACGTGAAAGAGCCAGTATTGTTCTCATAGAACAAAACCTGGAAATGGTAATAGTTGTTGGACTGCTGATAGTAGGACGCATAGTACTCAAATGTAAGGATTCTCGAGGGCGACGTGCCATCCACTTCATAGTAGATACCTTGGGCAGTTCCTTGGTAGATGTAGAGATCTGCCCAGAATGGCATGAGTGCATAACCAGAAGGACTGAGCGCGCTGTATTGAGGCAAAGAAGATGGCGAATAGCTGTTCGTGATGCCGAAACCTAAGACGCCGTTCACACTGACAGTCACGTTGGTGAAGTTGTAGCCACATAAGTTGATTGCGAATGGCATGACTCGCCATGCAAGGTCGTCGTCGTGGGCCGCAGATGAGTTGAATATGGCAGTAGGAGAGGCTAGCGCGACAGTGGGCGCTGCTGTTGTTGACTGGAAGTTTTGTTAGCAGATAGCGAACTTCATCCAGCTTGCTTTTCCGCTTACCGATGCAGATGTAGTTCGAGAACCCACGGTCTGTGCGTCGCATATCAGTCTTGTTATCCACTTGCTTGAGTATCTATCATAAGAACTAACCGCTAATTGTGCTGCGGGGGCTGTTGCGGATGTCACGCTGGTAATGGAAGACTAGTGCTTTGTATGAGCATTAGACCACGCCTGAAATCAGCCCGATATGTCAACTTACAGGCGTGACAGTCACGGTCGAGGTTTGTGTGACTGTTGATGCGGGCTGGGTATACGTTGATGTCCTGTGAAAAGGATTTATCAGCATTTCGTGATCGGCCCATCGGGTGAAAAGGGGCAAGGTCGAGCTTTTGTAGATCTCTCGGTCTCATCAATCTTCGATCATCAATCAAATCATCGAGAATGCTTGCTTTCCGGTGCTGCCTTCGGCACAGGTAGATCTTACAGGGTCTGGGTAGTGGTGACAGCGGGTGGCACTGAAGTCAAGGTACTGGCTGGCTGAGTTGTCGTGGTAATTCTGTCAATCTGTCAGATCGCTGTTCACTTCATTTGGGTACAGCTGGGCCAATCTTCAAGGACAGATAGAACTTACAGAGTTTGCGTGGCGGTTCTAGAAAGAAGAGCACATCTGTTAGCTGTTCATTTCATAATGCACAGAGGAGCTTCCTTACACTGTCTGCGTCTGTGTGCTCGTCACAGGCGCTGGAGTAGCGGGATACACTGTCGATGTTCTAGAATGATGCGTTAGCTTGAAATCTCAGATGGAAGGCATTTTTTGAAAAGGGTTTGAAGATCCTCTCAATGATCCACTAAGCTTGATGGCTCGCAAGATCCGATTTCAACTTACACTGGCGCCGGAGTAGCAGGGTATACTGTGCTGAGATGTGTTGTCGTAGCAGTTCTAAGGCATTTTCACATTAGTTGATGCTTGCTCTTCGAAGTATCCCGTACAGGTTGGACTCGGCTTTGCAGAAGCCCTGTGCATGGAGCTTGAGAGGTGTTGACTCACGTAGTAACGGTCGATGTCGCTGTCGTAGTTCTGTATTACAATTTTAGCACTTTCCTCCTTCCCCTTTGGTTTCGAATGTTCATAGCATCTCTCAATCTGAGAAACTCTCGATGACGCCGAATAGTTCTAGGGGATCTTCTTACATGTACTGAGTAGATGTGACAGGCGCTGATGTTGCTGGATATAATGTGGATGTGGTTGTCCTTGGAATTTGTATGAGCAAAATGGACAATCAAGCATTGATGCCTGAATCAGGTCTTCTTACACAGTGCTTGCAGGAGGTGCTGCAGCGGTAGTCGTAGTCACCTGTGTCGCGGTAAAAACTTGTGTAGATGTTGTTGTTCTGGAACATGATATCAGAAAGTGTCCAATGCAGAAATGAGACCTTTGAAGATGTCTTTGAAATTCACTCACAAAGTACTTGCGGGAGGAGCGGGAGCGGTAGTAATAGATGTTTGCGTTTCTGTCACTACACTTATCACAGTCGTGGTTCTGAATTGTTCGTTAGCAAATCTGCTTCATGTTCCAAATTCTGATGCAGACTTTAAACTCTGCTTCTCATACTCACACAGTCTGCGTCTGGGTCTGGGTCTGCGTTTGTGTCTGTGTATTCGTTACAGGTGCTGGAGTAGCCGGATATGCTGTAGCGGTCCTGAATATCCGAATCGGCATCAATCTCCATCTTCAACATGTCTTTGGGTCATGGCTCAGATTCTCGGATCAAGTTCTAACTTACACTGGCGCCGGTGTAGCCGCGTACACTGTACTGAGCTGTGTCGTCGTAGCAGTTCTGTGTCGATCATTCCTTAGCCAATATCCATGTCACCAAAATCTGCAGCATGTCAACTTACGCTGTAACAGTCAACGTTGCTGTTGTAGTTCTAGGACACGATTAGCACTTGCCCATCATGAACGTTCCTCTAGCTGGAAGTCATCTTGGATCTGCTCTTTATGGCAAGTCCTCAAGCGAGCTTTCTAGGCCGGGGCGACTTTTCTCGCTTACATGTATTGAGTGGACGTGACTGGCGGTGGCGTTGCGGGATACAAGGTAGAGGTAGTTGTCCTTCAATACATGTCAGCAGATGATTCCAATCATGATGTTTCGAATGATGCATATCCTCACACTGTGCTTGCGGGAGCTGTGGTAGTGACATAAGCTGTCGTTATACTTATCTGAGTCTGCGTCTGTGTCGCTGTTTGTGTTCTGAAGCCAATCATGTCAGCCTTGATCCTGCTAAAGTAGATATGATATGCCAAGAAAGCGTGCTCAACATACGTTGTTTGACTCTGTGTATTAGTCAATGTGGCAGTCGCCGTAGCTGTAGCTGTTAAGATCAAGGTTTGAGTGAAGCTTGAGGCGGGAATGGTAGTGGTGATCAGACTCGTGCTGACCACAGTACTGGCTTGTTGAGTAGTCAAGTATGTGCTAAGGAACAAATTAGCATGATGGACCAGAAAGAGCTTCCCACTCGATCTCTCCATATCTGCCAAAAAGAGGCACAGAGGTGTGCGGAATGTGCCCGACGCTCAGGATGAGATGAAGAACAGGTTCTGAGCGAAACCTCGATCTCGAGAAGCCATTTAGTGGGTCCCTTCCTATTTTGGGCAGCTGTGGATGAAATCTCATCAACTTTTCTTACCTGACATAGGTACTGGTCGTTCCTGGTGCAGTGGACACGATAGTTGTGTATTGGGTATAGGTAGAAGGCGGCTGAGTGCTCGTGCTGACACTCGTCAAGGTGATGGTACTTGCGGAGGCAGTAGTGTAGAACGTGGTTGTTATCAAATAGGTTGAGAGATAGATGGATGTGTCTGTTTCGGTCTGAACAGGTGGAATGCTGGTGGTCTGTATGCAAGGGTAAGAATTAGCATGATCTCAAAACTCGATGAGTGAAGTGTTTTAGAAAGGCATTCAATCACAAGATGCTAAGATACTTTGCGCATGAAGCACCAGCATCATCATGGATGAACATCCGGCAGCGAAACAGACTTCTCGCTCTGCAGTCAAAGGAATGAAGAACCCAGATACAAGGAGGCTACATCTGACAAAACATTTCAGGAAGGTCAAGATGGTCAAAAAGCGCTTGCGTGCAGAAGGTCCAAGCCTCAGGTCTTGTGAGAGCGACCCAGAATCGTCCGCTACATTTACATACCGTTACGGTGTTCGCAGGTTGTATGCTGACAGTTGTTACGGTGCTTGCCGGTTGGACGCTGAGTGTGGTAATTGTGCTTGCCGGCTGGATACTCAAACTTAACGTCGTCGTTGTTTCTATCGTTGTCGCTGTCATCACCAGCGTTTCAACCGTGGTATACGATGAGGCCGGCTGGGTAGAGACGGAAATGCTCGTCGAGACTACTGTGGTGTATTGTGTAGTCACATATGTCCTGCACAACGATGATTAGCAAAACATTGGTCCAGAGACTCCGTCAAAATGTCCTCTCATCTAGGTGCGTCAATTCACAAACTCAAGCTTCCTGCCTCGAGAATTGCTCCCAGAGCAGGAATTGGCAGTTATGCATCTATCTTGCTTCTCCGAAAGCAAAACATAGGAAAGAGTTTTCAACACCCTCCGCTTGAGCAAAATATCTGACAATCGGTTTGGACATCTAGGGTTAATCAGAA